TGAAATTTCTATTTACATAACGTATTAATATATCTTTGTATAAATGTATTTTTCAGGGACATCGAACTTCATACTGTGACCATAGAGATAGGATTCTATTTATTGTAAACAAAAAAGGTAGACCGCTTACTCAGTGCAAAGAATGTAGAGAGTTACGTATAAGTAAAAGGATTCATAAAAAATGTCTATGTCCCTCAAGGAAGACGATCAACAAGGAAAAAAAACATTTTTCAATTCCTCCAAAAATGAATGAAAATGAATTAAAATTAAATAATTCACGTTATATTATGTCAGTGGAAGCTCTGTTAGCGTCTTCAAATTCAATATAATTATATTTTAAATAAAATATATCTTCTTGCTGCATTTGTGTAGCTGTTTTTGCATAAAAGTCCAAATATCGAAATGGATGGTCACGTCGACGTCACAAAATTCACAAATTAAAAAAAAAGGACAGAACGCGTTTAGATTTTTTTTTTTGTCAAAACCACTTTTTCTTCTCTTGTTCTAAATAGGCATTGATAAATAATATTTATCTTTCTATTTCTTTTCCAACATCTGCTTTTAAAAGGAATTTATTAATTGACAACAAGAATTAAATATGTGTACGTAGATTTAACAGTAGAGAGTTAAATTAAACAAATCTGGAAAAATAAATAAATAAACTTACGCCATTTTATTTCATAGCTTTCAGTTTTAATAATAACAACACAAATAAGCCAGCTAGTACTGGTTTCTCTTTTGGAACATCAAGTATTTACATTTAAATCGATTGATAATAACAACATTTTTATTAATCTTATTACAACATTTTATTTTAACATTTAGCATCTAATACTCCAGCGAGTACTGGATTTTCATTTGGTACTCCAGCTGCATCTACTGCGACTGGGTTTGGTGGTTTAAATTCTACAGCTTCTACCGCCCCAAATGCCTCTAGTACTCCTGCCTTTGGAGGATTTGGAGGATTTGGAACACCTGCTGCAAGTACACCTGCACCTGCTAATACAGGCTTTGGCGGTTTTGGTGCTAAACCTGCTACTGCTACTCCCACCACTTCTACTGCAACAACAGGTACTGGATTTGGTGGCTTTGGCTCTACAACTACTCCTTCTACTTCTACCGCTACACCTGCTGCTGGAGGTAGTCTTTTCGGCACTTCAACCACTACACCTGCTAGCAATAGTGGTTTTGGTGGTTTTGGCACCACAGCAACTCCTGCTACTTCTACACCCGCAACAAGCACTGGATTTGGTGGATTTGGCTCTACTAAGCCTGCTACTACAACTGGGTTCAGCGGATTTGGCTCCTTAACTACCTCAACTCCTACCACCTCAACTGCCTCTACCACTGCAAGTGGATTTGGTGGATTTGGTACAACTACTACTACACCTAGCTCTACTACTGCCACAACAGCTGCTACAGGCTTTGGTACACCTGCACCTACATCAACACCTACTGTTGGTGGATTTGGTGGTTTCGGTGCCACTACTACATCTAAGCCAGCCACTACCTTTGGTACTCCTGCAACATCCACTACTTCTTCTGCAGGTACTACTACATCTACTCCCGCTTTGAGTGGATTTGGAGGATTTGGACAAAAAACAACCAGTAAGTGTTATTAATAGTTGCTAGTATCTCTTATTCATATTTGTATTTAGCACCTACTACTTCTGGAACAACAACAAGTGCTCTTACAACGCAGCCTACTACTACCACTACCACCGCCACCACTAATACTACTACTACTAATACTACTAAACCAGTTAGTGTTCCTACACCATCTGCATTAAAAAATAAATCAATGGAAGATATTCTTAATTTATGGACAAAGGAGCTGGAGAAGCAAACAAAGGACTTTCATAAACAAGCTGCTCAAGTCGCTCAATGGGATCAACAATTAATTGAAAATGGAAACAAGATCTCAAAATTATATGAAAACGTATCCAAAGTTGAAATGACTCAACGTGATATTGATCAAAATTTAGGTTATATCAACACACAACAAGAAGAATTAAATGCTATTCTTGACAATTATGAAAAGCAAATTAAGGAAGTCTTCGATGAGAGCAACTTACAACAACCTATGCAACCTGCTGATGCACAAAGAGAAAAGGCTTATGGCTTAGCTGAAAGTCTTAACAGTCAGTTAGATGATGTTAATAAGAATTTAAATATTATGGTTGAAGAAATTAATAAGATGAGCAATTCCAAGCAAATTACTAGTGATGAAGACGATATCGTACGTTTTTTGTTATATAAAATTATCCAGTACAAATACATTAATCTCTCTTCATTTTTCTTTTATAGGTTGGTCAAATTGTTCAAATTCTTAACTCTCATTTATCTTCTTTACAATGGATTGATACTAATTCTATGAAGTTGCAAAACAAAATTCAAGAAGTTTCAAAATTACAGGAAGAAATTTTAAGAAATCAAGAGCCTTCTTTGCGTGGATAAATATATAAATATATATGTATATGTATATAACACACTTATATATATACTTTCTCCCTATCATACAAATTCAATTCTACTTTGTTTTACCTTTTGTATAGCATAATGTATTGAAGGGAGGGGGAAAAAAAAAAGAAAAAAAAAAAAAAAGACACATTTATTTTTTATACATAAATTTTTTTTTTATTTTTAATAACCAATATCAACTAAAGCCTTTTTGAGTTCTTCACTCTCATGATCAAATCTTAAACCAGTTTGAAAAGCCTCTGCGGCTTCTTCAACACGATGAAGTCCCACTAAAGCCTTTCCCTTTCTAAACCAACCTTTACTCCATTCTCGTTTCAAACGAGTCACCATTTCAGCATCAACATAAGCCTCGACATATTGTTTAAGAGAAAGATGAGCAGCAGATCGGTTACTTAAGACAGGTGATAATTCTTCTCGAACATATTGAAATGCTAAAGGTTCCCAAAGAGGACGAGACCAAGAGAGATCGACTGCCATAGAATAGTAACGAATAGCTTCTTTATAGTTACCTTGTTTGAAATACTTATTGCCTTCTTCCTTAAGTCGATTGACTTGTGCGTTACGAGCTGGATTAGGCGCGTTGGGGGGTGGTAATTCTTTCACTTGCTTTAATGTGGCTGCTAATTTATTATGTTCTGTCCAATCTGATTTACATTTATTACATTTTTCAAGCCCATGTTCTTTACACGTAATCTTGTCTCCATCTTTTGAAACACTCACTTCAAGTTGCTCGTATAATGTGGTCATCTCTAAATCCCAATTTAATTAAAAAGATGGTAAACTAAACGAAAAAAAAAAGAGAGAGAGAGAGAGATAGAGAAAGAGATAATAATTGTTGTGTATATTTCTAATTCGCTGCTCCTAATACAATTGTGAAACCTTTTTAATTTTTTTTTTATTTTATTTTATTTTATTTTTGGACTCATCAAACAGAGCCTTCTTGAACACCACTTATATTATTATAAGTTCGTTCTTGTTTTATTTGCTCCATTATTTCAAATATGCCAGTTTATAAGGTAGTTAAAAAAAAAAGATATAGAAAGAAGATTTTTTTTTTTTTTTTCGGATGTAGTTCATATTTTTTCTCATTTTATTATATTTAGATGAAAGAAAATAGTCTTCTTGATCGGGTGAATAAAGTAAGAATGACAATGATAATTGCAACATATGATAATAATATATACATGTATTTTTATTGTAGGAAAAGAATCTCATTTGTTTTATGGATACACCCATTACCTATAAAAAGTATATTAATAAATATAAAAACAAACTTGTTATTATACATATATTAATGAGAACAGATATATATATATATAAAAGGAAAGACTTTGATCTCGTTATAGATTATTACCATGTTGACGATCTACCTGATCAACTTCGAGAATGGACTTTTCAATTGGTGAAAAGCAACTTATATGACATGTAAATAAAAATCAAATACGCGAAAAAAAAAACTAAGGTACTGTATATTTCAGGTACAACAAATCAAATGATGGTTGGAGTGATCAAGGAAAAAGAAAGGAAATGCTTACACCTCAAACTCGATATCTGATTGCAAGGTCCAGTACAGATCCAAATGATTTAAAAGGATTTCTATCCTTTCAAATGGTACAAGAGGAAACAATGGATGATGATGTTACAGCTAATTGTGCGTATTGTTACGAAATTCAATTAATGGAAAATGCAAGGAATAGAGGTTTAGGTGAATTTTTAATGAATTTATTAAGTAAAATTGGTTCATTCTGGAAAATGGATAAAGTGATGTTAACTGTATTTAAGGGTTTGTATAAATATAAATATTTATACATGTATTTTATGTGTACTAATAATGAATAATATAGCCAATAAAGGAGCCTTCCGTTTTTATACAGACAAGTTAGGGTAAATTTGATTTTATTTGAAATACTCATGTTTATTTATTTTTAAAATGTATACAGGTTTACATTAGATGAAATATCTCCTGGTGCTTGCCTACCACGTTACAAAGCAAAGCAATTTGATTATGAGTTATTAAGCAAGCCCTGTACATAAGTAATAAATATACAAATGTGCTTACCTTTTTTTTTTTTACGAAACGAGAAAATTTTCAATGGCTTCATGTACTGATTTCCATTGAGCATTAAGTATGTCATGCCCTTCCTCTTTATAAAACGCCAATCGAGCCTTAGGAAGTAATTTTTTGGTCTTTTCAGGATAGTAGGGACATGTCTATTTTTTTTTTTTTTTTTTTTTTTTTATTAAAGATGAGTACTACTATAATATGTGTTTATATAAAAAACTTATCTTTACCTTATCTTTACCACCCCAAATTAATAAAACGTTGCTATCCTGTTGTTTACCTACTTTCTTATATCTTTCATCTAAGCCTGTTAGTGGATAAGCAGCAATAGTACCAGCAAAGGCTCTAATAAGTCCAGAATGATGTACAAATTGATAAGTAGCCACTTTAGTAATTTTAATACTCTGTTCTTGTGCTTCTTTATCTAAATTGTTTTGAGTCAAACGAGTTGACTTTGCGAATCGTTCTATATTTAATAACATCCATCCACGTAACCATGTTTGATTTACAAGAAACTGATAGACATAAGGTAAGCGAAATAATTTGGAAATGAATGGCATATCTTTCTTTTCATCCAAAAGACCTGCAGGTGCGATCAATATAAGCTTCTTGACCATCTCAGGATAATAAGCTGTAAAAGAAGTGGCAATAGCCCCGCCAAGAGAAACTCCAATAATATCAGTTTTAGTCCATCCTACCTTTTGTAAAAGCATAGCTAGTTGTGAAGTATAGAGTGCCTCATCATAAGTAACAGGAGGAGCTTGTGTATAACCTCTCCCCCAAATATCATAAATAAGAACATAATGCCCTTTTTCTTTTGCTAAATATCTTGCTAACTTTTCATAAACAACAGATCCTGTGGAGATACCATGAATCAGAACAACACGCTTCCCGCTCGAGTTACCAAACAACCAATATCGCATTCTGCCCAAAGGTAATTCTAAATAACTGCCATTAGGGTAAAAATCAGGGGTATAAATATCATGAGGATCAACTTCAAGTGATGGTAAAGTGCTTTGTGATTTACTAGCACTATAAATCATAGTTATAACTAAAGCTATACATGTCCATTTAACTACCGTTAATAACACTTCCATTATAAATATATAAATTTTTAATGATCAAGAAAGAAATACAGAAAAGATATAATTTGTATTTTATATTCATCTCTCCTTTTTATACTCTAATGAAAAAAAAAAGAAGAAGAAGATAAAAAGTCTTTTTTTTTTTTTTTTTTTTTTTTTTTTTTTTTTTTTTTTTCTATTGAATCAAATATTATAATTCTTAGTTGGATAAATTATTAAAAAACCTAGTAATACATCATAAAAATTATTGTTAAAGTACTAAAGTGGTATAGAGCAATAGTAAATATCATTTTTTTTATTCAATCATGAAAGCATACCTGTTTATATCTTGTGTTCAACTACTATTTATTTCATAAATTTATACATACTTTCTATTAAAAGCTAATTTTCCCCTATATATGTTGGTAAACTTGTATATAAAGTCAAGCCATTTTTTTTTCCTGACTGATCGAAAGGTATAAACATGGTATGAAATACACTTATGTTTATATTAAGTTTATCTGATTGTAAGGAAATTTATTATATTAGCATTAACAGATTTCCATTTTGTAAGTAATACATCATGTCCCTGATCTTTATAAACCATCATTTTAGCATTAGGTAGTAACCTTTTTGCTTCTTCACTGTGATAGAAAGGAACGGTCTATATAAAAAGGTCAAGTTAATTAAAGAGTAAATAACAGGTATTTAATACACGGGTTTACAGTGTCTTTATCTCCCCAAATCATCAAAACGGATATTTCTTTTTGTTCACCCACTCTTTTAAATCTTTCTCTCAAACCAGTAAAAGGAAAGTCAACTACGGTACGTAAAACGGCTTTAAAATATCCAGGATGATACAGAAACTGATGAAATGCAATCTGGGTCATATTTGATATAATCTCTTCTGTATCCTTTTCCAGTCCTGACTGAGCATAGCGAGTTGATTTAGCAAATCGCTTTACAGCTGACATAAATAAAGGACGAATATAAGGTTGGCTTGTAATAAAGTGTTGAGAAGCAAGTGGCATAAGTAATTTTAATAGGGTAGGCATATCTTTATCCTGCATAATACCAGCAGGTGCAATCAATACCAATCTCTTTACCATCTCTGGATAAAACGAAGCAAATGAGGTAGCAATAGCACCGCCTAATGAAAGACCAATCACATCTGTATTACTCCAACCTACTTTCTGTAAAAGCATAGCTAGTTGTGAACTATAGAGTGCTTCATTATAATTTACAGGAGGCGCATCAGAGTATCCTCTACCATATAAATCATAGACTAATACATGATGACCATTATCGGCCTATCAAAATATGTGTGTGTGTGTGTGTGTTTTTTTTTTAAAAAAAAAAAACCATCTGTACACAATATATAAAAGAAATTACTTACTAAATCTTTTGCTAACTTGACATAAACAGCAGAGCCTGTTGAAAGACCATGAATAAGAACAACTTGATTACCTCTTTCATTCCCAAAGAGCCAATAACGCATTGTTCCAAATGGTAGCTCTAAATATGTGCCATTAGCATAATAATCAGGTGTATAAATGTCAGAAGGATGTCCCGAAAGAGATCCTAATGTGATTTGCTCATGTTGACTCCTTTTCATAATTATAAATGAAGAAATTAAGACTGCTATAAACCACTTGAAAGATTTCGAAAACATATGGATATTATTTTAAGAATTCTCTTCTTTTCCTCTTTTTCTGCTTAAAAAAAAAAAAGGAAAAAAAAAAGAAGAAGAATATAACAAAGCAATATAAAAGCCAATGAGAAATCCATGTGGGAAACTATAATTCAAAAAAAAAAAAAAAAATAATATTCGCACTATATAATATACCAATAAAAGATGTAAATAACGAATAGGTATATTTATAAAGATAGCATTTGTACCGCTCATTGTTAGACACAATAGCTTTTTTTTTTCTGACAGAATTTGTATTCATTACGAGTATCTACAGTATTTCTACTATCCTTTTAGTAATTGTATGCCAATCATTTTAGTTCAATTATTTATATCTTCAAACGATCTATCTTTGATCTTTTTCTATAAAGTTACTTCTTCACATTGTATAAAGGTGTATATTTGTACCCTAGTTAGTGCTAATAAGTATTTAAATTCACAGGTAGGTTTATATCACATGCTTATAATTATTTTATTGGTTACATATCATTTATATTATGCACTAGAGATTTGCAAAATCCTTTCATAAAAAAAAAAAAAGTAGCTAAAAAGCATAATGATAATATCAGAGCCAATCTGGAATGAATTGGGATATTCTTTTTCTTTCTTTTCCTATCTACTAGAAATCATCATACAGTAAACAGGCTTATGCCCTTATTAACATACACAAAATATATAAAAGCGAGAACTTGAATAATGAAGCCTATATGAATAGTTGACGCTAATTCATTCTGAATAATCCTATTGATAAAAAAAAGTATCATTAATAAAATTAAATTGTATTTCATATATCTTGGAAAAATGAATAAAAGAGGTAGCTTATTTACCTTTTATTGATGCTATAGTTAAACATACATTTACAATAAACAATAGATAATTTTACATGTATGATCATAAGCAGTATAAGCATACAACGTGGATTAGAGCCGTAATAATGACCAAGTACGAGTAAGTACAATAAAATAATACAAACATTTTTAAAAGTAATGATTACCTATACCTACTACTATCAACTTGGCAAAAAAGAAAAAAAAAAGATATATTAAAGTTAAGGGGTAGATTACAAATCATAAAAATTGTACCAGAAATTGTCTGTAGATCAAAGAGAAAATAATCAATGCTTAAATAACACAAATATACTTTGTATTTCTTCAATAGTTTTAAATTCTTTAGTTTTATATTGATCCTTAACAAAACTAGCCTCAAAAATACTTTACTTGTATCTTTTATTTGATATATTTCATACTATTATTAAAGCCAATGTGTGTGTGTGTGTTTTTTTTTTCCAGAGGATATATTTTAATTTGATATATGAGGAGATAGGCTCAAATACTAATGCACTAATATTACTCGGGCCATTTATAATAAATATGTTATTTAATCTGGTCATGCTTTCAAGTACTTATGATCCTATTTATGAATGCTTATTAAAGACAATTTTATTGAACATTAAAAGTCTTTATTGTTACCGAGACAAGTATTTTCTACATATTTTTCTGTGAGAGTTTCATCAGAAATAAATTAGCTTGAGTTTGACTAAGTCTGAGACAGAAGATACTTAATAAATCTATTAAGCAGTAACAATAATAATAATAATAATAAAACTCTCCCCTTCCCGTGATATGTGTATCATATATACATATATATATATTGTAATAAAGTTTATATAGGTCATCATTGTATAGCAGCATATATGTTTCTAGTATGCAGATATCCATTCCCAACCATCTAAACCAGCTGCTTTTAACTCTTCTTCAGTTGGTATAAAATCACTTTGTACTACAATATAGATATCATCATCATCATCATCATCATTGTCACTAGTAGTTGTAGTTTTCGCTTTATTTTTTTTAGTGCTATTTACTGATGATTGTGCTAATAACCTTTTTCTCGCAACGATTTGAATATTTCTTTTAACAATATCGTTTGTTTCCTCTAATCTTTCCTTTTCTTTTCTAAGATTCGCAATCGTATTTTTTAAGAGTTCAATATCTTCTTCTCTTGCATTAGCAGAAGTTACAATATTATTTTGTTGATAAGAAATTGTCAATTGGTGTGGTTTATCAAAAATAGTTGGTATAGAGTTTTCGTCTTCTTCTTCAGTACTATCTTTATTATCACTGTCTTCTATCCATGCGCCTGGTAATGTTTGTGTACCTATTTTTCTTCTCTTTACAAGTGATTCTTCTGCATGATACGGAAATAAGACTGAAGAGACAATCGTTAATGACGGTGATGAATTCATTTTGTTATTGTTGTTGATATAGTATCCTTTCTCTTGTCCTTCAAAAGAAAAAAAAAAAAAAAAAGAAAAGGTAATAAAAGAGAAGAAAAATAAAATAAAAAAGACTTATAAGTAGTTGAAAAAAAAAAGTCCTACTTTTTATCATCTGTGCATATTATGTAAAAGGAGATCATCAGATATGCTAAAATATATATCATTTTTTGTTTTATTAATAGTTCAACGATATTTCATTAAAATCATACATATTTGACACTCCAAAGCATCATTTCTTCCTTCCATAAAAATAGGCGTAGTAAATTTGACTCTGACAAATTAAGCAGTTTTATTTCTTTTTTAAATAAATCATTAAAATAAACAAAAGGGCAAAGAAACAATAATAAATGTGTAAATTTTTAATAATAATAATAATAATAAAATAATAATAAAAAAAGACCAGAAAAAAAAAAAAAAACTATTGTGCTTCAATAGCAGCAGGTTCGGTGATAGTAGGTGCCGCGGGTTCAAAGTCTTGAACAGAAGGTTCAAGGATGGTAACATCTTCCTTAGGTTCAAGAATAGTAACAATATCAGGAAGAGTTTGCTTAGGACCATTACGACCGGTGGGGTCACTATCCAACATAATCTTAACCTTGATACCCAAAACACCTTGACGCAAATCAACATGACGAACAGCTGTGGTGATAAAGTCACGAGCAGGGTTACCAGAGTGAATCATAAAACCATCAGCAAACTTCATAGCCTTAGCACGAGCAGCACGAACCTTACCAGAGACAACAACCTCACAACCCTTAGCACCAGATTCCATAACAAAACGGACAACACCATAACAGGCACTATAAAATAAAATAAAATAAAATAAATAAAAAAGTTATTTATTTATTTATTATTCTAATATTACTTACCGACGGACAGCCAAACCATTGAGAAGCTTAAATTTAACTGACTCACATTGAGCGATAGCACAAAGACCACGGTTTTGAACACGTTCAGCATAAAGTTCAACACCATTATCAGGGAACTTGAAACGCTTTTGAACAAGAGTAGTTAATTCACGAATACGACGACCTTTTTCGCCGAGAACATTTTGAGTGTGTGTAGCACGAATGATGATTCTTTTTTTTTTGTTTAAATAAAGTTATATATAAAAAGACTGATTAGCTTGATTATTCACGATATTCATTCGACTTTTTGTTTAATCTCAAACATCTTCTCAAACTTACTCAGTACGAGCAGGAGTAACACGAACTTCAACACCAGCATAGCCATCTTCAGCAAGTTCACGGGTGAAGAACTCATTAAGTTCAGCATAAAAAACACCGTCAGCAACCTAATCATAAACATAATATATACATTTATATAAATCCAATTCCATGTCAAATTATGTCCATTTGTATTGTATATAAACCCCATTTTTGTAGTTGTCAAATACTTACGAACTATAGTGTTTAAATAAGAATAAGTTAGTAAATTTGAATTATAGGAATGCTTATTGCCATTTTTTTCTCTCTCTTTCTCGTTTTAATTTTAATCTCATAATTCCTCTTTTTTTTTTTTTTCTTTTCTATATGATATAATTTATCTCCCTTATAAATCGTCCATCCATCTGTCCATCTTTATTTTTATATTACCTTTCTCTTTTTAGAAATTTGGGCAGCCATGATTTTTGAAAGAGGAGGGGCTCATCATTGGCCCTGCTTCTTCATTCTTTAAGGTCTCCTACACCTTTTCGATGCTTTCCCCTCCTCCTCCCTCACTTCTAGATTTGTGATTAAAACTTTTTAGATAATAACCCCTCATAGTTTATAAAAAGTTCTCCGGACCGGACTAGAAACAATGAAAAAAAAAACCCCCAGAATGTAATTACCGTTCAAAAAATAACTCATAACATGAAAAGGTTCCACTACAAAGGTTTGAAAAAGGTTCTTCTCTATATTACAACATTCTTCAATGTAAAACAATTCTAGTTAAAATAATAACTAAGGAATTAAGAATTTTGTCTTTTTTTTTCTTTTACGTAATAAATCAGGGTATTTTTAGAACTTGTATCTTGTCGATTTGTTTTTTTTTTCTAATCAGCCACATATGTATTCACTTTACTAACTTTATGCACAACACAAAGTTTTAGACTTAATATTTAGTTTCTTTTCTTTTCTTTCATTTATTGGCTTTCTTTCTTTTTTTTTTTCTTTTAAAATATATTTTGTTTCTCAATATGAGTTCAACTACTAACGACACAGTAAATCCATTTTCAATATCAGATAACACAGGAGATCAAGCAGGACTCTATAAAGGAATAGGCGTTACTTTAGCTATTGCTAGTGGTACATAGTTATATAATAAATGCACATGTTTTATTTTCTTTTGGAATATTCATGAACTATAGGTTTGTTCATCGGTAGTAGTTTTGTATTTAAGAAAAAAGGTCTTTTACAATCTATTGAACGATCAGGTAATATGCAGCATATATATGTATTATGAACAAGATGATTAACTTTTTTCAATAAAATGAAAGGCGGCATTGCTGGTGAAGGATATAGTTATTTAAAATCAACGATGTGGTGGACAGGAATGATTTTAAGTAAGTAAAAAAAAAAAAAAAAAAAAAAAATTAATTAAATAATAATAATCATTTCTTGTATATAAAATATAGTGATTGTCGGAGAGTTATGTAATTTCATTGCATATGCTTTTACACAAGCCATTCTAGTAACTCCTTTAGGTGCACTTGCTGTTGTAATCAGGTATGTACCAGCAACTATTCTGTGTTTTGTTCAATTGGTTTTAGTGAAATCATATTGCTCATTATTATTATTATTATTTTAGCGCTGTACTCTCTTCTATATTTTTAAAAGAACGACTCAGTTTTCAGGGCAAAATAGGATGTTTACAGTGTATTTTAGGAGCAGTGATGATTATATTACATGCACCAGAGCAAAGTTCAGCAGATTCAACGATTGAAACATTTAAAAGTTTAGTAATATCCATTGGTACGATTTATCTATATATCATTTTACACGCACTATTCTCCTTTATTAATATCATTTATTACAAGGATTTCTTATCTATGCTGGTTTAGCTATCCTTTTTTCCCTTTTCTTAATCTTTTACTGTGGACCAAGATGGGGAAAGAAGAATATGTTGATATATATTACTATCTGTTCACTTATAGGCTCTCTATCCGTTGTATTCACACAAGGCTTAGGCTTTGCAATTGTTCATTCAATCACGACCGGAGACAATCAATTTACTCATTGGTTTATTTATATTGTTCTGGGTATAACAGTTGTTACACTTTTGACACAGATTGTTTACTTGAATAAGGCACTAAACTTATTTAATACTGCCTTGGTCACTCCTACTTATTATGTAATATTTACTACAATGACAATCGTTAGTTCAATCGTTCTTTATCGTGGATTTCAAGCCTCTCCAGTAGCTATTGTAACTTGTGTATTCGGTTTTCTAACAATCTGTTCAGGTGTTGCACTCTTACATAATTCTAAAAGTGATCCAACAACAACAGTTTCATCTTCATTATTAACTAAAAATGAAACAGTCACTCATTCAGAAAAGATATTAGAAGATGACGAAAAAATACTTAGAGAAAGTAGTATCGAGTGTTATTAGAACAGAGTTTATCACATTTAAATAGGAAAAACCAAACAAAATAGAGAAAGATTCATCATCATATATTAATACAGAAGTTATTACATTATTCAAGCCATTTTTTTTTATTTTTTTTTATTTTTTTTTATTTTTTTTTATTTTTTTTATTTTTTTTTTTTTAAAAAAACAATATAGGTTATTAGAATTAATTATGTAATAAATATTAAAATGCTACTATTAGTTATTATATAACTGTTTGAAGTGCAGTTAAAATAGTCTCTAGGCTCTTTTTATCATCTGCATATAATTGATGTAATCCATTTTGTTGTGTTTCCAAAACAAAAGCATTAGGAACAAAGGTTTCAATATCAATATTAACCTTACTTAATCTTTTAACATTATTCAAATCCAAAATAATAATGGGTTTGGAGCTTAATTCGTCTCTATAAAATGTCATTGATTTACCCTTAATAATAAAATAAAAACGTCTCCAAAACTAGATAAATAAAATAAGAATAAAGATAAGTAAAAAAAAAAATTACTTGTATATAAAACTAAATACTTTACAGGACTTGTGCTGGGTTGTATCGATATAAAGCCAGAAAGAATGATATCCTTATTTTTTTCTGCTTCTAATAATCTTTGCTGTAACAGTCTCTTCTCTTCAGCTAAACGCTCCGCTTCCATTTTTTCTCTCAAAATTCTTTCCTCTTCTAGTCTCTTTGCTTCTTGTTCAGCAGCAATTCTCTTCGCTTCCTCTTCAGCAGCAATTCTCTTTGCTTCCTCTTCAGCAGCAATTCTCTTCGCTTCCTCTTCAGCAGCAGCAGCAGCTTCTCTTTCTTCTTCCTCAATCTTTCTTCTTCGTGCCTTTTCCTCTTCCTCCTCTTCTTGTTGTTTCCTTAATATTAATAGTCGAGCTTGTTCTTCTTCTTCTTCCTCCTTCTGTCTCTGTATTTCTAATTCATTTATATCTTCTTCAGATCCTGATAGTGAAGGTATCGCGACTGCAGCAGCAGCAGCGGCAGCAGCAGTAACAGCAGAAGAAATGGTAGTAGGAGGAGTAGAGAATACATCTTCATTTGCTTCTACAAATTCATCATGTTGTATCTGATTCTCTTCTGGAGGAAGAGAAAGAGAGCTAGGATTTATAGGACTTGTTGATAACTGATGAGAAGGTTCCTTTTGGGAGGCAGAGATGGATGATCTACGAGATAGTACTTGATTTTCTCCCAATTTGAGTCGATTACGAATATTAGCTTCACTTAAATCACTTTGGTTAGATACAGTTAATTGAGCATCGTGTAACTTTAAAAGTGAGGCAACAGATCTGCTATGAACAAGTGCTCGTGCTTTTAAAATATAATAAAATAAAAATAAAATAAAAATAAAAATTAATTAATAGTGTTTCAATCATGCTTTTTATTTTTATATACCTCTACGAACACCACTAATTATAAGAAATGGATATAAATCAAATTAGAGACTATTTCAATACTATTTAATTATAAAGCATTACTTACCTAACTTGTTCAGGAACCCATGTGATTAAAACAAACCTATCTTCTATTCTAAAAAAGCCATACAAAACTTCATCACTTAAATTATTACAAAATTCACTAAAAAAAAACATTAATTTTAGATTTATAATTATTGATTCTCAGACTAATAATGTAATATACAACAGAAGCCCTTTCTTTCTTTTTTTTTTTTATTATTACCTTATACCTTCTGAGCCTTTTGTATATAACGAGATAACATCTCTTGTATCATTATAACCGAGAATAAGCCTATGATAATGAAGTAAGTTTATTAATACACGAAAATATCAAGGTAAATTCCATTCTTGATTCTTCTCGACATTTTGTTTATTGATTAAAGTTCTTTATTACCAATTAGTAGGTCCATTCTCTACAATGACAGTATATGTTTCAAGGATTCGAGGATCTGTCAAGTCACACATTAGTTAAAGTTATAAGTATATGCTTAATAAAAAAATATAGATAAGTATATAATAGAAAAAAAAAAGAAAAGGAAAAAAAAAGAGAGAGAGGGAAGAAAAGTAAATAATAGCAAAAGTTACTAATAATAATGAGAGTTGAGCTTAAATAGCTTTACTGCACAATTGTTGCTGTTTTTACTTTCAGGAACCTCCTCCTGTTTAACATCTATTTAAAGAAAGCCATCGTGTTTCAAACTCAATAGATATAGTGGGTCAGGCTTTCTTTTTTCTTTTTTCTTTTTTCTTTTTTTTTTTTTTTTTTTTTTTTTTTTTTTTATTTTATATTGCGGACATTAGTTCTTTAATTTGTTTTTATAATGTCTTGCATCTACTACAAGCAGATAGAGCCAAGCAACTATTAAAAAAAAAAAAACGAACGAGAATGATTTATAATGCTATACTAAAAGTTTTATAGTGCTGTTCCTATGATTTACATTCAAGTAAAATAATTTCTTCTACTAATACATCTCTTAACTTTCAACCAAAACAATGATTCAATAGAGTGCATGAATAGGAAGTCTGCTGAGAGCCAAATACACTTTGAATTCCATAATAATTATAGAACAGTGTACAATAATTTAGCATCCCTTCATATAATATTAACCCAATGTGTTTATGACGTTATTCAAAAACTTAAAAAATGCTTATCTTAAGCGTTAATTAATTTAATCTCTTTAACTTTCTTTTTATTTTTATTTTTTAATGCATCCCACTTTTTCTGTACAACCTTCGATTTGTGAAGAGTTAAACCAATCATTTCCTTTTTATAAATGGCCACAATAATACTTCTATTTGAAGGAATAATTGCTTTTGTAATAAGACGCATCACTTTTCTTAGATCTACCAAAGGTTTCTATGAATATGCATACTGAAATATTTTTTGTCAATAAAAATGCAGCTCTCATTCCGGATCATGTTCTTCCATCCTTTTTTGCATGCAAAGTTTAAGACTATTAAAGGTTGTTTCTTACGGATAGAAATTGATCCAACTTCTTGAATGTCAAAGAGGCCTGTGAAACAAAGTGTTAATAAATGGCTAATAACAGAATCAAATTAATGCTAGGGAAGACTATAAGCAATGGAGAGGGGGGGGCTTTTTTTTGTCTATCGAACAAAGTGCTGATCTTGTTCACCAATAGGATCTTAAAACTCTTGTACTTGTTCAGAAGAGTAGGATAGGTATGATCCTCAAAAATCTATAATTGAATGGCCTAGTTAATAAATCTATTAAGACATAACCTAATCAAGCCCCTTCAGCTCAATCTGAATAGACATACAATTGATCTGATACGTGTATTTAATTTCCTTGAGTACAAATATTTTAATCATATGTGTCTGTCTTGGAGCATTAAATATCCATTTGCTCTATTGCTTTCTTCTTTAGAATTACAAGTGTAGGCATCATCACTATTGGGTGATGATTAGTTCTCCTTTGCAATTATATTATTGCTGGGAATATTTGGTTTTATAAATACTATAACCGACGACTAACAAGATACTTTTCTCTAATTTTTTTTTGTCAGACTTGGATCAAGATTAGTGAATTTTTTTGTAATCAAGTAAAATTTTATTTAGGCTAAATATAAAGATTCCCTTCCCTTGTATGTTATTCTCGCTTTTTCGAATTATTATATTATAAATCATACTTTCATTTTTATATATCTCTTATACTTTTATTCATTGTTTCCCCTACCTCCCTTTTTTCCCCCTCTCCCCCCCCCCTTTATCTTAAATTTAATGAAAATATGTGTACAGTCTTCATAATAAATTTATTATCAATAATGATTGTGTGCATACAATAATAGAAATGACAAAAAAAAAATTGTTTCTAAATAATGAATAATATCATATAATCTATTTATTTGATATTTATTACAAATAGCTAGTATTATATGTATAATAAAACAAGCCTAATTGATATATATAAATGAATAGAATGCTTGAGAATGAGTAAATATATATATGTAGTAATAATTTATATATGTATATAAATATATAAAATAAAAATAGGATGATCAATAGGTAAAGAGGAATATACATACATACATACATACATATATATATATATATATATTTGAAAGATATACGTAAAATGGTATCATTTAAAATAGTATGGAAAAGGTTAGAATATTTCATTTTGTTTAGGGCATTTTTCAGTAATATGAAGGTCATACTCTTCACAATTATCACAATACTATTTATAAAAGAAAGGTGAATACATATAGATACATACATACATACATATATACATACATATATTATAATAGAATTAACTTACAAATCTTTTAGAGTCATCTTCTGGAAGAGACACAGCTTTGCAGCTAATAAGATCATGTCCATAATTTTCACAAATCTCACAATAAACTTCAGACGACTCTTCTTTTGCTATACTATCATCTACAGTTAACGCTTTTGAATCTTCTTCTTCTTCTTCCTTCTTTGTACAAGTAGAAGAAGTTTCAATCATGGATTCTTTCTCGTCTTTAGCATCCTCAAGTTCTAACTGTAATTTTTTGACCATCTTGCGTTCATTTTCAAGAGCTTCTTCTAAATCTGCTTCTTTAAAAACATTAGATTCAATCAAGCTTTCTAAATCAGAAATATCCTTGTTCAACAACATGATCTTTTGTTTTTGTTCTTTTTCAACATTCTCAGCTTCTTCTCTTACTTTGCGTAATTCAGTAGCATGTTGAATTGAGAGTTGTTCCAAATTCTTTTGGTTTTGTTGCATGAGTTTTGCAATCTTATCATCTTCCTTTGAATCTTCTTTTAATATAAGTTTAGTCGCTTCATCTTGACTAGCTTGTTGATGTAGTCTTTCAATCTCTTCCATAAGTTTTAAGCATTCTACTTGAGTTTGCTTATGTGACTCTTGTAATTCAGCATGATCCTTTGCTAATTTCTTATTATCTGCTTTCAACGAAGCAATCATTTGCTGATATTTAGCAGTATCTTCTTGATTCTTTTCTATCTCTTCTTTCTGCTTTAATAATATAGCATTTTCTTCTTTCAGCCTTTCGACCTCATTACGAGTAGCTTCCATATCTCGTTGACATTGTTGCTCATGATCATGATCATCTATAGTCATCGTTGGTAACGATGGCTGCAACTCCATTTCCAACTTTTTTTTAGCTTCAACTTCTTCTTCTTGTCTTTTAAGTTCATCCAGATAGGTTGCTCTTTGTTGATCATAATCTGCCTGAAGTTGAATCAATTGCTCTTCCAGTTTCCTATTTTCTTTAGTCAATTTTTCTAACTCCTTTGACTTCTCTTCCCAAGAGGCAGCCTCTGATTTAAAGGAGGCAAGACTGGCCCTTTCGTTCTCTAGTTCTTCAATATGGTTCATCAATCGTTTGCGATCACTTTCCCAACTCTCTTTTAAGAGAGCAACATCCTTTTCTTCTTCATTGGCCATGCGTTGACTCAATTCTTGTTTCAAGGAATCCACAGTCTCTTGAAGGGCATTGCAACGAGCCGTATTCGAATCTAGTTGGTTTTGATGTTCTTGATTTAATTTTGCAATCTCCTTCTCATAGGTCTCCATCGTATCCAGGGCCACCTTACGTAACTCCTCACATTCCATCTCTAACGCATCAATCTTACGACGACCCTCTACTAAACTAGCGTTCATCGCCTCACGATCGACACGATGCATCTCCGTAGTCCTCTCGTAGAGCTCAATACTTTCTATACCAGCACGTTGCAACTCATCAACAGACTGTTGAAGTTGAGTGATACGATCCTGATATTCAAGGACGAGAGCCGACTCCTTTGCATAATTTTCCTTGACCGTCAACAATTCCTTTTTAAGCCTATCAAAGCTTTCCTTAGGAGTACAATCTTGATGAGCCAACCATTTCGATTCGACTTCCTTTAGTTCCTCTAAAAGTCTCTCCTTCTCACGTACATGACGTTCCGAGTCCGCCTTGACCCTTCGAATCTCACGTTCCTTTTCCTCTACCGCGTTACGATGAGTCTCCACCTGTTCTGTAAGGGAGGCAAGGAAGATATCCTTTGCACGAGCGGCTTCACGTAAAGAACTCATCTTTTCATGAATTTCTTGCATCTCCATCTCCAACTGCATTTGACGATCCACATCCGATTCTGCTTGAAAGTACTGAGGTTGAAGGGATTTGGCCTTCTCTGAGCAAAGTCGTTCACTTGCCTGAGCAGCAGCAGCGATAGCAGCCTCCGTTTCAGCTACTTTAGCCTCTAACTCTTGCATACGATGTTCGATTTGATTCTTTTCTTCACGAACGACGCTCACATCCAACAAGGCACGATCACGTTCTGATATGAGTTGTTGTTGTTCCTCTTCTAATTCTTTGATTCGTGTCTCAAGTGATTGAATTGCCTTCTCTTGTTGTTGTTGTTGTTGTTCTGATGATACATGATTTTCTTCCACGTCTGCTTGAGAGGGGAGAGTTGTTTCGTTTGAGGAACAACAACCCTCTGTTCTTTGATCTTCTTCTTTTTCCTCCTCCTCCTCTTTCTTTGTCTTTTTCTTTAGGATCAAGGAATGCTCAAGGCTATGCTCTGCTGCCTTATTTTGTGTGTTCTCAAGCTTAAGAGATTTGTTTTCAGCCTCTAGGACTTCAAGTCGAAGTTGAAGCTGTTGTAAACGCATGACGGTTTCATTAGGTGCTTCATCCACCATACGCTTTAAGGATTCATGAGAGGGGTCAAAAGAAGAAGAAGAAGAAGAAGAAGAAGAGAAAGAGAAAGAGGATGTGCTGATATCGTTTGTGGTCAGTGATTTAGATAAAGCGATTTCTTCAGGCATAGGTGTCTCTGTAATTAACATGTCATCTGAAGTAGATAAGAGGACATCATGGTAATAATCATCTGCGTTCTCATGTACACTATGATTTGTAGGTGTTACAGCAGGTGAAGGGATACCACGATTGTAATGTTGTGATCGACGAAGACTATTTCGAGCACTACTACTGCCTCCTGTTGTAGTACTGGTAGGGGAGGTCAAAGGAGTTTGAAACATAGAAGGTTGAGTGTAACGAACTGATAATGGAGGTGTATAGACTCCCTTTTTCTTTGACTGTGATGATGGTTGACGTTGACTAACGTAACCACGAGCGGCCTTTGAACTGTTAGTAAACATCGTAGAATGAGGTGATGTATGATTGTTACTTTGTTGTACTGTCATCATAGGCGGAGACAATGATCGAACGGAATCAAAATCAGTATCTAATGCAGATAGTTTAGAAGCTAACACAAAAAGACCTGTTTGTGGAGGACAAGTAAAGTAACGTATGCTAAAATATATAAACATACACACATATATGTATATACAGATATAAACAATGTTATAAAAAAATATGAAACAAAAACAAAAACATATTTTGTATATGTACATTGTGTGCTTGTACACATTTAATTTATACATTTATATGCTTACCCTTTCACGGATCCATCGTTCTTGCCAGATCCAATAATGTCAAGTTGAATACCAGCCCAAAAGCCCTCTTTAAATTCAGTTTCACCCAAGAACATTAAAGTACCAACGATACCTAACGAATCAACTGCTACTCTTTCACCAAGATAAAATGGGAAAGAAGATATGGATGATCTAGTAGTAGATTGTTGTCTAATCATAGGTTTAGGAGAAATAGTTAAAGGGTGTCTTAAAGCCATATTAGATTGTTGTTGATTGTTATTGGGCTCACTAGTAAATGAACGTGAACGTGCTTTACCAGTTGATTTTGAAGGTTGAGGTGCAGGAAACGTATTCTCTAATAAAGTTCTTCTTTTTTTTATATCATTAGCTGAAGACAAACGTCTTGTTGGAGTTGGAATAATTGAATTATAGCTGGCGGTTACTCCAGCTAATGGTAATCTTGACATTATAAAAAAAAAAAAAACAAAAAGTTTATATATATATACTCGTGTTATATATATAAATGTATATTAAAAAAAAAAAGGAAGATAAAAAAAAAAAATAAAGAAAAAATAAAATAAAATAAAAATAAACATTAATAAAGTCAGATGTGAATAAATAAATAAATAAAAAAAAAAAAAAATTATTTAGCTAATTTTATTGTACTCAACTGAAGTCGTCTTAAGTGTTACCATAGGGATAGCTGTAATTACTTTCCCCCTTTTTTTTCTTGTTTCTACAGTAACGACTTTTAAGAGAATTGAACTTGACTCTTTTTATCCAATCAGAACGCAAGACCCAAAAAATAATGATAGTATTACTTTTTTTATCCGACCACATCATCCTCACCTACTCTTCCCGTGAGGATGTTACCTCATGTTTCTGGCATATGCACCAATTAAAATTCTTCTAAAATTTTATAATATAAATATACATGGCTTATTTTTTTTATAGATATAAAATAATTGCCAGTTCTTTTTCTATTTTTCCTTTTTATTATTATTTCGAAAATTATATAAATAAAGACGCACATCCAAAAACATATAAATATAAATTAAAAAAAAAAAAAAAAACTAAAAAAAAAACTTTCTTTTATATTATCATCTTTAACGAAATTCCCTTTTTTTTCTATCATTTTTATCCTTTTTTTCTCATTTAAAAAAAAAAAAAAAAACCAAAAAAAAACCCAAAAAAAATCATACAAAAAATTTTTTTTCCCTTCAACAATATCATGTTATCTTCTCGAGCTATTTCAAATAAAAGTAATAACAACAATAGTAAACATTATTCATCACCAAATAATGCTTATACGAAATCTGTAACGACTTTACCTTCGAAGAATAGTCCCAAGAATAATTATCAACAAAAGAAGAATTATCAAAAACCACCATCATCTAACAAACGTCGTAATAATAAGAAAAAGATATCCACTCCAGCCCTTTCTTCTGAAGATGAATCCTCTTCTTCTTCTTCTTCTACTTCTGAAGATGATGTAACTCAACCAAAACAGATGAAAAGAGTTCAATACCATCACAGGCAGCAGCAACAACAACAGCAGTATCGTAATCATAATAATTTTAGGTAAGATTAAATTTTAATTATTTTTAGATTCTGAATAATAATTATAATGAATTAATTTTTTTTATAGCAGTAGTAATATTGATGATCAAGTTTACGCCGGTCCTACATTTAGTAATGCTCCTGCTCCCAGTAAACTTCCTATTCCTGCTTTTAATGCTCGTGGTTCCCCTATTCATTATCCTCATCCACTTTACTATGAACAAAAACCTGCTACAAGTTATATGACTTATATCAATACACCTCAAAAAGTTATTACTGCTTATGAATTGGAAAAAACAAACTTGGCTCTTTCGGAAATTCAACAAGGTCTTCGTTCCATGTTGAAGATTGAATCATAAAAAAATTAACCGAGATTATCAAGTAAAAAAAAAAAAAAAAAAAAAAAAAAAAAACAAAAAAAAAACAAAAAAAAAAAACAAAAAAAAACAAAAAAACAAAAAAAAACAAAACAAAACAAAAAAAAAGAAAGCAGAATTTTCAAATAGAAAACAATCAACAATCTACAACAATAACTATTTTGGAACAAAGTGAAAAAAAGAAGACCTTTAACAATTACCATCCATCCGCCTCATTTATCTTCTTCTTCTTTTATATATGTTAAAACAATCAAGAAGAGACGAATACCCTTTTTTTTCTTTATTATTTATCTTTTTTTTTTTTAATTTCTTTGTATCTTTTTTATTTGTTCTTTTTTTCCTTTTGTATCATATTTTTTTTTGCTTTTTTTTTTGTAATTATTTTTTTTCTTTTGCTTTTGTATACTTTTGCTTTTTTTTCTTCTCCCTTATATCCATTATTTTACGTTTATCCTACTCCCTTCCATTTTAAATCCGAAAAAAATCTTCACACACACACGCACTCACTCACTCACTTACTCACTTTTTTCCCGCACTATTTTATGTACATAGGTCAAGTTTTATTATTATATTTGATAGTGTGGGTTTTTTTTCGCTGTTTTTTATTATTTTTTTCCAGATCCTATTTTTTTTTTTTAATCTTTCAACTTTCCCCCCCTTTTTTTTCACTTCTTCTCTTTTTTTTCTAAGGTCGCTTATATGTTTAGACACGGTAGAAACAATTATTACAAGAATTAGTGAAAAAAAAAATGCTCTAAAAAAAAAACCGATGAAAAGAAAATAATACTTTCTCAATAAAAATTAACATGAAAAAAAAAGAATAGGCTTCTTCATAGGCCTATTTTTTTTTTTGTGTTTCTTTTGTCTTAAACAAACTTTGTCCAATACTTTTTATTAATCACTTTCCATATTTGTAAAAGTCTAGACAAATTTTTATCCATAAATCAAACATTTGAGAAGAAGCATGTAAAAATATATTTACTCTTTTTATATATATACATGAAAATGACCCCTTTTTGATGGCAAGAAGAAGTTGAAATCATTGTTATTTTAGTAAATTATTATATGGCTGGAGCAAAAAAAAAAAAAAAAACATTTTATTCTTTGTTTATTATTAAGGATATTTAGGATGCGTTTCCTTATTTTAATTTATACATAAAAGTCAACCTTATTTTTTTTGTGTGTGTGTGTGTTGATGATATTATTGGGAAAAAAAAAGAAAGTTGATAAATATTTATGTAAAGGATGTGATGTAAATATCTTGAGCTTTTCTGAGATTAAAAGAGTTTATCTGCATAATTAAGTTACAGTAGAAGGTTATTTATACTTGACATGTGTTATTAATCCTTTTGTTGAATAAATCATAACAACTGATATATAATGAAAGAATCCAAGCTAGCATGTGGTATATACATCAATAAAAGAAAGAAATTTAGTCTTGAAACTCACAATAATAATAAATATTGCGTTTATAGAAAAAATTACTAGAGTAAATTCGTTTACTCAACTTTCCTCTCATCTGAAGGTTATGGGTAAAAGTCAGTATATAGCTTAGCTCTTTCTTTCTTTTCTTAGATAAGATATAAAGCGCAGTTCAGTTCAGTTAGTGGGTTGAAATAATCAAATCAAATACAATAATAATAATAATAATAATAATAATAACACTGCGCTTTTCGGAATTTAAAATTTTACTGACATCATTTTAAACCATCCAATCAAAGAGGATCTATAAGAAGAAAGAGTTAGTTTAACTTCCTTTAATGGAAAGTAAGTGTAAAAAATCGAGGATAAAAGTTTCTAAAATAAGAAAAAAATAAAAAGAAAAAGAACGAAAAAAAAAAAATGATTATAAAAAAAAAAACGAGGGGAAAATATAATGTTGAGAGCCCTTACAAATTTGAAAAAATAAGCCCTAGCTCTAAAAAAAAAAAAAAAAATAAATAATTTATTTTTTTTTATTATTGCTTTCCCCGCAACTAATAATAATATTCAACACCCCCACTCTTCTTCTTTAATATAATGTTGGCCGCATCTCGTAAAGCCATTATTAACACAGTCTCTAAGGCAACTTATACTACTGCTGCTACTGCTAATGCACTTCAATTCACTACTGCAGCTAATGGCGTCAAGGTAGCTTCAAGCCAAGAACCAGGCCAAGCTGTTTCCTTAGCAGTCGTCATCAATGGCGGTTCTAGAGCTGAATCTGGCAAAAATGCTGGTGTTGCTCATTACTTGAAAAATTATGGTTTCAAGGTAAATAATATACATATATAATATTTAAAGATGTATGCATATAATGTTCAGATAAGGTATGCAACACGCACATATAAAACGAAAAAAAAAATACATTGTTGCAGTAGACACATCAGAATTGACATATAGCATTTAAAAAAAAAAAAAAAGAGAGAGAGAAAGAGGGAAAAAGAAAGAGAAAAGGAACTATATACATTTATGCATATACAACAACATAAAAAAGTTAAATATTAATCACTTTTATTATACATCTATTTTAGAACAATACTAATCGTACTGCTTTCCGTATTTCTCGTGAAGCTGAACTTGCTGGTGGTGTTTTATCTTCCAACCTTTCTCATGAAACTCTTGTTTATTCTGCTGAATTTTTAAAGGATGATGTGTAAGTGTTTGATTCAATTATAGATGATACTGAATAGGGTAACCAGCTTTTTTTTTTTTTTTTTGCGTTACTCTATATATGATTGAAAAAGAGAATGACGGGAGGGAGGAGAGAGAATAGACAGTTATTAATGATAGAAAAAAAAAAGTAAAGTAAATTAGTTTCTCATCCTTTATTATTTGAATTTTAGTGAATTATTTGCAGAACTTTTGGGAGATGTTGTATCCAAGCAAAAATATCAGGAACATGAGTTTATTGATGTTGCAAATCAAACAATTGGCGAATCTGCAAACGCTTATGCTGATTCTGAAGTGAGAGCTATTGAAGTAGCCCATCAAACTGCATTCCGTACGGGTCTTGGCAATTCTATCTTTGCTAAACCTACTTCACATGTCAATAATGCTGCTGTTAAAGCATTTGCTCAAGAGCTCTTTACTAAAGGTAACATTGCCCTTGTAGGTACTGGTATTGATCATGAATACCTTCAAACCTTGGCTGAGACTTATTTCAACTTGCCTCTCGGTCAACTTTCATTACCTGCAACTCAATATTATGGTGGTGATTCTCGTGTCGAATCTGGTTCCAAGAATAATCAATACGTAGTTGCTTATGAAGGTGCTGCATTAAATACATCTGAATATGCTGCTCTTCAAGTTCTTCGTTATGCTCTTGGAGGCGATGTGAATATTAAGAACACAGAAGGTTCTGGTCTTCTTTCTCAAGCTGCCATGAAGTTCACCGAAGGTACACACATGAAGGCCTTCAACATGGGTTACTCTGATGCCGGTCTTTTCGGTATTCAAGTCACTTCTGATTCTGCTACTAATACAGGTGTTGCTATTGCTGCTGCTGTTGAACAATTAAAGGCTGCTACTAAGAATCTTTCCGGTGATAACTTTAACAAAGCTCTTGCTCAAGCTAAATATGCTACTACTGCTGGCTTCCAAACTCGTCTTGATCGTCTTGAAACTCTTGGTGCTCAGGTAAAAAAAAAAAAAAATTGTTTATTATGAGTACTTATTTTAATTATTTATATTAGGCTCTTTATTCCGGTAAGAATATTTCAGCTTCTGAATACGCTGCAGCAGTATCCAAGGTTTCTGCTTCTGATGTTGCTAAGGTTGCCGAGAAATTGTCCAAGAGTAAGCCTACTACTGTTGCCCTCGGTGATCTCTCTAACTTACCTTATGCTGATTCTATCTCTTTGTAATTCTATTATTATTATTATTTTTTCTAAACAAAGAAAAAAAAAGAGAGAAAGAGAGAGAATAATTATATACAAATATTAAAAAAAAAGGTTATACATAAAACAAACAGATACACATGTTCTCTTTTATTATTTATTTATACATGAATATATAAAGATGATGATCTAGATAAAATAGGTCCCCCCCTTTTTTTTTCTTTTCTTTTTGTGTGCTAGAAATTAGTTGCCATAACTATTAAACTGATGTTGATATAAATGCTCATCTAGATAAGATATATACATGTAGTAGTACTAATAAAAACTTAATGTAAAGGACATTGAATACTATGAAAGATAGCCAAATGTAAAAAAAAAAAAAAGGGTGAAGACAAGTCTCAAGATCAAAAAAGGTTTAACTGCTTTTTCACATGTTAGTGCAACCACGTTAGACAATTTAAAAAATCCATTCCATGATAAAAAAAAAAAATCCCCAAACATTTCAAGTTAAAACCTTTCTTTTTTTTTCTTTTCTTTTTATATATAAATATATATATATATAAAATGAAAAGTGAAAGCCAATTTACAACAGCAACAGCAGCACTAAAAAAGACAATGCTGGTTGAAGAAAAAAATAAAAAAATGACAGTTGAAAAAGAAAAAGCAGCAGTGAGTTTATTATTAATAGATGAGCCCAGTAATAAGAAATGGAAGAATTGGTGGCTCAGGACTATAACGACATTTATGATGATAGGCGCCTTTTTTTTTATTCTTGCTTCAGGGCATGTATGGGCTATTTTAATGGTGATTTCCATCTCTACTGTTGTCTATCATGAGGTACTTCAAATCGCTCAGGGTCCTGCAAAAGATAGTAATTTTAAATGGTTTAAAACAATGAGTTGGTATGATGAAAGGAGAAATAAATAAAAAAAAAAAAGAAGAAGAAGGGAGGGGAATGGAATAGAATGATCGCTAACTAATGCATATAGGTACTTTTTAGTAACTACAACTTATTTTCTTTATGGTGAATCTATTATCTATTATTTTCAACATGTTATGTTAGTAGATAGAGTTCTTTTACCTTTTGCAACTCATCATCGATTTATCAGTTTTGTCCTTTATGTTATTGGTATAAAATCATATTGAGTAAATGAAGCAATCATCTATTAAACTTTTTTTTTTTTTTTTTTTTTTTTTTTTTTTTTTTAATTCAGGATTCGTATTTTTTGTTGCAAATTTAAAAAAGGGACAATATAAACGACAATTTCGACAATTTGGTTGGATGCACATGGCACTCTTACTAATCGTTTTTCAGAGTCACTTTATTGTGAATAATATTTTAGAAGGTTTAATTTGGTTCTTTTTACCTACTTCCTTAGTCATCTGTAACGATATCTTTGCATATATTTGTGGGTTCTTTTGGGGTCGTCGTCCATTAATTCAACTCAGTCCAAAGAAAACAATTGAAGGATTTTTAGGTGCTTGGATTTGCACTCTTTTATTCGGATTTTTGGTAAATAATAATATAATCTTGTGATAATAATTGTGTCTATTAATTGCAGCATATGATGATGATCATATTATTAGTGGTCTATTTTATTGATGAAATTTAATTATCTTATATGTCCGGTTAAGGTAATACTATAACTATAATTAAACAAATATACATGCATGCATATAATATATAAATATATAATCCTTCCCCATTAATAGGATTTATCTATGTCAGCTTGGTCCCATATTGAATGTAATCCTATAAATCCCGTTTTTATATCAGTTCCATGGAAATTACCCAATCTATGTATTATCGTTATTCAAACATTGGTAAGAATGTATATATATATATATATATATATATGTGTGTGTGTGTGTGTGTGTGTGTATGTGTGCATGCTTGTTTAATTACTTTATATTTAAATACTACAAGTTTCAAAAAGAAGTTACAAAGATTTGGATTGCACCTATTCAACTTCACACACTTATTATGGCCTGTTTTGCATCGTTAATTGCTCCATTTGGAGGATTCTTCGCTAGTGGAGTTAAACGTGCATTTAATGTAAAAGATTTTGGTCAAAGTATTCCTGGACATGGAGGTATGACAGATCGAATGGATTGTCAATTTTTAATGGGCTTCTTTGCTTACATCTATTATCAAAGTTTTATCAAGGTAGTTAATAAAAAATAGTGAATCTACTTATTTAGACACTCATACACACACACACACACACACATACATATATAGACACATAATTTGAATATGGGTGCCATCCTTGCTACTATTATCAATCATTTATCCTTATCAGATCAATTAGAACTTTTAGAGCATTTGCTAATTTATTTTACTAATCAAGGAATTTTGGATCCTACAGTCTTACAAGTATGTGGTACAGTTAATAATACTTTCTTGACTGAATATGCACAATACATTTTACAAAATAATATATAATATAATAACAACTTTGGTATAACATATTACAATTTGCCCCTTCCATTTCCTCCCCTCTACTTTATTATTATTATTATTATTATTATCTCTAATAATTAAGGGGAATAATACGAATTATTGATTGGGTTCTAAAAATACAGTAATTTCACCATCTGCTAGAGTACAAGTAGAAGATGTATTCATTGAAGGTGGATTATAATAAATATCGATATTCTCATTATTATTTGGAGGATTATCAGTTAAAGATATATTAAAAGGTTTTAGTGGTGATTCATGACTAGCGATTGTACGTATAGATCTTTTTCGAGAAACAATGCCTTTTTCATTACTACTTGTAATTGTACTTATATGCACCATTCTAGGCTGTGCATAATAAATATATTTCTTATCACCATCGTCGTTATCATGATAACTGCCTACGCGAGTAATAGAGCTTGAATGGGATGCAGTTGAATTATTCTTTTTGACTGAAACAGCTCTTCTAATCTTTACTGGTTCATTACTATCATCTTCTTTACTGATGTTATAGTGGCGATTATCATATTTACTACTGACTTTGACAGATGAGGATCTATTTATTAAAAATGAAGCATGATCAAAATGAGTCGTTGTGGCTGGGATATAAAGTGATCGTCGTGTCTTATTTGACAACGACGACGGATCGGGTATTGTTGTATCAAGATGCGGAATTTGAAGATTATGGGCACCGATAAGAAACGGTGATTGAGGATGATCATTTTCTACTAATTTCATAGTCTTTTTTTTTTAAAAAAAAAAATGAATACATGTATATATAAAAAAAAAGGCTTAATAATTTGGATAAAAATACCTGTTGATTCCAATAATCTGGAATAGGAGGTGGTATAGAATTATCACTTTTAATAGAAGAAGAAGATACAATAACTGCAGGTGGTGGAGGTGGTAATACGTTTTGAATTTCAGATACAATTCTTGGCGGATAAGGTGGAATATAAGCTCTCTTTTCATCTTCTTCTTGTAATTTTAATATTTTTTTCCATTTTCGTCTTCGATATAAAACAAATCCTCCTATTGTCACTATAATCAAAGTAGCCACCACTAAACCTGTTGTTAGACCTGCTACTAATGCTGTATTATTATTCTTGCTATCCTGTTTATGATAATCAATAAGAGTTGAGCTTGATAATTGTTGTACTTGATTTTTTTCTACACAAAAAGTTACTGGACAAGTACTACATTCAGTTACTGATGTTATTTGATATGTACATATTTGAGTAGAACTACAAGCTGGATAACAGTCTTTAGAACATGTCTTTAATAGATCGCAGTTCATTTTGCCATTTGTAGAATCTCGTTTTAACACGTTTTTATTTTCAAACATATTTACAAAAAATAAAAATAAAAATAAAAATAAAATAAAATAAAATAAAATAAAATAAAATAAAACAAAATAAAATAAAATAAATAAAAATAAAATAAAAATAAAATAAAAATAAAAATAGAAGAACAAGAAGAAAAAAAAATTTTCCTATTTAATTTTTTTTATTGTTTATTTTTTACTTTTTATACTTGTAAAGCATAAAATACTTTTCAAAGTGTAACCATATACGCGAAAAAAAAGGAGAAAATATGTTACTATGTATTTTTTTTTTTTTATTCTAAAGAGAAATTTTCTTGCCTTTGACATGACTTGAACTAAATCAATATTAAAAGTACCAAATATTTTTTTTTGTTAGGGTACACTTAAATTATAAAAATAAAAGCCAAATAAAAGAGAATAAATAAATAGGGTAATTAGAACTGTTGTGCAAATGAACATAATATGTAATTATTTATTAGTAGTCAATATAAACTAATATCCATATTTGTAAATTCTTCGTCAAACTGAATTTACACAGAAACAAGAAAACATAATTTGGTGGAAGGGGAAAGGGAAGCAACAGAGCAAATAAGACTTATCAAACAAAAGTCTTGATAAAGAGTTTAAAAATGTATTTTAATTTTAATTTTAATTTACGATTTAGTATTAGATTTGAAACAATAAACAAGAATTTGTTATTTCTGTCTTCATAAGATTATATAATTATCTGATGTCCTACTTCCTAACTTTCGTAACGAACCTATTTTGATAAATTAATAAGTGTCTTTTTATATATATATGTATATACATATATACTAGAAAATATGTACAAAGCTAAATTAGAATCGTCTCGTTTATGCCACTATATCTCATATATTTAAGCTATTTGATCGCTGTTATTATTTGCAAAAAAAAAATATCTCCTATTTCCGGGTAATTTAATAGTTCCTAATTTATCGCTTTGTATACATACATGCAAGTATATATGTGTATATATAAATAGATAAATAAATGTCTTCAATTACTCTTATGCCAATTGCCAAAGTATTCAAAAGTATTTAACTTCGTCGCTTAAATGTGTATTAGATGATGGTGGTGACAACTCAATTAGGCAGTTTTGTCATTCTACTTTTATTTAAGGAGAGCTTGTACTCCACATGACTTTTTATTTCAATTTACTTTATTGATCATATGTATGCTTTACTATTTCTCGGCTAATTCCTTTTAGAAAATATCCTTCCATTAGCTTTTTCGTAGCATGTCTATCAAGGGTTTGATGCGTACCTTAGGAACTGTCTTTACCTATAGCAAGCTATCCAATATGATCTGTTGGGTTATTTTCACTTGATAATTGTTAATTTACTCTTCTAATTTATTTCTGTCCTCATTTCTCACATTAGGAAGAGAGTGAGAGTGAGAGAGTAGTAGTAGTAGTAGAAGAAGAAGAAGAAGAAGAAATAGTTGCCGTCTTGTGTACAATAGCTTAGACTAGGATAACTACTACACTTAGACCTATGGGAAAGCTGGTTCCCACTAATACTTGAAGCCTGTGACAAGAGTTACAATAAATAATTTTTTTTCTTTTGCTAGTTCTTCTTCATCTTTGGTACATGTTATACTTTTTATTTTTTAATAAAGACTCATTAATGTGCATAATACGTGATATTACTATAAACACGACTGAGTATCATCTTTTTCTATAGTTGCAATAGAGTTTATTACTTCCCAAGTTGGAAATCACATTATAAACTAATTTTAGTAGAAAAATATTAAATATAAATCCACTTAGTGCCCCTGATTGCAATCATATTTGATCATATTTTAATATTTTGTTTTGTTTATAAACTTGAGTTTCGTAACTAGGTAACACAAACAGTCACAACATAGGAGGAAAAAAAAAAAAAAGAAAGAAATCCTTATTTTACTTTTTTTGATTATTTGTTTTATTTTTCATGTTAGAATGTAATGTAATGAATAACTAGATGATGCGTGATGTTGAAATAATAATAATATAAACTTTTACTATTCATCATTATTAAATTAGGGAAACTGATCCCAAGACAATAAAAAGCATTGAATTACTAGATAATGTTTTAAATGACAATGAAAGATTATCAAAATTAATGTCAGATTACCCACATCTTTTTAATACTACAAGCAAAGCTAAAATACAATATTATCTTTCGAAAAAAAAAAGAGATTCAACTTTACCTTCATAATTTTTTTTTCTTTTATTAAAGAAATGAATTCAAAAAAAAAAAGAAAATAATAAAGCTCGGTAAAGATAGTAATATTACACAAGAAAAAAAAAATTAGGTTCACTGCTTTCAACCAGTTTTTAGCCATTAAATATTAACATTCTGCTTCGTTTCTTTGCATATATTGAACTGCTAAGCTATATATTAATAAATACTGCTTATGATATAATGAGTTAACAATACAAATGGGATCCATTACTTGCTTATACCTTATCATCATTGCTATACTATTTAAAAATCTATTTAATGATACCCATCTGAAGATATTTATCATATAATTCCACTTTTTATTTTATTTTTTTTTCCAAAAATTGATGTTCATTAAGATTCTATTTACATCATCAATTTATTCATGTCATTACGAGTTATTTCAGTTATTGATAATAAATCATCTTAATGAGCCGACTTGCCTCTGTAGCAGTTGATAACGCCATATTTAAGCATCTATTTGTAGTTAGTTTATATATTCAAATAATTTGTTTGTTCTTAAACAGGGTTAGGGCTTAAATGTTAGTTACTTGAAATAACAAGGTTTTTCAAGTAATTAGAGACAGATTGGAATGACTACATTCGTTGAAACTTTGACAGTTTCTCACGAATCTTTGATCAAAGTAATACACAGCTGACAATGCAAGCAGGGATTTGTGTTTTACAAGTACAACTTATTTGGATCTCTTTTATCTATCTGCTAAACATACCACTTTATATTCAGTTATCTGCACTCATTTTTTTTTAATAATAATAATATAAGTTGATTGAACCACGAGTCCCTTGGCAATTCTTTTTTAATGTTTCTAACCTTTACATGCGATCTTTTGGGCTAATATTCTCGATAAAAATAAAAATAACATTCCTACTTCAACTCTAAACTCCGCTCTTCTTTTTGTGGATGGTGGATCTAAACCTATCTTTATTATTCTTTGATTGCTTATGGCCCCTTCTTGTATATGCAGCTATGCTTTGTACTCACATCTTGGTTTAGTTGCTGCAATGATAAATCTAAGCGTTGTACCTATCCGTTAAATGTTGAACTTACTATGTTGCATTCATTTAAGGCGCCGCCGTATGTATCCTTCTCTCTAGCTGCCTTTATTCTGTTGTCGTCAAAAAGAATCATCTTTACCAAGAGATTTTAAATATCACTAAACAAACTGCTCATTTTATCCACTTATCTGAACTACTGTACCGTGTTTATTTTATGCGCTTTATTATCTCAGTTTATGATGTGTTCTTTTCATTTCTTAATGATTGCGTTATTTGACTAATAAAGCACATACTTTTTAATTACTTTCTCGACTTTTTTTTTTTTTTATTTTTTTTATACACAGTATGTGCTTTCTCTAAACCAAAAATTTTTTGTTGCTATTTGATGAACTATATCACGAGGATTTAAACTTCAAATATTATTGGAGACCGGAGATTATTAATCGTCATTAATAGGATATGATTCAAACTGTAAAAAAAAAAAAATATGTATATATAAACCATACTGCGTTTAAATTCTCTCTCTCTTTTTTTTTTTTTTTTTTTTTTTTTTTAATATCATATACAATTTTTCTTTTGTATGTCTTTATGGATAAAACAGTTGTTTACTTATATTAATAAAAGAAAAGAATGAAGTTTGGAAAGCAGATGGAGACAGCATCTTTTGATCTCCCGGAGAATTGGAGGCCACATCTTATCCATTATAAGACGTTAAAGAAATCTATTCGACTTATTGTTGATGAGCTTGAATCAAGAGGATTATCAACTGAGTGGATAAGTACATTAGATACAGTAAAAACGATGCGTTTAGATTATATAATGGATGGTAAATAGATATATACATGAATAAATATATGTATTTATATATATGTATATTCATATAAAATAATCAATTTTAATCAATAAAAATATACACTATTTATTTTAGGTGATATGGAGGACATTCATCCTTTTATTAAAATTACAATTGACGATCCTATGTCTATTACTGCTGTCGATAAACCAGCTTTATTGAACTTAATACCCGTCACTCAGCGAATTAATACAGAACCTTTATCTATTAAAATCGAACTCGTTCGTGATTCTGAATTCTTTCACTTGCTTGTACATGAATTATCTCATGCAGCTGCTTTACATGAAAAAGAAAAGACACGATTCATTAATGACGTAGATAAGCTTGAAAGTCAACTCACAATTGCAGTAAAGTGTATAAATAAAAAACCGTTTATAAAGTTGTAAAAAAAAAAAGATGACCTTCTACCGACTGACTGACTGACTGACTGACTGACTGACTGACTGATTGACATTTATATAGGCTTCACCAGAAAGGAAAGATTTGTATAATTGGAGAGAGATATTTAGTTTATATATGGAGGCTGCGATTTTCAAGAATGAAACAAATGAGAAATATGCTACTGAATCTTATAAAAGAAGTCAAGAAAAATTACAATGGTTTACTGATGAATTATCTCGTATGAACTTGGTAATTATGATTATAATACATTATGTTGTTTAAAGATAGATTTATTTACTATTGTTATCAGACAAAAAGAATGACAACTAGACAATCAAGAATTGCTCTTGCTCAGTTTATGGCCATCAATGCTCAGCTTGTTCATTTTAAACATTTCCAATCATTAAATCAAACAGCAATAATTAAAATCTTGAAAAAACATGATAAAAGAAGTGGATTATGGTAATGTGATGAAAATTCAATACTAAGTATTTAAGTAAGCCTGTCTTCTCTCCCCCGCCCTAATATTGAAAGTATCATTGGATGTAGTGCTTCTTCTGAATTCTCTTCGTTCACAAAAGATAATGCTATATTTATCGAAGGTATCTTAACTTCCTTATTCAATGCTATTCAAACAAAATTAATTACAATCGTCCCACAACCTGATGATTATGATTGTCCCGTATGTTTCTGTAAGTATGTTGAATAATTGGCTTTAAGAAGTGGATCCTATTTTTCCGATTTTTTTTTTTTTTTTTTTTTTTTTTTTTTTTTGGTTTGTTTTTGACTTTTTTTATCATAGCTATTGCATGGAGACCTATTCGCTTAGAATGTGGCCATGTATTTTGTGTTAGATGTCTTATTAAGGCTCACAAGAAACGTCTGTATGATTGTCCTATTTGTAGACAAGAACATGCAGTAGGAAATGCGGATGCCAATAATCTTGATACATCATTGCAAGATTTTATGCTTCTTTATTTTCCAAAAGAAATCAAAGAAAAACGAAAAGAAAACCAACAAGAACAAATGATGTTGAGTAAGCAAATGATGAAACATCATCATCATCATCATCGTAATAACCATAGTCGTTTACCTCTTCGCCGAATATCACCACCACCACCGTCTCATAATGCTAATACTCCTCAACGTAACAAAAGTTGCTTTATCATGTAAATAATTGTAAATATATATATATATGTATATGTATATGTATATGTATGTATATCTATATATCTATATATCTATAGGTATCTATATATCTATATATCTATGTATATCTAATAGAAACATCACAAGACATAATAACTCTTCCCAAATACACACATGCCCTACTATTATATAGATAATAATAATAATAATATAGTAATTATAATAATAAAATTGGCCATGTTATGTTCAATAAACTTTATGTAAACAATTATGCAATATTAACCTGACATTTATTATGTAATGTTACAAGCTTCCTTTATTAATATTTATATACAAATATTTTTTTTTCATATGCTTGCATAAATAAGAAAAAAAAATAACTAAAAGGTTTAACTTTACTACAAATAGTTAAAACTATTATTTTCTTGACTCTTCTCAATGGCTATGGACAGATTTAAGTACTTTGTTAGTTTCTCTCAGTTGTACATTGAATAATAATCCCATTATTGTATCAGAGTTGGATTGAGAAGATATGCGTCATGCTAAGTAATGAGGGTATTCATCTTGAAAGACCTGACTCTATGTTAAGAGATGTGAAAGAAGAAAACACAAGTAAAACTTTTTTTTTTCTTTTTTGTCGATCAAACACATATAATAAGTATTGTAATAAATAATAGGATATAGTAAATAAGTAAAATTATACATTCTACTCTTACTTTTTAACATAAGGGATCATTTGTAATACATCTATTCATATTTAAAGTATTTTGTCGATACAAGGTTGTTTCTGATCATACAAAATCTCTTGTATTCTGACATAGTATTCGATTTATTGTTCATTTACTCTACCTTTCTCTATTTTCTTGGTACTAACGTAAGCAACAACAACAAAAAAAAAAACGGCTTAAATCTTTTAAAAAGTTTATAAGCAAATAAATAAATAAAAGACTTCGTTTTCATTATTGGATATAAATACTTTATTAATTTGAAATGCATATTATAAATGGTCTGTTATGGATTGCAGTTTATATATATATATATGATAGACGAGACTGGTATGTGACAGCTAAACTTGGAAAGGCATTTGACGGTAACTGTGATAACCCACCAAGTTCGGAGTCAAAAAATTAGCAGAAAAAAAAAAAAAAAAAAAAAAAAAAAAGAAATTCAGAAGGGAACAAAATGAATTCAGAAAGCGAGAAAGAAATAGAGTTCCTTCTCTAAATACACCATGGGTAAAGTGAACAATATCCATCCATCATCCATCCAAATAAGCTAATATATGCATACATCATTTAGGTATCAGTCGTGATTCTCGCCACAAACGCAGCGCTACCGGTGCTAGACGTGCTCAATACAGAAAGAAGAGAAAGTAAATGTTTAAATTGACAATTAGATTGATCTACAATTTCCCAAAATAAATAAATTCTAAACAATAATTTCTCATGTTAATTTCATTAGGTTCGAATTAGGTCGTCAAGCTGCCAACACCAAGTTGGGTGCTAAGCGTATTCACCTTGTTCGTGTCCGTGGTGGTAACTTCAAGCGTCGTGCTCTTCGTCTTGAATCTGGTAACTTCTCCTGGGGTTCTGAAGGTATTTCCCGTAAGACTCGTGTTTTGACTGTCGTCTACAACGCCTCCAACAACGAATTGGTTCGTACCAACACTCTTGTCAAGGGTGCTGTCATTCAAATTGATGCCACTCCTTTCCGTCAATGGTACGAAGCTCACTATGCTCTTCCTCTTGGTAAGGCCAAGGCTTCTGAAGCTGTAAGTATTCTATAGATGGAACTAGTTAGTTAGTAAGAAGAAAAAAAAATTAACTTTCCTTTATTACAAATATATATAGAAGACTGAAGAGAATGCTGAAGCTAAAATCTCCAAGAAGAAGGCTGCTCGTGCCGCTAATGCTGCCGTTGATCCTCTCTTGAATGATCAATTCAATGCTGGTCGTCTCTATGCTGTCATCTCTTCTCGTCCCGGTCAATCTGGTCGTTGTGATGGTTACATTCTTGAGGGTAAGGAACTCGAATTCTACCTTCGTAAGATCAAGGTAAAGTATAAAATGGTGTAAAAGTTATATTTTATGATTTGACTAATGCGTATTATCTTTATATAGAACAAGAAGCATTAAGAAGTTACTATTTTATATTTTATCAAAATAAAGAACTTTATATATTTGTTTTTAAAAATCAAGACATTTTTTTTTTGTTTTGGATATGCTATATTTGAAAACGTTCATTTACATGTCGTAATTGTGTGTCTATTTAACATATAATGGAGGAATGGTTATTTGCATCATGTTTTTAAGATAAGCTCTGAAGCGAACATTTTGGCGTCTGGATAGACATTAGGGATAAGCACGACTTGATTTTTATTTTTGAGTGCTTAGAATCTTACTCCTAGTTTTCCGGACTGTTCTGTTAGCTATATGTCTCCCTTTTTTTGTTATTTTAATATTCGTTTGTTTATTTTATTTTATTTGTTTACATTTAGGACCGAAATTAGTTGATTTACTTTTCAAAGACAATCTTAATTTACTACTTTTATAAAAGTAATTTATAATAATAGCCAATGTCTATTACTTGATCCCTTTATTAGGCAAACATATAGAATAAATAAAAAACTGAAATATAAATTAGCCAGCAATAAATGTCGTGAGGGGAGGATTATAACAAGTTAGACTTTATTTATGTCTTAACCTTCATAACCTGAAATCTTAGATTAACAAAGCTCATTACTAATATATTCTCAACAATAATAGTAAGAATGAAGGATATAATAGAGAAAAGACTCATAACCGATTATTAACCTTACTACAGATGATATATTTACTTTATCCCTAGATAATGTAAAGTACCTACCTAATACATGGTATATGTGTATATAAATATACATGTATATTCTTAAGGCAGTAATTAAAAATGTAGGATTTAGAGTATGGCTCTTATGAATACATATATATATCTAGAACAACAAGCAACGGTATTCATTATTTAGTTAGTTGTTTTGTTATTGAAAGATATAATAGCATGGTCTAGGCTGTTCCTGAAATAGTTATTATTATTGAAAAAAAAAAAAAATAGAAAGAATGATGAGACCTAACTACATAAGTTTGTTTATGCTCAAGTATTTAAAATATATTAGCAAAAGCTGGTGGCGTAAATAAAGCAATAGATACTATAAGCCTTGTTATTTGAATGTAAACGTATCTTGTAAAAAATTTTGATTGAAATATCAGTTTATGATGCAAGATCAGAATCAGTAACACTATTTCCATTATTTAATAATAATAATAATTGCTACATTATTATCCAAACAAATGTGATTATCTTAACCTATTATTTCGTTATATAATATATGTGTATCAACAATAATACAAGCTACATATTGTTTTATATGAATTCGTTATTGGTCAATTTTTTTTTTTCGGTATAAATTTGATGTCAGAGGTGAATTCTTATTCCGGACCGAGCCTTCTATTGTAGGTAGTTTAAGGCAGCCCGGCCATTCAAATTTATCATGAAGTGAATAACTTATATGGGTGATTCTCCCTCTTTTAGCTTCGATATAGTCCAACGATGGTATGAAAGAAAGAGTAAATGGAATTGTAGAATGTATGGAGAAGCGATGCTAAAGATGGATTGATGATATGTTTTAATTTGGATGATAAAGGACGAATCTTTAAAAAAGTCAAAAAAAAACAAAAAATCAAAAGTGTATATGTTTTTTAACCGTCAACATCACTTCTCATACATTTAATACATTTCAGAACTAATTTTGAAGAAGAGAAATATAAATGAAAAATACTAAAATTATTGTATACTATTTAATAGAGCGCCGAAGAACAGAAGGTTACCAAGAACCCCATGCGCAACCTCCAAATTGAGAAGTTGGTTCTCAACATCTCTGTTGGTGAATCTGGTGATAGACTCACTCGTGCCGCCAAGGTTCTTGAACAATTGACTGGTCAAACTCCCGTCTACTCCAAGGCCCGTTACACTGTCCGTACTTTCTCCATTCGTCGTAACGAAAAGATTGCCGTTCACGTCACTGTCCGTGGTCCTAAGGCTGAGGAAATCCTCGAACGTGGTTTGAAGGTCAAGGAATATGAACTCAAGGCTCGTAACTTCTCTGACACTGGTAACTTTGGTTTCGGTATTGATGAACACATTGATTTGGGTATCAAGTACGATCCTTCTATTGGTATTTACGGTATGGATTACTATGTTGTCTTGGGTCGTCCTGGTTTCCGTGTCTCTCGCAGAAAGCACTGCAAGTCCAAGGTTGGTGTCAAGCACCAAATCAAGAAGGTAAATAATGATCACGATATCCTATTTTTATTTATACTTATTGTTTATTTTTTTTTCTCCCCTTCAATAACAGGAAGAAGCTATGGAATGGTTCAAGCAACGTTTCGATGGTATCATCTCTTACAAGAACTAAATTTTTTTTAATAAAATTGATTAGTGATTATTGAATCCTTCTGTTAAATTAAGTTTGGGCTGTTTTATAAAGGTGCTTATTATTATGATAAAACTTTATTTTCTTTTTTTTTTCCGTATACAAGATGGAAAGGGGTATAAGATCAGATTAAATAGATCTGATGAATTCATCGATCAGTAAAATATAAAAAATGAGAATAAATTTCTAATAACAAAAAAAAAAAAAAAAAATAAAAAAAAAAGACAAAATAAAAGGTTTTCAAGTATGTGCTGTTAATGTCTCCCATTTCGAACGATCCATAGGACATCTTTCACCATTCTTTGAATTATCAAACCATGTCCATAAACAGTGTAAATGAAATGCATGATTGCATTTACCCCAAATAAGTGGGCAATCATCACCAGGCATTTTACATTTTGCGCAACAATTTTCATACATTGAATGACAAATACCACAAACATCGTCACCTTCTTTTACATTCCATTTCCATTCTGAAACTGCATTCCAGTTTACAATCTTGGTTTTCATTGATGATTTATATAATAGAAAAATAATAATAAAAAAGAATTCAGGTATAAAATATTAGAGTAAATGAAAAAAAAAAAAGAGTTTATGTGTGCATGCGGTATTAAAAAAAAAAATAATAATAATCTCTATTTTGTTTCTCCTTACAAATATTGAAACAGTAGTATGTCCATTTTTGTAAAATTTAAAAAATAAAAATAAAAATGTTTATTAAAATTAGATAAAATGGCTAACAATATGAAATATTATCTATATATGTACAATTAAATGGAATGAAGAATACGATATAATAATGTCCCTTTTTTTTTTTTTTTTTTTTTTTTAACGAGCAACAGTAGCTTGAGACATAGTATGATAGGTAGCAACTTGGAAACGTTGAGAAAGGATAACAAAAGACATGATAAATAACATATCTTTAAAGAGCTCTGGATCATTGGTTTCTAAATATCTTTCCTTAGCTTCGTATACACTTTCAGTATTAACCCAGCCAAGATGATCAAGATTCTCCTTGGTAATCAACTTATTCACTAAATCAGTTGTCAAAGGATTACGACCCTTAGAAGAAGGAGCCAAATAAGGTTGCTTGGTACGATTATAGATTTCATCAGTAATATATGGCTTAACAGCTTCCTTAAGAATCCATTTTTCATTTAAGGCACCATCACTTTCGGCTTTAATTTTGACGGAAGGGGGAAGGTGGTTGACATATTCACAGAAGTGATGGTCCAAAAAGGGAGTACGAGCTTCAATAGAGTGAGCCATCTCACTACGATCACCTAGATGATTGCAGAGATAGTTGGGAAGCATAGTACGGTTTTCAAGGTAAAGAGCAGTATGAAGTGGGTGCCATTTGTGATTAGCCTTATAACGAGCAATACCATTAATAGATTCAGCCATAGTAAGAGCAGGGTTAGGAGCACCATATTGAGAGAGAACAGGACGATTAAAGTACTCCTCCTTTAAACTAAGATGTTTACACAATAAGGTATGAGTATTAACGTTGTTTACCATTCTACGAGTGCGATCCATCTTGTCCACCAAGAGATCATCAGTGATGCCCTTGTCAGAATATTTTGAGAATTCAGCTTGCTTGCCAAAGAGATTTAATCTAGTTAAACGTTGCTTATCATCAAGAGTACCAAAGCCGTTAGGAGAAGCAAGATCAGGCTCACGAAGATAATCAGCATGGAAGAAAGCATAACCAGCAAAATGTTCATCAGAGCCTTCACCTGTCAAGACCACCTTATAACCTTGATCACGAACGAAAGCAGAGAGTAAGAATTTACCAACACCATTCAAATTGAATTGAGGTTGCTCAACGTGCCAAACAGAGTCCTCAAAGTGAGTCAAAAGATCATCCTCTGTAAGGGAGAGCTTTTGGAAATCAGCATTACAAAACTTGGCAGTTCTTTCTGCGATTTCAGATTCATCATATTTTTCACTTTCAGCAAAGGAAATAGAGAAAGCCTTTAATTTGGCATCAGGGTTCTTCTCTCTTAATAAAGCGGAGGCGATACCTGCAATACAAGAACTATCAATACCGCCACTAAGATAAACACCAAGAGGAACGTCAGCTCTTAATCTATGTCTAACTGCCTCAATTAAATGTTCACGAACACCTTGAATCATTTCATCAACAGTACGAGTTTCCTTAAGATTCTTATCAGGATAGTCAGCATCCCAATAGGGACGTACTTCGAGGTAACCAGTGGAATTAGCAATAAGATAATGAGCAGGAGGTACCTTGTAGACGCCCTTAAAGCAAGTTCTGTGATCGAAGGTATAACCATTACTCACAATAGAATCAACATCCCATTCAGGCTTCCATCCCATAGGAATAAATGACTTAATTTCACTTGCAACTAAAAGAGTACCGTTACAGATAGTATAATAAAGAGGTTTGATACCGTAACGATCACGAGCAGCAATGAAACGATCCTTCTTAGAATCCCAAATACATAAAGCAAATTCACCACGAAGGTATTCAAGGAAAGATAAATCATGTTCCTCAAACAAATGAAGAGCAATTTCACTATCACTTAATGTCTTGAACTTATGTCCTGCTGCTTCTAACTCAGATCTAATACGTTCAAAATCATAAAGTTCACCATTTACAACAGATTGAATATCACCAGATTGATTACTTAAAGGTTGATGACCACCAGCTAAATCAATAATAGAAAGACGAACATGTCCAAGAGCTGTAAAAAAAGAAAAAAAAAAGAAAAAGAGAGAGTTAATAATAATAATAACAATATATGCATATATATATATATATATATGCTTGTATGCAAGTGAGTAAACTTTACCACAACGACCATCAGGAGAGATATATTTTCCTCTAGAATCAGGTCCACGATGATGAATATACTCTAAAGCACTATCGAGGTCAAGATTAGGATAGACACTCTCAGAATTATCAAAATGGAAATAACAGCAAAAACCACACATATTATAGTATTATATATAATAAGTAGTTAAGAGATAAATCTTCGGGGAATTATCAGTTAGATCCTCTTATATTTATATGTCTGTTTTTTTTTTGTTTTTTTTTATTTAATTTAATTACAGAATATAACGAAACACATCAAATAAAATTCGAGTACAGTATGTTTGGCATTACTGATCTAATACTATTTGAATTACCGAAAAATGATAATTTTTATTTGATGGAGATATATATACATACATATATACATACATACATGCATGTATATATTTCTATATATATAAATATATGTATATGTACAAGAGAGAGAGAGAGATAGGTAGATAGATAGGGAAAGAAGTTGAATGCGTGTGCCTACATGTTTCGATATTATATTCATATATTCAAATTTAAATAGATTGACTTATAATATATCTTATCATTCTACTAATAAAGTACTTTAACATGTTAAAAAAAAACAACAGTTTGGTATTCAGCGGCAATTTAAGTCATCAGCAATAATACTAAATTTTGATTGGAGCATTGAAAGAGGAATGAAAAATAAATTTAATAAAGTGAAATTGTCGGGAAAACTTTAACAAATATCAATGGTTATTTTTCCAAATAAGGTGAAATAAAGGGAATCATTATTTTAGCTAATGCATTTGATTAATTTTCATAGGCTGATAAATTATAAAAAAAAAATCAAAAAAAAAAATAGTAAGAACTATTTATGTAATATTTACCGAGATAAGATGCATGTAATATTCAAATTACAAATAAAGTTTTTTTTTTAACTATTATATTATTAAATAGAGCCGAAGGGATTTGATTTTTATCTTTACGTAAGAAAAAAAAAAAAAAAGGATCTTCAACAAAAAGAGGGGAAAAATATTTCAGCCAACTACTCAGTCCCACATTATAGACTGAGAATAGGTAAAATTTGCCGAGGGTTCTAATAATAATAATTAATTTATAATTGAGCAATAAATAGCCTTTATGCACACTCATCAACTACTTTTGTAAGTCAATACAGTTCAAATAGAATATTTCTTTTATAATATAATAATATGTATAGACAACATGATAAAGATGCTAAATAAAGTAATAAATACAACATAATCTGATAAGAACGTTAGCTTTACTCAACACAAAAAGAGCTAATAATTTATTTTATTTGTTAAAAATAAAGTATCTATTGTATACAATTTTGCTTTTTTAATCACAAGTTAAATTGCAAGCAATTTTTTGTGTTTTTAGAAAAAAAAATAACTCGCATAATATATTCTTCCTTATGTTATGCAATAAATGCTACAAGTACAAGCAGTTTTAGATTTAAAAAATGTATCGTATTCTTGTCTTTCATTTTTTTTTTTCTCTCTCTCCCCCCAAGATGATTAACAAATATTTTTGTATGAATACAAAAGTCATGATTAAACACTGAACTTTGTATTTTTAGAAAATTGCTCAGTATCAGTATATGGGCATTTATAAATATAAAATTAGCCTAGTAATTCCACTTTTTTTTTTAGTAATACTACTTTTAAATGTTCTATATATAAATCGTTTAAATTAACAATAGATAATGATTTTCTTCATTTTACAAGTTTGTAGACTTGTCATATATTCTTTGTAATGTCTTAGATATGTCTTCACAAGAAAATCTTTAATGTTAATTTTTTGAAGGTATTAGTTCAATTAGAGTTAATATAAACTAAATAATTATAAATTAAGTTTCATGTTTGAATAACTGGTTATTTTAACTGCTGCTATATTATTGCACTACAGTAAGATTCTTTTTGCCAACGCTCCAACAACCAGGACAGTTATGTAATACTTCATGAACAAAAATATCACAATCTGCACAAAATTCCTGAGAACATTTTGGACATATAAATTTTGCATTGGATATGTCTAAGTTATCAAATTTAGATAAGCAAGAAAAACAGTGTGTTGCACTTCCACTATTTTTTTTAAAAAAAAAAAAAAAAAAATTATTATGTAACAAAAAAAAAAATTGTTTCTTTTGTTAGTACCTAGTATTTTTGGCTTCATCAAAATTATCTACAGGAAACAAATGATGATATGAGCGAGCTAAATGAGGCGACGATACTAGCGTTAGCCCACATATATCACAATCGCTTGGTAATTCACAAACTTTTGATTTACATCTTGGACATATGTATCCTCCTACTGTTAATTTTGAATGACTAAATTATTATGAATATTATATGTATTTTAAAAGTGCTATTTAAAGTCATCTTACCAAACACAAAATGTAGAGTGATCTTCTACTAATCTTTTGGGAAATCCCATTGTAACGAGATTAGATGCATTTTTATTAGGTAAGACAGCTGGTGGCGGAACTACTTCGAATAATAAATCTTTATAATGCGCTTCATTTAACACAACACCGTATGAACCTACATAATAATAACAAAGAATGATTTTAGTTTCTCCTTTTTTTTTTCTTTTTACATTTTGCTTTTACCTTTTGTTTCTTCACTCAATACTCGACATATCTGTACTTCGGCAGCTAATCCTACAATATTTACTCTTACTAAATCTTTCTTCAATAGTTCGATCGTGTCATATATATTTGTTGGATCACACGTTGTCAACGAGGCAAATACTAATAATACTTCTTTTGAGCCATGACTAGGTACACTCATCATACTTGCTCTTGCTAGTTGTAGCGCATTCTGTAAAGAAGGCTCACCACTAGTTTCAGTATTTTTTTTTGTCTTTAATGCTTTTATATGGTCTGTAGGATTTCCACTCAGTTCTGTCAACTTTTCTGCAATACCATCTCGAGTAATAATAATTCCAAGTTGTGATATAGGGTTTTGATCGAAATATTCACTAACAAATTGTTGTGCATATGTTAAAGTTAGTTCAACGCGACTTGGCCTCAAATCTTTTTCATTCATCGCCTCTGAAAGATCTATAATAAGAAATAAATGTCGAATAATTCCACGCTGAACAACAGCAGTATCTTTTAATAGTCTAAGTACATAAGGATCATGATTGGAGGGGGTTTTTTTTTAATCTCTTTTTATGTACAAATGTATTATTTTTTTTTTTAAAAAAATCACCTTCGTCGTTTTCTTTGTTGTTGTAATTGGGAAACTACACTACTTAGACGACCTTCTGCATCTTCTTGTAATATATCCCAACTTCTCTTATATTCTTCTTCCCAGGCATAACCTCCATTTCCAGCATCATCATCGTGATTTCCATCATATGTGTCGTCAATGTCAATATAATCTTCATCAATCGGTTTTCGTGAACTCATACTCTATAAATGTATTAGAAGGAATAATTATGTAAATACTAGTTTGCTGTGTAATTGTTATAAGCTTTTTTCATGACTGTTAAATTGTAAATGCTTTTAACCAATAAAATATACGCTTTAGAATTATCCTAATTAGGATTTTATTGACATACAATTTCTTCTTACAGACTGTAAAGTAAACGCTGACACCATAAAACATTTTGTTATGCATATAAACTCATTTTTTGATTATATATTTTCCATAATAGCCTACGTAAATACGCGTATATGAAGTAATATTCAATTTCCAAACTAGTTGTTTATATTACCTAATAAACTGATCTTTTTGTTTTGTTTTATAATGACAAATGATATATTCATATCAATTATAAATGCAATAAGGAATTAAATTAACGGAGGTGATAAAGCCCATTAAAATGGCTATTTGCAAAATTGATGTTTAGGGTCAATGAAGGGAGGAAGAGTAGCATTACAAGCTCAACAGTCATGTTCATACAGTAAGTTAAACATAAAGAGCTAACAGATAAACTCTACTCATGCATGAGTGGAGAATTAAGACTTTCAGAAAAACATCTAATGTAGCAGATCTTCTATTATACAAATATAGGTAACAAACAGAGTATTTCCAATAATAAAAATAAATGGGGTGATAAAGATCAAATCAAGTTGGATCTTATTAAAAGATAATTATTGTAATCATTAGCATAAACATCTACTTCTTTTGACTTTAGTTATAACTAATTAAAAAAATAGAAATAATAGAGAAGTATAACTAATAGAAATTTATAATAAAAGCTATTATATTTTTTGATCAAATCCTCCACAAAAAAAAAAAAAAAAAAGAGTGGATCTAGTAGCCGAACTTATCTAGTAAATGAGTATATTACTTTCAAAGTATCACTTCTAACAATAGATACCATTAAAGAATAGCTACTCGAACATCAAAGGGGTGTGCATAATTTGGATAGCAGAGTATTCTCTGATAGTTTTAAAGAAGGTGAATAATATTGAGCTTGTAATGCTAATTTTTATTTATACATTATGGGCAATTCTACAAAATTTGGCAAATAATCCAGAATTCTTATCAATTATTCGAAATAAGGAGGGCTTTTTTTTTAAAAAAAAAATTGGTGGATTGTTATAGCAAATATGTATTCGTATACATATACATATACAAATATATGAATTGCAAAGCCATATATCATAATCTAATATCAAGTTATTTTCTTATATTAATCCAACAATCATGAAAATAAGCCACTTTAAGCTAATTACCCTCAATTTTAAGGTAACATAAACAATGTACTGAGCCATCAAAATCGATAATCAGAACCTTTTGTTATTCTAGTGTTATCAGTGTCTTTTTTTTTTTTTTTTTTTTTTTTTTTTTTTTTTTTTTTTTTTTTTTTTTTTTACTAATACTTTCTTCTCAATAATCAACGAAATACACTGAACTAATTATTCAGCTGTATACTTGCGATACATTCCTTATTCAGTTGAATTTTTCCTTTTTTTTTTTTTTTTTCTATTTCACAAGATGACTAAACAATTTTTGGGACAGAAGAAAAAATGAATGTACACGAATAGGTGTACTATGAAACTTCTCCTATTTGTTACATATATAACGTATATATGGAGATCTCCTGTTTTTATTTTATTTTATTTTTTTAGTTTCATTCCCCTCTTTTTTTCTTCTTCTATTTATTTATTTTATATATCTATATATTTATAAACATATATTTCATTTTATTATGCCTGAAAGCATAGCTAATACTGAACCAGAATCTGATATAGACAATAACCACCACAATCAACATGAAAATTCAGTATCCCAAAAGGATAAAAATCAATTATTCTCTGGGATTTCCAATTTATTTAATGGCAGTAGTGAAACTAGACCGATAAATGCTTTTAGAGCTACAGCTAGAACACCTTTTTCAATGTCTCAGTCCAGATCTGAGGAGTATTTTACCCCGTATTCGTATAAATCATCCGATTATTTTACTGCATCAACTCCAAATAGTATTATGGATAACGAAAGTTGGTTTAATCATCATCAGATAAATAATCCTATAGAAACAATTACACCATCTTTATTGTCATCACAGAACCTTGTTGATACTCACTATTTATCAAGGACAGTATCATCTTCCTATTTAGATAATCAAAGTGATTATGAAGTCATTCTGGACGATGGCACAAGACAAAAGAGGACTATTTCACTATCTACAGTGCAAATGACGTCTTCTCAGTATCTCCATGCAAACTTAAGTAACAATGGCAATAACAGATCATTTCCAAGTACTAATTGGAGTTCCGATAAATATCTCACAAGAAAGGAGCAAAGGTAACCTGAAAAAAGAAGAAAAAAAAAAAGAGGAGAGAGGAAAGGGCTAATTTACCCATTATTATGTAACACATTATAGAATAGTAACAGAATCAAGCAAATTATTGAATGATGGTGATACTTCCCGTGATTCAAAAAATCTGCAGCCAACTTCAATAGCAGCATCATCATCTTCTTCTAATAATGACGAAAGTAGCGATAGTGAGGACAGTAGCACTAATGATAATTATATTAAAACAAAGAAGAAGAAACTTCGAAAGCAGCATTTATCCGTCTTTAAAAGATATAAAAAGAGTTGGACAAAATTTCGAAACCAATATTTGACTTTATCACATAAGCAAAGTATGGTGTTAAAATGTAGCATTGCGTACATGATTGGGTCACTGTTTACATTTGTTCCACAACTTAGCGCATTGTGTGGTACACATGTAGCAAGTCATATAGCAGCAACAGTAACGGTATTTTTTAATCCAGCTAAAACAGTAGGAGGGATGGTAGAAGCAGCTGGATTTTGTTGGATATATACATTAGCTGCTCTGACATTGAGTTTAGCTAGTATGTATACAACGAATTATTTCTTAGATCTCGATATGAAATTAGTAGCTTACAGTGTGTCCTTATGTGTATGGCTTGCTGGAAGTACATTTATTATATCTTATTTAAAAGTCAAATTGAATCGTCCTAGTGTTTTAACAGGTATATACATATATATATATATATATAACTATTAGTATCCTCAAGGAATGTAACTTAATTAAAACAACCCTTAAAAAAAAAAAAAAAAAAAAAAAAAAAAAAAAAAAAAAAACTATAGCTTCTGGTTTGGCATTTATGATATTATTTTCTGTTATTGTAAGACAAGGTTCTGGCAATGAAGCAGAATTTAGTTTTGATATCATTAGAGATACATTTGCTATTGTTGCTATTGGATCAGCTATTACAGTTGCTGTCTGCGTCCTGATCTGGCCAATGACTGCTGCCGAAAAATTAAAGTAATATATAAATTATATCTTTATTAGAGTAAAGACATTCATTTTCTTTACCTTTTTCCCACCTACCTCCTTTTATTTATGTTATTGTGTAGATCTGAAATCGATTCAAGCCTTTCATCAACTCGAATTTTACTTAAGCTTTTAACAAAGACTTTTTTGTTAGATACAGATCTGCCAGAATTCACTGCAAATGAAACATTAGAGACAGCTATTAAAACGCATCGTACTAGCTTCACCGCCTTAAAACCTGCTCTTGCTGATGCTAAATTAGAATTTTATAATTTAGAGATGCAGTTTCATGCCAGGGGATACAAGGCCATTGTAGAGAGCTTAGAGAGGTTAGCTCAACATATAGGTGGTTTAAAAAGTAGCTGTGGTCTTCAAGTGGTGGTCATGCAACAATCAACCGTCACTACTACAAAGACATTCAATCATTATGGTACAATAAACCATCAAAAGCCATCATTACCTAGGTCAGTATCTGGGTCTAGTAATAAAGAAATATTTAATGTGAAAGCGGGCCCGCAACGTAAAAGGATGGAATCTGAATTGAAGAAAGAGAAAGAAAGAGAGCAAAGTAAATATTGTTTAGAAACGACTGATGCTTCTATGAATCCATCTCTCCAGTCTCCTTCCTCATCGTCCTCGGGTGATAGAAAAGTTTCAAAAGATGATAAAATAATAGACCAGGATGAAACTCTCCCATCTAAAGAAGGTGCTTTAGTTCAGTTTATTCGTACTGTAAGATCACCTATGAAATCACTTGCATACACTTGTAAACAAACTATTATTCATTTGCAAGCAAGGTTTTTGGGGAAAACAACTCATACAACACCTTCCTTTCAGCTTATGCGGCAAAATTTAGCAAATGCAATTGAATTATTTGAAACATCGCAACATCAAGCATTAATTCGTTTTTATAAACGAAGGAAATATAAAAATCATTTCAATCAACAAAATATGAATTCTGATGAATTACATTCACTCATTCTAAATCAAGGCCAATTTAGAGCTGATGACATATTTCTTGTATACTTTTTCGTATTCTGTCTCTTAGAATTTGCTAAAGAATTAATGACATTAGTTGATGTGGTGCAATATGTCTTTGAAGATATAAATGAATCTGATCAAAGTAAATATGTAAGTAAATGGATCAAGTGCTTTTTAAAGAAACGATCAAACGGTTAGTATTTTTTGTTTTTTATTTTTGTTTTTTATTTTTGTTTTTTGTTTTTTTTTAAAAAAAAAACTATTTGTATGTCGTAGATAAAAGCTATATGTTTGCTTATTTATCGTATTGTTATTGTTTGTTTTTTTTTTGTTTCCTTTATAGTTGCAAGTTTGCAAGGTTATTCTACTGAAATTTACAAAACTTCTGATTTATTTGTACCTAACAATCATAATACCCTCAATACATTACATACACCAGCACCCAAAACAAAATTACGAAAATTTCTTGTTCATTTATGGAGCTTCTTCTCCAAATTTCGAACTTATCAATTTAAATTTGCTATGAAATCAATGCTAACAGCTGAGGCTATAGCAGTATTGGCTTTCATACCTGCAACAAGGCCTTATTTTACTGAATTTAAACTTGAATGGACTCTTATTACTGTTCTAGCTGTCATGCTACCAACTGTGGGTGGTACTAATTGGGGAGCTGTTTTACGAGTCCTTGCTACCATCTTAGGCTGTGTAATAGCTGCTGTTACTTATACGATTTTTCACGATAACACACTCATGCTTTGGCTTATGACATGGCTCATTTCTATCCCTAGCTTCTGGGTGATCCTTCATCATAAACATGGGCGATTTGGATTATTCACATTGCTAGCTTATAATTTGGTGGTTTTATATAAATTCAGGAACCGTGATGATGATAGTATTGATGTATTTGAGTTAACATGGATGAGATGTGTAGCTGTTTCACTGGGTGTTATCATAGGCTTGATTGTCACAGCCTATGTATGGCCCTATGAGGCTCGAACTGAAGTAAGAAAGGGGCTCTCTGATTTAATTTTAAGGCTTTCCTGGCTTTATAAACAATTAGTATCTACCTATTCTGAGGACGACCAGGTATATAGAGAAGAGTACAAGAATAGTAAAACACTATTAAAGAAGTATGATATGAGCTCTGTTGAACCAAATCTATATTCAAATAATCCCTACCTCATTACTAAACACAATAAAGAAAGAGCGGATGTTCTTCAAAGGATCGAGTTATCTATTCAAGTTAATATATTTGAGTTACAAGCACTTCTTGTTCATGCACCCAATGAGCCTCGTCTCAAGGGTCCTTTCCCTGCTAAAACATATCAAGCTATGCTAGTATGCTGTCAAAATATTCTTGATAAATTTTTATCATTAAGAATAGTTATCTTAAAGGACGTCTGGGCAATCCATGTACGACGCAGTTTTCTAATACCTGTCTCCAATGAATTTATGGAGATGGCAGGCAATGTATTCCTCTATTTTTATTTATTGGCTTCAGCACTACAATTAAAGACACCTTTACCACCTTATCTACCACCAGCTGAAAAGACACGACAACGGCTATTGAGTAAACTCCAACAGATACCTTTAATCATAGAAAATTCAATCAAGGAACTTGGGTTAACAGAGGAAAAGAAGGATGAATGTTATATGGTTTATTATGCTTATGTAGTTTTGATGGAGAATATCATCCGAGAATTAGATCAAGTAAGTCTATGCGAAAATCATTTGTACAAAACTAAACTTTATTTATTTATTTATTTATAATGTATAGCTTGGTAATCATATGAAAAACCTTTTTGGTTCACTTGTTCCAGATGATCAGTGGGCGAGGTATTTTGGTCAACATACTGATTTAGAACGAAATTAAAATAGACTATCAATTTAATAAATAAATAAATATATATTTATATATAAAAGAAAGTAAGGGCATTATGAAGTAATTACATAAAAGTTGAATGTAAAATATCATCTTTATTACAATATAAAAGTGGTCTGAAATCTAAAATTGTTGTGCTATTCGTAAGAATGCTTCCTGTCGAAGAATGGGGCTTAAAAATAGTCTACCGGTTATCACAAAGAATAGTAAGGTTAACAAGTTACAAACTACCCGTTTACAACCTGTTGGATCTCTTTTATAACTTCCTTTGCGAAGCTTTACTTCTAATCCAACTGCAATACCATGTATTAAGAAAAATGCTGTCATTTCAAAAGTAATTCTTCGTGCTACTGCTGCAATCATAAAGTCATGCATTAAGCCACTTATAAAGAATATCAACAAGCCACATCCAGTGGGTGTAGACAGAAACCCTTTTTCAGTATTCTTCTTATCGTTAGTCTTTGTCATATTAACAAACAATAATTGATGATATAGACGGCTCACTGCCCTATTCCATCTACGACTAGTAATTTACATGTATATTTTAAGTTATATATATATATACATCTATATATTTATATACATATAATATGATAGATTTTCAACACTTACTTCCAGAAATCCTTCGGACTAATAGTACAAATAATTTATAAGTCTATTTTAAATAAACATATATTGATATATATATATGTTTATATAAAGATATTATTTACCTGGTAGCTAATAAAGGATTATTGAATATATCATTAAATCTAATAAGAAATATAGTTTGAATTACACCTGTAATTATATCTACTACACTTATCATGCAGTAAATACGAAGCGCTAAAATAAAAGTAATAAAGCACGCTTTAGGTTTATAAAATGGTATAGCTAAAAGACTTGCTATATTGTCAGGTAACAAACTATCTAATACAACCTTCATAAAAGCAGTTTTTATTATACCACGTATCATTTTCTTTAAACCGTTTAAGCGAATTTCCATATCGGTTTCAGTCGTTGGCGTATCATCTTGAAAGGTAGAAATTTTAATTAGCTTCGATAACCAGTCTTTTAATGTTATACTTGAATTTGTAAAAAATACAATTTGTGCAGCTAAAGCCCAAGGCTGTAACATGAATGATATATTTCCAAAATCATATTTTGATGAGAAAACAAAAGGTAATACAAAATGATAAGTGGTAATTATATATCTAAGTTGATTCTGACTAACAATGGCAGATAACTTGCTTTCGTTCTTTACAAGGATATAGTCAACAATTAAAACCAAAATATAGCATAATACAAGAATAGGTACAGAAATAATAATTGCAGGAGGTAGCTCTATGTCTACTATATAAGACTTAAAAAGCGCTGTGTTACTACTCTTGTTATACATTATACATATAATAAAGAAGGGAAAATAAAATAAAATAAAATAAAATAAAAAATAAAAAATAAAATAAAAAATAAAATAAAAAAATAAAATAAAATTTTTATAGTATTTTCTTTACTCTTTTCTTTTCTTTTTTTTTTAAGAAAAAGAAATTAATAGTCATAATCCTCTTCTGTCATACAGTCATCTTCCATGTAAAAGGTTGGCATAATACGAGTAGCGCTCTGCAGATACCATTCACCATTACTCAATTTACACAATGTTACTCTTGCAACCATACCAACCATCAAATTCTCGACAATTTTTTTTTCCAATAAAACACTATAAGTATCTTGGGTATCTTCACAATTTTTAAGAATTACTTGAACTAAATCATCAGGACCAGTTTCTTCATTATAAGGAGAAATTTCAGACACTTGAACAAAGACCCAATCTTGAGTTTCTAATAATTTTACACTATCGAAATTTTTAATGCGAGATTGAACAATCTTTTTCGCTTCTTCATTTGATCCAAGCTTCTCTGATACAAAGGACATAAATTGCTTTTGAATTTTCAATGTAGTTTCAGTCATCCAAGAGACATCCATTTCTGAGTCTAAAGCGCCGAATACATCTGCACAGGCTGTATTATATTTACCAGGTAGCAAACTACTCACTTTCTTACACATTGGTAACTGAATTTTAGCTTGAGCACAAATAGCACGAGCATTTGCAATATCTTCTTCATATTCAGGCGCAACACGTCTAATTTGAAGATATCTTAAAAATGCATCAATTAAATTAGGTGCATCAATAAAATTCTGTAAAGAGATAAACCGACTTTCACGAATGAATGTATTACCCAGATAAACTTGGGCCACTTCAGTAAAATTAACTTCCATGCCTTCTTCTAATTCATCAGGAACACTATCTATAGCTGTTTTAGCTGCTTCAAAGTCAATGGCTGCATCCGGGTCATCTGGCGCATCTGCGCTTGTAGCACGACCCAAGAACATGTTAGGACCTGTCTTAATACCACCAAATCTAAGATAATTGTCAAATATAGATCTTCTTTCATCAGTAAATTTATGATTTTTACGATATTTCCAAATAGCATATTCAACTCTCTGTGATAATGGGTTTTCACTAAAACATAACGTAATGTGAGTATTATTTTTCTTTTATATATATATATTTTTTTTTAAAGAAAAAAAATATTATTTACGGATCATAAGGATCATCAATAAGATCTTCAGGATGTTTTTCAACATAGTCATCAGGTAATTCAGAACCTGCCTCTGGCAAATTACTAGTCTTTGACTTCTTCTTCTTCTTCTTCTTCTTCTCCTTTTGTTGCTCTGTTTTATTTTTTTGTATGACACTAACAGGAGTAGCTAAACCAGTAGGTACATACGCGATATCTTCTTCTATTTGTTGTCCATCTTCATCTTCCTCCAATAGTTCATTACTGTTCTCCTCAATGTTTACTTTATCTAAAAACTCGTCACTTGTAATGATATGAATGTCAATTTGAGAAAATAAAATAAAATAATGAAAACTTGCATAATTTGCTTACATGAACTGTTCTCTTTCTTCTTGGGTTGAAAGATTTTCCATATTTTTTTTCTTTTACAAATAAAGAAAATAGTAGAAAAAAAAATATTTATTTGAAGGTCTTCTAAATATTTCTTATTTTATTTTTACATACAGCTTATAATATATCATGAAAAGGGGAGTTTTTTTTTCTTTTCTTTTCTTCTATAATGCTTTTTTTTTTTTTTTTTTTTTTTTTTTTTTTTGGACTAATATGTAAACATATATTTATTTATATATACATGCTTTTCATACGTTATTATTCACTGAAAAGGGAAAAAAGGTTAATAAGATAAGTTTTACATATCTAGATTTAATATTATTGTGCTTTATATCTTGTCATATAATTTTGCCAGTCATTAAGATAAGGTATATCATTTTTAATTTCTTTGTCTATATAATTAGGTGGACGAACTGTATTATATCTATGTCTATATAATCCACATGCATTACATAATGTGTTATCCCCTGAAGGTCCTGATCGAATGATCGTCGTCATAAATGGTGAACAGCCACAGTCTAAACATCGCCAAGTAGAATCCATCATTTTACCTAAATATATAAATGTATGTGTATATTAGTATAGGCATGTAGATATACACGTATTTTATCTTACTAGGGACAGGTCGAGTTACAAGATCAACTGAAGAGGATGATTGGGCTCCAGCATTATTATAATGAGTATTATCATTGTTATTAATATTTATTAATTGGCCTGATGTTAAGGATACACCTGCTGCTTCGGCTGCAATGTTCATTCTAGCCTTTAATGCGCTTTTTCTTTGATTGTGTGTTGAATCTTGAGGAGTTTTTAAGAATTGATCGTCCGTTAGTTCATGTTCTAGTGGTGATGCAAATATAGTTCTATAAGTAGGTATAGGCTCACGGTCTGGTAATGTTATTCCCTTTCTACTGCGTACACCTCTTCTCTTGCGTCTAATTATACAAATTAATTTATTGTTTTTATATAACCAAAAGTAAAACAAACAACAAACCTTGATTCTCTAGTTCTGATTTTCTCTATTTTAGCAATCTCGGCATCAGTTGCTTCAACGACTGAAGGTGTGAACTTTTCAATGACATTATTATCACGAATCACGTTATGTACGACAGGTAAAAAGCTACGCTTCAGTTCATCATTTTCAATTAAGCCATCTCCAAATTCATAACCTGTAAGCAATAATGATTTGATATATGTATGGACTTGTTCTCGAATAGAATGGGCAATTGCAGTTCTGATAATAAAATGAATAAATAATATATGTATAAGTATACATGTATATATTTATATGTATATGTATATGCATATACTGTAATAAATAGACTTACTTGAATTCACCACCTAAGCCTAGCTCAGTAGCCATCGTTTCTGCAAATGATTCTGGTGAATTTTCTTTACAACTGATATCCCATTCAAATTGATCATTCAAGATTCTATTTCCAACAATAATATCAAGCTTGCAAGGAAAGGGAGTTTTATTATGTAAGCCTCTTTTTTTTCTTTTTCTTTTTCTTTTAATACAAACAAAATTTACCTTTATGATTGTTCTCAAATCTGGTTCATTCGTCTTGTTCACATTCTTAACTATCGTTTTATCTTCTTCTGATTTATCCGAATCAATTTTTTGTTTTTTACATTTTATAAATTCCTCATAAGCGTTCATTCTTTTAGTTAAACTTTCTTGTTGGTCATCATCATTTAGCATGCTTGATATGTTCAAAAAATAATCCTGAATTTGTTCTCGAATACTATTTGATATTAGAGAAGCAAATATAGAAACAGGTAAACGTAGATCCTCACATGTAATCTCTGCAAACTGTTCAGGCGTAATTGATGTTTCTTTATAAATTGTTAGTTCTTTATCCCTTTCCTTTTTCTTTCAACTTTACCGTTCATATTCCAAGTAAAGGTGTCCCTAATTTTATAACCTTCATTTTCAATATCTAATCGAATAGGGACTAGCATCTCTTCTTTATCAGCTTGTTCTACAGAAGTTTCATAGAGACTTTTTTTTTTTTTTTAAAAAAAAAAAGAAAAAATATGTATACATATACGTATATACATATACATATACATATATAAATAAAACAAACATATTTTGAAGGAATAAGAAACTTACGCTCGAACAGTCTGATAATGTCTTTTACGCTTTTTGTCTCCAGGATATATAATTCGTGGAAGTTGACTAGCACTTGTTTTTCCATTTCCATAACCATCATAGCCTTTACCAAATGTTAAAACCCCTCGATGTTGTTGTCTGATTCGTCGTTCATTATTTGCGACATCAATCTCAATTTTCTTTGCTTGTGCTAAATCGACATGTTGCTTGTGTTGTTTATTTAGTATTATTTGATATTGCTGATCACGGGTTATGTATTGTTTTAAATTCTTTTCTTGAGTCTTAGTTTGTACAATAGTAGTATGAGGTAGCTGAACCGGAGTAGAAGAAGAAGGTAATGGTTGTTTCTGTTGTTGTTGTTGTTGTTGTTGTTGTTGTTGTTGTTGTTGTTGTTGTTGCTGTTGTTGCTGTTGCTGTTGCTGCTGCTGCTGTTGTTGTTGTTGCTGCTGCTGCTGCTTTTGCTGTATATACATTGCTTGCAGTCTTTGCTGTTGCTGAAGTTGTTCTTGTTTTAATCTATTCTCAGCTTCTAATTGTTGCTGTTGCTGTTGTTGTTGAGGTATTGCTAAAGCAGGATTCATTGGAATTGATGGTTGTTGTAATCCTTGCTGTTGAATCCAAATATTGTTCATGAGATCAGGTACTTGCATTCCAAAATTAACATTTGGATTATTATTATTAATAGCATTACCAACAACGGCAGCATTTGCAATTCTTTGTTGTTGAGCTTGACGAGCCATAGCTTGTTGCTGTAAGTATAGAAAATTACGCTGCATTGTATAGTAAATACACGTAAAAATTTATTAACTATCTTCAGACTATATGCCTTTCAAATGTGAAAGAGGAAAAAAAAAAATAATAATTTTTATTAAAATTGTCAGTGATTTGCCAGTCTGTACCTAGGGATTAAAAAAAAAAAAAAACTAATGATATTATTGCTTATCAATCTATTCATATAACACTATGCAATATAAATGTATTATATACAAGTTATAGAGGCCTGTTTATTTATATACACACATATATGTATATACATAAAGCATTTATATTCATACTGGTTACTGTTTTTTACTATCTATTGATTTTTGTCTATGATAATATAAAAGAACTGCTTATTCCAAAAAACATTTTAGTGATAAAAATATATATTATTATTCATCATACAAGAAAGAATATCAGTATCTTTCACTGAATAAAATACCATTACTATATCTGAAGAGTAACAGTCTATGTAGACTAAATTCTGATTGAAGAGTTAATGGCATCTTGGAAATCTTTTATATTGTGCATATTGAAGGAAGGGAAGCAACTCAGTATAAATATACTTATTTCATTGTTGCTATAAATGTTCTACTATTTAACAAAGGTATTCTCATATACATTTTATGAGTAAATTAACGATAAATGGGCTTATAGATACTTGAATACATATTATTTTATATAATAATTCACTTTGCCTTATTCTTTTTAATTCTAATAATATTAATTAAATACGCGTCTTTTTTAACATTTTAAAGACAAATAAGAAACCTCAAGATTATGTATAAAGTATTATTTCATTTTATTTTATACAATACGCGTAAAAAAAAAGAGATATCTATTTTATTTTTATTTTCATTTTTATTTCATATATAAAAAAGTGAATCCCCAATTCGTCAACAGTAAAAATAATATTTACTGCAGTCCAAAGGTGGCCGCGTGGAGGCTAGGATTCGTTGCACCTTCTTTGTTCTTGTATTTTTTATTTTTACTAGGAGGTTAGAAAAAACCCATAGCTATCACAATATGTAACGCCCTCTGAATCAACAAGATACCCTACAATGTCCTCCTAATTCAAGGAGGGCAAGATAGGGTGTCTTGTTGATTCAGAAGGCGTTACATAAGTGGTAACCATGAGAAAAAGAATTTCCTCCTAGGGCAGGGAAGAAGAAGAAGAATAAAATAGTATTATTTAATGACTTACCTATGGAAGAAATAGTAATAATAAAGAAGATAAAGAAGAAGAAAAAAGGGAAAAAATAATAACTTTGAATATCTACTTTTTTATAGTTCATACAAAATAAGGAGGTCGTTGTTGTAATCATCGTATCAAATTACAGTCACAATCACATGAAAACAAAAGAAATCAAAACAAAATAAAAGGAAATTATTGAACATGTAAATCATATCAATTGACAACATTATTTCCTTTCCTTTCAGAGTAACTAATAAAAATACAAGCCTAAATAATAACAGGCGTTAAGTAACTTTAATTTGTTTCAATGATAATGATTGTCATAAGAATAAAATCAAAGCGATATACTTGCGGTGTAATTAGAATAAGTTATATCTACTAAATTAAATAGATTTTATTCTTTGGAATATGCCCTTAGCTCTTGTTTACAACGTGAGATCATATCGATAGTTTCATATGATATGTTTATGCTTACATTATACATGCATTTATTTTTATTTTTTTATTTATTTTATTATTTTTTTTTTGTGCTTGGTGGATATATTTAAACAGAAGGTTTTTCCTTTACAATTTTAGCACCTGGAACGTTAGCAGGATGAAATGTACGCTACAGATTTATATTAATATATTGTACATCTTGAACATCTATATGCATATAGTATACAAGCTTACCTGTGCATCGGCATAAGCATTACCAAAACCATAACCAGTAGCAATAGCAATGGGCCATGTACGTTCTATAAAATTAATAATTAGTTTTTATTTTATTTTATTTTATTTTTCACACTTATCATGGCTAAATCTTGACTGGATCTACTTACTTTTAAATAATAAAGCAGAGGCAACAATGCCGACACTTAAACCAAGTCCTGTTTTAACAATGAAATTTGAAATGGTGCGATCCCACTAATAATAAACATTAATCGGATGAAATAAGATAATTTATTTCTTTCAGAAAAAAAAAAAAAAAGAAAAAAGCAAAAATAAAAATAAATAAAAAACCTTCTGTGCCAAGATGTCTTCACTGGGAATCTTATTTTCAGTTGACATATTATTGAAAGTTTTACAGAAACTAAAAAAAAAAAAAAAAAAAATAAAAAATAAAAAAAAAAACCACTTTATTTTACCCCCGCATATATATGCTCCTGTCGTCGTCACAAGGCAGCAACAATAATGAGTTAAACTGAGATTCAAAAGGTATTAAAGATATGCCAGCCAGGCATTTTTTCCTTTCTAACTTTTCTATAAAAGATACTCAAAAGCAATCTTTTCACTAAAACAAATTCCATGTTCAAGTTTTAGACCATTTGAAGTTTTCATGTACATGTAGAAAATACATATATTGACTCCAATCAAAGTGCATATCTTCCTGGAATTAAATTCTATATTATCATTTAAGACTTTTTACTAGTTGCTTAACAAATTCAATTTTCAACTTTTTTTTTTTCTTTCGTTCTATGTAAAAATGAAATTTCGTTAAATGAATAAATAGTAGTTAGCTCAATTCACATCTCATCAGTAAAGTATAAAATATCATTATTAAAACAATAAAATGGTAAATGAAGAGATCTAACTAAAAGTTAGTAATTAACTCAAACTCTTTTTTTTTTTACGGTGGCATCATTGTGAATATTACTCACTCCATTCCTTTCCTTTAATAAACCATTTTTCTTTAAGTCATAATTCCTAATACAACTTACAAATAGATAGTTCCATTAATTAATATTCAGAGGGGATGAGATTGTTTATTAAAGTGCTTATATAAAACAAAAGCTACTTATTTTTGGGCCTTGAGAACTCTCTTGACAATCTTTTGTTCTTCAATCAAGAAGGCACGAACAATACGGTTTCTAACGCATTGACCACAACGAGAACCGCCATAGGCACGGCTAACGTGCTTTTGAGTCTTGGAGACAGTGGCAAATTCACGAGGACGGAGAGCTTTGATCTATAGATGTAGGGTGTTTAAATTAATAATCTATACAACTATTCCCCTTTCTATCTCTCCCTCTTTCTTTCTTTCTTTCTTTCTATCTATCTTTTTTTTTAGTTAATAAACTTACACCGGCAAGAGTTTCACCGCAGTCACCACAACGGGGAGCCTTGACAGGCTTCTTTTGGTATTGGAAAACAAGCTTTCCACCTAATGAAAAAAGAAAAAAAAATGGATGTATAATTTTAATAATGCTGCATTGTAAAATTATGATGTGTTGAATTTACCAGGAGTCTTGACAGCACGAACACGGTTGGAACGAGTGTTGTAAGAACAACGACGTCTGTATGTAAGTCTTTGAGCCATTGCTGTTAATTATCTTTATAAAGTGAAACAAAAAAAAAATCAAATATCAAACATCGAAGCAGAGATTAAAGTTAAAAGAAAAATATATAGGAATCCATTTAATATAAAATTGAGATTAGGTTAGCTTATCATCTATGCATGAAATGGATGGATTATTTGTTTACCTCCCAAATGCAGCAATAAAATAAAAGGGAAGATTCAACATTTTGCTCCCTTTACTTGCCGTTGTATTTCCTTTCTCCCCGCTTTATTAAAAAAAAAAAAAAAAAAAAAAATAAAGAGAGAAAAATACAAAAGCTAACAAGTCCGGATCGGATTTTTTTTTGTCAAAATAATAGAAAAACAATAAAGGTTCCTATTTTTGTAATGTAGGCATTGCTTTGGGGACTTCAGGAAACTGTAAAGTTTTTAACTTTTCTGCAGCTTCCTTTTTTTGAATTTTCTTTTGATATTCACGTTGACGTAAATAAAAGTAATCTCTTTGAATAACAAAACGAACTGGTTGCTGAGGTAAATTATTACTTATTTTCGGTGATGAGGAATGGATAGTTGAATTACTACTATTAAGACTCTTTTCTTCATCGTTATCTGCTTTATCACTTTTTGTCTCTTCGTCTTCTTTTTTTCCTTCTTTCTCCTTTTTATCGTTTCCTTCTTCTTTTGTTTTTTTGGTTGTCCAAGATTTCAAAGCAGAACCGATGCTTGATACTAATTCAATGACACTATCACTTTCAGGTGGTCTATTTGCTAGTTCTTTCTTTTTTATCTCCCGTTGTTGAGAGTTTCTGGTTGTTTTTGGTGAACCTCCTAGCTTTGAACAAAAATTGGAATCGCCGAGATGACTCTTGCAAATATAAAACCAATCTGCATTACTATTGTCTGCAGATGTCAATACAACTCCAGTGAACTTATTACAAACAAAGCATGGTCTTTCCTGTGTTACTAATCGTGCAATATATAGGTTCTGTAGTCGTTGCTGTGTTGATTCTAACATCATTTAAATAATAGGAAGGAAACAAAAAAAAAAAAAAAAAAAAGAAAGGAAAAAATCCAAAAAATTGAAGTTTCAAATATCGCTTTTACTTCCGTTAACAATATAAGCCCTGATTTTTTTTTCTTTTTTTTTAAAATGTTTTATTCATGAATTAATTTTAATATTCTCTCATGTTCAAGATCTTGATTACATCAACATTACCCAGGTCGATTCAATAATGAGAATGTGCAACTAATAAAAAGTCCTTTAAATTGGCTCATCAAAGATTAAAAAGAGACGGGAAGAAGAAGAACGTTAACGAGGAAAAGTGTAACGATTACACTATTATTAGAAAGTCTTTACAAGAATTATGATGTTGGTGCATACAGAATCCTATAGTGAAATTATTAATTGTGTCCTTGAAAGATAGTTCGAATGACTAATTAATATACAAGCCAAGTAAGAACAGTGTCGCCTTCATATAAAAAAGTTGATTTAAAAGGAAAAAAAAACAGGGGATTTCCATCCTTGTTAATATGTGTTAGCAGTTATTAAAAGCTGCTTTAAGGTGTCATGAAATTTATAAAACTGCGAATATTTTCATTCATAAGCATGTCCATTCCTTAAAGAAAACACAAATTCTTTACAGCCTTTGTCATATGACAACGTTCATTATAATTCGCTAACATAATATCCTAATTTGAATGCAGACAAAAAGTTCTTATACAGTGTGCGTACGGTCCCAAATGGCGCTTTTTCTAAATCGCAATAAGCGTATAAAAAATTCTCAAATAGCGCCATTTGGGACCGTACGCACTGTATTCTTTTGGGGTTCAAAGGCACACAGATCTCCATGTTGACTACTCCAAGCAGACAGATTGCACCAAGAATAGTATAACTAACTGCTTTAGCTGAAGGTGTTGTAACAATAGCATGAGTACCTCGAGTTGAGTAGATCTTGCTGTAGACAGTTTTATGTTAATGTCAAATGCACTTTCGTCAATGAAAATGCAATTTTTTGTACAGTTCATATCAGTTTTTTGACCAAGTTTCATCCCATTCATATCTCTCTATAATCTTAGCACTTTGGTTTCTTGCGATTGAATGACGAGTAGCTTTTTTTGATACTTAAATTACACTCGGTGGATATAAACTTTCCGACTACAGTTTCTTTCGGACTAAAGCCTTCAAAGCTTTTGGCGAGTTCATCAACTACATCAGACACTCGAGCATGAGGATATTCGTCAAAAAATTGTATAAGCTGCTCTTTATGTTCCTCTTGAAGCTGACTCTTTTTTTGGTGTTAATCTTGTTGGTTCGTTTTTCGTCAATGTTCCACTCAGGATCGTCCCTAAATTTCTTGGTCTAATCCTATCCTGTACGCATATTAAGCAGCTCTTCTAGCTAGCAGCTGCAGTACTTGGAAGTTTAATCTTCAGGTAATAAACAAACAAGGTCTTTTGACTATCAGAATAATTGGTATACTTGCTTGGAGTGCTGTTTATCGTCTTCAAGTCCTCATAACAAAGACAAATTTCAGAACCTAGGTGAGCAGGTGACCATCACTACCATTGGTGTCTAAAGCAAAATGAATAGAAGCACGTGGCACTTTTATGCTCAAGAGAGGTCTAGAAACTGCTTTCAAGGAAAGTGTTTTGATAGGATGCGAAGGCAAAAGACAGAATCTCTATTACTTTTTTTTTCCCAGCTTCTTGGAAGAACCGACGTATTTGAGTCTTCAAAGGAGTAGTGTTGAAATAATTTTTACTCTTCTTTATATATTTCTTTATTCGCGACAAAATTATGAAAGACAACATGTTTTCTACAGCTCAGAGTTTGGTCAAAGTTTGCTTTTATATAAATGGCTCAAACTCGTTTTTGTAGCTCTAGTTAATTGTAGAACAAACTTTCCTTTTATTTTTTTTTTGGGGGAGGGTGGAGCCACTGCGTAGCGCTAACCTTCCTTTTCGGATGGCTTTTTGTACCATAATGTATATCAGAGGAAGAATAAAAAAGAGAATAGATCGTTACGATTTTATTTTGAGACGATCATATCTAAGATGCCTGGTTTCGATAAGGTAGTGGTATCCCCTGTTTATAGATAATAATCTTAAACAACGTAGATGTAAGAGGAAATAGAAAAAAAATATTTATTAGTTTTATGAGTCTTCTTCTTCTTCTTGGCCTTTGTCTTTGTTTCAAGCTTGGTCTCAAAAGAGAAACGCACGCGCTCTCTTCCAATTCTCTAATTCTCTTTTCTTCTTTTGTCTTCTTCTCATTCACTTTAACAACAAAGTTGTTAAGCTCACACTGTATAGAATACATCAGTACACTGCTGCTATAGTCAGTTTGTTTGCAATCAATACCTTAACAAAATAAAGCGCACTTGTTAGATCAAAGACAAATATGAGGCCTGGTTGAGCTTTTGGAACCAATAAAAAAATATTTTTGTCGCATTTTGCTGTTGTTGTATAAAGATAGCGCATGTTGCTATGTTGAATGTATTAATTTTACGATAAAACTTAAGATATTTAAGGGATTACCACTTCCAATCATCATGATGAGACGATGAAGATATAGAACAAGTTGCGTTCGATTTTTGAAACACCCTCGCAAGCAAGGGAATCTTGCTACTGTATGTGTGTGTATGCGTGTGTGTTAAGATATTAAAAGAAAAGAAAAAGAAGAAAAAACGGGGTACTGCAAAAAGTTGGCGTACGACGTATAAAAGTACTATACGTCGTTCGCCACAATTTAAGCTGCGATTTTTTTTTTTTTTTTTTTTTTTTTGATTGTTTATTTCTACTAATTTTTAAAATAAAACTTCCAAATAAAAAATATATTATGTTCAATATAAGATCATAGAATAAATATATCCAAAAAAAAAAAGACATTTCTATTGCTAATATTCATTATTTTTTTAATGTTTAAATTCACAGCTATTTTGGCTGTGTTTTTTTTTACAGGGAGGAAAAAAAAAAGTAATCACACTATTTGCATTGTGAAATTACAGAAAAAAATACCTTTTTTCCCAAAAATGGATCCATAGAAAATCATATGATCATAGAGAAAGTTAAGAAAATTACTATCTTTCTACATTAGTTGTTATTTCTTTTTTATTCTTTTCTTTTATTTATATGTTTTTTTCTTTTACTTTAGATTAATACTTATTTACTTACAATTATTTTATTTTCTATAGATATTTATTATATTCAAAGTAGTATAAAAAATTAGAATATCCTTATTAACGAATTTATACTGACCATTTTTATTTCTTTCTTAGCAAAAGAGTCTTGTTTATGTTGGTAGTAGCCTTTTCTACTTTTTATACAGAGCATTTTTCAGTGATATGTTAAAGGTAAGAAAATAACTATTGTCTTTAACTCTTGTTCTTTATATTAACACATATACTGACTTGTCTATTATATTTAATCAAACGCTTTTTAAACAGATAAACAAATGTATATAAAAGGGTAAAATAAAACATAACATTTATCTGTTAATTCCAAAAGTATACTTTCTTTGTCTAATATAAGATATACCAACCTTATCTTTTATTCTCTTCTTTTAGGACTTTTTACTTTTTTTTTTTCAAATAGCTTTTGTCCTTTTTGGAAAACTTTTTTTTTGTTTTCGGTAAGCATTTTATCCTTTTGAATACCAATACTCTTTTTTATTTTTTTTATTTACTAACTAATCAATTTTGTTTATTATAGATTGTTTATTTTGCTTCGGTTTAACTGCTATAATTTAGCTTCCTGGAGCCCTGTCATTATTATCTCTGTCTCTATCTTTTTCTCTTATCTATTTGTATCTATTTACTGCGTATTTGTGCTATTTCTTTTCAAAGATGCAAAGGTAAGTGCAATCGTATTTTCTATTATTAATTGCAAGAAATATCCTTTTATTTTTTATTATTTCAAAAGCAATTTATTTTTTGCAATAATTTATTTGCTATATATTTCATTATTATTATTTATATTATTTATATTATTATTATTATTATTATTATTATTATTCTAAATATAAATAAAGCCACATTTTATGTAAACAAACTATATCTTTATTTTTAAATAACGTCCAATAAACAAGGCAATAATAAAAGCCTAATATGTATTAAATGTATTTTATAAGCCAATAATAATGATCAAACGTAAATAAACGTTATTTATTCTACAAAATACCAATGATGGTTTATGTTTTTCAAAGAAATAGCCAATCAAATGTAAAAAGTTATACGTTGTATGTATGGAGTACTATACGTCGTACTCACGTACTGCATATATGGTATACGGTACGTAGTACGTACGTACGCTGTATAGTACTCCATACGTACGACGGACAAATTTTTTTTGCAGTGGGGGGTTTCCAGACAGTTAAGCGGGTCTTAAATAAACTCACCTAATATAAAATGCCTTACAAGTGGATCTGTACCATGTTAAAGAAGAAGATGAGAGTTTATGTCAATTTAGTAAAGTCGCACAAGATAAGAAGCATATTGCCTATCTGGAAGAATGCTTAGCAAGACTTTTTTTTTCACCTTCGACTTTCTTAGTAATCTGATCGTATACTCTAAAATGTCTAACTTCCTAATTAAATCAGCCTTCTACAGTCAAGTCAACTTCACAATAAATTCGAAAAGAGAGAGATGTACGTTCAAAAGAGTTTTTATATGTGAAAACTAACTCTATACTTATTCATGTTCTTTTAGCTCCCAGTCCTGATTTGTCGGAAGGATCGATCTCTTCCGCAGATGTCAAGCGAACTGTAAAAATAAAGTACTTCCTGGGTGGAGGAAGCAAGGAGTGGAAGCCGAAAGAAGAGGTAAATAAGTGTGTGGATACCTATAGCTGAATAAAGCCTAAACATTACTTTTAGCTTCTTGTCAAAAACATCAACATTACTGAAGCATTAAAGAGATTCAGAAATAAGTCCACTGGCGAAGTCGATGAAGGAAATAACATAAATTGCTTGAGAATCCTGTAAGTATTCAAAGTGTTATGATTGTAGTTGCCTCTATAACTAAGTTAATAGAAATAAACCATCATTTATTACATAATAAAGAGGTTATTCATATAAAACTAGTATATTGAACTTCACAGCATAATATTCATTCTACACTCAGTTTTAATAATAGTCATTGCTAGAGTATTCGAGCAATAATAATAATTATATACATCGTATTATAATAATAAGAATTCAATAGGTTTATGACTGTTATGTTGAATTAGATGATTATTTATACAAGTCATACATATTATATATACATCCATAATATTAGATATTGTTATGCCATAACATCTTAGAGGATGATAATAATAGTAGCTTATAAATAATTCGTATTGCTATAGCGGGCATATTCACTGTGAATTAATATTAACGCGTTGCTTACCCCAGACCCCAGACCCTAAACCCTAGAAATAATGCTTTATTATATTTTATATTTTTAGCAACAGTGGCAGCTCAGGGGGGAATAAAGATAAAAACATATCCTATTGTATACAGAATTATTCGGAGACAATATTTGTGCATATTTGTGCATAAAGGCTTTATTATAGCAGTATTCACTTATCTAAATCACACTCCTATCAATGTCACTTACCTTGCAAAAAACATATAAATAGCCCTTATCATCTTTCCATATAATTTTCGTGGTACAATTTTTATATTATCTTTGTACTCAAACACAAAGAGCTATCTTTCCTCTTTCTCTTCACGCGCTAACTTCAACTGGAACTGTTTTGATTAGCAAAAGATAGAGAAAAAGAAATAAACAAAAGACAAGTCTGTGAAAACTTTGTATAATTTATTAAAGATAATATAAAAATTGTACCACGAAAATTATATGGAAAATCGAGGGCTATTTATATGTTTTTACCAGGTAAGTGTTATTAATGGAAATTCGGTTTAGATAATCAAGTTTTACTATAATAAAGTGTTTTACATAAAACATTGTCTCCAAATAATTCTGCGATCAATAAGATATTTCTTTATTCTTTTTTTTCTCCCTGAGTTGTCGCTGTTCCTAGAAACATAACGAATCATTATTATTGGACTGCGACACATTAATATCAATTCTCAGTGAATATGTCTAGCTGCAACAATACCACTTATTTATGAGTTACTATCATCATCATTGTATAAGATTTCATAACGATATTCAATATTATCAATGTATATATAATATATATTACTGAAGAACAATTATGTAATTGAATACACCAGTCATAATCCTATTTGAATAATGTATATAATTATTATTATTGCTCGAACATTCTAACAATGACTATTATTAAAACTGAGTGTAGAATGAATATTATGCTGGGAAGTTAAATATACTAGTTTTATATGAATAACCTCTTTATTATGTAATAAATGATGGTTTATTTCTATTAACTTAGTTATAGAGGCAACTACAATCATAACAGGAACAACTCTTCTCACTCTAGCTCCTTCTCTCATATATTCCCCCTTAATAAGTTTGACGATAACAAATGTGTTACTAGATACTTCTATGGAAGCACTCGCAAAGCTTTGAGATCAATATCTAGCCGCATGAAGCCCAGGTTCGAGCGTACACCTACCAAGGCAGTTGTGTACTGCAAGAACGAAGCTGATGTAATTAAAATCAGTCCAAAAAAACATAGCTTTCTCTAATAATATTTGTAAGTAGAGAGTTGGAGAAGATGATAAAGAGAGTGAAGGAGAAAAAGAAGATAGAGAAGAAGAGAAAGAAGAGAAAGAAGAAAATGAAGTAAAGAAAGACATGATGAGTATGGTCAAATACCTAGTCAGACATGAGGGTCAGTTCCATGCTTGTGTTGCAAACACCTCTGAAGCTTCATTCACGGAAATGCATTTAATGCCGGTTATTCGAAGAGTGTTACTACAAGATGGAAGCAAAGACATTTTATATGCCATGTAAGTGTATACCTAGTTATTTTTATTTATGCCTATACTAACCGCTGTATATCATGCTCATGGATATAATTGACAAGCCAAATAAAGATGGCTGTTATAACTGTAGTCGTATTTACAACTAAGTTAATAAAAATAAACTATCATTTATTTAATTAATAAAGAGTTTATTTGAATAAAACTAGTGTATTGTACTTCACAGCATAATATTCATTCTACACTCAGTTTTAATAATAGTCATTGCTAGAGTATTCGAGCAATAATAATAATTATATACATTGTATTATGTAATAATAAGAATTCAATGGGTTTATGACTGTTATATTCAATTACATAATTATTGATACAAGTCATACATATTATATATACATCCATAATGGTGTATATTGTTAGGGGGAATATTCACTGTAAATTAATATTAACGCGTTGCTTATCCCAAAGACAACAATCGGATATATTTTAATAACAGCAACAGCTCAGGCAGAAATATGCATACTGCATGCAGAAATATTTGGAGACAAAATTTGTGCATATTTGTGCATAAAAGCTTTATTATAGCAGTATTCACTTATCTAAATCACACTCCTATTAATATGACTTACTTTACAAAAACATATAAATAGCACTCGTCATTTTTCCATATTTTTTTCTTCCTGTACAATTTCTGTATTATTTTATCTTTAATAAACTATACAAAGTTTTCACAGACTTGTCTTTTCTTTTTTTCCCTTTCCTTATCTTTGTACTCAAAACAATGGCAAGAAACTAGACCTCATGATTGGCACAAAGGTCAAGAGCAAAGAGCTCTATTTCTTCTTTGTTGAAGTGAAAAGACCGGAGACTACAAGCAAATATCAACCTGAAGATGACTACGCAAAACTAATGAAGCAGATGAAAGGATCTGTGGACGAGCAACTTTGTTTGGGAGTGCAAAACCCTTCTTCACTTGGTCTTTTGGTCGAAGGTATGCTCTCATTTTGTATGTTGTGTACCAAAAAAGAACATGCTGTCTAATACAAATACTTTGATAGGATTTAACCGTACGCTTTTCCAAACGATGGTTCTTGCTGATGGAGTATATATGCCTATGGCAATTAATCGCTTCTCTTTAATTGAACAAAGTCACCACCTTGTACACTTGCCTTCAATTGTTGAAGCTTTTTATTTTGTTAAGGTATTGATTGCAAACAAACTGACTATAGCAACAGTGTACTGATGTATTCTATACAGTGTGAGCTTAACAACTTTGTTGTTAAAGTGAATGAGAAGAAGACAAAAGAAGAAAAGAGAATTAGAGAATTGGAAGAGAGCGCGTGCGTTTCTCTTTTGAGACCAAGCTTGAAACAAAGACAAAGGCCAAGAAGAAGAAGAAGACTCATAAAACTAATAAATATTTTTTTTTCTATTTCCTCTTACATCTACGTTGTTTAAGATTATTATCTATAAACAGGGGATACCACTACCTTATCGAAACCAGGCATCTTAGATATGATCGTCTCAAAATAAAATCGTAACGATCTATTCTCTTTTTTATTCTTCCCCTGATATACATTATGGTACAAAAAGCCATCCGAAAAGGAAGGCTAGTGCTATGCAGTGGCACTGTAATTCCAAATAATCTTTAACATTTTTCCTTTTATCCCAAAAAGGTTTTTCTTTCCTTCTTTTCCATAGCGATCTGACCAGGGCAAGACAGTATATATAAATGCGATGTGCTTATTGGTCATTTTTTAATTTCAAAATAAAATTCTTCTTTAATCGTAATTCCAAATTATAATGTAATTAGGAATCTCTTTGGGAGGACACTGAGACTCTTCTTTATAAAATTATTTTCATAGAGCGTTTTTTTCCTCCTTTTCCTTTTAATTTTAGCTTTTATTAATAAAATATGTCTGAACCTTTTTATTTTTACTGCGCTCTTTCTATTCAAATCATCTAATCTATTTTATTAACATTTATTCATCCTTAGTGATGTATTGCATTAATTTTATTTTAATGTTCCTGAATAATACACGGAGGAGGAAGGGTTAATGATCTTCTCTCTCTCTCTCCTTTTTCTACTACATTGTTTCTTGTATGCTTTTCATTGTGTTTAGTGTAACAATAGTCGTATTTACTACTTATATTTTGGGTAACACAATCTTAACCTTGATAGACTTTGAAGTACTCTATTTTAAAAAGAGAACAGTTTTTATAGTGAAATTTACAGACTTGAAAACATTAATAATTTTACTAGATGGAATACTATCTTCAACAGAGTATCTTGCTTTATTTTTGTTTTGTTCTACTGCTTCTTTGGATATAATAGTAGGTCAGTGATTGCATACTTATTACCTTTGTAAAGCAGTGACTGAACTAACAATAATTTAGATGAAGCCCAGAAATAGCAATAAAGACATACCTATGAATATACTTGAAAGGAAATATATATGTATATATATATCTATAGTTTACTTGATATTATAATGTACTTTTTTTTTCTTTTTCTTTAGAAGAAATCATTTTCTTTCGGTGAAATATGAGAGCAGCAAGTAACCTATCATTCTTTTTACCATATATCTAAATAATATGCATAAAGATATTTCAAGTCTTATTTATGACATCATTCTTTACCCTTCTTTATTTTTATATCATATGTTTATAAGACAAAGCAAAATAGAATTTATATGCATATTTCATTTTCATAATAAATAATCGAATAAATGCTTGTTTATCTTTGGCTTTGTTAATTATATACTCTATGTATACTTTAGTTATAGCAACACGTTTTGATTGTCAAACAAAGATTGCATTTTTTACAGTTCAATGATGTCTTTTGTATGTAAGAAAAAATAAATACCTTCTTAAAGGTTATTGATAGTACTTATGTAATTTAGCAGACTATTTAAATAAACTGTATATTTTAATGGTTAATGAAAGAAAGGAAGAAAAAAAAATAGTACAAGTAACTCATTTTAAAGATGGTACGTTTGGCAGATATTCATATTTATTTTATTTTATTTTTTTGCACTCACTATTCACTCAATATATTGACTTTATTTTTCCCGTCATCGATGACAAAGCTTGAGTGTAATAAGTGATTACGCTAAAGACTTGGTTAGACCCTTTTCATATTATACCTATTACTTACTTTTTATTGCTCCTTTAGAATAAATAATCTTCTTAGGTAATCTTGACATCTTATTATAATATTTATTATGGCCAACTATTTGTACATTATTGCATGAGATGGACCCATTTAGCTCATAACAAGTCTTCTCCTCCTCCATTCTGTCATTCAAACCGGGTTACCAATTATTTAATTGGCTATTTCATAACTATACTTGCAGTTTGCTCTTTATTTTAGCTCTTACTATGTATCCTTTTTTTTTTCTTTTTTTTTTTAAGAAAAAAAAAAGGATCTTATGATTTACTTTTTTTCTTTTTGATCTGACCGAGAGAATAATACAATACAGTATGTGTTTAAAATAGGCTGTCGTGTTGGAAAATTATAAAATTGTTTAACCGTAACATGAATACTCTAAAAAAAGATTATGAAATCTTGTGACCAACAATAGGGTACTCTTCTTTCAAAATTGTCTTTATATTTTTATTTTTTTTTCCTTTCTTTCTTTTTCTCTTAAATTTCTTTTTTTTTTCTTTTATTTCTCCTTTGTCATATAAAATGGCTCTCGGAGAAAAAAATGAAGAAATAGATATTATTGATATTCAAGATAAGATGGGCTATGTTGATACAGGTTTTGTTGAAATATGTCCTACTATTAAACAACCACAACTTGTAACTTCAAATACATCCTATTTGAATATTAAAGAACCAAAACCCCAAAGACAGGTGCAAATAAATTCTGATTATTATTTAAAACCATATTCAAATGATTATCAAGCTTTGAATAATAATAATAATAATAATAATAAATCAGATTCAACTGATGAAACTTTACCAAGTCACTCATTTAATAATGATGTAGTTGTGTCACAGCAGCTACAAGAAAGATTATTAGAAAGCAAACCATCTAATAAAGGGAAAGGGAAAGGATCTTCAACTAAAGCCACATCCATATCACCAACCTATACTCCCAGACTATGGCCGAATCAGATTGGATCATCTAATGTAACCGAATCTCAACAAAGATTGTTATCATTATCAGACCCTAATAGTCATAGTCTGGAATACGAAAACGTAGATAGTAATGAAGTAAAAGATAGGGTCGTTTCCAAATTGTATGAGATTGCAGATATGTTAAAGTCATTAAATATTGTAGAGAAGCAACAACAACAACAACAACAACAACAACGTCTTAAAAAGAGAAGCTCAACTGCTTCTCTTTCCTCTCACTATAATGATGCTGTATCATCACCTCCATTGAGACCTACGCCATCGAAATCAAGTCCATATCAATATCAGCAACCATCTATACAAAGAAAGTCAAGTCAAAACAGTAGTAGTAGTGGAAGTAGTAATAATAATAATAATATTAAGAACAAAAGTAATTTTGATCCTACCTCTGAGAATAACAACAGCAAACGAAAACATCACAGAGATATCATGTCTACAGATCATTTTCAAGTTGATAATCCTTTGTCACACTATCATGAGACATCACCTAATAATCGTCATCATTCTCTTTATTATCCTCGTCCTCCTTATGAACCAGATTATAATCATCATTTTTACTATCATCCAGAAGATAGATATAATTATCATACAATAGCACCACCGCCGCCACCATTACCTCATCTTCATCCGGATCCTCATTCTTCAAGATTTTATCATGGTTCAATCAAAAATGGATCAAGTCGACAAAAATCATATAATAACGATATTAGGTCAGCTAATGTCAATCATGAGCAGCACTATTATGTTCCTAAGCCAATGTTACAACGAAAAGGGTCTAGAGGGAATTCGAGAAGACCCGTGATGAGACAGGTACCGATATACGATGACATAATTTATGATCCTCAATTTCATCCTCCAGATAGAGTAAACCCTCACTATTATCGCTATTATAAACAACCCTATTCTCCTATTCATTATTATCCAGCCTAATATTATTAAATACATATACATATACATATACATATATATACATATACACTACATATAATTTAATAACAATAATTGAAAGAAAAAAAAAACCACATATATTTTATTATATCTAATAAAGTCTATTTTAATTAACTGATATTTACAATTCTATTTATGATTATCGATATATTCTTTTATACTATATATATATACAACACACACACAAATACAAATCAGCAATTCGTTATAAAATATAATTCTATATGTATATAACGTTATATCTTACCTTGGGGCAACGCTCTTTGTTTTTAATAACGTCTCTTTCCATTCTTGTTCAGGATTTGATAAATAAGTAATTGCGCCTCCACCGCCTACTGAAATCTTTATAGAGTCATTTGATTTCATAGAAGCAACAGCAGTTCGAATAACGACATTAAAATCCGCGTTCCCATTCCCAAGAGAAAAATAGCCTAAACAGCCAGAATAGACACCACGTGGACGATGACGCTCAAGCTCATCCAAGATCTGCACCGACCTTAATTTAGGAGCACCCGTCATAGATCCAGGAGGGAAACATTTTCGTAGAGCATCCACAGTATTTACATCAGATCGTAAATTACCTCTAATCGTGGATACAAGGTGATGTACTTTTTCATAAGTTTCTACATGCATTAATTTGGGTACTCGTACACTACTAGGCTCACATACTTGAGCTAAATCATTACGAATCAAGTCTACAATCTATATAAATAAGGTTAATGGATCATGAATCATCCTTATTAATATATTATAGATATAAAGGAGTTCATTACCATTAAATTTTCAGCTCTTTCTTTCACATCTTGCCATAATTGTTGCTTTCGTACATTATCTTCCGTAGTCTTCCTTTCTTGACATCGTTTTCCTAAATCACATTGACCGTTTGGACAGACACAGCTCAAGACACGACCCACTGTCCCTTTGATCGGTTTCATCTCAGCAATGCCATCTTTTATCTTTAAGAACCTCTCTGGACTTGAACTTAACAAACTCAGTTGAGGAAACATAAGTAGAGCTGAAAAGGGGGCTGGATTGTTTTTTCGTAAATAATAGGTATAAAGTTGCCATAGTGCATCATGGTTCATTTGCTTCCTTGATAGTTCCAATCGAAACCGAGTTGTTAAACAAATTTCATAAGATTCACCTTCTCGAATATGATCAATACATGATTCAATCGCTTTAAGATAGGATTTATGCTCAGTATCAGCTTTAAAAAGACCTTGTTCATCAGATGTCATTGTAGAATCCTGAAGACTAGCTAAATAAGGAGTCAAAGTCGAAGAAGAAGAAGAAGGCGTTATTTTAGTAAAACTATGAACAGATTCATGATGATGGACCCCATCTGCAACCTTTGCCATGCATTCTTCTTGAGCGTCAATCCATGCCATAGCCTCCTCATGTTGCTGAAAGATGCCATCAAATAAAGAAGATAAAGTGATATCTGGATGAGGATCTATTACTAAACAACATAAATAGACTTTCTGTTGATTTTGATCAAAGATGAAGAACCGATCCACAAACTGAAATGCAGCATCAGGTTCCTCTATACATAAACAGCAATTCTGTTGTCCTTGATGTGAACATGAACAATGCTGTTCTTTAGGTGTTCGATAGCCCTCCATACTTTCTCGTTTCATTTCATATCCAAAATAGCCAATCAGACCACCTTGAAATTCTAGTAACCTACTATCATTTATCTGCCTTGCATCATCATCAATAGGATGAAGATCGATTTGATTGCACTGATTGAGCATGTTGGCAATATAATCAAAAAATGTAGCTTCCTTCTCAAGATAGTCTATTGTTGTTGTTGTTGCTGCTGCTGCTGCTGCTTCATCACGCTTATTTATACGTACTTCTCTATGTAATGTAGAATAGGATACTATCATGGCAGGATCGATCGAAAGGAGTGAATATTGCGAATAGGGAGACGACTTTCGACTACTATCTAACCACCCAATATACGATTTATCTAAATTGGACTTATTTGACAAAAAATCATTTACGAATGCTTCAGGTTCAACCCAATTAGCAGAGCTCGTCTTGATATATAATTTCATCTTTGGATTCATTGATTGTATTTGGTTTATGATTGGTTTAGATGATGTAACTGAATAAGATAATAATTCAGGACTTAAAAAGGATTCTGATAAAGTACGATTATCCTAAAATGTAATACAAAAAAAGAATTAGAATGATTGACTTCTCTATCGACTCTATAGATTTATAGAATTTCAGTTACATTGACTAGTAACCAATGATAGGTCTCCTTTTGGAAATTAAATATCATCTTCTCTCCACATTCAGTTGAAACAGATTCTGGATGAAATTGTACTCCCCAAATAGGCAGAGTTTTATGCTGAAATCCCATAATCGTTATTTGTTGATTATTATCTAATGATAACTCGTCATCAGTATGTTTCAAGAAATGATGACGACGATTATTTTCTTTTATGCTATTATCACTCTCTTCAGTATCTGCTAAAAAGGAAGCATTCTTTAATGCATGTATATCTGCATCGTTTTCATAGCAAAAAGCTGTCAAAACAAGATCATTTGGCAAAGCTATATTCATCATTTTTTTTTGAAAGGGAGTGATAGTGATAGTGATGATGGTAGTAGTAGTAGTAGTAATGATGATGATGATGATAGTTAGTATATATGTATATATTCAAATTCTAATTCTATATATTTATAATTCGACATTACAGTTCTTATCCACTACAAGAGAATGATAGCGTACAGCCCAAAACGATGAGGGACAATTATGAAAGAGATCACCAAATAACACATTTTCACCCTTTTTGTGATGAATTTGTGACATTCGACCGTGCATAATTCTTGGGGCGTGAATTACCTTGAGGATTAATTTAGCCTTTACAAAATATACATATTATAATTTATACTTTACCTTCCCACCAAATAAATGGCCAATACCTTGATGTCCCAAACATATACCAAAGATAGGTCGATGATACTCAGGATGCTCTGAATTTAACTGTGCCTCTAAAAGTTGTGTACAAATACCAAAGTCCTTTTATTTTATTTATTTTAGAAGGCATAAAATTAAGTATTCGATGCTATTTTTTTTCCCCTTATTTCCTTTTGTTTTATACCTGACTTCTTTCTGGTCTTCCAGGACCTGGAGAAATAATGATATTATCAAAATAAGGTAAAATTTTTGTAGTAAATTCTTTCCTATAAAAAAAGAATAGGGAAAATTAATATACATGGAGACGTTTAGTGTTTTTTTTTCTGTTTTTTTTTTTGAAAGAGGAAACATACCAAGTAAACTGATCATTACGAATGACCATCACATTCTTGTCATTATCAAAAAGCTGTAGTAAATTGAAAGTGTAAGAATCGTAATTGTCTATAATTAAAGTCTTGATGAACTGTAGTTTCCTTATTTTATCTTCTTCTTCTATTTCTGTCATGGTATAAAATATAAATAATAATAATAATAATAATAGTAAAAAAGTATGTTTTATACCTGACTACGAGGTTGAATGTTGATGAGATTTATTTATTTATTTTTTTTTTTTTTTTTTGATAGATTCATATTTCAATATGATTGGGTGAAATAATTCTGATTTTGATGCGAGATTTCGTTATGACTCAAAAGAGCATGAATACATTAAAATCGTTCGAGTTAAATTAAACAGGAAAGATAACTGAAAGGAATCTACCAAATGGACAGCTAAAAGAGTATTAAAAAAAAACCTCTTCATCCACTGAATTGGGATGTGTCAGCTAAACTTCTTTGTGTTAAGGACAAGACGATTTAGACTCGAGTAATACTCTGTAGTAAAGAGGAGCATCTGTGTTGTGGTCATGATACAACTTATTATAAAGGAAAGAATAGTATTTTATTATTATTATTATTCAAGACTCTGTTAGCCAATTAAATACTTGAGAGCAGATACTTCTTGTCTTGGATATTGACTGACAACATAAATTCAAAATGAGAGAATGTTGTTTTACATTTTATTTTTAGAGAGGAGTTTCTTTTCCCTTCATAAACAAATAATTTGCATGTTATTGATCATTTGTTAAGTCTTTCTTCAACAATTTTTTGTTCAAATGCCCATTGCGGGGGAGAATTAAAAATGCATAAAAAAGGAAAAAAAAAATAAATATTTATTTTATATTTACAATTACAGGTATTTATTATTATTCTAATTTATCCAAATGATCAAGTCTTGTTAATACAACATTTTTACTTGTTTCTTCGATTTCACCTGCTAAGAACACCTCATCTAGAATAGCGTAAACCTAAATTTGAATGAAATTACTACAAGGCCTTTTTTATACTTATACTTGATACATATATAAGTGTACTGTACCTTATAAAAATTAAAAACTAAATCTAATTCACATACATTGCCGAAAAAGGCATCTAATACTTCCACAAAGAAATGAATTGCTTCTAAATAAGCTAATTCATTATCGTTAGCATCTACGCATACACAGAAAAAGAGTCCAGCGTATCGACGATAAACAATTTTATAATTACGAAACTTTTTAATATTTAAAAAAAAAAAAAAAAAGAACAAGGAGAATGGTCAAGTTTATGTCTATTTTAATTGTATACAATCTAATCTTACCTCGACAAAATTACTTTGGTGTTTTTGATCTCTTGGCGCAATAAGTCGATGTACTTCTCCTTTAAGCTTTAATTTTTCATCATCTTCATATGGGACGTACCATTTGGCTAATCTTGTTTTACCTTGACGATTTTGTACTAAAATAAATCTAAGCTAACATCAATAGAAAAAGAAAAAAAGAAAATAAAGAGTGAATACTTGTTTCCTTATTTTTGCGCTAGTATAATGTTAATTACCATAATGCATATAAATATGTATATGTATAAGGAATTATATTTTATTAAAAAAAAAAAAAAAAAGGCACTTCAAATTTCTTTCCCTAACTTTACTTGAATTGTAACAGTAGCAGTGAGAATATCATGAACGGATTTTAACCACCGCGTTTTTTTTTATTTTATTTTTTTTTTATTGATATTATTATTATTTTAACATGTTATTAATAATATGCATAATGCAAGCTTAATCAAATATATTACATTATATAATCCACTTGTATTCTACCAAAGAGGAGTAGAAGAAGCGCGTTTTGTTGAACTTGAATGTTTCTTTCTTTTCTTGTTATAAACTTCATCATCATCTCTAGATCGTTTCTTATTATTATTATTCATTGTGTTTTCAGTTAATTGTGATATAGTAGTAGTAGTGGGGTGATGATGATGATGATAATAAAGAGTAGAATCATGCTTTGTGGTTATTGTAGTTGTTTCTTTATTTGCCAAGTGTTGTTGCTGTTGAAGAATAGATAAAGGTTCATTTGATATGAGGATATTCTCGTGAATAGCATTTACAGAAGAAACGTCTTGAAGCTTATCAGAGAGTAAAATATCATGTATAGATGGTGATAGACGCGTTGTATATGGAGTATCCTTGTATGATAGTATTGATTTGTGACATTCAAGTAAAATAGAAGGAGGAGATAGTTCAGATGCAACTGCTGCAACTGCTGCCTGAAACTGTTCTGCTTCAATTTCAGCTATGGCTTCTTCAAAAGGAGAGGGAAGAATAGCTTGTTCAGTATCATTCTTATTATCACTATCATTCTTATTATTATTATTGAGCTGTGAATAGTTCGTATGGATAGTGTCTAATAAGGGTGAGATCTCTTTAGAGATATCAGTTGCAATATCCACATCACTATTATTAAATGCGATAGGTATTTCTTGCTGCTGCTGTTGTTGTTGTTGTTGTTCTTGACAACTGCCATTTTCGACATGAGGGAAAACATATTTGGATAATATATCATCCCCATTTCCATTTATAATATCAGAATAGATAGGATGACTTGTAGTGATAGAAGACGTCTTGATGAGTTCGACTGCTGATTTAGGTGAATCGACAACAGTCATACATTGAGGTGACAGGTTTTTAGCTGTTGTATGAACGGGCAGTGACCAACTAGGATGAGTTATGTTATTCGTATGGAATAAAGAGGATGGATTTGGAGTCGTCATTGCACGTGCATGAAGTCTTGTTTTAATATGAGATAATCTTCTATTACTCTCAGATAAATTGCTGGATAGCTCCAAGGCCTCTTTAAATAAAGTATGAGGCGTTGAAAGAGTATACATAACAGCTGCAACACTATCATCCGATTTACCTATACATAAAAAAAAAATAACACATCTTTAAATAACCAGCTATTTGTAATATCATACAGTCCATTTGTCTTACCATATATTTTTTCAAGTAGTTTAGTACGATGTTTAGAATCATCTTTTGTCTTCCTCTCTGCACCTTTGTCTCTAAATAATTTAATAGTACAGAAACTAGTTTCATGATTGTTTATCATTTCTGTATTTATCTCCTGGAATTGACTTTTCATAAGTACCCTTAATGGAATTCCTTTTACGCCTTTTGTCTTTGTAAAATCAGTGCTCAAGAATTTGAAACGAATCATTATTTTAGCACCAACTTCACCATTCCAATTGAATATAATTTTATCGAAATTTGATAGATTTACGTTTGTTACCCCTATTGAGTTAGTATTATCTGTAAATAGGTATAGATAGAGATATTAGTTTGCTTGTTTCTATAAATATATAAGGAGAGAAAAAAAAATAATATAAAATAGCAAATGAACTATACCAATTTCAATTAACCGAGGATTTGGCTCACTTTGTTGTGAAAGCCAATATTTCCAAAATGTATCTGTAATAGCACGATGTTTAGAGAGATGAAAGCTAATTGATATTGTACTAGTGATAACTTGATTTTTTGATAGATTATCCTTAAGTTGGATACTATATACTTGTCCACGATTTAAGTAAGTAATACTTTCTTCATCTTTTTTTGTGACAGCAGTTTCAGCTATAAAGCATGCATATATAAACTGTTAAATTAGATGATCGTTATTCGTTTAGTTATTTATTTTATTTTTTACCTTCTAAAATGACTTGAATTCGAAGATTCTTTTGAAAGTTTTGAGATAAACTAAAATAATAGATATGTATACATATTTTAGTATATATTTATAAATATTTTTAACATGTATAATTTTAGCTGATCAAAGAATTTATCTCTGTTCAACACACACACACACACACACACACACAAGCTTCCTCCAGTTCCTCCAGTTCCTCCTTTTCTGGATAATACTCCCTTTGATAAATAAGTAAAAAAAAAAAAGATTATTTATCACTTTTTATTTTCCCCTGTTCTTTCTTTGTATCACTATCTTTCTAGTCTATAGCTACAAACATATCTCTATACACTCATCCTTTACCCTCCCTTTTATAAAAATCTATTTTCTAGCGACCATAGTATTCTCATATATGTATTATATATTATATAGAAGCTAAAAAAAAAAAGAAAAAAAAAAGAAAAAAATAATAATACCTTGAATGTTTAGTAACAGTATTTGACTCTTTCATGAATAATGATTCATTTTGTTGAAGTTGATAATTATTATTATTACTGTTATTAGTATTATTTCCTTCAAAATTCATTAAAGTAAATTTTGGCACATGAATAGGTGAACTAGTATATAATGTAGTTGCAGAAGAAGGTGTATAAGTTAAATTTCTATTGCGTCTTCCAAAGTCATTTTGATTAAAATGACGTGGATAATAATAAAATGGATACATGGTGTATATATCTTTATAGTTGTTCACTGTATTTGAATGAGTTGCTCCAAAGACAGAAGGGAAAAATGCGCTATTGTTATGACTATTCATATCCATCTGTAGTAATTGCTGATGATGACTCATGTTTCCAGTATAATTTAGTTTGTTACAAGTTGAATTTGACATATTACTACCATTTGTAGTAGTAGTAGTAGTAGTAGTAAGCGACGAGGATTCATACTGCAGTGGACTTAGTAATTGATTTCGATTATTATTAAACATATTATACACTGTCTTTTATTCTCTCCCCCTTTTTTCTTTTTTTTCAAGTGATATAGATTGATTTATATTTGTTGCTTTTATTTTATTTTTTGTTGAATAAAAGAGAGAGAGAGAGAGAAAAAAAGAGAAGAGAGAGGGCTTTAAAGGATATTAGATAGATGTCATTTAAATGTAAATGAAATCATGTAGTGATACATTAGGTCGACTTTTATGTCTTTTTTAGGAATATATTCAAGAAGAGGAGAATTACATAAAAGGGGCTAAGTGAAGAAGAAAACAAAAGGGATATGCACATATAAATGAACTTGAATAATATATCCTGCTTTAGTTTCAGTCAACGAGTGCCTCTTTCTTTCTTTCTCTCTCTCTCTCTCTCTTTATTTTTTTTTTTTTTATAAAAAAAAAAGGAAAATTATTTGTATAACATTGTTTTTAAAAGTGTATAAATAGACAGTACATAAATATATAAAAGAGTAAAACTTTGCCTGTATGTATATGGGTCAAAAAGGTTAAATTAAGGATATAGGCAAAAAGAAAGGGTGTGATACATGTTATAACTTTTGATATATACATATAAATATGTATATTTTTCGTTCTGGATGTTGTGCATAAAGCTTTGACTTGATGTGCCACTTTTAATCTATTAAAAGTTTATTATATGTATCACATTATGTAATCATTTATAAATTGTTATATATACTCTTGAATACATAATAATTCAAAAGTAGGATACTATCAAAGACATGTATGCATATATGTTAGATCTGTCAATAAAATAAGATGCATATATCCTTTCCTTTTCAGTATATAAATAAGGAGTTTTTAGAAAAGAGAAAGTTTTTTTTTTTAATACTTGCATGTGCATTTCTTGTCAAAAAAAAAGGAGGATATAACAATAACAAAATAAAATGATGATCCTTTTTCTTTTTATATGTGTTTTTAACATTGAATAAAAGTTTATATTATTTATCATTTAACCCCTTTGACACACACACACACACACACAATATGACGCTATTACATAAAAAAAAAGAATAAAAATAAATTTGTTTTACTAAATAAGCTGAACTTGCATGGCAGATTATATTTTATTTAATTGATACGGTCTAATATAATTCTATGTAAACTTTTATTATTATCTACCATTCAGTTCCATCAAATCCAATAAATCCCGTCATTAGGAAAATAGGAAAGAACTTTTTCTTTTCAATTGTTGAGCACCCTATTTTACATACAAGTTAATTTTTTTTTTTTTTTTTTTTTTTTTTTTTTTTTTTAAAAAAAAGATACCGATGTTTAGTGAACTTACAATTCCAAGCTGATGTAAGTCTACCGTCTATACAACTTCCTGCATCGAAATAATTATCACCACCAGAACCATCAAAACCATGTCTAAATAAATCATCTAAAAAAGAAAGCAATAAGTTAGCATCTTTCTCTCTTTCCCCTCCCTTCTTCCTTTTCTCTATTCTTACACAAAATATCTTTTCGGCATTGTTCAATACTACCATATTCATTTTGAATATATTCTGCAGCATGAACATCCTTTGCAAGTAAATCTAATTTATCCAAGGTACTAACAATAGGAGTCAAGATACGTGCAACTTGATTATATTTGTCAATAAACATAAATGAATTAGGCACATTTTTATCTCCTAAATGAACGACACTGCTACCAACCCAGGATCCGCATTTCTTATGAACTCGATTTAATACTTTATGAATAGCTCTTGATACGTTAGGACATGGTTGGATACGTTGTAGTCCTTGACCTGTATTTGTTAATCTATACACATTAGGTGAAATTAAATCTTCATCAGCCATATTCCAAAGTAAAAACATTTCATTCATAATTTCACGCCATAAAGTCAATGATTGATAAACGTATGTATATTGTGCTGAATGTGAATGTGTCAAACGATGTCCATTTCTACCTGCTTGAATTGCTAAAGAATAATTATGTTCATGCTTTACTGGATTAAAATATTTTGAAAGATATTTAATCATTTTATCACAAGGATCTCTATAAAATATACATATTTATACATATTAATAAGAGTAGACTTAGCACTGTTTTCTTTTTTCTTTTACCTATTCGCTCTTAAGAAAGCATTATTATCAGATATAGATAATAAACAGCGTTCGATATCTTCTTTTGAAATTCTTTCATTTGCATATTTTTCACATATAGTTCGAATAGCAAGCTGTTTACGTTGAACTTCAGCATCAATTTGTCCCCGAGTTTTGAAATCAGGCACAATTTCTCGTGTAGCTAAAACAATATTTTCATCATGTAAAACTTCAATACTTTCTTGACTTTTCAAAAAATCATAGACTGTCTTGATTGGGATAATACATGAAAATCCAAGATATTCTTCAACTTCGGGAATACAAGAATCCTATATTTAAAATGATTCTTAGTGGGATCACATAGACAATCATATAGGTTGCAGTCTATATTTACCATAAGCATATACATTAATTTACCATAAGTCGATCTCATTTTTTCTGGATTCATAATTTTATGTCTATTGTAAGTCTTTAATTATCGGCCTTTTTTTTTCTTTTTCTTTTTCTTTTTTTTTTTTTTTACCGTCTACCAACTTCAAATATTTGTTGAAAGATGGTTGCATTATCACGTAAATTATTCTTTGAAAATAACTGTGAACCTTTTTTATAATCTCCTGCTACTAACAAACCAGAAATGATAGCACATAAATCCTTGATTTGTCCAACAATTCTTCTTGCCTTATTTGAATATGTTATAATATCAATTTTATCTACAAGAAGAAATTAGCTGTCAATTTTATTTTTTTTTTCCTCCTCACTTTTTTCAATTTTACCTGTATATTCTGACACATTTAAAGCAGCTTCTAGCCTAAAAAAAAAAGACGTATGAATATATGTTAAAAATGATCTCATAACTATTTCTTATATAATAAATATTACAATTTCAAGTATTGTCTTTCTTCAGAATCTAATCGTAATGGTATCGTTTTAGATCTAACATATATATGTATATTAATCCCCAAAAAAAAAGACTCAAAGCATCAATCATACTTTATTTGTATGTACATTACCTTTTGGTTATATAATCACCAAAAGTAGGACCATTACTGTTAATAATTGTACCATCCATTTCCAATAAAGCTTGTTTCATAGCTACATTGTCTTTTTCTCTTTCATTCTATATGAAGAAGAAGAAGAAATATATATAAGTATATGTCTCCACTAATTGTTTTTGTTTCCGTGCTTTGAACATGTACCTTTTCATTATTTGCAGCATCTATTTTTATACCATTCTTTAAAGTTTCCTCTTTACTATTTGCTTGAAGATTTAACTTTTTAAAGGTATGTAGTCGACGATTACCAGTACGATGAAGCATATCTAATCATTATATATACATATATGTACATGTATATACATTAGGAAATTTAATTCACATGCATTAAATTGAATGGACTCTATTTTACCGTAACAAACTTCACAAAAATCTTCATCGCATTGTTCACAAAACACAGAGGCCTAAACATGTCCAAAAAAAAAAAAAAAAAAAAAAAAAAAAGCTTAATAAATAGAATCAGGAACACATGCACCAAGACTTTAAATCATACCTCTTGATCGTTACATTCAACGCAGTAAATAATCTTATTACTATCTGAAGTTACTAAATTATCCATTGATATCTCGATCTATTCACTTTAATCTGCACTTTTTATATACGTTATTTATTAAACAAAAAAATGGTGCATCTAAAAAAAGAAAAAGAATAAAAAAAAAAAAAATACTTTGCTGATTTTGTTTTATTGGTTTTGTGTGTGACGGTGCTTAGATACAACACACCCTCTTTCTCTCTCTCTCCTCTAGAATAAACAATTTTTATTGACAGTTCGAATTTATAATAAAAGTGCGTCTAATGTAAATAATAATAAATAAATAATAGTGATAATAATAATAAAAAACAAACAAACAGGCTTCTATGTATTATCCAGATATGGTATTTTTTGCATTATAATATTTTAAAGATACTTCTAAGAATGGTTCTCCAAAGGCAGGATATACTTCAGATTGCATAGAAGTAACTAGTTGAAACTCACGAGCAGTTAATGGTAAAGCTTTGGCCTAATAATACCTTTTATCAGTAAAAAAATAAAAAAAAAGATAGACAGATATAGAGATTTTCATATTTGTATATACTTTACAACTTTCTTTAAAACACTATCAGATAATATACTTCCTGGACTTCGAATATTATGCTTAGACATAAGTTGATTTCTTATCTTTTTCAATTCTTGGTAACATTGTATCGTAGTTTCATCTTCAGGCACTTTATTCGTAGTAGTAGTTGTTGTTGTCTTGGTTACCGTTGTAATTGAGCTATTTAATTCAGTTCTTCCATTATTCCTATTTATATTTTCTTTTGCTAGAGTAGCTCTTTGAGTTCTATTATTGGATGCATTCGGTAGTCTTCGTCTATTAGGAGTTGTAGAAGAAGAAGAAGTAGTAGTAGTAGTAGTCGTAGTTGAATTATTTCTACTATTATTCACCATAGACCCAGCTTTTACAAATCCCGTTCTCTATTATAATTAATATTGTTATTATAATATATATTTTATATGTATAATGACTTACATTTTGAGAATAAGAAATTAATATCTTTTTAGATCCGTTTAATACATCATTTGCTTTTTTGCTCAACTAGATAATGAATGAAGTCAATTTTATCTATTGTATATTTATCTTTTCTTTTTCTTTTTCAAGAGATAACACTAGTACTTACAGTAACATGAGTAATAGGAAATCCTTTTGCATTACATTCAGATTTTTCACGTATCACATCATCATGAATCATTGTTCTCAAGAGACGATCAACTTCTGTACGTTGCTTTGCTTTACCATGTCCATAGCCTTCTAATTGATCATGACCATGCTCCATAATACGCTTATTCTTTGATCCACGATAGATGTCCACTAATTGAGCTAAAGTAACATGGTCAGGGTCAATTTGTTGAATCATGTTGATTAGAATGATAGCCTCTTTCGACATATCCCTCACGACTGTCCTTGTATATTCATTCCTCATACAATTATCACACATGCGCTGACAGTGACTAGGATCAAATCGTTCACCAAAATAACCCATGATCTGTTTACGTCTACAATCAGTCTCGTTATCACAAAATCGCATCATCGTATTCAAGTTATCTCGTTGTCGTTGCTTTTGCTGCCAACTACCATCTCCCTGATCAATTAAGAAATTATGTGTTTTAGTGTCACTATAGTTATAGTAAAGTCGACATGTGGCAGGTAAACCATCACGACCTGCGCGACCCGTTTCTTGGTAATAACCTTCTAATGAAGAAGGTACGGAATAATGGAGTACAAATCGTACATCTGGCTTATCGATACCCATACCAAATGCAATCGTAGCCGCAATGACTTGAACTTTTCCTGTTTGCCATTCTTGTTGCACTTCGCGTCGTTCTTCTGTTGTCATAGCAGCATGATAATGTTTAATCGAGACACCATAGTCTGTTCTCAAATTTGTCGCAACCTGTTCACAATCCTTTCTTGTACAACAATATATAATACCTGATTGACCTCTATGCTCTTCAATAAAATTCTTCATATCGTTTAAAATTGTTCTATGCGTCTTTGGAACAATTTGGTATCTATTTTTTTTTTTTTTTTGAATATAGATAAATAGATAGATAGATTAATAAAACAAGTTCAATTAGAATAATACACATGTTTATACTGTACATTAGATTGGTTCGATTAAAACTCTGTTTTAAAACCTTACAATCTTTCATCTTGAGATTAAATAAGACATCCTTTTGAACAGCTTCATTTGCAGTAGCAGTCAATGCCATAATGGGCACGGTAGGATATGATTCCTTAAGAGACCCTAGAAGTTTATAATCAGGTCTAAAATCATGTCCCCATTGTGACACACAATGTGCCTCATCAATCACAAACCTTGCAATTTTATTTCGGCTGTATAGACTATCTAAAACGTTTTTAAGTTGATTTGATTTACTCAATAACTCAGGTGTAATATATAGTAATTGTGTCATGGGAACAGACTTATGAAGATCACTAAATATCCATTTCTTTTGCGAAACAGGAACAGTACTATTAAGCATACCAGCAGCAATCCCTTTCCCATTCACTAACTGCTCTACTTGATCTTGCATTAAAGATAATAGGGGAGAGACAACAAAGGTAACACCTTGACGCTCGTAACGTTGAATGATAGCAGGTAATTGATAACAAAGACTTTTACCACCCCCTGTAGGCATCAACACAAAGACATCTTCACCTTTCAGTGTGGTATTGATAGCTTCAAGTTGATTAGGTCGAAATTCAGATAATTTAAAGTTTTGGACAAGTGCTTTGCGAACATCTCTACTCCATGGATAATTCGGTTGAGAAGAATGATCAGGTATAGGTAATGGTGGAGGAGGAGAAGAAGAAGAAGAAGAGGTTGTATTCGATGTTTGAATAGGAAGCGGTTTAGAAGAAGCAAAAAAGGGAGATACTTCAATAGATTCGTTATCAATACTCATCTCACTATTCTCCTCTTCATCATCCAAAATAACATACTCCTGATTATTATTCATTGTTGTTGATGGTAGTGTTACTGATGGGGTCGAACTTTGACTTGTATTATCTTTATCTATTAGCTCTTGAATATGCTTTATTTGCATTACAAGCTCTGCTCGTTCATCCATTAAAATCTTTTGTTGTTCTTCACTTGCATTATTGCTTAATCCTTCCACAATACTATTATTAACTTCATTCTGCCTTTCCTTTAAAGTAGTTAATATCATCTTTAATTCGTCTTTACTTTGTATATTTGAGGGAGAAGAAACAAGTTTAGGTGTAGGTTCTTGTGGTGTTGTATTACTAGCAATATGATCAAGATCCATCATCACATCGTCATCAATAGGGAAAAAATCACTTGTCGCATCCTCTCCAAAGATGGCAGCTTCATCTATAACATCGTCAAAATAGTCAACATCGTCAACGATAAAATCAGCCATATCATCGTCAAAATGATTATTTAAAGAAGTTTGAGGTAGAGAAGAAGAAGAAGCTGCTGTTGTTGTTGATTGAAGTAGCTTAGGCCTTTTAGGTTGACTATCAGTGAGATCTATTGTATCAGGAGCCTGACAACTATCAGATGTCCTTTTCTTTTTATTTGTTGACTCTTTATTTAGATCATCATTATTTGTTGTTAAAGTAGTCAATGATGATTGTAAATTGCTAGGATTATTGTTACTTGGTATTGTATAGCAATCTAAACAAGCATTGTAGATCAATTAAATAAATTGTTTAGTTTTTTTTTTTTTTTTTTTTTTTTTTTTTTTTTTTTTTTTTTACGAAATAAACTTACTAGTAATCAAAGATAAGACAGGTCTGTACTCTTTTTGGTATTGAGTGACAACAATAGGCTTTATAGATGTATTAAACCAGTTTAATTGTTCATTATAATTGTCATGTTTTATTACATTACTTTTATTTCTCATTATTAGATAATGAAAAAAAAAAAAAAAAAAAGTAACAAAAGACCATAAAAATTTAGCCCGCAGCATATACATAAAAAAAAAAAAAAAAAAAAAAAAGTCAGGTCAAGAAAAAATTATTTCCTAATTTCTGATTTATCGAGTTTCTTATTTCTTTAGATAAAGCCTTTTTATTATTCACTGTTTCTTTTAACAATATCAGAATCTGATAGTGATAAGGAGGTCTGATTTAGATAGGAAAGATAAGAATTCCATATTAATCCAAATCCATTATTTACTATAGGCCGATAGTAAACAGGAAAAAAAGCAAAGGTGAACATATTTACAAAGGGCCAATATCGATATGAATTTATTAAACCTGTCAAATAGCTTTTTTCAAATTTTTCTTTAATTTCTTGTCTTGTTCGACCTTCTAATATGGATATGCTACCCATAAATACAGCTAAAATAGTAGGTGCAAAAAAAAGTTGATCTATTCCTACTCGAACTATAGTTGCTATGAAGAATAAGATTTTTTAATATTCCGAACAAAAAAAAAAAAAAAAAAAAAAAAAAAAAAAAGGGGGTAGAAGAGACTTACCTGCCCATTTATTATCTAACTTTACTATTCTATTCATAAATCCAAACCAGGTCCCAATCACTGGTCCTCCAATAACAGCCCCATATACAGTCATCCTCAATGTGCGAGGTATATCATGATGATTGATTCCTTTTTTTTCTATTAATTGTTGACTAATGACATCACCAACTGTCATCATGATGGCTATAAAAAAAAAAAAAGAAAATATTATCCATAAATGAATCTCTCTCTCTCTCTCTCCATCTTCTTAACTTCCTACATGATTGTATAGAAAATGTTCTAGTTGGTTTCGTCAATACATTATTCTGATATTTTTGTAATAAAATATTCATTATAACATTTATTTATATAAGAAATAGGAGGAAGAAAAGGATGATTAGATTTTTATACGTATTTTCAACTGAGATTAGATAAGATTTTAATGGTATCATGAAAACCCTTTTCCGTATTTTGAATCACTTTGTTTTGCCAATGGTGTTGTATATGGTTATTAAGTGATAACAGCATCCAATCAATAACTATGACCCATGAATGATTTACAGAAATAGATTTTGATAAGCCAATTGACGTAAGTTTTCTAGCCCATGCATGCTGATCAAACATGAAAGGTATTATAGCTTGTGGTATTCCTAATTGAATCATAGTAAAGCAAGTATTCATGCCTCCATGATGTATTATACCAAATACATTATGACTCTGGATAAATGCAGCATGATCAATAGCAGGGCTTATTATACGTAACCTACTATTATAACCTGTAGTGAATTTTGCTTTAACTAATTTATATAAAATTGTATCCTGACTGGAAATAATCCAAATAATATCAAACAGATTATTATTATAAGCAAGTATCTCTAATATTCTTTGTTGTATTTCGTCAAGGAAGATACTACATTGATCTATATTACATAATATCGGGGATAGTGTGTCCATTGAACCGAAATGAATGAGTAAAATAGGCTTTTGTTGACTACGATTGTCATTAGAATTGATTTCTTTTTCTTTTGTCATTAAAGACCAAAAGCCACCCATAGTCGCTCCTTCTCTATTCCCATAAAATAGATCTGGATCTATTGCATATATAAAGGGCGGTATGTTATCAAAGCAAGTAGGAATTGGATCTAAATTTAATATAAATTCTCTAAAATCACCCATATCTTCCAAGAATAATCTCCACATCCAATGATGGATATGGGGATACCATATAGATCTTAATTGACTATCATATAATTTGGGAAAACTCTTGATTATCTCTGCTTCAAACTCGTCAGGTATTGGGTATAGATCAAGTGAAAAAAATGAAACTACAACCGAGGGTATCTTAAGCTTTTCTGCTATTGACCAACCTTCAAGGACAAAAGTCGTATAAACTAATTTTGTAGGTTTTAATATTTGACATGCTTCCCATAGTTGCTTTCTTTCAACGATTCTTTCTTTATTTGATTTAGCTTGTTGTAATATGGAATAAGAATGAATATTATGCAGGTCATATAAATGTTGATAGACATAATGTAGCTCTATAGGCGCTACAATAGTTAATCGATGTTGCGAAATTTTTTTCCTTATGATGTAAATAGAGGAGGAAAAACAAGGGGTGTGTGTGTGTTATAAAATTAGTCTTGTTTTATTTTTTAGAGTAAAAATGTACGTTACTTGTATTCAATGGCTAATGCAACCAAAGGTTGTAAATCACCTCGAGATCCTTTATTAACTGTTAATAAGTATATAGAATGTGTTTATTATAATACTATTTACCTAGAGTTAATAACACTAAATGGCTCATTAATGCTAACCTATACAATGAAAAGAGTTCATTATAGATAAGCGGACAGACAAATTGATAATAATATTAACTTGTTAAAGAACCATGCGAAAAAAAAAAAATCATACTTTGTCTGCTTATTTTCTAACAACCAGTCACATTCCCAAAGAACATAACTGAGACAAGAATTGGAAAATACTTGTTTTATATACACATACATTTTTTTTTTCATTATTGTTATTATTGTTTATTTATATAACAGCAATAATGGAAATAACAAGTGGTCCATTCTTCACTACTTCCACTGGGCTCATTGACAGTATTGACAGTAAGTTTCTTTTTTTAACATATATTTAATTGCTATCATTAGTTGGCGCGTATTTTAATTCTATTATAAAAACAGAAAAACTAATGGTTGTCTTGAGAGATGGTCGCAAACTAATTGGTATTTTGAGATCATTTGACCAGTTCGGTTAGTCTAAGAAATGAAATTTGACGAATAATGGATTAATTTATTCATTTATTTTTTTTTTCCTTTTTAAACAGCTAATTTAGTTTTGCAAGATACAATTGAAAGAATTTATGTCGGTAATTGTTATGGAGATATTCCAAGAGGTATCTTTTTAATTAGAGGTGAAAACGTAGTATTACTTGGTGAAATTGTAAGTTTTATGCATTAACTATTATTCATAATCATTAACGTGTTTATTATTATTATTATTATTATTATATATAAAAAAAATAAAGGATTTAGAAAAGGAAGAACATATTAATTTAAGGCAGGTGCCTGTTGAAGAAATTTTGGTAGCACAGCGTGAGGAAATTGAAGCAAGGGAAAGATTAGAAAAGATTAAAAGTAAAATCTTACATGATCAAGGTTTCTGTGTTGATTCTACTCAAAATGACTTGTATTAAACAAAAAGAAAGTATAAATTAACAACGTTACTGCGAATAACAAAAAAAAAAGGAACATTCACTTCATTCATACAAGTAACTATACTTCGCATTTTATTAGAAACAAATGAAAAGGCTCTATTATTATTAATGTAATATATGTATATATAAATATAATATAGACCTTCTATTATAGTAATAAAAAGACGATATCATTAATTTCAATTCTCTTTAGTAAAGATTCTTGTAATCTTTCTTGTAATTTGGACAATTAGACCGCCCAGTGCAGCTAATGGAACCAAGAATATACCACAGCAACCACAGTTAGTGTTGATAGTAGATGGTTCTGTTGGTGATGTAAAGGGTTCATTTGTGAGATGCGTTGATTCAACGGTTTTTGTTGTTACTTTATTATTCATTATTCTTGCAGCAAAAAAATAAAATAAAAGTGCAAAGTAGTGGGAGATCTATGCATGCTCCATATTTTGTTGTGTAATTTTAAATTATTCTTTTTATTCTGCGGCTATTAAAATTAGATTTACGCCCTAGGATCTTCAGTCTTTATTGACAGAATCGTTTCCTATAAGCCATTTCAACCTTTATAATTAGAATTGCCATATACTCTCCTTCTTTTTCCCTTTAATTATGCAGATATTAGCGAAAAATGAACGAGTACAGCTTTAACTGTTCAGGGGAACCAAGACTACGCTGCACATTATTGCTTATCAATGGCAACTTTGAAAGTGGTAGAATTGGTGCAAGATCTTTTTTTATATGAAGTAGTGTATTATTATTATTATTTTACTATACTATTCATTAAATACAAATTATTCCTCTCTACATATCTGAAAGATAAAGAATATGAACATGTGCCAAGGTTAAAGACTGCATATGATTATCCAGTAATAACCAAAATATTCCGACTAGTCAATAAAACGCTCAAAGTCGCTTAATAAATTTTATTTAAATCTCTATCTTTATATGTAAAAAAAAAAGGCGTCGTTATTATGCACTTTCATGTGACTTGAATATAATACGTAATATACAACAAACAACGTTTAATTCTAATTTTATTTACTTTTCTTTACTTTACTTTATTTTTTTTCTCCTTCTTCATTATTCTTTAACAATATGCTTGATAAATTCCCAAGGGATATTTTGCTTTCTGATATCATTCCTTTTCTTGATAGCGAATCAATTATTCAATTGTCAACAGTATCAAAGTATTTTTATCTTTTCTTGGCTAATGATGAATTTATTTGGAAGAAATTATGCATAGAAGAGTTCAATATTCCACAAGATAATGCTTATCGAATAAGCGGCTGGAAAAGGTTCTTTAAGGCCCTTAAATATCATGCTAAAGTGTATACGTGGGGTGAGAACCGCGATCAACGTTTAGGTTTAGATCAAACAAATACATCATTTTTGCAACAAGATATGAATATGTTTCGACCTGTATTAAGGTTATTTTATTACATATTATATTAAAATTGTCCTGTCTACTTATTTCTTTCCACAGACATCCTCGATTAAGAGGGTATTCAAGTGAAGTTACAATCCCACAGGAAGTCACAAGTTTACGAAACAAGTCTATTATCGACATAACATCTGGAGGCTGGTCATTTCATGCGCTAGATACATCTGGGTTTGTTTGGATGTGGGGCACAGTAAAGTATGTATATTCATAAATTGTATGTATACTGAATTATACATTAGATACAACAAGGAATTACATCGCGTCAAAGGTTCCCTGTCTTGCTACAAACGGGCAATGAAATACAACCTAAAATTCGGTTTAAAAGCATTTCTAGTGGACGAGATCATGTAATTGGTTTGGCTAAAGATGGCACCATTTGGCATTGGAGTAATCATATTATGCTGCAACGTGTTCAGCTTGATATAGATGCTGAAGTTGTGCAGGTGGCAGCAAATTGGAATTATTCTAGTGTCTTGACTGATAATGGGTTTATTTATATAATACCTAAGCCTGATCAGATTGCTCCTTCTCAAATGAATCAGGAGCCTCATCCAACTCAAATTACATTAGCTGGTATTTCTACGGCTCAACTCAGGTTAAATGATGATGGCAATGATGATAAAATTGTTCAAATCGCTGGTTTAGATGGGTTTACTTTAGCATTAACTCGATTTGGACGTGTGTTAAAATTAAATACGTTAGATCCAATAGCTTTTAGTCAGTCACCTTTAGAGCATGTTACAGAGCTTGTTCATTTTAGTAGTACTCAAAATGAATATAATGATCGACATGGATATATGAAACGATTTATAACAGGTGCATTCAATAATTTTGCAGTTTATACTAAAGATCAAGTTATGCTTGGGAATATTCATGCAACAAAAGAAACAATTCCGAATCAATTAAAAGAATTAGAAAATCAGCAAGTCTGCAAAGTATCTTTTGGCGAGTAAAAATATGTAGAATATACATTTGTACAACACAATACTGATTTATATCTCTATTTTCTTTTCCCTTTTTTTTAAAAAAAAAAAGTTATCATTATGGTGCAATCACCAATCAAGGTAAATTATTCACTTGGGGCAAATATAGTTCTGGTGCTTTAGGACATGGTGGTATTTCAAAAGAGGATCATCCCAAGCCTCAACTAGTTGAAAGTTTAAGTGACAAATTTGTTTTTGCAATTGGGTTTGGTGGCTGGCAAAGTTCAGTATTAGCCATTAATTTAAATGACATGAATGCGGAATAAAAAAATAAAAATAAAAATAAATACAAAGGGTTTATTGTAAGAGTTTTCGCTTTTTTGTCTCTTTCCTTTTTCCTTTATCATATCGTATTTGTATGGGTATTTCTTCCATGTGTTGTATGGAAATGGAATCTTCAGTTTCTGATTTAAATTTTTTTATTAATGATGTTTGATTTACGCTGTATAAAAATGAGATTAGTAAAAACACACACACACACACACACACACACACATGCATATGAAAAAAAAAATAACAGCTGTCATTACGTTAATGCTTCATTTTCTTCTTCCATTATCATTGTATTATATGTTCTACCGCCAATTAATCTCACAGTTAAATTTAAGATAATAGGTCCTTTATTCATAAAATAATTTTGAGTTAAATCATCAGAATCGGTCAAAATTTTTCCTCCTAGTGATCTAATTCGTTGCTGCTCTACACTCACGGCTGTTGTCTTTTCTAGTCGTTGCTTAACATCATAAACTGTACATGGTTCGTTAGTTTTAAAACAAAAACAAAAAGGTCCAAATCCAGAAAATGAATTAATAATGACTTGAAAATACATTTGACAGACTGTCAAAAAGGGAAAAAAAAATATATTTATTTATAAAAAAAAAAAAATAAAAAATAAAATAAAATAAAATAAAATAAAATAAAATAAATATAGTATATGAGTGTGCGTGTGTGTGTTTTGTTTCTTACGTGTTTTTTATGTCAAAAATGAGTTTCAAATAAAACAATAAAACCATCAAAAAATTGGTTCTTTATACAAGTTAGTGATAGATTATTAGATGGAGACGGTTTTATTAATAGTAGCCGTATCTTCTTTTGATTCCTTTGTTTTCTTATCTTCAATCCACTCTTCATTCTCGAATACAACTTCTTTATTCTCTTGGCTTTTTTTACGAAGATCATTTACACCACTTAGAATGACTCTTCTTGAAATACCTCTCGCATCAAAATAGATAAGCATTTCAGCTATATTTTTACCAGTTCCTAATGTCTTTCCAGCCATATAACCAACATCACCGTATTTTTTATGAATCATTTGAACTAGACTATCCCTGGAGGATGTGAGAACAACGGAAGCAGCAGAGGCAACTCCACCTATTATTTTGACAGCAGCCTGTAATGCAGACATACCGAAATGTCGAGAGGCATTCTGAATAGGTTCTTTATTAGTTTCTTCTATTTGTTCTTGATAAACGATTGAATTAATTCCTGATAAAGCTGTTGATACTGCTTTATCTACTAAATTGGCCGTCATTTGTGTTGCTGTACTTGTTGTATTATAGACAATTTCGAGTATTCGTTTTTCTTGATCATTGAGTCGAACAGGTGTCTTTGCTGGTTCAATTTTCTTTTCAATTATTTTGCTTCCACTATATTTAACAGAGTAAGAAAGAAAAAAAAAAGCCATCTATATAATGCTTTACCTAGTAATACCCTTTGCAAGTGCCTGTCCAGCTAAAACAATAGCATGAGCAATCCAATCTGAACCAGTAACCATAGCATCTCCTGACTGATAAAGTAACTTGACTTTTTTAACTTGTGAAGGATCTACCGTTTCCTATATATAATAATATAGTGTTGAGTGTACAATATTTACTACATCCACACTACTATAATTATGACTACATTCATCGTTGTCTCTTGGATATAAACAGGCAATTTTTGTCCTTGTTTATTTTCATGAGAAGTAATAAAATCTTCTTCATCAAGAATATCTTGAGACTCTGTTAAATCTAACTGAACGTTATTTGCAACGACTTGGGTCATTTTACAGGAGACTGGATCAACCATAGCTAATGTATTCTTCATTTGATGTCGATTTTCATATTTAATAAAAAATGTAAGAACATCTTGAAGTTCAGTAAATGCTAATTCATCAGAGGCACTTTTTTTTTTTTTTTCAATATATGTATATACATGTATAGTTTGTTAGTAACATACATAAATGATAATCATATATAATTATATTACCTGCAGTCTATTCTCCATAAACCACCTTCGGCCCTAGGAAATATTAACGTACGATCATCTTGTAACCAAGCCTGTGATCTTGACACTAGAACAATTGCTGCTTTCATTTCATCAAAATAATTATAAAATTGTAATAGTAAAACTTGTTGTTTCGCTAAGGGATCAGAAGAGATGTAGGCAACTAAATGTCCATCGCCTAAAGGTGTTAAACTATCATTATCAAACGATGATACAGAGACTCTATCAATTAGACAAATATGTGTTAAACTATCAGGATCAATTTGATCCATAGTTGGTGTAATGGGTAAATCAGTCATTATATGAATGTATGTATATATGTGTATAAATATTTGTGTATAAATATAAAAAGAAAAACAGATATATAAATCCTTTTTTTTTTCTTTTAAAAAATAAAATAAAATAAAATAAAAGAGGTCATTTTACTGCTGTTACAGTAGCATGTGTAAGCTAAAGATAAAAAAAAAAAATAAGAAATTCTTGTGGAGTCTTAATCATTTATTGTTGTACGCATCAACTGCATAATCTTTTATTATCCCAATTAAGGGGAGAGGGGGAAAAGTAGGTTACAATTGGCATTGACACGTGCAATTACTAACAGGGCAAATAGAATGCTTTTGAAACCATTCAAACATGTGTATTGCATGTCCACCATGTCTACATGTTTGACACCAAGTAAACCAAAGATCAAATCCTGCTGGATCAACTATATAAAAGTAACTTTTTAATATTAGTCTATTCTACTCTATTTTAAAATTTAAACTTCATTACCTTTATGAGTATCATTCATCATGATCGTTTGTCTTAATTGATCTATAGGTGTCCCCATATGCAGTAAACAGAGAGCACACCTGGGTAATGGCTTTCTACAGCTTAAACATACTGAATTCTAATCATATTTTGGACTGGCTGTTAATAAATAAATCGTACATGTGTATGTATATCCATCTATCATTACCTTTTGTTTCCCAGAAGCTCGTCCACCAGGATTGCTTGTTTGTACATTCATTCTCTTTCCTTCTCTATTTCTTGCATTTTGTATAACAAGACTATGACCTAAAGACTGTGCACAAAAATTACAGCGAACATAAATTTGAGGTGGAGCAATCTCACTTGCATTCATTTTTTGTCCACGTTGAATATCAAATTTAGCTCTTTCATGCCACATTTGCCATCGATCCATTAATTGTCGGTAACTTGAACAGGGAGGAAGTTTAGCTTTTTACTTTCTTTTAATCTTTATTATTATTATTTTCTTACTTACTTTTCGACCCAATCTTCTACTCGACCATCTTTAAATCGTTTGGGTACAACATAACTCATAACTAAACTTACTGTTTGAACATCTCCATATCTATCAAGTGATTTCTCAAATAAATCTATTCCTTTCGGTGTTAACCCAGTCACAACTACTCCTTCTACATCTCCTTCTTGAACTAATTCATCTAATATTCTATTCAAATAAGTTGATAACTTGTAATAGAAAAAGGTATATAAGATTTCTTTTCTTCTTCTTCTTTGTTTATTTATGTTTATCATACATACCTCTTCATCATTTAATACACGTAAAGCAACAGCCATACGTTCTCGAAGTGGTAAAGAATGTTCATTTAATACTCGATACCAATCATTAGAAGCAATGAATGCAAATATGGTTTGTAAATAAGGTCTATCTATCATATCATTACTTAATGATTCACAAATTTCTTTCCATGTATTATTTTCTTCTATTCCTTTAGCTTGATAACTTGCTAAAATGGCTGACATTAATTTATGTTGTTGTTCTAGAAAGAAAGAAAAAAAAACAAATTTTATCAAGCTATGTTCCTCTTTTATTTTATTTTATTCTTTACCTTCTTTGGGATCTTTTCCTTTAGCATTACTTAAAGCACTTATAGCTCTTTCAGGAATACCATGAAACAAGGCTAAACCAGCAGCTTTGTCATATTCTCCCTTAGATTCAAGACTATAGATAGATAGATAGATAGATATATTAATTTTAAATCATTTGATATATAGAATAGAGGGAAAGGAGACTTACTCTACTAGCTCTTGTTCAAATTCTCTAATATCTAAAGTAAACCCACAAGTGGTTAAAGCAAGATTTCGTTGCAATAATTTATTCGTTTCTACCATAGGTAATAGAAAACTATCATTCGTTGTTTCTAAATTTTCTACTTCTTTTCGGTTATGAGATATTTGACGAGTTGAATCTAGTCGAGATGAGGCTGAAGATGATGAATGATTTCTATGAGCTTGTGAACTCATCCAAATACCATAAACACCATGAAAACTATAATCCATGGAACCAATTTTAGATAATTTTGATGCTACGTTATCTGCAATCTTGATCCATGTCCATAACTCTCTTAATTTACGATCCTCTTTTATAATTAATAAGTTCTTTGAAGGCTATTTTGCGCAAAAAGAAAAATAAGTAAAAGTTTTTTTTTTTTTTTCAAATAGTATTATTCTACTTACATCCATAGAATATCCTTCTGATAACCTTTTTCTCATTACTACTGAAATGTCATTATTAAGTTCTTTTACTAATGACTTGTCTTTACTTGTTATAATTGATTCTTGTTTACTTATTTCAGATCTATGCATATAATAAACAATTAAACGATACTTTATATATATATGCATATATAATATATCTCTTACAGTGGGTTATCATTATCCAAATGAATGTTTTCTATTATTTTATCTTCTGGAGAAGCTGGATGATAATAGAGTGATCCTATTTTACCAGTCATCATCATACCTCCTTTAGGTTGCCAAGCAATTTGACATGTCTCTTGTACTTTAATAGATTCGAATTTCCCGTCTGTATGTATAGTTAATATATGATGTGTGTTTGGTAAGGATGAACTGGAATGAGAAGGTGGAATAAAGACAAAGGAGGCAAATCGTTTCATACTTGACTTTGTTTTACGACTTTTCCAAAGTACAGGAATGCTTAAGGTTTCATCATCTGATAATGTTTGAAGTACACTCTGAGATAAACCTCTCTCTAACTTGTTCATATTTGTAGATGCATTCATTGAAAGAGGTGTTGTATTAGAATGAATCGTAGTCGTTGGCCTTTGAACAGATGAATTTAATGCAGCTTGTAAAGAACTTGTTTCTTGTATATCCCATAAATCAATATGGCTTTCATCTTTTGTTAAAGACGCTAAAAATCCAGGCTGAGTACGTGAAAATACAATCTTTGAAAGATTGTTTTTATTTTCGGGGCTTAGTGTTAATACTGCTTCATTATTTTTTCTAATATCCCATAATTTAATGATTCCTTCCTCTGTATAAGATCCAAATCGATAAGGACAAAATGGATCGATAGCAATTCCATGTATTGCCTTTGTCGCAAATTGTAAAGGATAAGATCCAAGATCTGCTCGAATGTCATATACTCGAACGTATTTATTACCCATGCCTGCAATAAGTAATGGTGCATTCTCATGTTCTGACCAAGCACAAGATGAAATAGCTTCTGATGAACCATATTGTCTTATAGGGCCCTGTTCTCGTGATCTATAATAATAAAATTAGTAACAAAAAAAAAAAAGAAAAAAGAAAGAGGATATGATTATATAACTATTTACCCAGAATTTGGAGATGAAATAGGTGGAATATCATTATATCGTGCTCTATCTACATTTAATAAGAATTTGATCAATATGCCAGCTTCATTTATTTTTATTTTTGTTTTACCCTCATAACTGTCTGTATGATTATTATTTCTTCCATTATCTATTCTCCATTGGTTTGTAATAGAAGCACGAGATTCTTGTTGTGTAAAACCTCTTACAACTGGAAAGGCTACTTGTGCGTTAGGCGTTTGAGGTCCAGTAGGTGTATTACAATAACTATCTATAGATCGAGTAACATCCCAAACTAAAAGACATGGATCATTACGTACTTTATCAAGTCCGGCAGCTAACAAATGAGGATGTGTTTTTGAGAAAGATACTACATTACTAGAACGAGATAATTTTACGCCTAAAGAAGGATATTGCTTTGGTTGCTGATGATGAATGAATTCTGTATTATTATTTGTAATACTAGTATTAGTATTAGTATTAAAATGGGATGTTCTTGCTTGTTGTTGTTGTTGTTGTGTAGGTATATCAAGTCCGTCTGAGTTGGGATAATCAGTTAAAGAATGCTCTTGCATTCGTACAAGTAATGTTCTTCCTGTCGTTAAGCCGACTGCTACTAAATCTGGATAATTAGGATCTGGAGACCAATCAGCACACTAAAGATGTAGGTTGTCAAAAGAAAAAATAAAGGACAGAAAGAAAGAAATATGCCATATATATATATATATTATACCATCATTAAAGTAATATCTGGTATAGTTGATATATAACGTGCTCTTCCTGGTGAGTCATTTGTCTAAATCAAATAGATGAGTATGATATAACAATGTGTACCATAGAATAATATTACTTCTGGAATCCAATCATATAATTTTAATTCAGTTCCACCAGCAAGAAATTGGTTTTGACCTTCATGAGGTGACCAAATGATGGATCTTTGAACTACAACCATAATAAATAAATATTTTCAGAGAAAAAATAATAAAATAAAATTAATATGCTGAGTTACACATTAATGACACTTTCTGTGAAATTATTATTTTTTTTTTTTTTTTTTTTCACAATAATAACAATAGAAATGTTCTCCTTCTTTCAAGGCAACATGCAATCTATTATTGGTAGAGCAGATTTTAGTATAATTGAAACAGTCAAGTGTAAAATAATTTTAAAAATATAAGGACTTATAATCTCATACTTGTATAAAGCATTTCAACTTCAATGGCAGTTTTAAAAGAAAACAAGCATTACTCAAATAAAGCCTTAAATTACAAGAAATGTTTTAGAAATTAAAAAAAAAATGACTATTATAGTCTACATTACTTTAGCCGTTATAGATGAATATTTACAAATAAAAGATAAACAGAGAAGAAGAAGAAAAAAGCATCTTAACGTCTATTTGACTTTATTAAAAAGATGAATAATAATTTATTTATTGTTTTTTTTTTATGAATTCTGGTTTACTTTTTTGTCATTTTCCCTTTTGTTAAAGAAAATCATAAACATCTAACGACTGCATAAGTTCTCTTGAAAGTTTCTCATTCTATTTACTACAGAATAATTTCAAAATAAAATAAAATAAAAGGTTTATATTATTATAACTTTTTTTGACTAAATAATCTACAAAGCTTCGAAATAAATTAGCATAATTTCTCTCATTGTTAGTCTTTGCTGATTTGGTATGTTGCTGATAAACTCTACTATTTTCGAAGCAAACATATTTTATAAAGAAAAGCATTTTCCAAAAAAAGGAAAAAAACACCTCCGCAAGTTGCGCATATTTTTTTGTTGAACGTATTTTCCTTATTTTTTTTTTTTTTTTTTTTGCTTTTTTTTTTTTAGCAAGTATTATCACTGTCGACTTGTATTCATTTATTTTGGAAATAAAAAAATAAAAAAAAAAAAAAAAAAAAAAAAAAAAACTGATTTAAAAAGCATGCCACCTATTAGATCATTAGAAGATGCTTTTCTTTCTCAGTTAATTGAGGATGAGAACATTCAAAATGTCATCTTGAAAACAGATGTTGAAGTTAATTCGTTAGTCTCTATTTTAAAAAAACTCAATTCAACTTCAAACGCGTTACAACAAGAATTATTCGAGCAAGTGCAATCTCATTTCGAGCAGTTTGCATCATCTTATAATACAAGTCAAGATATACAAGCTCAAGTTTTGAAAATGACCTCTCAAGTATCAGAAACCGAAACAATAGTGTCTGAAACACAAAAGCAAGCAACAACGACAATTGAAGCATATCAACATGCTTTGCTTGAATCACAAAAGAATCAAGCTAGAATAAATGCATTACAAAGGATTGAACAAATATTAGAATTAATTGAATGTATTCATGATGAATCAAGTCGATACACTTATTTGGATTCTGTTAACCATTTAATTCAATTGAAACATATTCTAGCAAAAGATTGGAAGGATGATGATCCTAGTAATAGTACTCAAATTAAAGAAATAATACTCTCTCGTGTTGAGCAACTCGAACAATCGATTGTTCTAAGTCTTCAAGAAGGGATTCATACTGCTATTCAATGTAGTTTGGGCTCAATACGTGTATTCTCCTTCTTTCAACCTAATTTAAATACAAAAGTGCAGTTGTCTGATATCTTTCAATCGTTATATCAACTAGGTTTATTACCTGAAGAATGGATGAATGTTCAACGTTTGGTATTTAAAAATATCTTTATTCCTTATTTCGAAAAATCCGGTAGTAGAATACAAATAGAAAATGTTCAAACTGAGTCTGCAGGCACAGGAGGTGTATTACAAATTATTCGTGACACTACTGATGAAGATGAAGATGGTTATGTCGAACCAATATCGATGATAAACGATATGGAACTTATTTTAGATTTTCTTTATTCTAATTTTTTCAATAATAGTGATAACGACAAAGACATGAAGCTTTTATTCGGTAATCTATTTTTACCCGAATTAATAAACTTGATGATTAGTAAAGGTATTGCACCAGCGATCCCGTCTACAAGATCCAACTTATCCGATTTTAAGCGTGTAGCAGATAGTGTTATCAAGTTTGAAAATAAATTTGAAGATAAATATGGCTTCCAAACAAAGGATACAATACTATTAACAGATTATGTAAAAAATATCGATAAACATTATGCTAAGAAACGAAGCGAACGTATATTGCAGGAAGGAAGAAAAGTAATGCTTCGACGGCTTTATGATACAGACAAGACAACTATAAAAGGGCAAAAAGAGAATGAACCTATTTATGAATGCCAGATTACTCAAACACCTGAAATATTATCTGTTTTGATATCTGATACCTTGTCAGAAGCGTTTGATTTACTGCATGATTCTCATACTATCTCAGCTAACACATTAGTGGACGGTCTAGGCGATTTATTAGATATGTATCGAGCAATCATGCCCAGTTATCATCGAACACAGTATCTGATGAGCCCAGCCAATTCTCTTGTATTTAGAAATGATTGTCTTTGGTTAGCTAATCAACTTGAGACAAAACTGTCTCCAAATGCTTTGCATTCGTTCCCACAATTGTCAGTACTGTTAAAGGAATCTATAGAACGCCTCAAGGAATTAGGCAATGCTTGGCATGAATTAACAATGACTCAGAGATTAGAAATGATACAAGCCTGTTTAGATCAATTGAATGGATTTTCTGGTATGATGGTAATGGAAAATGTTGATAAATTTCAACAAGTGTGTGAGCAAGTAATTTCGCAAGTCATTGACTTGGTATTACTCTTTGCAAAGGAGGTGCGACCTGTGATTGATGAAGTCCTGTTCTTAGATATGTTGGGCCGTATCACTGAAAGTATCTTGAATAGATTGATCAAGGATATTGAAGCAATAAAAGATATAGGAGCAGAGGAGTCACATGTGATTGCACGTGCTCTTAATAGTTTTGCTCAACTCGTGGGGGCATTTGACTTACCAACCAGTGATGCGACTGAATCCTTTGTTTCTGAACTTGTCCCAAGTTGGCACAAATTTTGGCTACTGAAGGATATTTTAGAAATGAACATGCGTGAAATTATGGAAAGCTTTCATCGTGGTGATCTTCATATGTTCGAAAAAACCGAGTTGATTGGGCTACTCTGTAGCTTATTTGCTGATACAAATTTGAGAGAATCCAATATTGAAGAGATCAAGGGAGGACAAAGCTCCAATCGATATGAGACACCACCATCCTATACTGCAAAGATACCCAGCCAGCAAGAGCAATCATCTACTTCTTTTGCTAGTCCACCAGCGTCTACACCTGCTGTATCCAGTACTTCTGGATCCATTCATTCTGGATTGCAGTATACACTTGACGATGATTTAGAAGAAACAGAAATAGGCTGGAAAGATGATGATGATGATGATCTGTTCAAGGACGATACATATCAGTCTTTATTAAATTCATCTGCAGAGAATAACTCTACAGGGCATTCACGTTGTATTTCATTAGAGCCTTCCCAAACAATGGATATAGATGATACAGCTGATGGGTGGAGTGATGCAGATGAAGATGTGTTTAAGGATGATAAATTAATAGGTTCATCACAATTAGTAGACGAATTGCCCACTTCTTTTAAAACAACACATGATGAAGGCTCTAAAAATACGATACCAACAGTACAAAAGCCCTCTATCTCTTTATCAGCACCAGATTTAGATATGCAAGAGTTAGAAGAAGGTGAAGGATGGGGTTGGGATGATGATGATGATGATATTTTTAACGAAGAAGAAGAAGATATAAAATAACAAGATCGCTAATTATGTATACATAATTCTACAACATACAGAATTAGAATAGATAATCAATAAAATCCATTGAATTGTACATATAACAAGAACATATACATGTGTGTGTGTGTGTGTGTGTGTTGTAATAATGTATGTATGTATATCTTCCTTTTTTTTTAATTAATTTAACTTTGTAAAGTCTTCATTAGTCTAACAAAGTTATAGTTTTTCAGCAAAAAAAAATAAAAAAAAAAGATATGGTAACACATGCTATTAATTGAAGTTACAATTTTTTTTTTTAATTAATATGGACATAATTTCTTATCTTTTTCTTCTTCTTCTTTTTCTTCTTCTTTATCATTTTGAGAAAAGAATTCTTTTTAAAGATAAAAAAAATGTCCTTACTAAGAAACTCTCATACTCCGACTATTCCTACACGCTCTCCATTTCGAATCAGAGATTCACAATTAGCAAAGATTCAAAAATTGAATCAAGGTAAACGATCTTTTTTTTTTCTTTTTCTTTTCAAATATGGTTTATATATGTTAACAACCTGTAGTGGATGACTGGAGTATGGCATTAGAGTTAAATGATATGTGGAATCTAAAATCAACACATAGTAACAACACTAAATACAAAGCTTTATCCTTTTCTCCTTCTTTTGCAGAGAATCAACTATTAACTCAACTATTAATATCACAAGCTTTATTGGCTTCAAATGATTACAAATTATTAACTTTTGATGAAATGGAAAAGCTTAAAAAGGTAAAGACAAGTTCATAAAATAGAAGGGGTTCAATTATTATAAACTAGTTTATCATGTCTTCATTTAGGAATTATTAGATACTCACGAACATTTAATGCATCTATCCAGGAACATCAAATTAGAGACTCATATAAAGAATATATCAAAAACATTAGAGAATGTTAATCTTAAGAATAGTAGACATTCAATTCTATATTTACAAAATGAATATCGATTCCATGAACAAAAACTCAAATTAATGATAAACCAAGTGGAAATGTTAAAGAAACGAGAAACTGAGCTACAAAGGACTTTATTAGAACATACAGCTGCTGTTCTAAATAAAGGCTTACATAACAAAATGAAACTATCAACAAACGATACGATAGAGGATGAAAAAAGGATTTTCATGTTAGAAAATCAATTATCTGAAATAGCAAAAAGAGTCAATTTTATCTGTACTGAAAGGATCCAACTAATGATATCACCTAACAGTAGTACAATTCAAAAATTACTTGAACTCGAAAAATATGCAAATCGACAGGACAATATATCGAGTAAAAAGTAAAAGCCTTTTTTTTTAATATTCTATTAATGATCTTGTAATCGACTACTAATCATTAATTTTTTTTTTTTTTTTTTTTTTTTGCAAATGTAGCTATCTAAATGAACACTTAAAATTTGAAATTAATAACCCATTAGACATACGATTTCAAAAGAATCAACTTTTATCGAGGTTAATCGATATGGAACATATCTCGACTAAATTATTCACACAAATGACCCATTATCCTCAGCGTGAAATGGCTCTCAAATTAGAATTATTACAATACAAGACCGAATCAATAGAAATGCAGATTTGGAAAAAGAAAAGACAAAGAGATGAAGACCCTGAGCAAATTTCAAACAGTAAATTACAATATCAAAATCAACTAAATGAGCAAGTAAAGTTTTATCAATCTGAAATTGAACAGCAATCTATTTTGATACAAAGAGATCAGCAGTTATGTCAAAGACTAGAAAATGATTGTGAAAGACTTGAAACTGAAAATAATCGTTTAGAGCAAGTGTTAAAAGAGAAATCTCGGATATTAGATACAAAAGATAATAAAATCACTCAATTAAATAATGAAATAACGAACTGTCAATACAATCCTAATAGTAGTAAAATAAAGGAAAATAAAATGAAGCAAGATTTTGAAATAAAAGATAAAAATTGGGCATCACATACAGCACAGATGGAAGATAAATTTGATTTACTTTTAGACAATTTTGATAAGTTAACCAACAAAGCAATTGAATTTGATTCACATAGAATGAAATATGATCGAACTATAGAAGAGCTCAATAAAACTATTTATCAGCTTGAACTAGAACTAATGAATGAAAAAGTGGAAAAGATAGGTTATGGGGGCAATTTTAATAGTGACTCACCTGCTACAACTGTTGGTTTACGTAAAGAATTCCGGATATTAGTAGCTGATATCAAAAGAACGCATCAACTTCGAATGGAGCAAGAAGCTGAAGAAATTCAAAGATTAAAAGTTCAAATAGAAGAATTACAACGTAGTAACAATGTAACTTTTCAATATAAACAACGAAATGACATGGCAATTCAAACAGAAGCATATACAAACAATTGAATAAAATGCATTTCTATTTCTCTAATTTTTATCCTTTATATACCTGTATCATCATAATGCAATTGTATATTTTATTTTACTATTTATATTTTAATTAGAGAAGAACAAGACAGATATCTTGTATGACCATTTTCACTATTTCTTTTTAGACTATATGAACTTGTATTATTGAAGAAGTCTTATTTACATACAGTGAAAGATGAGAATTGATTCCTTACTGTATACGTGAATGGCAATAAAACATTTGTGAATACAATATATTTTTAAATTTTATAACGGTATATATAGCATTCTTCTTATTGAGGGTCTACAAAACCTACTTTTTCGTTAGTAATTAATAAGATATTCTAATACGTTCATTATCACAACATATATTTGTATATATTAAAGTAACCCCCTTATTAATTGAATTTAAATCACTAGAATTTCAAAGTGGGATAATGTTATTCCATTTTTCTTGAAGAAGGTAACCTTAATATTCCGATAGCATTAGTAGAATCTTCGAGCAACTCTACGTATCTTTCGACAACTAAAGAATGCTACAGATAATGTCGAACTATATTGAAATGTACAAAATATGTTAGTAAATATTCCAATTATTATAATAAAAAAAATAAGGCTTTTAAAATAGTATAAATTTAACAAATTAATATTCAAATCGGTATATCCAGTATTCTCCCTTCCGTCTCCCCTCCTTTCTTTTTCTGCTATGATAGACAAACGGATCCATTTTGATACTTCAAAAAAAAATCTGATGAAAGCTATATTGTTTCTTTCTAATGCCCTACTAATATGACATTATTGATCGAGTATATAAAGAGAATACTAACAATCTTAATGTAGAAAAAAGATACTGTTAAGCAGGCTTTGGAATTTCGGCAATAATAAAAAATAATGTCAATTTATAAATGTATTTTATTGTCCTTTTCAACAATAATATATAATATATATTTAAGATCAAGCATGAAAAGTGAAAGGACAGCAAATGAATATTTGATCCTGTGAAGGAGGGAGAATCAACTTATTATGTTGAAAGCGTAGCAAAGTATAGATTATAGACCGTCGTATTCGCCAAGGAGTAATGGATTGTGAAGATTAAGTTCTTTATTTTATTTGTTAACGAAAATTAATTCAGAAGGAATGAAATGGGGTTAACGATTATAATCTATGATATATTTGCATAATTGTACAGTATAGTACTAAGATAAGAGTCGTATTGAAACGTAAAATAGTTAATGGGGTCATATCCTGTTAGTCTATTGAATAAAGTAGTAATAAAAGTGGTGTTAGATTATAAAGAGGTGAAGTTACAGACAGAAGAATCTGATGCTTTTGTGGATCATTTGAATATGATAACTCTTCTAACATTAATATTTATTTAGTAGCATTTAGATAAATCATAGAATAGTATTCTAAATTATATTAATAATCAATATACAAAATGACAATATGTAAACGTCGTCGATAAGAGCCAGATTATAATACTATATGTTGAATATTGTAGGATTTTAAATTTTTAAAGGTTAACGCTCTAAATTTAGTCATATACCGACTCAAATACATCATATTAGTTAACGATTGTTTTGCTAATAGAACTAGGGATTTACAAGTAGTAGAGGAAATATATATAATATTTTAAGTAAGCATAATTAGCCAATTTATTTAATCTAAAATACATATTGACTCTACAGTTTTTTTTTTTTTTTCTTAAAAGAATACAGAAAAAAAACAAGCATTAAGCTGTGGATATTATTTTTAGTTACAAATAGTAATGAATTAGTATATTACTTGTCTTATGAAAATTGGCATGGAAATATAAAAATAAATGAAGAAAAAAAATTTTTTTCTTATTTCCCTGCTTTTAGGCATTACATTATACTCTTTATATTTTAAAATAATTTCCCAAACGTATAAATGTTGATTGTAGAATAAGAGTTCATTTTATCTTATTATATATTGAGTATAATAATGGCCACTGCATCCTTTTTTGTGAATAAAGAATAATAACTTTTATTCCAGCTAGGTACCTAATAGTAAGTTATATATGTGCGTAATATATTCATTATACGGTTTTGCTTGCATAAGAGATATTCTAAAATGATAATTACTATATAATCTGCAGGTTACATATTCATTATAGAATGCTAATTCTGACTTATTTTTATATACTGTATATTATATGCCTCCAATAAATATTGCAATAACGAATTTATTGGGCCTTTTACACTTCAAATGAAATTGCATTGGATTTTATTAGATTAGTACTACATGTAACAGAATAAAGGAGGTAGGGGAGAATATTAATATTTTTTTTTAATTATCTGTTGTATAAAGGTCAAGATGTTCTTCATGATATTTATCCGATAAATTAATTTGATTATGATACTAGAACTATCATATATAAATGGACATCCTTTTTTTTTCTCATTCATTTTTTTTTCTATAACTTATTAAATACAAATATGGTCCGTTCAACTACTTTTCTTACTATTATATCTTCTTCGTTTCTAATTTATACTTCTGCGTTACCCATTAACAAACCCAGCCCTACTATTTTAACTACCATACACAACGGACTTATTACAACCAAAACCAGAGGAGTCCTTGCTAATGCTTCACCTAATTATCTTCCTAGCTTTCCTTATCATGGATTTAAGCCACTCCATCCTATTCCCACTGGTCCAATTGATATCAGTAATCGATCTTCAATTATCAAAAGAGAGAATTACCCTGAACCATGGGTACAACCTGATGTAAATCATCCCGAAGTTCAAGCTGCTATTAACTCTATCGCGTGGAATCATGTACCAAATTTTACTCCCCGTACTGCAAATATGGAGTATGATGTTGGTCATGATGAGGCTTGTTGGTGGACGAAATCCGGATGCACTACACCTAAGGTTCAAGAGCTACCGATGGATACTAAATACTGTAAAAAAATAGGAGATTTTGGTTTGGTAACGCGTCATAGCACACACACACACATATATATATATATGTATATATACACTGCTTTTTATTTATCTAATATTATTCTATATTAATACTTAGACATATGATGATGGGCCATTGTTGCCACAAAGTCCAGAAGATGTTTGGGGTGAACCTCGACTTTATGATTTTCTTGCAAAGTATAATCAAACTGCCACATTATTTTGTGAGTATAACAAAAAAAAAGGTTAAAGTTATAGGCATTGACTTGCATATGTATATATTTTTTTTGAAAGATGTTGGTTCCAATGTTGTTAACTTTCCGGAGGCTGCGGTTCGTGCTCTCCAGTCAGGACATACACTTTGTGTTCATACATGGTCACATCCCTTAATGACAAGTTTGACAAGTCATGAAATTGTTGCACAGTTATATTGGACCTTAAGAGTGATTAAGGAAGCCACTGGAGTAACAACAAGGTGTTGGCGCCCACCTTATGGTGATGTAGACGATAGAGTTCGTGCCATTGCTCATCAAATGGGTTTATCAACTATCCTTTGGGATAGTGATTCATTTGATTGGGGACTGCCTTCTAGTGCAAATGGTTTTTCTGGTACTTACACTGAAGAAATGATCGATGGCTTCTTCCAACAGTGGATTGATGATAGAAAAGCAGGCGTTGATCAGCAAGGTCGTATCGTCTTAGAGCACGAAGCAAGTAATATGACAGTGGCTATTGCGGAAAAATGGCTCCCAGAACTTAAATCGACATTCAATGTGAAAAGAGTTCATGATTGCGCCCCTGAACTTCCTAACCCCTATTGGGAATTACCAATTTAATTTTCCTCTTCTCCTTTATTCTTTTACATTTAGACATATTAATATTCTCTAGAATGTTGTAATGTACATAAAATTAATAAACTAGTCACACTTTATTTAGCACTAAATACACCCTGCAAATCGATTTGATATGTACACATATTTTTTTTTTTTTTTTTTTGTACTTTTTTTTTTCCGAACGCCTTTTAATTATATAAAGGATGGATTTACTTAATAATTACGGATCAAGTGATGAAGAAGATAATAATACCATTGCAACCCTAAAGCAATCTTCATTAATAAAGGTTAACTCAGTCCCCGATACAGGATTTGATGTAAGCTGTTCATTTTACTTTTGTTTTTATCTTTTGTCATGACTTTCTTAATTTAATTAAATAAAACAAACAAATTCATTTTTTTTTTTTTTTCCTTACAGGAGCATATATCCGGAGCCTTATACACAGCGCCAACAGCTACAGAATTAACTGTGAATGTACCATATAACGACATGAATCGACCTGTGTTAGGACCTGACAATCCTTTTTCACAACGACAACTAACAATTCAAAATGTAGTTAACGGTCATGTTGAACAGCAAGCCATTTCTGAAATGGACTTTCGAACTCAATACCGTACATTTGAAACATATGGATATGCACGCGATCCTTCTCTTAACACGACAAATAACTTTGCTGGACAGACTGGTGAAGGCTTGATGGGCACAGGTTATGTAGGTAACTTGACAAATGCAACCAAGTTGGGAGGTGTAACTATTCATGATCGAGTCAATCGAGATTTACGACCTAATAAAGACGCACGTAAAAAGCGTAACAAAAAAGGTAAATTGGATCAAGTGGATGGACCTGACGCGTATATGGGACCCTGGGCTGGTTACGAGGATGATAATGTAGGTATTCCTACTGGTTTAAATGAAGAACAAGTAGAACAAACTGAAACAATAACAACACAAGCTCCTGCAAAAGCAACTGAATTTTCAGTTAAAAATATTGCTAATGAGACACATACAGAGACAACCATCTTCCATGGAGCCTCAGAACATGATTATTTGGGACGTACTTATATGGCAGTACCTCAAGATGTAGATGTTAATTTGTTTGGTGAACCTGGTCAAAAAGAAAGTTTCATTCCCAAGAAGTTAATTCATACCTGGGAAGGACATGAAAAGGGAGTTTCTAGTATTAAATTCTTTCCTAAATCTGCTCATCTTCTACTTAGTGCTGGTATGGATAATCAAATTAAGGTAAAACTTAAAAAAGTATGTTAGATATATTCATTACATATTGAACCATTTCTCTATATAATTAGATTTGGGATGTATATCATGATAGAAGTCTTCTTCGTTCATATCTAGGGCATTCAAAGGCAGTTAGAGATATTGCATTTAATAATGATGGCACAAAATTCTTGAGTGCAAGTTACGATCGTAATGTGAAATTATGGGATACAGAAACAGGAAAATGCATTCGTACATTTTCTACTGGAAGATTACCTTATTGTTGTACATTTAATCCAGCTAAACAAAATATTTTTTTGGCTGGTTACTCTGATAAAAAGATTGTTCAATTCGATATAAATACAGGAGAAATTACACAAGAATATGATCAGCATTTAGGTGCAGTGAATACCATTACCTTTGTTGACGAAAACCGTCGTTTTGTTACAACTTCAGATGATAAAACAATGCGTGCATGGGAATTTGATATTCCTGTTGTTATTAAATATATTGCAGAACCAGATATGTATGCTATTCCTGCAGTGACACTATCACCTAATAGTAAGTAAAAAGATAGTAATGTACATACATGTATATATATATATATATATATATATATATTCTAAAATACATCTATTTCTGGTTTATAGAAAAATGGCTCGCTTGTCAGTCATTAGATAATCAAATTCTTATTTATGGTGCTCGTGATAAGTTTAGATTAAACAGAAAGAAAAGATTTGCTGGTCATCTTATTGCTGGTTATGCTTGTAAACCTGGATTCTCACCTGATGGAAGATTTATCAGTAGTGGTGATTCTAATGGCAATGTTTGGTTTTGGGATTGGAAAACGTGTAAAATTTTGAAAAAGCTTAAGGCACATGAAAAAGTTGTTACATGCACTGAATGGCATCCTCATGAAACTTCAAAGGTGGCTACCTCTAGTTGGGATGGATTGATTAAATATTGGGATTAAAATTTGTTGTTTTTTTTTATTCAAATATTACGTATATATAATGTTAAAAATTTGTAATGAATATAATATATGTGTATGATATTGACAAAAATGGCTTTAAAGTAGAGTAGACCGTCTTTATCTTATTAGTATAATATATATTTTATTATGATCATTGAAATACATGTTTTGTAATAAGGCAACGAGTTAGATTTAATGCTAATATAATATAGCAGCAGGCAGGCAGATAGGAAAAAAATAAAAATAAGAATTAGATATCTATAGAAAAAATAAAATGAAATAAAGGAAATAATAGATTTTGTCTATGAGGAGAGGGGGGGATAAAATGTATATCCTTATTTAGTTTCAACAAAGAAATGCTTAATTTTATCTTCGCTAAGGCCCATTGAAGTTAAGAAAATAGAAGCTTGTTTAAGCTCTTCCTTTTGTCTTGTCTCGTCCCATTTGAGTTCTTCTGACATAATTTGAATAACTTTAGGAAGTGCCTGTAGAGCAGCATTAGCATTTAAAAAGGCTAGACGTGTACGACGCGCTAGAACATCTACTGCAGTGCAAGCAAGCTCTTGTCTAACAACATATCTTATTTCGGCTTCGATATAGGGATAGTTATGTGAAATACGGTTACCATATTTAGGCCAAGTCATGGAGGTAGAATCGTTAATAGAAGCAACTTCCCAAGCACGATTACCATAACTACGAGCAAGATGTTGAGCTACTTCTGTATCCATGCCATACTCCTGAACTAATCTAATAAACATTGTATCATTGTATCCTTTACTGCCAATCAATTGAATATGCTCTGTTTGACATTTTTGCTTAGGATTAAGATTGAAAACTTCAATAGCTTTATTTACGGTCTCTTCTGCCATAGCACGATAGGTTGTCCATTTACCACCTGCAATCGTAATCAATTTGTTTTCACTAACATTAATCATATGGTTGCGAACAAGGGACTCTGTATTTTTTGCATTAGGATCTCTTACTAATGGACGGATGCCCGACCAAGCAGCAAGAACATCACTACGACGTACCTTAACATCTTTATATTAAATAAGTATTTTTTTTTTGTTTGATTACTTGTATATATTTTTTTTTCTTTCATTTAGTTGTAAAATTTTACCTGGACTCAAATAATGAGATACTTCATTTAAAATCCAATTGATTTCGTCTTCCTTAGGCATAGGATTTTGAGTAACCTCAGTAGGGGAATCTATGTAAGATTACATAAGATAATTTATCCTTTTTTTTTTTTACTCCGAATAAAATTAGCCTTTTTTTTTACCTGTAGTACCAGCAATCGTGTTACCCTGCCATGGTAAAAAGAAAATAACACGGCCATCACTTGTAGCAGGATCTAGTAATCCCATATTTCTTGGGCTATAATAGTTGGGAAGAATGATATGAACACCAGCAGATGGAGCAACAATGTCCATATTTTGAGTATCATCCATCTTACGAAGACTGTCAGTAAAAGGACCAGTTGCATTGATGACACCCTACAAAATACATAATATGTAAAACAAAACTATTATAATTTTTTTGGCAGTTTCTATTCACCTTTGCTTTAACATCCCACTCATCACCACTAATATTATCTCTTAATTTTGCACCATTTATATTCCCCTCATTATCTTTAGTTAAGTCTATGACTTCACAATGATTTGCCACAGTTGCACCATAGCATATAGCGGTCATAGCTAAGGCAACATTCATTCTTGCATCATTATGTTGGCCTATTAACATAAAGTTTTTTTTTTTTTTTTTTTTTTTTTTTTAGTATGGAATTATATTTGATCTCCGTATTTTATAACCTACCATCATAGTAAACTAAAGCACCTACTAATTCGTCATTCTTTAACATAGGAAAAGCTTCAAGAGCCTTGGAACGAGTTAAAAAGTAACTACTTTCTAATGATTCACGACCTGCAAATATATCATATAATTTACAGCCAAACCAATAATAAGGTACTTGCCACCATCTTTTTTTTTAAAAAAAAACGTAATAAAAATAGTGTAATTAGTTTAGATTATCTTTTTTAAATTAAAATGTATATTATCCCGATATTTCCCTCCCCTGAAAAAAATAAAATAAAATAAAATAAAGACGTAATATATGACTTACTTATAAACTGGAAGCATAATCGGTAATTGATCAGAAAGATGAGGAGCAATATCTAAAAATATCTTTCTTTCATGAAGGGCTTCACAAACAAGAGCGTATTGTTCATAATCAAGTTCCATAATTGCTTTTTGTAAATATCTAACACCGCCATGAACTAATTTTGTCGATCTCGAAGACGTACCTATTTTTTTTTTTTTAGAAAAAATAAATAAATAAAACATTAGTAATATAGATTTACCTGAAGCAAAATCATCCCTTTCAACCATAGCTACCTTTAATCCACGAGTAGCAGCATCAACAGATATACCAGCCCCCGTAGCTCCTCCTCCAACAATTAATAAATCATAAGGTTCCTGGTTTTTATCTTTTAATTTTTGGATCATTTCTTCACGTGAAGGTACATTCCAAAAGTCACGATCCTGTTGTTGTTGTTGTTCCTGAAGTGCTTCAGCAAAGGCTTTATTGTTTGTTATCAACAGAGAAGGTAAAGTTGAAGTTTGTTCTTGAATTCTTATTGTTCTTTTATATACATTGTCAGCATTTAACTTGTCTTTCATATAATAAGCAAAACTAGCTGTAGCAGTTGTAGCAGTTGCTAATGTTATAATCTTTTGTGTTTTTGATAATTGTCTCCACATTTTGTGTGTGTGTGTGTTGTTTTTTTTTTTTTAAGTAAAAGAAAGAAAAGAAAAAAAAATAATTTCCCCCTAAAACTATTCTTACTTATTTATAAAGCATAATAACTATATGCTATTTGCTTATCAGCATGTGTATATTGTATGGCTCGGGAAGCTTTTTTTTTTATGCTTGTTACTTTGAATAAGTTTTGATATTTCCCCGGAAAAAAAAATTAATACTCAGAGTTTTTTTTTTTTTTTTTGGTTTTAATAAAAATCAATTCTTTTAATAATTTTGGAACTTGCACAGCCTACTATATAATGTTTAAATATTTTTATTTTTGTTTCGCTATCATTAAAATAAAGAATTATAATACAAGTCACTCTTTTATTTCATTTTATTTTATTAGGCGGTGTAAACTAAGTTTAAAATGATAAATAAGTCAACATGTATACTGTATAATTAATTACTTGTATTTAAAGTAAACTTTTACGTCACATATTGATCAGGACTATATTAGCAGTTTTAAATAGCATACTTCTCGGTACATCGTAAAACGAAAATTACGATTAAATATTTTTGTTTCATTGAATGAAAAATTAAAACCCATTTAAGCATATAATATAACAATATTGGATTGCCAGGGTCAGATCAAAAAAAAAACCTTTTGATAGACTAAAAGGAAAATGAACAAAGAACAATATCTTTAAATACTAGACTGATTACTGTATAACCAAGTGATTAAGTCAGTACCAAGAGAATGCAGGACTTCAGGTGGGATTTTATCATGGTGAAGATAATCAAGTTCAAAAAGTATATTACATATTATCGGCCAGCAAATAATCTATGCAGGAGTAGGGGAGCTGATTTGTACAAAAAAAAAAAAAAAAAAAAAAAAAAAAAAAAAAAAAAAAAGTTTTGTAATAATCCAGGTAGAGATGGTTGTAGCATTTTCCAAATATAATTTCGGTCCATTTATATCATATGCTGATTTGATGTCCAGAAAAGCTAGTGTAGAAGCTGTTTGATATTGCTGGCGAAGAATAGACTAAATTTCAACAAGACAAAGAGCTGGATCTAGAGTACATTGTGAGTGACAAAATCCGCCTTGAATAATATCAAGGTTTGGACTGTCATTGACATGAATTGGGATACATACATTTTTCCAGGATTTTTCGGAACGTTGAAGTTTAGTTGAGTTGATGGGGCGATAGTTGCCAACATCAGAAACAAATCATTTCTTATGTATAGGGAATCACTTATGCTACCCTCCAAGGGACTGGTGCATAAGATCATTTCCCAACATAATCAGAACAGGTATAAAAGTACGGGTGATAATATATCAGCAATAGATGCGAACATTTTAATAGTAGTCATTGTAATCAAATCTTCATTTGATAAATACTTGCATAGATTATATAAAATTTTTACTTAGTCTATAAACTACAGATAACTAAAGCTTTAGTCTATTACATAATAGAGCAAATATAGAATAAACGAATGCCTATCATTTACTAGAAACAATTTACCATATGACCTATCATTACGCTTTAACTATATTATCAGCAGAACAGCTAGTATATTTTAATGTTTTGTAAAAATAAAAAAAAAAATCCCCCACTTTACAAACTACTTGGACTAAGGTTCTCAAATATGTAGTCCTGATTTGTATTTGGTATAGTTTCTTATATGATAATTTTACATAATGCACATATTTACAAAATACGAAGAAAATTGCAGCATTGGATAGAATTAGGGTAAACAAAAATAGTGGATATTTATTCATACTTTATTCTTCATTATCAAAACGTTTCCATACTGCATTTTCATCATCTTCGTTTTGATTTTCATCCAAAGCACCAGGACGTTCTTCTTTTTCAAATTGTGACACATCAACAGAATCATCACCTTCATCCATGTATTTAGCATCCGATAATGCAAGTGATCTATCTTGCTCAAATAATTGTCGACCTAATACACATCTTTAACATCTATTTTATATGTGTGCTTGCATTGTATATATACCTGTCAATTTCCCCTTTAATTCTTTTGCTTTTTGTGCCTTTAGTGCTTCATCTTTTTCAAACATTTCTGCATCAAATTTTTTCTTCCATTCCATAAAACTTTCAATTGTCACTTTAGTACCATGAAATTTAGCTTGTTCAGCTTCTTCTTCTTTACGTCTTTTTTCATTGGCAATTTCCTCTTCTATTCTCTTTGCATCTAATTTGATATTATCTAATTCTTCTTTCATGCACATTACCATACCAAAGATCATAGCCATCCCAATTGAATCCTCTGCCTAATTTTTTTTTCCGTCAATAATATTATTTACACGTGTTTTTTTTTTGTATATACTTTACAGCTGTCTTAACTGCTTCTTTAATCTTTTTATAATAATTGTCTGGAATGTCTCCCTGAATGGTCTCAATTTCATATTCTGGTAATTCTTCAGGATAATTAGGTGTATACGTTACATGTAAAGATAAACCCCCTATATAAAGACATTTTTTAAGTATTAGAATCCTTTTTATACCTTTTTTATTATCATTTTATCACTTACTGGGATTCTCTTCATCTTGTTCTTCAGGATATACAGCAATTCGAAATTCTTTGTCACTAATAGCTTAAAAATAAAATAAATAAGTTTATGATTAATATACATGATTTAAAATAATCTACCTTCAAATTCATCAGGATAAATTGAAGCAAGAGCTTCAAGCTCGTTAGCTTGCTCTTCTAAAAAGTCTAATATTATTTAAGGTTTAATTAGTTGAATCATTATACATGTGTACATTATCATTATTTCTTTAATTACCTGTCATCCTAAACTACCAAGTAGTTTTTTTTTTATTAATAAAAAATTTATAATTTATTTTTCAAAAAAAAAAAAAAAAAAAAAAAAAAAAAAAAAAAAAAAAAAAAAAAAGAGTCCAGCTAAAGATTTCAACCAATAGCATTACCAGAAATCCATTTGCTTTTTTTATTATTCTGGATTAAATTACTTGTGTAATTGCTTAGCAGTTAATTGTATGATAATATTTTCGAAAGTATTAGTGTGTGTAGCTCAGTTTATTGGTTATTCCTGAACACTAGAGTTAATAATGAATGCTCAACACTTATTCCTGCTTTTTTGTTTTAAAAAAACTAGTTCGAATCTTATTTTTTTCAAGGTAGAAAGTTGAATTAAGAAAAAGTTTCAACTAAATACAGAGCAAGGTCTTCACTTGGTGTGGTTTTAAAATTTTAAATAAATACATGTATAATATGTTTTCTGGGTAACAAAGAAGTTTATTATCATTCATGTTGAATGTAACTAATTCTATAAGGACTTCTTTTTTTTTCTTTGACTTTTTAGAATAATATTAACTTACAGTAGTGTCACTGTATGGAAATATAATACCATGGCAAGATCAGCAAAGAGCGAGACCAGTTGCGTAGATCTTTGCTTGTCTTCTGTTGTAGAACGCAAAGAGAAGTGTGGTAAATTATTAGAAATAAAATAAAAAAAGGCCAAAGTAGATACTTTTTGAGAATCTTTTTAGTTTTCTTAAAATTAAGATGTTGGGAAAATAATATGAAATGTGTGTGGGTACTAGATAATTCACTGCGGCATATATATTTAAAGAAAAAATGAGAAAGGCGAAGTTGTAGAAGAGAGCAAAAATAAGTACTTCCAGATGAATACTGATACTGAAGCATATCCTATCGATTGCAGCACTAATTATAATAAATATTCAGATCATAAACTGGGGATCAATGGGTATATGACCTACAACTGGGTTAAAAAGGACCAGGTAAATCCAGTGTCAAATAATGAAAAAAAGGTAGATTGTTTGGCGATTTTGGACATAATGCATACAAAGTACCTTATTAGATTTTATGACGACAACCCATCTGGTGTACTTGACCAAACTATGTATAATCTGATTTGCAAGTTTACTGGTTTTAGATTTTAAAAAGGCTCATATGCACTTGATTCAGAGGAACAGTCCTATTAATATTGTCCCAAGATATGAATAAATTTTAAAATGGGTAAATGAGACAGATACATGCAATTGTGTTTTTATCGATGATGCTACTCTCTTTATAAACCTTAAGCGATTCGATTCATAGCATATACCGAAAAAAAAAAAAGACTTGAGTTGAGGTAGTCGTATCCAGAAACTAGAGTAATGTCTACAGCTTGGAATTGTAACTATCCAACCATATCGATCAACAATACAATTTAATAAGCAAAGGCTAGGTGGTAATGGATTGGTTGTTAACAGTTCCGGAGTTACAATAATTAATCTATGTTAGCTTGTCAAAACTACCGTGTGTATCTTGGATGATCATAAATTTAAAAATCTTTGCATTGTAATGGATAATAATCCAATCCATACTTCAAAGGATATCGAACGTTATATCATTAGCTGTGAATGTGGTTGTATATATCTCCCTCCTACTCTCTTGAAATCAACCATATCGAATAATTTAGCCTGTTGGTAAAATTAAACTCAAGAGAGAAGAGATAATAGCTTTTAGAGAAACGAGGCAATTCCCAGTAGAACAAACATCCTTTTTAGTGGTCATCGGAGACTTTGTCATTATCATATTATATAAGCTTAATAGTTATTAAAAAAAATACATTATTAACTAGTAAATAAAATGAACTTTACTATGTAAAATGACCCATTTCTCTTATATATTTGTAGAATTGTGTAGTTTAAAGTTAAAACTGACTAATTTAATTTTCTAATATGTGCTAATAATTTTTTGAAAAAAAGTATAAGCAGGAAAATAAAATAGCAGTGTTCTGAACGAAATTTTAGAATTAAATACTATACTGTATAATTTAGAATATATTGCTTTAATTTCTTAAATATAATGATATGCAAAGATTGACTATAAAATCCTAAAATATATAAGTATTGAAATAATATGATGGTTGGAATCACTGGCCAAATCGTAAAACACATTGACGAGTGCTGTCTTGACTTGTATCGATCATGGTATCTAGACACATTTGAGTTGCCTTATATTTTTCTTCAATGATCTCAGGATGCTGAGATTTTTTACAAATACTCCAAAAAATATGATTGATTTCAAGGAGGTTTTTGATATTGATCAGAGTAAATAACGACGGTAAATCTTCTAGCGATTGAGGGAAACGAATATAGGCAATCTCCTTAAAAGTATAGATGCCTTTGGCAGTTACTTGGTTGAGATAAAAAGTGATATTGAATCCTAGAAATATCTGAAGTGTTAGATTTTTTGTTTTTTCTTTGTCTTATTGTATTCTTTACCATGAATTTGGAAACCAAGAGCACCATCCAACTTGTTGACGTCAATAGCATTTTTAGTAAAAATTGCCAAACGGAGGGTATCCAGACATAAAAGCTTACTGCAACAGCCTTGTTGGGTTTTTGCTTCTCCATAACCTACATTGTTTCCAAATTTTAATAGTGTTTTTTCACTTATCACTGCATCAGGCCGAGACTTTCCTTTTTCATTTGGGATAGTATTAGTCCAACGGAGGTGAACAAGTCGATCCGGGTCGCTGATTAAGCATGACAGCAAAGGGTCAAAGTATGTACTCCATAATTCGCTTTCACTCATTTTTTTGTAGTCATTTAGAGGAGAACAGGGAAGCTTCTGAATCCTTGATACGAGCCATAAAAAAAATTAGTAAAACCATCATTTTTATAAACCTTTCTCTATCTTTGTATTTCTACTTACAAATTGATAACACCTAAAAGAAGTCGCTTTTGGTTATAGTTTAATTGAGAAGCCAGAACAAAAAGATCTAAAATCGTTTGTTCTCTTGTTCTCTTGTTCAAGGTGACGTTTGTAATGGTATTGGTAATGGTCATAAAATGCTCTACTGGAAAATAAGGACTGTCATTCATCGTTTCTAATTCGGGTAAACTTGTCAAGTCTTTTAACAAGTCCAAAGAGAATATTTTTTCAGCAATCTCACTATGTTGATTTTTGCAGAGGAAAAATATATGCGTCAAAGACGCCAGTTCGTGCACATATGATTCAATAGGAAGGCTCTCATGTTTTTGAATAATGTTGCAGACAGCAATCTGGTACTTGTTGAATAAACGACTAATATTGATATCTTTATATAACCATGGATGGTTTTTCATATCCTCTTCATTTAAAAAGCTTTTCCTGATATCGATTAGATGGTTATGTATATTGAGAAATGTGAGGTTGGTGAGACTTGTTGGCAAATTTAAAACGGGCGAGACAGCAGGGTCAGCATGTAAACTAAATGTGTTAGAAGAAGTGGGGGTATCGGAACAGGAAGAATTGAAGGAATTAGAGGAATTGGAGGAATCTGAGACTTGGCAGTCTGATGTTTGAGAACCACTACTTGCAACAGTGGATCGTAGAGAGTCAATTCGTTGGTTGGTTATATCGCTAATCAACTCTGTAGAACCCAATCCAGCTTTGAGAAGTATGATAGAGTCTGATCGCGCACTCCAAAAGCGTATATAATCTGCGCTTGAAGTCCAGTTTTTATATTCCGTTTGTATTCTATTATTGCGATCATTCTTGGATTTGAAATAATCGTTTATTATTTTTCCATATTGCTGCTGAGCCCGATTTCTATCCAGGCAGTCCCAATGTTCAATGAATCCTTTAAAAGTTAAATTTTCAGCACGGTCAAGGCACCATTGGGCATCACTAGGAATCTTTTTTTTCTCTTCCTCTTTTGATTTTTTGATTTTCTTCTTTGGAGGCATTATTATTGGGTAGAAAGCACGTTTGTAACTAGTTATTTTTTATTCTGTTATACTTTGCGCGGACTTAGAAATGAGATATACGTCACCAAAACCAAGAATTTTCTTTTCGTCATCATCAATGGAACTTGTATATTATTCATCTTTACTTTGGTCTTTGATGATTTGAAAAGGGTAAAAGTTTAAAATAAAAGAACATTTTGTTTGGAAGCTAGTGTAAAATTGCAAGTTGAATAGTAGCCAGAGAAGGCTTTGCTCGAAGAAACTTGTTTTTTTGTGTAAGGCTGGAGGCGAACTCTTGTTGTCACTGGGGTGATTAATGGCTCTTAGATGTACATTCATTGGGTTTCTTCCGCATACACATGTGGGAGTTGCAGAGGGATTAATAGTCAGAGAAGGCTTTGTTGGAAGAAACTTGTTTTTTTCAGATAAGGCTGGAGACAATTTTCTCAATGTTACTGATGTTATGATGATCTATAAGCATTTTCCGTTCTGGGTTTCTTCCTTAATGCAACCAAACATGTATATATTAATAAGCTCATTACTAACGACATTTCTTTTTTATGAACGCATCTTTTACCCGCTTGAGCTATTGGCTTCTTTCAAATACTATGATTTATCATACTGGACAAATATATCTTATTTTACTATCCTTTTTTTTTTTTTTTGTAGAAATCATTCTTGTACTCGCTCATACTGCTATCTATATCATTCTTAGCTTGTGCCTCATTTCAAACCGAAGGAGAAGGGAAGGTGTTTTTCTTTTTTTATCTTTTGTTTATTGACTATCATGAACAGCACTGTGCCAAAATATTATGCTGAATGTAATGGTAAATGATTTTCACTAGGGAAAAGGAAGGCTTACTTATTATCCTCTAATTTAAAAAATAAAGCTAGCTCATAACGTGGACAATATCAGATTTTCAATCTTTTTACATCAAGTTATTTGATGAGTAAAAACTTTGTGATAATAAAAGTTGTTAGTTTAGCATATATTAATCGTTTCTCTAGGAAATTTTCAAGATACTAAAAGAGAGAGGGTTTTGCAAGCCTTAACAATTCTTTTAGTCAAATTTCCTGTATTTTTTTTATAATGGTTGATGCTTAGCTTTTGACTTGACAATGGATCAATAATGTTCAATAAAGTTAAAGTTTGGTGAATAAAAGATATCAAGGAAAAAGAGGAAGAGAATGAGCAAAGTTAGTGAGGCGATATCAAACTAGTATCCAAGAGTATGACTACTGCCTGTTGATTTAAATTTGCTTCATATAATAAATGATATTTGAAGCATGAAAGATTATTTACTGTAATGAGTAATTGACAGATCCACAAATCGAAATCAATGCAGTGAAAGATATTAAGACAAAGTTACATAAATATATATTATAGTCTTCTATGTAGACCTGATCTTAATGGAATTGGGACATTTTGATAAGTAGTTAAGGTAAAATGAAGAGAACCATATTCTCAAAAAATGAAATTATGACCTCTTGAATACGCAACGCATGTGATAATACTTACCCAAGCGAATTGTACAATAGAAGACAAGCAAAGATCTACGCAACTGGTCTCGCTCTTTGCTAATCTTGCCATGTGTTTCTCAAGGTGATTAGTCTAAGGTGAGCAAGAGCATGTTAGAAAATGTGTTATGATAACGTAATGGATAGGTATCTATTAATGTCAAAATTATATATTAATGAATCCTCAGTACATTTATCTTTTTTCATAGTCTGCTTTAATATGTGTGAACAATTTGTATTTAATCACAAGTAACTTTAGTGAACTCAAAAAAAAAAAAAAAAAAAACATCGTTTTTAGGTCAATTTGATTTAACTTATTGTAGTATTTCTCTTATTTCAAAAGGACAAAATCTCTAGACATAAAGGGACAAGCATTCTTTGGCTTCGTGCCATTCGTGACATTTATTTTTCGGTTACGGATATTCAATTTTCTCAAAGTAGCTTCGTTATTATCGGATAAATCATGTATCACTAGTTGAAAATTGTAAGAAATCAATACTTTAAAATTGTGATTATAACTGAGTGTGTTTTTTTTTCTGTAGTGATATAGAATAAGTTTCCATGGCAGAATTCAAGTGAATAATGTCATTTAGCTTCGCCTATTAAGTGGCATCTTTTAAGCCTGTTATGATATAAGGATTCTTGGTGCTTGTAATACATACTAAAAATATATATTTCTAGTAAAAAAAAAAAAAAAAAAAAAAAAAAAAAAAAAAAAAAAAGTCTTTCTGCGAATCGAAGCCTCAAAAGATAATATTCCATTTTATCAGTTAATGATATGATCTATTTAATTAACTTAGTCTATTAGCTATAATGTACAATCATTTTCGAACATATTGACGTAGAATTCTTATTTTTATGTTTCTTTTCTCTTTTACGTTATTAAATGATATCTGCTTTATAGATAAAAAGCTTTTAAAAAAGGGGGGAAATGTTTGTACACAAAGCTTATTACAATAATTAATTTTTATTATTTAACTAAAATAGGAGGGAGAAGGCTTCTTTGTTTTTTGTGTATGATGTATCCTATGTGATTATTATATTTAAGATAAATTAAAAGAAAAAAAAAGGACATTTTCAAAGAGTCTAAGTTTTAATATAACAAAACACATGCATATATATTAAAAGACCTTATTATTTATTAACATAAAAGAAGAAAAATAAGCTCTGAAAAGTAAAACATAGAATTTACAGAAATAATTTACAGAATTTTTTTTTTTTAATATCCGAGAACAAGAAAAAAAAAAGGGCTTCCTCTGAAAGCAGTACTGTCCTTGCTTTTCTTTTCTCTCTTTTTTATTTTTATACATATTTATATAGAGAAAAAGTAAATGGTTTTACAGCAGCAGTATATGAATGGTGCTATAAATAATTCTGAATCTATACCCAATCATGATAACATAGATTTCAATCACATAGACCAACAAAATCAACTATTTCAAAATGTAAGACTCTATTAGCCTAATAAAGATTGAAAATTAATCTATTAAATAGTATTTTACTCATGACGATCCTGCTGCATTTGCTTTTTTTCAACAAGAATTAATGTCACCTCGTTTACAACAAGCATCATTAAATCAAGGAATAGGTAACAATTTACTTGGTTCTAATTACCCATTACAACAGCCATTTGTATTACAGCAACAGCAACAGCAACAGCAACAGCAACAGCAACAGCAACAGCAACAGCAACAGCAACAGCAACAGCAACAGCAACAGCAACAACAACAACAACAACAACAACAACAAAGACCTTCCATTATGGTTCCACCACAGTCACCTACTTTATCAACGTATTATTTCGAAAATGGCTGGGTTAATCATTATTATGATCCAAAACGTAGACAATATCTTTCAAGTAGAGTAGATCCTGATTACCAAAAGGCTCATTATAAGCAATCTTATAGTGAATCTTATATACCAAATTCATATCTTGCTGCTGCTGCTGCCGCCGCTAATGCTGCTGCTAGTTCAGCAGCGCCTATAATTCCATTATTATCTAATCCAGAAGAAGTACGTGAAAGTCTCTTGCAATATGCTCATACTTTATATTCAACTACACCTCAAAATCCATATCTTTTGCCTTTACTTCATTCACTACATGATGCCTATCCTTCCCATTTACCTACTTTGTTATTATTAGCTTGTGTTTATTATTCTTATCAGGATTATCGAAATTCATTACGATATAATCAACTTATTCTTAAATTCGATCCAAATTATGTAGAAGCTATGAGCAACATAGGTACAACTTTGAAAAGTTTAGGTAAAACGACAGAGGCAGAACGATGGTGGTATCAAGCCGTCAAGTTACGGCCAGGCTATTGGGACGCTGTCGAAAATTTAGTAGGCGTATTATGTGCAAAATCTGAAGATACGAAGATAGAACCCCGTTATAAAGAAGCACTTCATGTCTGTGAATTTGTTGAAAGTTTTTTTATAATAAGCCCTCACCTACTATCTATAAATCACCTAGTCATCTTCCCATACACCAACTTCCTCGGTTACAAAATCTATTTTACGCTAAAGGAAACCTTAAATATGCTTTAGGAGATATTCAGGGGGCACAGAGAGAATATGAGAAAGGTTTAGAACTAGCCTTTGGTGGAATAGACTTGACTTCGATGTGTAACCTCATTGTTTATGCATGTCATGGTACTTCAACAGATAAGCATGTGGCATTAGTTTTACTACAGCCTGATCAGGTCGCTCATCTTTTACAGCTTATATTTTCAAATACAAATGGTATTTTACCTAGTTTAGCTACACTATCACCCAATAATGATTCTGCATCTATAATTCAGCAAACAAATCAGACAACTTCTACATTACTTTTAACGTTAGCAAAATTATTTCAGGATTTGATGAACCCTTCTACACCTGCTTTGATTGCTGCTGCGGAGGGGAATAATGTGCCTACCTTATCCATTTTATTACCTCTTTATTATCTAAGTTTAGCTTTACATCCCAGTCCATCCACTGCAAATAACTTGGGCATCATTTTGAGTAATATTCCCAGTGCTGTAGCCGCAGCTGCCATTAAATTACCTACTGTGCAACAACAACAACAACAACCCATCACAGGAACTATGCTTGCCATGCAATATTATATGTACGGTCTACAACTTGATCCACGTCATCCTCATTTATACACAAATCTTGGTTCACTCCTAAAGGATATGGGGCATTTAAATGAAGCAGTCAGTATGTATGAAAAGGCTGTGGAATATAATCCTCGATTTGATGTTGCATTGGCTAATTTAGGAAACGCTATCAAGGACTTGGGTCGTGTCCAAGAATCAGTGCAATGGTACCGTCGTGCTGTTGAAGTGAATCCCAACTTTGTAGACGCTATTTGTGGACTTGTAAATTCGTTGAGTGGAGTTTGTGACTGGCGTGGTCGTGGTGGTGTAGGTAACGAAGCCAGTGTTGATCAATACGGGCACTACTTTGGACCCACAGGTAACAAACACTCTAAAAGTGGATGGATTGGACATGTTGTGGATATTGTTGAGAAACAGCTAGATGAAGGTGCAATTTGGGGCGCTGGTATTCTAAAAACACAGCAATCCTTTGATAAGACGATAGGCGACTACCTGTTAGATCGTATTGCATTTTGTTTGAAAGAGAATTATGACGTTCAGTTATGGAAATCGCGTTTGGCGTTCTTTGATAAGCATCACTCAAATACTAATATAAAAAGAAATGAGGGGGGATGGTTAATTCGTCTAGTTGAACGTATCATGCGGCGGTTACAACATCGTTGGTATTTAGAAGCCTATTATGATAATAAAATGGATTCTAAAAAGCGTATTGTTGTCACATCAGAAATGATACAGAAATATGCTAGACCTCTCTTGCCAAGTACTTTGGCGACTCCACCTGTGCCTACTGTTCTTCCCTTTCATACATTTACATATCCTTTGAATGCAAGGCAGATACGATTGATATCACATCGTAATGCATTACGTATTTCACATGCTTCACTAACATCAGGATGGCTTGCTCCGCATGTTTATCCTCCTCCACCACCACCTTTACTGCGTCTTAAGATTGGCTATATTTCCTCTGACTTTAATAATCATCCCTTATCTCATCTTATGCAATCCGTCTTTGGTTTTCATGATCGACATGGATTTGAGATACATTGTTATGCAACAACACCAAGTGATAACTCACCTTATCGACAAAAGATTGAACGTGAATCAGAGTATTTTTTGGATGTCTCGTCATGGTCTAACCAACAGGTTGTGGAGAAAGTGATAGAGGATGGTATTCATGTACTGGTTAATTTAAACGGATATACAAAAGGTGCACGTAATGAAATCTTTGCTGCAAGGCCATGTCCAGTACAATGTTCATTTATGGGGTTTGCTGGTACATTAGGTGGTGGTTGGTGTGATTGGATTATTGCAGATGCTATCGTTTGCCCCCCTGAAATGGTAAGCAGTGAACTATGGCGACGAAGAGGTTGTGAATCAAATGGTGGTGACCTTGAAGGAGAGATTGATCCTGAAGAAGCAATGAACGAATTCGTCTATACTGAAAAATTTATTTATATGCCACATTCCTATTTTGTTAATGATCATAAACAGGGCTTCCGAGATGATGATAACGTGCTGTCCAACAATCATGATGAGACAGCGGTATGGGCCCTGGAAGAAGAAAAACGATGGAAGATGCGTCATCAAGTCTTTCCTAACCTACCGGATGATGTTGTTATTTTTGCCAACTTTAATCAGCTTTATAAACTTGAGCCGAGTACGTTTCGTATGTGGTTACGAATCCTTGAACGCGTCCCTAATAGTATTTTATGGCTTTTAAGGTTCCCACCTGCAGGTGAACAACACCTAAAGCGATCAGCACAAGATTGGGCAGGCCCACAGGTTGCACAGCGTGTTATCTTTACAGATGTGGCCCCTAAACACATACATATCCATCGAGGTCGGGTTGCTGATATCTTCTTAGATACACCCGAATGTAACGCTCATACAACTGCAGCTGATATTTTATGGTCAGGTACACCTATTGTGACATATCCCAAGTATATGCATAAGATGTGTTCTAGAGTTGGAGCTAGTATTGCAATGGCTACAGGGTATGGGGAAGAAATGGTGGTCATGAATGAACAACAATATGAAGATCGAGCAGTTGAACTAGCTACAAGCCTTTTCTATTCGTATGAAACTCTACATACGGGAATAGTACATCGTAGAGGACATGGAAAATTAATGGATCTTAGAAAACGCTTATTTTTGACGCGTGAAAAGAGTCGTTTATTTGATACATTAAGATGGACTCGTAACCTTGAAAGAGGATATTTAGAAGCTTGGAGAAGATGGACAACAGCAGAAGAATTTGAAGACCTAACTCATATAGAAGGCTCGGGATGCATTTGGGTTGTTGATCCAGATGATCAAAAATAATTGTGTATATATGAATATTTATGTTTTATTTTCATTCTTTTAACAAAGTCAGATTTGTATTTGTTTGTATCCCCTCTCCCCTTTCCCCTTCTCCTCTTTTTTTTTTTTTTATTGAGGAGAGAAAAAAAAAAAAAAAAAAAAAAGTGTATGATAAAATTTGTATATAGTATTTTGGGGCTCTTATTTTTTAGGTATACTACTATGATGGCAGAATATGACAACGTCGCCTCGTCTTCTCGAATCATCATGGAAATGACTATTAAAAAATCTCTGGCACTCTTCATATTCTTTTAAATAATTTACAATTTGAGGCACCAAATTATCAAATAAAATCAGATGGCTAGCAGGCCTCAAGTGATTCACTTTCAAAAATTCAAAGGGGCTTGCATAAAATTCGTCTGCTTCATCCATAGTATTAGCCAATGGTGGTTCACAGGTAAGAAACCACATTGGAATATTTTTATGCACTATAGAATACCAAGGTGTTGAATGACATGGCATCAAAACACCCACAGATTGGACGGAAGGCTCATTTCGGATCCAGAGCATTGCATCCATGACACCTCGCTGATGCCAAACTGAAAAATAGATGGCCATCGGTATTTGTGTCAAGACTAACAATACAGCCCAACGTTTACGCCATCGTGATTGTTGCAAACCATAAGCTGCTACAATGAATAGAATAGGTACGATAGGGAATATAAATCGAAACTCTTTATGAGGCAATAAACTATAGACGATAATCATCCATATCGTCAACCCTAATAGGATTTTGATGCGGTCGTAAATGGCTTTGTCCATACGATATAAGCCAAATCCAACAAAGGGCAAAAATGTGGTTAAAATAACGGGTATTCCCTGTGTTAGATACCAGTGCCATGTATGCACACCATAAAAGAGAGAAATGCTGTTAATTACGTTCGTTTTAAAGAAAAGCCAAGGTGTAAAGACCTTAAAGGACCAGACACCAGTAAAGAGTCGTGTATCTAGCAAGGTATTTAGAAGGAGAACTATAGAAACGACTCCAGCCGCATTCATAGCTAATTTAACACGATATGGGCTGATGATAAGTAAGTGAATACCTAAGAAGAGCCAAATGAGAGCATTAGTGGGTCGCATGACGCATGCAATTGAAGCCAATATTAATGCTATTCGATAGTTTCGAAGTGAACAATGGCCAGTTAATGGCCAATAATTGAGAGCCAAGATGGTAAATACCATTTCTATACTATTAGATAAAGTACGTGCTGCCATAAAGAAATTGAACCAGGAACACAGCGATGTAAAAAGCTAAATTTTTATCCTTTTTTTTTTAGTAGTTCATTCGATTAATTATAACTATACAAAGTATTATTACGATAAATGGTGCAATTTGATTTCCAATGACTTTCTTAGCTAATGTAAAAGTTGCCACATCGGCCATGGCAGTCAATACTGCTTGAAAATAACGAGGCACTACAACTAACAATTGAGTATTATCCAATCCCATCCATTGAATAAGTTTATAGAGAGCGGCAATGATGATCGGATGAGCAAAGCTTCTAATCTTTTCTCTCCATTCCCAAGTTAAATAACCATTGCCAAATACTAAGTTATGAGCTACCTCTTGGCTTTGCCAATATTCATCTGGATTATCGTAAGTGCGTGTTAAATGAGCATTAAAAAAACGGAATACAAGACAAAATATAAATACAAATAACTGGGATGATCGTGTTGATCTTTGTTGAATATTTGTCATTTTAAAAAGAAAAAAGAAAAGAAAAAAAAAAAAAAAGAAAGAAAGAAAAAAAGAAAAAAAAGTAAAAGTAAAATTCGCGTGATTTGTCGTGAAAATTTTATTTGTAAGTAAAGAACCCCTTTCCATTCTTTTTGCCCATCCAACCAGCATCTACATACTTTTGAAGTAAAAATGCAGGGCGATACTTTGAATCACCCGTATCATTATGAAGCACTTTAATGATAGCCAGACATGTATCTAAACCAATGAAATCTGCCAAGGTCAAAGGTCCCATTGGCATATTGGCTCCTAATTTCATAGTCGTATCAATGTCTTCAGCACTAGCAGCGCCCTATTCACAAATAAAAAATTATTTTCCTATCTATAAAAAAAAAATAATAATAATAACTTACTGATTCTAAAAGCATGATGGCTTCATTAATGTACGGCATCAAAAGGCGATTAGCTACAAAGCCAGGAATGTCTTGAACAACAGTACATGTCTTTCCCATTGCAGTCGCTAAATCAACCGTTTGTTTCAATACTTCTGGAGTGGTAGCTAAACCAGGAATGATTTCTACAAGTTTCATGACGGGTACAGGATTCATAAAGTGCATACCAATCACTTGTTGACTTCTTTTTGTGACGCCAGCGATCTTTGTAATGCTGATTGAGCTTGTATTAGTTGCCAAAATACTATCTGGTTTACAGACTTGATCCAAGTCACGGAAAATAGCTGACTTGATATTGAGGTTTTCAGAAGCTGCTTCGACTACAAAGTCAACATCACTCATGTCTGACAGACTATTCGTTGTTGAGACAAGTTCTCGGGTCACTTTAGCATGCTCGGCAGTTATTTTATTTTTAGCAACATCCTTTGCAAGAAGTTTATCTAACATACATTCAATAAGTAAGAAAAGGGAAGGGTGGGGGGAGGGAAAACCCTTTTTTGTGTTTTATGCTTTACCAAAAAATTGCATTCCTTTTTCTGTTTGGGCTTGGTTAATATCCATTAAAACTACTGGAAGGCGAGTGACGTTTGCAGCTACATAGGCAATGCCGAGGCCCATTTGACCTGAGCCAATGACACCAAACTTTTTAACATTTGCAATCTAACTTTTACATAAGCTATTTTGTTTACATAATAAAAATAAATATTTATTTTACCGCCGATGAAATACCCCTGACTTGCACACCCTATCAAAAAACAACGACAACAACAACAACAAAAAAAATAAAAACGATGAAATTTAATGCTTTATCTATTTTGAATCTACCTTGATAATATTTTGTGTATAAGCAAGTCTATTGATACTAGAAAAGAGCATCATTAAAGTAAAAGAGGAAAATAAACTGAAAAAGAGGGAAGCCCTTTAAGAGGGTTATAAATGTCATTTTATATCACGTGCTCGTGTGAACAATGTGGGGTAAAAAAAAAAGAAATAAACTTTATATATTTTTATTATAAATGTATGTAGTTTACAATCTAATAATTGGCAGCCATTCGTTGGCATGATTTAAGTGCTTCGAGGTACCATTGACAGGCACTAATATCATTATTACTAGTTTCAAGACAGTTAGTAAATGCCTTAGCATCAGCTTCACAAGCATTTCCTGACACATTAGCAGGTTGTGCAGGAGCAAATGTTTGCTGTGGCTGTTCAGCAACGGGTTCAGAAGAAGATCCACCACTAAAAATAGAAGAAACACCATTAGCTAAAGTATGACCTACAGCGGAACCAACAGCGACGCCAGCAGCAGTAGTGGCCACTATAATAATAAAAATACAAATATAAATATAAATATACTACAGTTATGACCTCTCTCTCTCTCTCTCTCTCTCTCTCTCTCTCTCTTTCTCTTTCTCTTTCTCTCCCTCTCTCCCTCTCTCCCTCTCTCCCTGTTAGATTTTTATTTTGGTTATATATAACACTTACTTTGTGCAAATAAACCAGGTTGTTGAGGTGCAGCTTGAGCATAGCTAGGGGCAGCGGGTGTAGCAGGAGGTGCACTAGGAGTCATAGCATGTTGTTGAGACGTAGGCGTAGATGTAGGTGTAGTAGCAGGCTTAGATGCTGTTGATGTGGGTGGAGGTGCCTGTCTTACAGGCATGGTATGGGCTTGTCTTGTTTGTTGCTTAACAGGGGCAGAACGTCTAGTCTAAAGCATACATTAATAAATTCATATAAAAAACTAGGATTCCTTTTTTTTTTCTCTCTCTCTTACTTGGCGAGGCATTTCGAAATTGATTTAATTCTTGAGATTAACGAAAAAAATAAAATAAAATGAAATAAAATGAAAATAATGGTGGGGGAAAAGAAATCAAATGTAGAGCGCCCTCTCCCTCTCCCCCACGCATTCAATAAAAAGCAGTCATGGATTTTTCTTTACTAATAATAATCTTCGCGCAGCGCGGCCACTAAAAGAAATAAAAGGACTTTTATAGGGTAGTGTCTCAAACAAAATACGCCAGTTTACTTTTGAACTATTATGAGTTCATAATATTATGTATCGAATATCAATAACTTTTGATAGGGAGAGTTTATAATTCCTTAGTTTAAATTACTTTATAGTAAACATCTGTATTAAAGATATTAGTGCAGATAAATAAGAAGAATATTTTAATCAAGTTAATACCTTTAACAGTTGAAGTAATTAGTGACAGACGTAAGAAAAACCTTTATATAAAGTGGGTAAGACTACCATAAACTAGTTCTTTATAATTAATTACGAATAGTAATAAACATGTTTAATAAAGAATAATAATTATACTAAAACTCATTTATTCATAACTCCCACTCAATAAAATATGAAAACCATTACAGCCCAAATAATAATAAATACACTTGAAATAATACAAAAAAAAAAAAAAAAAAAAAAAAAAAAAAAATCTTTCTATTTCCGTAGTATGTAAGACATGCTGAGTTCAATAAAATTGCATGAAATTCTTCTTCCTGTCAAAATCCTTTTTGTTTCTCTTTTATTTTATTTTTTTTTATTTTTTTTTTCATACATTCACTATTATAAAATATGCTCAGAAATACATTTGTAATTAAACAGCAAATAAAGACATTAAATAGTCACTCTTCACGTTATTTTTCTACAAATACAATCAAATTAACAAGCAGTAACAATAATCAAATATTTGGCAAAAAGGAAAGAGCGGAGGAAGAAGTCTGGGCACGTCAACATGTAATAATAATAGTAGTTATTTATAACATATACATTAACAGTATTTCATTTTTATTCTTTATTTTAGAATGAAGATGAATTGGTTAGATTACATAATAAATTAGAAGAACATAAAAAATCTTTATCGGAAACACGAAAAAAGATTGAAGAATTAAGAAAAAGTATTGAAGAAAAGAAGAAATAGAATAATTGAAAAAAAAAAATGTCACATGACTTTAATCAAATAAAAATGCTTCAATTTATAAATGACTCAAAATGCATTATAATGGATCAGATAGTCTATTTTATTTTTCTTCTTTCTTCTTTCTCTTGTTTTTTTTTTCTATTTTTTTACTTGTACTGAGCATGACAATACTGAAAAAATTATTTTCTCATCAAGCAACACGCTCATTCTTCAAAAGTGCTCTCTGTAAAGAACAGCCTAAAAAGTTACGTGTAGACAATAATGTTCAATCCACTTTCCATTTCTACCATTCCAATAAAATACTTGAAGATTATGTATCTCAATCTGTCAATCCAACTACATTACGTCAATTCATCTTTTTTGGAAGACACATGAATACAGATCGTCTTCTCAAATCAGCCAACTGGGTACGTAATGAACTACTTATAAGATTAGCTCATCGTATTCGTGATTTTCAACAATTGCCCTTTTTTATCGGCACTAATCCACATATTGAGCATGTTTATAGTCTCTATTGGAGTGCCTTTGAAAATATACGTGCTTGTCCTGATATTAAAACTCAGGAGGACAATAAGGAATTCTGTCGACTTCTCAAGGATTTGTTAGAAGATGGTCTCTTAGTATTGCCTCGATTGGCCCAGGGTCTAAGTGAGAGTGCAACTTATTATAGATCATCTGCCCAAAAAGATCTCGACTTATTCTTAAACCGTATGTTGAGATCTAGGATATCACGACGCGTATTGGCAGAACAGCATTTAGCATTAACAGAAGGATGTGAAAATGAGTGGGATACATCGACTGGTTCGGATGGTTATGTGGGTATTATCTTTATGCATTGTTCTGCAAGTGAAATTGTGGAAAGATCTAAACAACTTGTATACCAGCATGTACATCGATATCATTCAAAAGAGCAAGATAAGTCAAAGGTTCCGTCAATTGATGTTCAAATCCATCAACAACATCACCATCTTGATTCCCGTTATCATAACGGAAGAAATGAGATTTTATTTGCTTATGTAATGTGTATCCATTTTTTGAAATAATAATTATCACTTATATGAACACATCCTTTTTTTTTTCTTTAGGTACCTGAACAATTAGAACATATTCTATATGAATTATTAGATAATGCAGTACGATATACAATATTAAACCATGGTAATAAAGACAAGTATCCTGCTATTCAAGTTACAGTGAGTGGAAATGATTCAGATGTGTTTTTTCGAATATCTGATCAAGGGGGCGGTATGTGTCAACAACGGTATGACTGTTTATGGTCTTATCAATCACGAGCGCAGATGGGTGATTTTAACGATTTCAAACAAATTCAAAAGGTTCCTGCATCTATTGATGAACGAGCAAGTCAAGCAACACATCATCATCTTGGTATTGGTTTGACAATGAGTCGTATTTATGCAGAATATTGGGGAGGCGAATTACAAGTGATGACTATGGATGGATATGGCACAGATGTCTATGTTCGAATTCCAAGACTAGGGACTCATATAGAGAATTTAGGTATTGGACAACATAACCCTGTATTTTATACGAATAGCAGCAGCAGTACCTCTACTAGTATATTAAAGAAAAAAAGGATAGTTAATCATAATCCCAAAGAAACGTTAAAGTCAAATGCCGCTACGAACGAACAGTCAGCACATGGTATATTAAAATTTAGCAATGGATGGAGTCAAAGTTATATGATTCGATCTTAAAAGAAGCACTGTTTGTTTGTTTATTTATTTATTTATTTATTTTGTAATAAACATTTATACATTTCTTTTCTTTTTCGTGTCTGTCCATGTATCATCAAATCCTAAACAATTAAAATCCCAATGTCCATCTTTATCAACTGCCATTTGGGCAACATGAAGCCAGGCTGTGTTTAAATTAGGATCTTGTTGAGGTCCATAAATAATTTGTGCTACAGCACAAGCACGAACAACTTTGATCACATGAGGCTCCATACAGCCAAGAGCCCTATCAAACACATTTAACCAATCGTTGTTGTTGTTGTTGTTTGCTTTAACGGTTGATCTATAGTCGAGTAATCCCTGGATATTAAAGGCGGGTCTTCCTCTTGTAACATAGTAAAACATGGTAACGGCTGCATGTGCACGTAATAAGGCCACTGATTCATAGGGAGCCAACCTATAAACAAACTGATGAAGAAATTCAGAAGAAGTCAAAGCGTGCATCAAGAAGAAATCCAAACGCAAGACATCAGGATGATCTTGACGAATACCTGTAGCACCCAAGGCAAGCACCGCTACTGCATAAAGTTCCTTCAATTTTGTTTGAACATGACCTTCATCAACATGCCATTCATCCAGGTGAGCTTTAATTCTGTCCATAGCATCCTTATTAGCTTGTAATTTTTTAATTTGAGATTCATCTTGAGATGTTAGAATATCATCAAAGCCAGGATCCTTATGGATTTTAGAAAAAATAATAAATAAGTCATTATCCTTTAAAAAACCCGGGATGGATTCTTTAAGAGTATCATCCATCATCATTGATATATTCTTGCTTTCTACAAAGCCTAAACGACTTGAAAACTGGTTTGACAGTTGATCAACTATATGACTCATGAAACCTCTTGCAGATGAAACTGCCGTTTCGGCTACAACAGGTATTAATGTTGCAGAAGGTTCAGGTTGTTGGGGTATAAGGGATTTAAAATTCGCCTCGGTACATGCAGCCATCGCCAAACCTTCAGCCAGAACAGCAGGGACGTCAAATTCAAGTCCGTAACCAATATGAATAAAGGGATGATAGGCGCCACCAACGGTACGTGATAGCATATCACCACTCATAACCCATCTGCGTACTGTCTCAAGTGATCCATGTGCCTCAATCTCGCTCATAAACAAATTAAAAAAGCTTGTATAACATTCTGCTTTTCCTAAATAATTTTTATAATTATGATGAGTTATTTCTCCTACAGATGGAGGTAAAGGTCGTTGATCCTTGGCATGTGTATCAAAGATTTTTTGTAAAGTTTCTTTTGTTGCACCCAATGAATAAGCTGCTAAAAGATGATGAATAAGATGACTAAAACAGAGAAAAGAAGAAGAAATAAAAGTTAAAAAAAAATATGTAATTTTTATGTATACACATATATGCATGAATGAATGAATGTATATATTTACTTGTGAAATTTTTTATCATTGAAAAAGATATGAAACTCTTTATTATTTCTCATCAAGAGTTTTTCGGATAATTGAGCTGCTTCAGGTGTGATTCCAGGCAAGAGAATGGAAAATGAGTCAGGTTGAAGTGGTACTTTGGGCTTAAAATGAGACATAGTATTAAAAATATATGATTAATGTAAGGAAAATTAATATTTGTATATATAAAAAAAAAGAAAGAAAAGAAAAAAAAAAGATAGAAAGAAACGCTTTATAAATCATATTTTCGTCATACCTTTTATATTTACATAAAAATATTAAAATTTTAGTAGCGCATGGCTAAAAAAAATATATGCATAAAATAAACTCGGATAATGCATGTGTGAAAAATAGATAATTAAAATAGCCTTCTAAATAATTCATTATTTCCTGAATAGTTTGAATTTTCAATAATGATTAATTACATACTAAAGTTATGCATATACACACGTAAAAACAAAAAAAAAAAATCGATAATAAAATTATTATATGTTTTACAAACTACTTCAGGGCTTTTTTTTTTCTTATTCATCTACTAATAAAGGGTTAGTGGGATATCAATTGTAAAAATAATAATGCTTTTAGTTTACCTACATTTAGTCCAATTTGCTGGTTAACTTTTTTAAGGCTAATTATGTGTTACTTATTTTCTTTCATACTCTTCACTAAATAGTTAAAAAGATCCATGTTTACTTTTTTTTTTCTTAAAAAGAATATTATCAGCTCCTTCAAACACTTGGCATTATTTTATGATTTTTACAGATAATATTATTTGTTCTTGTGTAAGATAAGGATCTTAGGTTATGTACAATAGTAATAAAAGAAAAAAAAAATACCTTTTCACAGTGCAAGACTTAACTTTTATTATCGAGGTTGCCCATATTCTTTATTAACGTAAATGACTCTTCTAACTCACATCTTTCATTGTTCTATAGAGATGACCTATAGCTTATTTATCACTTTTAATTTTGTTTTTGAAGCATGTATTGGAAGACTTACTTGGATTAAAGTAAGTAAAAGAAAAAGAAAAAAGGAGGATGCATGTCATAGTGGCTGTGATCTATAACTTGGTCCAATTAGATTAACAATTATTAATTATGAAAATATAAATTATAGTCTCTAAATTCTATATACACATCATAAAAGTAAATGAAACATTACATTTAAAAATGTATCTTCGTGTTCTAGAAAGGAATTCAATACAATGAAATCCTTTACAAGATAATTTGAAGCAAGCTGAAGATAAACTAACTGAAATGATCAAGCTTCAAGCTAGATTAAAGATAAAGATTTTTAAGGATAAGGATATATGTTTGCTTTTTCTATGATAATATCCTCTTTTCATACATTCACTCAAGTTAGAATAGCTTAATTATATGCCTAGCTTATTTATTCTATTATCTATTTTCCTTGTAAATAGTTTGCCATGAAGACTAGGATATTTACTCTTAACTAGATGCTACAATGTAAACTATTTTTTTTTTGTTTTGCTTAGTATCCCCCTTCTATTGTTGCTGTATTTAATTCTTTATTTCACTTTATACTTTATTATATGAAAATAAGTATACTTTTTTCCTTTTTGACCTAGTGTTGCTTTTTTTTTTTTTTCCTTTGACTTTATTTAACTAAGATGAATCATAACAGGCTACATTAGATAAAAAAAAAGTTGCATGTATTGCTTGAGAATTAATTATCACTAATTTCTTTACGTGCTATTTATACGCGTAATATTTGTATTTATATTGTTTTTTTCATTTATAATAAAAGCTGCTATATAAATCTTTTTATATAAATAAATATATAAATAAAAAAAATGGGCCCCATAACGTCGCAGTATCCCATATACTTATCCCAGAGGTACTCGTAATGTTTATCAATGATGGTTTACATCGTTATTAGAATACATTGGAGAGGTGAGCATAATCCAGAAAGAAAGCATACAAAATACTAACTAAGCTATGAAGCCATCCCAAAAAATCACTCATCAGCCCTTTTACAAGCCAACAAATGAAAAAAAAGGATTATATAAAGAGAAAAAAAAGCAAGTTTGGGCATGAAAATGACCTCCTTTTATAGTTTTTTTTGATCCGTTATCATATGCTTTAAACTGTCATAAAAAGGCGTCACAATCTCTGTGATGAATCTAATTGGATAATCTTAATAGCACACTAATTGTTATCATAATAAACATAGTAAACAAACGTGATACCAACAATTACTCCTTAAAAAAAATATACACAAATCTCTTTTAATTATTATTATTATTCCTTTTGCTTATAGTCTAATTCAGCAAGAATAATATATACGTTTATATATTTAATAGTATATACATTTTTATAAAAAGATCTTTAGTCAAGTCATTATTTCAGGGGAAACTTAAAATAAAGGGATAAATATCAAATATGTATATGCGTGTATATACCATTTTTTTTATTTAATATTTACATTTTTACTGTATGGCAGTCTGCATTTCTTTATATTTAATTATAATAGAACTTCTTAGTTAATGCGATTGAGAGAGAGAAAGAAAGAGAGAAAGAAAGACGCGTTACTGCATATTTAACATACTCATTATATACTCAAGTTACTTGTTGAAGGTGCTTAATTACAATTTTGGAAGATCTATATCTTCTATATGTTGTGTAGAATGACTACTTTACTAGGGCAAATAGGTTATTATAGCTTCTATTTTTGATTGTTAATATCTCTTTTTACATGATAATTATTGAGACAAATCATTAAAATGGCCTCTGCAATATTTTTTATGAATATGTATGTGTATATATAATTTGAAATAAGTGGGAAAACACTGATATACTCACTAGGTGGTATTGAACAAGTCTAGGTGCTATTCTTTAGTAGAGAACTATATATTCAAAGAGACAAACACACGAAATTATATAAACCGGTATATTAATGATTATATTAAAACAAATACAATAAGTAGATATATAAGATAAGGTACCTTTTAAAGTTCTTACTTAATAAAAACTATAACACCAGATCAAGATATGTAAGAATACTAACTACTGGAATAGTATATTTAACTGGAATAAAGCTATTTTCGAACACCTTCTTTAATTAACAAGAATAAAATTTATTTATACAAAACATCTACTGAATTGGATATATTAGGAATGAAGCTTTGATTTGTACTACTCTTAATTACTTCCATAATAGTAACTCAGTGAAGCAAACCTATTTAAACTTATATGTATAAATACTCTTTAATAATATAATGAAAGGATAGTTAAAATTAGTTTTTCTTTAACTATCCTTGAATATCCAGTATCTAATTCATCACTTGTAGTCTTTTTATTCTAATTTTTTTTTATTGTGTCTTTATCTTTATTGCTAAGGATGCGTTAATCACACAAGTTAACTTCTTGAAGAAAATAAAGTGAAAAATTCAGAAAATACCGAAGAAAATGAAAGAAGAAAAATAAAGTTGAGCATTCTGTTTACAAATTGTACAATGATAATCAAAGAATAAATCTCATTAGCAAAATGATTGATATGCCTTTGGGAAGCAAAAATGCTGTAAAAGTTGCACGAGAGCCTAGTATCTATGTGTGAGGACTACTTGAAACTGGTGGAGTCATGATCTCAAGACTGAAAAGCTGTCTTGGCCTGTCTAAAGATATTTTCGTTATTTGAGCAAATAACTTTGAAGGATTCTCGTAAAATATAGTTCATGTTGTTCATGGTTTTCAAAGGCATTCTTGGTAGTAAGTTAAAATTTTGAAGACTTGGGTCTTGTACACATGTATATCCATATGATATTGATGATTGTTCTATGAGAAACGATAATAATGATTCCAAAGGTTATAAAGTTGACGCTAACTTCAATGGTTAGTATAGTCAACTTGGAAACAAGATAACAGAATTTCACCCAGAGATTGCAATAAATGAGAGAGTGGAACCAGCTTTTGCCGTTAATTGCCTTGAGTTTTTGTCATAAATAATGGAGGTGCTGCTTTGTTAGTGTTTTACGCCAACACTATTGGACATGATTCACGAATCTGCAACATATTCTGGCGATAGCGAATCAAGCGTTACATGAACGCTTCATATACGATGTGTGAACTCCAATTAAAATAGGTGAAAGTGAACTTCAAATTCCAAGACGAGGATCATATGACGCGTGGCTACGAACCTACTTCCATTCGGTGTCAGATATTGTGATATTTGATGTATGAATTTGATTACGTTTAAAGAAAAAAAAGATAAGAATTGAGTCTCTTTGAAATCTTTTACTAAAAACATAAATTTATATATGTCAATCTATTTAATTAGATGCTATTAAGACAAAGTAGCCCAAGTAACATTATCAATTGCACAATATGTAAGTAACTATTACTACTACTACTACTATCAATAAATATCTATTATAATCTTCTTTAAATATCTGTACATTCGATACGACTTAGGAATAAGGCCAAGTGTGACAACTCTAAAGGATCTTTCTGTTAGTTTTTATGCTCATAATTGTCTTACTCCAACTTGAATATGACCTAGGTATTAATGTTATCTCTGATGTTCTCCTGGAATCCCTCTTCCTTCTCTTGGTACTGACTTGATCAAATGATTATACTGTAATTAATCGAGTGATATGATGATACAATTCTCTGTTCTTCTTCCCTTCTTTATCTTTTTCCTCTTATTAACTGTCAAAAGGGGGGTTGTTTTTTGATCCGACCCTAGTAATACAATATGTGTGTTCAAATGAGTTTTAAACATTTTATTTAATGGAAAAAAATATCTTATCGTAATACAGTATTTTGACATATTTAAATATATAAATTCAACAGTGTTATCAAATGACAGTGTTGTGTAAGATTTATTTATAAATGTTAACTGTTTTAAGGGCAAAAAAAAAAAAAAAAAAAAAAGGAAACTATGCTTAATATATATATGTATATCACCTACAATATCTCCATTTTTACATGCTGTATATTCTCAGAATGATATAAAACTTTTCAATTGGTTATCAGATGATTATTAAAGAAAGTGACTTTTTCAATTTCTTTTTAGTTTTTTTTTTTTTTTCTCCTGAAAAAAATTATTTCTTTTCTACCTTTTTTTTTTTTTTCTTGCAAATTAAATAATGAGTGGGAACTCTACTGTAGAGGAGAATAATGATGATTGTCGGTCAATATGGAGCAGAGCTCGTCGATCTCATATTGGAATTGCTGGTGTGGTAGCGCTTACTTTATTTACGTAAATACAATAGCGCTTATCCTCTTATCTTTATACTTGTATTTATCTATGCTTAATTATAGGGATATGTTGGTATATGGTGTAGTTATTCCTTGCCTCCCCAAATTAGTTATTGACCGTTTAAAAGGAAATTCGACTATGGTTGGATTCTTATTTGGTTGTTATGGTAAATATGTGTTGAAGTTCTTTATCATCTACAAAATAAATGACCATAATGTTATATTCTATACCTATATATAGCTTTTGGCTTACTGGTTGCAACTCCTGTTTTTGCCATTCTATCTGATCGTTATGAAAATAGAAGATACCCTATGATGGGAGGCATGCTAGGTTTAAGTATTTCGACATTAGCCTTTGCAATGGCTGACACTTATGCTTTATTGGTTTTGGCTCGTGTAGCTCAAGGAGTTGCTGGTGGAGCATCATGGTAACTATCTAAAGTATTCCAATATAGAATATAAGTTTTTTTTTTTTTTGCTTTTTTTTTTAAATATATCTACGGATTCTATAGGACTATTGGGCTTGGATTGCTTGCAGATGTTTTCCCAACCAATAAACTGGGCACAGTTATGGGTACAGTCTTAACTGCACATACTGTTGGATTTGCTCTAGGTCCTGCTATTGGTGGTATTCTTTATGAATATGGAGGATTTTCAGCTCCGTTTTTATTTTGTACCGGATTTGCTGTTATCAATTTTTTAGGTATTCTTTGGTTAGCAGAACCAACGAAAATGAAGCAAAAGAAGAACATAATAGATCAAGGAGTGGCAGATGAAACAACTCCCTTAATTGCAAAGAAAGATTGTGAAAAACCGTTAACAATGATCGATTTGTTAAAGAATTGGCGTATTTTATCTTGTGTTTTATGCACAATTGTTTCTGCTTCTGTATTTTCGGGTATTGAGCCCTCTTTACCTATTCATTTACAGATGGTGTTTAATGCGTCTGCATCAACTATTGGATGTAATTATAATTCATAGTATTTGTAGAGTAACTTGATATTCATTTATTGTTTATAATTTCTAGTTATTTTTGTCACTATGGTTGTTCCTGCTTTCCTTGCCCCTTTAATCGGACATCTTTCGGATAAGGTATACATATCTTTATATAAATATGTATGTGGTACAAATAGATCTTGTTTATTTATTTTACTTAGATAGGTAGACAAGTTATTTCAGCGACAGGTATGATCATGATGGCCATTTCAGCACCTTTTATTGCTATTAATTACTCAACCATTTATTGGATTATTCCTTCTCTAATGATCTTTGGTCTTTCAAGTCCTGTTATCATGACACCTATTTTACCAGAAATGGGTGAGACTGTAAACGATATGGTAAGATTAAATAATAACCTTTTTTTTTTATGTATGTGTGTATGCGTATTTTAATTTATTTTAATATATTATATAGGGTGGTGCTGCATACGCTCAAGGTATATTTAACATCTATTTATAATAGTATTTAAACTCTTTTTAATGAAAAAAAAAACTCATTTATTATTATTTTTACTAGTCTATGCATTGTATAATATGGCCTACTCGATTGGTATGTTTATTGGGCCTGTTATAGCTGGATTCATCATGTCTGCTGCTGGATTCAAGACCTTAATGTTTATCTTTAGTCTAGCACTTTTTATTTGTAGTCCAATTATGGTAAATTGGACGGCTATATTTAGAAAGATAAAAACTACACTATATCATTAAACAGTAAATTATTTTAAATGGTAATATAATTTTGGGGAAGGAAGGAAGGGGTGGGTGGGTATAGATTTCAATTATTTTTTTTGCTATAAACGAAGAACTGGTTTTTCTGGTAATATTTGAAATCCAGAGTCTTTTAAATAAGTAATACAATCTTTAGCAATTTCAAACATTAGAAAATAGACGGCGCCTGATGGACCTGCCTTTAATAATCCTGGTACAATTCCTTTATATAATCCTAGCACTCCTTCTGTATTTATAATCTTTTTCATACATTCCCACACAGATGATGAATAAGTAGGAATTGTCGAAACCACATATTCGCTAAGATGAGGTCCCTGAACTTGTAATCGCTTCCTTATAACATCTAACGGGAAAACACCTGTCTTACTAATGATACCTGCTAATGACCCACAAATCATATCATTGGTTCTCTTGTGATTTTCTGAAATAATTTGGTTACGTTGAAGATGCTGAACTGTTGAACATAATCCTTCATAGCTAAAAAACATAAGTCCCATATATGGCATAATCTGTGTGATAGAAGAACCTAATCCACGATAAAATCCTCGCATACCTTCCTTTTCATAAATATCTGAAATAGCATGAGGAATACTGTCATATACCTTTATGTATTAGGAAGTAATTAAAAGTAAAAATAAAATAAAATAAATAAATAAATAGATAAAATGATTCGTATGTTTATACATACCTTATTCATTCCTTGCATTGCAAATCGTGTACGTAATAAATCAAATGGATATGTTGCAGCTGTAGCAAAACTGCCTGCAAACATACCCGAAATGAATGGCTTTACAGTAGGCGATATCTCATTTTGCTATTTTAGTTAGAAAAAATAAATAAATAAATAATTATATGCATAATTGGAATATTATCATTTTTGTTTTTTCCTCTTTTTTTTTACATTTTTTAAAAAAGAATCTAAATGATAATAAGCATAGAGTTGGGATGCTCCATAAGTAACATATAACCACTCAGCTGCTACATTTCCTTTAAATAGTCCCTGTATTCAACATGAATTAAGCCTGATGTTACTATAGTTCATATCTTTTTTTTTTTTGGTAGCTTATACCTTGATACCTTCTTCTTTTATAATTGTTTTGAACGCTTGATTAATTCCAGAATATTTCACATTGGCTCTATGTGCAAAGATGTGCTTTAAATTATAAGGTTCTGATTGAACCTGAAGTCGAATCTTAATAACATCTAAAGGAGAAATAGCAAATCTACAAAGCATAAGTTTTTTATTTTATTTTATTTTTTATAAAGTTAATTAAAACATGAGCAACAAGCCAACCTTGTAGTGAGTCCTGCGAAACCTCCACATAATGCTGTTTCATTTGCATTTAGTTTTGCTGAAGTAACATGAGAGGTAACCATGTTAGGGAAATTATTGTTAAAAAAAGGGAAAAGAAATATTAAAATAATAAAAAAAAAAAAATGGAACCAGTAAGAATTTGTTTCCCTTCCTACCAAGAATGATCAAAAAAAGTAGCCAATCAAAATACATTATTTGTGGCTTTTTTTATTTTTTATTTGTGACTTTGATGATTCGGTATTAACGCATTACAGACCCCTCCCCCATCTTCTTTTGACCCCCAACCTCTTCCTCCTCCTCCCTCTTTTTTTTTTTTTTTTTTTTAATTATTTGGTTCATATTATATACGATTATAAATAATGACAACCCCATTTCGACAAGGCCTTAGTAATGTTTGCTGAATTATTTATTTACTTATTTTTTGGAATGAAATCAATTAGCAATCACTATACTAATTGTTGTTATTTTAGATAAGGTTTATTTACCTAATATTATTTTTAAAATGGTTAGATCACCTAATCTTGAACCCAATCAAGTTGCCTTTCGAATCCCTTCCAAATGCAATAAATTTGACATCCACTCTTATTTAACAAACATTTATGGCGTCAATGTGCAAGAAGTACGTACTATGAATTATGCTACTATGCACAAGAAGGGACGCAACGGCATGATGTCTGTCTCTCAACCTGCTTACAAAAAAGCGATTGTAACAATTGATGAACCATTTGTTTGGCCTAAAGAGCCTGAATGGTGCCAAACCAGCTTGAAAACAGCTAAAATTAATAATAAAATGGTCTCACGTAAAATGAATGGATGGCGAATTCGAGCACCTGAAGATGAACGAGTGGAGTTAAAGAGATTAAATGATGAAGCTGTAGCTGAACAACAAGCTAAACAACAAAAGAAGAAAAAGTAAATTGGGAGGGGGTTAAAATCTAGTTGTAAATAAACATTTGTTTGTACTTTTATAAAATATGTAGATGTATATGTAAATGTATAACATGTCTATTTGTATAAATATAGTCATTTTGTGTGACTTTGTTTTTTTTTTTTTTTTGCTGCTAACGTAATTGAATAATGGCCCTTTATTTTATTCTGAGCTTTTTTATAGGGGATTTTGAAAACAGGGGATTCGTGTTTTAGAATTTATGATTCCTGTTTCATATCATTGTTTAATTTTAGTTGTTGAGGGGAAAAGGAAAGGAAAAAAAAAAAAAAAAAAAAAAAAAAAAAAAAAAAAGAGATTTTCTAAATTTATTTTGTTACTATAGAGATTTATGTAATGATTATTCATTAATATATACAACATGCTATTATAAATATACAATATATTCTACAAAAAAGGAAAAAGGAAACGATATACATACATGTGTATGTACAATAAATGAAAGGATATAGTGCTCTCTCAATTAGAAAATAATGTTCTAATCGATGGAAGTGTACATTTGGAAATAGTATTTTGTTGTGTATCAAGTAAGGGAGGCGGTAAAAATTCAATTTCTTTACAAGAAGGTAATTTAACAAAAGAAGTATCTTTATGACAAGGAACAATAACGAAGTCACTATGATGATTAAAATCAATAGCAGGTTCAACTAACACCATAGTCTGAGGCGTTATATAATATACATTTGATGATGGAGATGAATTGGGACTACTAGTGGAGGTCGAAACTTCATCAATTGATAGACTTTTAGTGGATAAAACTATGTTGTCTAAAATACGTGCCATCTTTTCCTTATCAGATACGTCCTCACGAGATACTTGAATACCATGAGATTTATCAAGATGTCGTATCAGTTGTCCTTTTCTCCAAAAGGATTTAAAGCAACCAGTAACAAGACAATGATGAAGGACAGAAGATGAAATAGTTCCTTGATCCCGAGCATGACGATGTTGATCTTCTAATTGAGTAGGCGTTTTTGATACTGTATTATGACGTTTAAGTTGAGTAGATGGAGGTAAGCGAAATGTAAAACAATGTTGCTGTTGACGTAAATAATCTTTTTCTTCAGAGAGATTAAGTTGTTTAGATGACCTTCTTCTTCTTCTCATTGTAATAGTACAAACTGAATTATGAGCACGGATATGTCTTTGAAGTTCATCAGACCGAGAAAATCGTTTATCACAATTTGGAAAAGTACAAGCATGAGGTTTTTCACCTGTATGTGTTCTAGCATGACGCACTTTATGCTCTAAACGATAAAATGCTTTATCGCAGAAATTGCATTTATAAGGTCTCTCATCTTTGCTTATCATGATTAGAAAAAATAAATAAATAATGAAAAGATAAAGATAAAGATAAAGATAAAAAAAAATAATAATAATAACTGAAACAATAAAAGAGATTATAAACTTCCTTCTTTTATATATACATATTTATTTAAAAGAAAAAGAAAAAAAAAAAAAGGAAAAAAGGAAAAAAAACTGAAAATTGTATGAATAAAAGCGGGAAATTATTACGTTGCTTTTTCAGAGATCAAAAATTTTATACACGTATTTATTTTTTGTCGTTTGGCATATTAATAGGCATCGGAAATATAAGAAGTAAATTTAACCTAATTGACATATTTCTTTGAAAGAAAGTTTCTGTAAACTTTGAAAAGTCTTTCGCATACTAAAAAATTCTGTTTATCTTAACATTGCTTCAAGTTATTTGATCAGATTAAACACAATTTTAACTAAAAATTATTTAATCAAGTAAGCTAGCTAGCTAAACCATCAAGTTGTATTTAGTTTAACGAGTTTTATATCCCTTTTAGTAATAAAATTTAAGTACTTATTACCGAAATAGATGCCCTGACTAGATTGTTCAAGTTATCTTCAATTGTATTCAATACAATGTTTTGAGTTCGAGTCAAAATGTCTTGAACAAGTAGAGAGGGAAGATATATAGGATGAGTGACAAATACGTTTATACTCTATATCTTTCTATTATATGTCTAATACAGGTATGAATGTAAATTGGAGTATTATATAAGATAATACATCTTATTGTTTTGCTAGAAGCAATAGATATCATATTTGAATTGTCTAAATGATTTTATCGTTCATACCAGTAATATTAAGAATATAGATTTAAGCTGTTTAAAAAAAAATTCTTCATTTCTATTATCAACTCAAGTGCTTGCTACATTATTCTCTCTGATTGTGTCATTCACTTTTTCTTTTTATAGTTTGAGAACAGATTAAATAAAAATAAATCGAGAATATTACTTTTAGAGAAATAGTATTGATTCATGTTAAAGAGTATTTAATAAAGTGAACTAATTGTATGCGAATCAATAATATCAAGCTATTTTCATTTCTTGATCTAAAGCAATGTTCTTGTACATTACATTAATAAAAAAAGTGATATTTAACCATGATATACAAATATACCTTTTTAATTTTAACTGGTTCATTATCTCAGATATTTAATATAGAAATATATATATAGAAATAAAAGTAAACGCTGTTAAATATAATAACAAGCTTTTAGAACTATTATTCAGCCATACTCCTATTTTCAATAACTTACATAACTATATCATATAAGGTATATATTTATATGTGTACATTATTGTATTACACTCTACTTTTCCTTTTTAATTTGCATATTTCAATTTATATCTGCCATAAACTGAATTATAATATTATATTTCTTGACTAAATAAGCGGATCAAAAATAAAATCTAAAGCAGCATTTGTACAGATACTAAATGCAGTTGAGCAGACATAACTGGATTCTCTTTTATTCCTCCTTTTTATTTTACATTGAATAAACAGTCTCCATGCTATATTTTTATTTTGTCTTCTTCTTTCTCTTTGTACTTTTTATTACTCTATAATACATACCATCACAGTAGGAAAGAAAAGAACATTTGTTTTATTTATTTCATTATCGCGATTACTTAAAAAAATAAATAAAATAAACAAGTAATTCAGTCGGGTTAAATGGAATAAAATGCTTTATGTAGTAAAATTTAGAGTGGGAGTATAATGTGACGTATCATTTGGTAAATCACGTAATATACCCTGAATTATAGCCAGGGCCAGCAGTTAATCATTATGTAACTTACATGTCTATGACTTATCATTATCATTCAATGTTGCTCTTTCTTTACTACTCATTCCTTATTTTAAAATAAAGACAAGGATTATTTCATCTTTTCACATTACTTAAATCACTCGATATTATATAAATATATACAGTTGATACTTGATATTTTATAATTTAGCTTTTTTTTTTCAGCTAATTTTAACCAAAATTAAGATAACTAGGAAGATTCATATCTATTTGTTTTTGCCTCTTTATTATATAATGCGATAACATAACATATATCATGATATAATACGCTATTATTTTCTTTGAATTAAACATTCATAAGTTACATTTAGTTTTTTTTTTTTTTAAAAAAAAAAAAAAAAAAAAAGAAAGAAAGAAGATATTACTCATGCTGTCTATGCTTACTAAATTGATAAGCTGTTTATTTTATACCAGCAGAAACAAAATTCCCTGATAAAACTTTATTGCTGTATAAATAATGTCTTTTTTTCCCGTTGAAGTTGTCTTGTGTTTATTTTTTACTTTTTAAAAAAAAGGGGATTTCTCAATGGTTCTTTTTTATGTTTAATTGTATGTTATGAAAATAGTATCAGTCCTTTTATTATTATTATTATTATTATTATCTTTTTTCGCCCTGTCCTTCTGTGTAATTATGCAATAAATGAAAGGCACAGTTTAACGGGCTCTTCCATTATGTTTTGTAAAAGAAATAAAAAATAACTCCTATAATTACAAATGTAGCTGCATATTACTGCTCACTAATGAATCAATCAAAATAGCAAGATAAAAAAAAAAAAAAAAAAAAAAAAAAAAAAAGTCAGCACATAGCATTTGTTCAGTATGATGCTTAGTAAGTTAAAGGTTATTCTTTATTCAGATTAGCAGTGACTATATATAGGAAGTATAAATATATCGTGTTCTAATGTTTAATAGAATAGACATAACTTTTCTCTCTTTCTCTTTCTCTTCCCCCCCTTCCTTAAAATGAAACATATAAATATTAGTAGTATTATAGTTAGGAAAAATCAGTTTCATTTTTCGGCTATAGCTAATTGAACTTTATCTTCCTTTTTCAGAAAGAACTACAATAGACTATTATTATTGTATTAAAATGAGACAGTAGAAAGTCTTCAACTCTATATACATTAATACTCTCACTAATAGAAATATATATATATATATATATATATACATATAGAGGCTCGAGGATAGTATCATATTTAAGAAAAAAGAATAAATATACATATGAAGTAAGAGATAATGTTTTAATGTTCAAAATTGATAGCAGTATATACATTATATGTCTTTTTTTTTTAATTTCATTTTAAAGCAAAATACAATCATAAGAAAATCAGCTGTTAATATTTGACTGTATATATTTTTTAAACGCGTTTACTAAATAAAATAGATGCTTTTTTTTTTTTTAAACCGATTCTTTAAAAAAATAAAATAAAATAAAGAGAGAGACAGACAGGCAAGCTCAAACTATCTCTTACATTAAACTGGCTTATATAAATTATACTCAACAAATTTATTAAAAAGTTAAATATTTTATCTTTAACAAGATTGTTATCAATTAGTGCCATTATTTTCTTCTATCATAATAGCATTTTCTTTTCTAATACTGTCTATTAATTTAATATCCCGGATTTTTTTTTTTTTTTTTTTCAAGATATCACAAAAATTATATTGTATACCGGGTTAATTACAGCATAAGTTAATAGCCTTCTCCATTTTGTAAATTCTTTAGCTGATAGGTTGATGATAAAGAAAATACATGCTATTCATATTAGAAAAAAGGAAGGATATATTAATGAAGAACCATGACATCACTACAAGGTGGTGGTGGTGGTAGCAAGGGTCTGTAAAATAATATATATATTATTATTGTTTTATATACAAATAAATTTCTTTTTTTTTTAAAAAAGAAACATATTTATTATCATGATTTCTTCTATTACTGCTGCTGCTGCCAAGCCTCTGCTTAAATCTTCAATTAAACCGATTGCTTTTCGCGCTATTAGTCTTCGTTTTAAAGCTACGCTTCCCAAATTACCTTATAGCTATGATGTAAAAAAAAAAAAAAAAAAAAAAAAAAAAAAAAAAAAAAAAAAAAAACGATGTTTAACTTTCATATTAACAATAGGCGCTAGAACCATATATTAGTTCTGATATTATGGAAGTACATCATTCTAAACATCATCAAACTTATATCAACAATTTTAATCAGGCAGAGGAAAAATATAAAGCTGCTGTTGAAGCAAATGATCTTATGCAACAATTGGCTATTCAAAATTCACTCAAGTTTAATGGTGGTGGTATGTGCATGCATATGATCATTACATAATATCTTACAATAATCTATTATATATATATATATATTAGGGCATTTAAATCATTCTATCTATTGGGAGAACTTGGCTCCTAAAAAGGAAGGAGGTGGAAAGGTAGAAGAGGCAGGACAGGAATTATTATCAGCCATTCAAAAAGAGTTTGGTTCATTTGATGAATTTATAAAAAGGTTTAATACAGTAGCTGCTGGTATTCAAGGTTCAGGTTGGGCATGGCTCGCATTTAACAAGGAAACAAACCGTGTTGAGATTGCTGCTTCTCAAAACCAGGATACATTGCCTGGATTTATGGTTCCTTTATTAGCAGTAGATGTCTGGGAACATGCTTATTATTTACAATACAAGAATGTTCGTGCTGATTATCTTAAACAGATTTGGGAAGTCATTCATTGGAAGACAGTTGCTGAACGTTTTGCAAAAGCCCAACAATAAACTATATAAATGGCACGTATTTTTTTATTATTATTATCAAAATACTTTTTTTTTCTCTCTCTTTTCTTTCATTTATGTGATGCTAGTTATTCTATTTAATTATATTTAACTCGAAGTTCATGATTTGATTTCTTATATCTTAACTCTTCATTTGCTCCTTTTAAATTCTTCTGAAATAGTTGATCACTAAATAAAAATGATAAGGATAAGAATATTCAGTATAGTATCAACTATTTACTTATATATATACTTACCTATTTAATCTCTTCGTGATATCATTTAAATCCAAATTCAAATAATCTACGATAAAGTCACCAATATCTGTATTTTCATGATTTCCTCTTAATAGTTCAGACTGATAGCCATAAGCATATAAATTAACATCAACTGCAGTATGGCCCATGGTTGTCCACTAAAGAAGTATAATATCATAGTCAATATATCATCATATATATATATATATATATAATAGCATTTTTCTTTTTTCTTTTTTTTTCCTTTTACCCCAATTTGTGCTCTTTTACTGACTAAATCAGATAAAGCAGAAGCAAAGAATCCAATATCTTGACCATTCGACTTCCAAGCTAATAATCTATCTAATTCTTCATCTGTTACATCTTCCACACCTAATCCCTTTTTAATAAGTGTTTCTACTAAAAATTCTTTCGTGTCTCTTCCTTCTTTAATTGCCTTGGCCCATTCCCAACTCAAGATCTCGGTTGAATTCTTGGCTCCTGCAATGACTTCAGGCTTCCATTCATATTCAGGATAAGAGTTTGTCACTTGTCGTCCTACTGTAAGACCACCTGTTTCATGATCACTAGTCGAAATCAAGATTGTACCAGGATTTTCGTCTACAAATTTCATTACTTTTTCAATAGTTTTTTGATATTCTAAAATTTCCAAGAAATGAGCAGCAGCGTCATTACTGAAATGGAAGAAAAAGAAAAAAGATAAGAGATATGATATCAACATATATATATATATATCTTTACTTGTGTGCTGCCATATCGATTCTGCTGCCTTCAATCATTAAAAAGAATCCTTCAGAAGAATCCTTCGTAGACTCTTTAAGGATTGATAATGCCTTTTCTGTCATTTCTACAAGAGAAGGTTGAAGTGAAGGATCGTTATCGATAGCATAAGCTATATGCTAAAGTACAAATTATCAATTAAATGTATGTATATATACATATATTATGATTACTTACATGGGGTGCAAATAAACCCATGAGTGGCAATTTTACATTTTTTTCATCCAAGGCATTAAATTCCCCTTTTGTAGTGATCAAATCCCAATCAAAATCATTTTTTGCTTCAGTAATTAAATCACGATTATCTAATCGACAACTTCCTTCAGTTGTGTTACTTAAGAATTCACAAAGCCCGCCACCAAACATTAGATCCACTGTTCTTCCTAATGGCGTATAACCTACTTGATGAACAGCAATATCATTTTCCCAATCTCTCCAATTAATATGTGCTGAAAAAGCAGCAGGTGTAGCATGTGTAATACGTGATTTAACTACGAGTCCAGTTTTCATCTTGCGATGAATTTTGGCTGACTCTAAAACAGTCCCACAAGGCTTCTTATCAGGATAAACTATATAAATATATAAATGTAGATATAGATATATATATAAGACTAAAGCCATATAATCTATATTAATAAAACTTACCGCCAATCGCTCCATTATATGTCTTGAGTGCACATGAAAAAGCAGTTGCACCAGCAGCGCTATCTGTGATTAAACTAGAACTGCTAAGTGTACGAGATTGACCTACAATGATTTTATCAAGTGGAAAAACTGATTTATGAATTAAATTTTCTTTCCATGTATGATATTGTCGAGCAAATGTTTCAGAAGCAGGACCAAAGCCATCACTGATCATCAAGATGACATTACGCTTAATGGTAGGTTCTGCAATTGAAGAAAAAGAATAAGCATAACCTTTATTTTATTTTTATTTTTATGGTTTTTTTTTTATTTTACTTTTCTTATTTTTTGTTATTAAGGCGAATACAGTTATAGCAATTATGATAATACTTGATAAAATTAAAAATAAACGGTATCTAGGTTTCTATTATAAAAAATGGATTATATAAAACGTCCTTTTTTTACAAAAAAAAATTAAATAAGATTTACCTTTTTATGTAAAAGATGTTCAATATCTTTTTCTTTTGTATTTAAAAGCGTATAATCAATATTATTAGCCATAAATTTAAGAATATATTTGTGTATAAAAAGGAAGAAAAAAAAAATGCAAAATGGAACAATAGGAGCTTTTTATATTTATATGAGTCACACAATAATGAAAATATGCTTAATTTTGACAGTTTTAAAGGATATTTATTTTTCCTTCATGGGACCAATAAATTATTATGAAGCTTAGTTTAGTTTAATTACTTCTTAAATAATGAATAAAATAAATTATATACTTTTTTCAAGTTATATACAATTCAAAAAAGAAAAAAAAAAAAAAAAGTGGAGCCTATGTATGAAAAAGGTAGAACTTATAGTCTATAAAATTAGATTATGAGATTACATTATGATGTAATATAAAAAAGCTTTTTTTTTATTTTACAACTATCATAATTCATATTAAAATTAAATGTGTACCTGAATTTGTGTGTGTGTGTGGAGAAAATTATTCAAATGTGTTTATGATTCTTCTTTATTGTTTCTTCCGAATATTCACCTTATTAACTAGTATATAAACATGTTATACATACTGATTCCTTTACTTTTCTTTAATTATAAATTTCTCGGAAATTATAACAATTACTACTGAAATAATCCTTTTTTGTTTAATGAAACGAGGAACTTATCAATGTTTACTACTTTATAGCTAGTAAGAAAAGAATATGTACTAGTTTTATTATACTTTATAAACATTTTATATGATTACATAATACACATTATATTTTTATTTATATATATAACAATAAACAAAAAAAATAAGAAAAGGAGGGGGGATATCTAATGTTTACTACTACCGTATAATTCTTCGAAATAAGGTGCTAATCTACTACGATCAACGGTTGCAATATAATATTGTCCACCATTATTAGTCCAACTTACTGCTTCAGAAAAATATTCAAATACTTCAACACGTAAAATAGACTCAGGCATATTAATTGTACGCTGATTAATTTTATGATGTTTGGGTACAAATGATTTTAAAGAGATAATTCTTGTTCCTTCTTTTAAATCTAAAAATAATTGCGCTAGTGCTTGATTGGTAGATGCATCAAAGGCATAATTATTCACTAATAATACATCTGATCTTTTTAAAGTTGCATAAAGATCATTGGCTGTAACATCTAAAAAATCTCCGTGTCTAAAATGAATTTTACCTGTAGGAAGGCGCCAGGCCCTTTTTTAAATGACGTTATTAGCTTCTTCTTCTTTTTTGTTTATACACACACATATAATTTTACTTAATATTTACTTCATACGGGCTGCATATTCTTTTAACTGTCTTTTAGCAAATTTACATGGTGTTTCCATAATCTCAATACCATAAGCTTCACATCCTGTTTGTGCTGCTACCTGAAGTACAACATTACCAATACCACATCCTAAATCCATAAATACACTACGAGAATTCAATCCTGTTTTACTAATAAACTCCTTAACTAAAATAGGATTAATTTCACCATAAACATTATTCGAAAAGGCTATAATAATGTTAAATATTAATATCCAATCAAAAAAAAAAAAAAAAAAAAAAAAAAAAAAAAATTCTTGTTTAATAACTTGCCTTGATAATTATTTAACGCATCTGCTTGTCGAGCCACAGTACGACTATACACTTGATATAAGATATGACAAGTTAAATCATAATTTGGATGGCACATATCCTTGGCATTTTTACTAAGTGCACCCTCTGCTTTAAGATGTCTTATGACCTTATTGAAATCTTTAACAGCTTGGGCAAAACCTGGACCACATCGTCGATTACGATATTTCGTTAAATTACGCATAATACCTTGAGACTGATCACCTAATAATTCTTGTTGTTTAGGTGTAAGATAATATTCATATATGAGTTCTGCAGTACGCATCAAGTCACTAATAGGATTATATTCGTCTTTATCTTCTTCTTCTTCTTCTTGATTTCTATTCATGGTATTTTTAAGTACAGGTCTTAATAGTAAAAAGCTAGAAAAGATAAAAAAAAAATTATAAACAGCATTCTTCTTTTTTTTTTTGTCGAAATTACTTTTCAGGTTCAATAGATCCAGGATACTCAAGGCTTACATGAAGATTCTTTTCTTTATTTGTAATAATCAGGTCTGGATTACTTGGATCTGCTTCTGTAAAATCTATTAAAAATGTCATTAATTAGATTTCTCATTTTATATACATGTAAAATTCTAAATAAAAAAGGGAATGACAGAAAGACTTACAAGGTCTATATTGACTAATTTCGGCCTCAACGATTCTATCGGAATGAGTAATTGTCTTATTAGATTTGTCTTTTATGATTCTCTTTTCTCGGGAATGATTTTCAACAGAAGTAGACAGTCTTCTCTTTGTCGTTTCAGTACCATTCATTTGACTATTGGCTATTTTAGTTGCTGCTTTAGCTGCTGCTGCGAGCTTATTAGCCATTACTTTTTTAGGAGGTAGAGTTACTGTTTGTTTGTTATGTTCCTTATCAATAAGAAGAGCGCTTCTATTGTTATTGTCTTTTTTGAAGAGTCAATCGTTGTCATTTGTTATTATTATTATTATTATTAAGTAAAGGGAAAATTAACGATAATAAAAAAAAAAAAAAGAAAGGCTTTGAATTTAAAAAAAAAAAAAAAAAAAAAAAAAAAAAAAAAAAAAAAATCAACATTATATACACCTATTGCCAAAATAGTGTCGCACTTTTAAAAAAACAAAAAAACTAACAGTGTCATATGTTTTTTTTTTAGATAAAATAAATTCCAAGGTATAAATTGTTTATTTAGTTATGAGAACACTAAACAAGAAATATGAATGCTTAAGAATCTTTTTTTTTTTTTTTATTGAATATAGACGAAAAGTAATTTGTACTTTCATGTCTAAATAAATATTTTTGGCAAAAGATGTATTTTTTTCGGTATTTTAAATTGTAAAACTATTTACTAGTATTTAAACTTTTTATTAAAAAGGAACAAAGGGATTATAAGGGCATCATATTATTAAAGCCAGGTCCATTTTGACGTGCTTGATTATGTAATTGTTGTTGCTGAAGTTGCATTTGCATCTGTAAATGATATTGTTGTTGTTGTAAAATGTGCTGTCGTTGTTGTTGCTGCTGAGGATTAAGAAACATGTTAGGATTGGGTGGTATTGCGGCTAATTGTTGTTGAAGTAGTGCTGGTGTAATACTATTAGCAATGGCTGTGGCAGAATTACCATGTTTTACCATTTCATGATGAATTTGAATGAACTTCTTTTTAACCATCATTTGATCATATTCAAGTTGGCGTTTCTCCTTTTCTAACAGTCTTTTCTGTTGTTCTACTAAGCTTTCAAGAGAATGATAATATGAATAACTTTTATGGTATTTTTCTAATTTCAGTTTAACTAGTCTATCTGTTAAGTTATAAAATTCTTCTTCCTCAGTGTTATCTTTTGCTTTTTCTTCATCATTTACTATATTTGTCTCTGCTGCTATTGTTGCTGCTGCCACTTTAGGCTTAACCATAGATGCTAAAAATGCAACTGCAGTCATAATTGGATTTTCTTTTGTTATAGAATCATATTGAAGTAGACCTAACTTTTTCAACTCTATATTTTCAATTGGATCCTCCGTTGATAATTGTAAGTAATGTAAGATGCATTCGTCATGAGTTCGTGTGCCTACATGTTCAGAAATCTTTTCCCAATCATCACCAAATTGTTTTAGACCTTCTTCAAGTAATTTTTCTTCATTTTCATCCCATTTCTCGTTCGATTCTTCTTTATCAAATCTCTCTAACACAAAATTTCCGTTTCCATGATCTAATGGATATTTACCTTCAATTAAGCAACGAGGACAAAGGTAGAAATCTTTCTTTTGTGTACTACTATATTGTTCTGTAGTGCATTGAGTTCCGCATGATGAGCATGATTGTGGTGTCTTACTCTTGATTATTTTATTGTCCTCTTTTTCTGTTTTAATATCAACATCGTCTTTTATCTGTGGCTTACTTTGACTTTTACGTATAGGCTTTTGTATAATGACTTTAAATTGACTATCAAAAGGTGGGCTCAGTGATGATAATTTAGCTTCAGGATCGACCTAAAAATAAATAAGAGTATCGTTAATAAAAGAGTAGACGCTCTTTTTTTCTTCTTCTTCTTATACCTGATAGTTGATTAAACCCCATTGCTCTAAAAAGGAATGAACACGAAGAATAGCACAAACATCACCGGTTAAATTACGTCTACAAGCAGTAATTGTAAGATATTCTACAGGATTCATTCGATATGTATTAATCATGAAATCACGATAATTTTTATAAACTGTAGGTGTCTTTGATTTGTTTCTATTATTAAAGAACTCAGGCAATGCTCTAGATTCGATAACATGAACAGTATTGATATCAAACCAAGCAGCATAGGATGGAATGATAATATCATGAGACTGAATAGATAGATAGCGTTGACCATCTTCTTCAGGTAAGGGTATCGCTGAGAAATCAATAGGTGTTTTAGCTCTTTTTGTAATATTAGTTTCTTCTAAAGTTGAACCTTCTCGTTTAAGTTTTGTTCGATTGTTTAAATAATCTGTTGGTAACATCCACTCCTTATATTTATGACTATCTAGAAGCCATGTCGCTCTCAAATGCCATGGACTGGATTGTGTTGGTTTAGATATCTCCTCACCTAACTTCTCATTTAGGCTAACCCATTTATTATGAGATTCAGGCAATCCAACATAGTGAATCAATGCGTTTCCATCTGAATTTTTCTCTTCTATATAATATATTCTCTTTTCTGGATTATATATGGGTTCTGTATTATTATAAATAATATGTGTTGCGCTTGGAATAATATCGACGACTTGACCTAAAATTATAATATACATGTGTATATATGTATATATCAATGAAAAACAATAAGTTTTTTTTTTTTTTTTTTTTTGCTACTTTACCTCCTAATGAGTTAACAAGATTTGTCCATTCAGTAATACTATCTTTTGAAGTTACACTTTCATCAAAAGCAATAATAGGAACTCTATAAAACTCGTCCTGAATCAATTGTTTTCTAATGACATCTACTAACTGAAGGTATAAGTCTTCATCTGCAATATTATCTAATGACCAGCCCTTTTCATGTCGAAAAGTATAAGCAGCCAAAAGAAGACTATATAATGGAGATGGCTTAGCTAATGTTTTCACATCAAATAAATGCATCGGTATACGAGCAGGTGCCAAATCGTGCTGCTGACTATAATAATTAAATTGACTTTGTAAAAAACGACCCACAAATTGAGCTAGATCAGGAGCAGTTATTGTCACATTGATACCTATTATTTCCAAATCAGTTTTCAAGTCGTTTAGTATGGCATCAAAATGAGCAATTGTTGTAGGTTGTTCATAGAAACTGAAATCAAAGGCAGGTGGCTGTTCTGTAGTCATTTTCTTAACGCGTATGGTTGCTATAGCATGTAAAGAGAAAGGAAGAATTGTGTTGTTGTTGTTGTTGGTTTTTTTTTTTTAATTAAAATAAAAAAATAAGTGTTATGAATTGGTAAATATGTATAAGTGCGTTTACGCTGGTATATATATGTATTTATATATATATAAATGTATGTGTGTATGTATAATAAAAAAAAAATGTAAATTTAATATATTTGAGGAAAAAAAAAAAAAAAATAAAATAAATTCTCAGGAAGAAAAAAGTGGATTGAGCTTAAAATCGTTAGTGATGACGTTAATTATTACATTACATTTATTTTATACTGATTTCATTTACAAGTGTTGTTAGATGAATATCAATAACATAACATCATATTGAGTTGTAGAATAGTAAAGTGTGTTATTTATACTAAAGTAAATATGATTAGTCTCCATCTCACTAAATCATTGTCTTTTATATGAGTCCTTTTAAAGCTATTAGCTAACATTCTTATTAATTAAGAACATAATACAATATAACATTAATAAATCTTTTATTTTTATTCAAGATCTCAAGAATCTTGAGAACGGTACATCTATTTTCTCTAGATATTGCTGATATGGCCGTATAAATAAACATGCTACTACATATGGATTATAGCTTAACAAATTTTAAATGTACTACTACTCATTATAATCGTTTTTTCTATGCAAGCGTAATATAATATTCCTTAAGTTAAATTCTTTATAGGATATCTGAATTTATGTCTTTAAAATTATAATTGTCATGACATGATATCAAATAAGTTTTTTATATAATAATTGGACGATCATCAAAACAAGGTAATTAGAGTTAAATGTCTTATAGTTCACACCTCTCTCCCCCCCCCAGATTAATAATACCAGGCCAAATAACATTAAAGCAGAGAATTCGACTTATTTATATATACCGCTTCATAATATACAAATTTAAGGACGTTATGTATCTAAGTAAAATAATAACACTAAATAGTGTTCAGTCATAGCTAGTATTTCTCTAAGCTCAAAGGTTTTTACATAAATATCCATCATAAATAGAATAATTAATTTTTAGAATTATCGTTCGGCCTCGTTGGCTTTATTAGTCTTTTAATATGTGTATATTTATTTATGGATGCAATATCAAAATATTAATTATAACGCAGACATGCTTATCTATTTTATCTTTTGCACATAATAGCAAGTGTAATCACATAATATATTAAATTTAACTTGTATGGTCTATGTTTAAGTCATGATATATTGATGGGTAAATATACAAAGTTATAGAAGTGACTACACCAATTATAGCACATTTAACATGAAAGAAAGAATTGCGCAACCTTCACTAATGAATTTACAATATCCAAAAATGCTATAAAGTTCCTAATTAGATATGTGATATCAAACAGATAAAAATTTTTATAGATACTAGCTCCTTTTCAGTAGTCTTTGGGAGTGAATGAACAGATTTATGTAAATTCAACTAACTAGACACACACACACACTTTGAAATATTTATATACTTAATAATAAAAGTTGTATTTACATAACGCACAGTGAACTTTCATATGAAGTCATATGACGAATTACAGTCATAATGAGTGCATCCTAATTATATTGTAGACAAAGATATAATAGTAAATAGAATATTGTTGTTATTCTTTATATAAGCCGTTTATTTATTGATCTTAATTCTATTTTCTTATTCTAATTGACAATCTTTTCTTTATTGTCGTTTTTGTTCCAATTAAATTTCAAATACAATTAAAGATAAACTTAGTATAAAGATTAAAGCTACCTAAACGCTTAGTTTATCCAAAATAAACTAAATAAACCTTAAAGACGGAAATTAAACTAAATAGTATTTCACCGGACAGTAGCTTACGGTCACGTGACAATTTCCTAATTAGGAAAGTGTCTTTTAATCATATATTTAATAAATTTTTAGTCACGTGAGCTTCTATGGCGCAATTGGCTAGCGCGTCTGACTGTTAATCAGGAGGTTGGTGGTTCGAGCCCACCTAGGAGCGTTTCTTTTTTTAAATCATTTTCATTATGTATAACCCCCTTTTTTTTTTTTGTTGTTCATTGTATTGTAAAAAGCTTATATGTATGTGTAATAATTCAGTATTATCAGGTTCTTTTTTAGTTAGTCGAAAATTAGAAACCGGGAGAAAACTCTATTAATAATTATAATTCCAATGTAGTACAAGTATTTATAATCAACCGGAATGATTAATCTTACGACAGTTGATATGTTTGACATTATAAAAAGTATAATAATATTTACTATTGTAGTAGTAATCACATTATCTATGCAGCAACAATAATAATAAGAATAGAAGCAGGTTTCAAAAAGTAATAAAGGGGGAGGAAAGGTTTTTTTTTATATATAAAAACTTTTATGACTATCTTATAGGTAATATATATGGTTTGTATAACGATGTTATTAGGAAGGAAATAAACAGACAAAAAATTATAATATAATATAATTACACATGTAAGAAACTATAAAAGATAATATAAAAACGCAATACTGCTTTATTATTTGTAGTAGCAGCATGTTTATTTTATTTAACTATTTTGAATTTGCTTGAGTTGAAGGAAAAAGTGTAGTTATGAGGAAAACCAATTAAGGAATTTTTGCTCAATCTATGATTGCAGTGGAGACAGACTTCTACGATAAACTAAGGGACAGTAATGAACTATGTATGGAATACATGCACAAAAATTTTATTTTATTTTTTTTTTTTTTTTAAAAAAAAAAGAATAGGATATTATCAATTGCCAAAAGCAACTGGAGATACAAGAAAAACTTTTATTCAATTCTCCAGGCCCTTTGCCAAATTTCTAGCATGCAAAAATGGTCTTATATCTTTCAGACCGTATTTCTTTTAAGCTCATTTTCAGTAATTTTCCTATACTCTATTGATTCAGCTGTTATCATCTGTATCCATTACTTTTAGTGAATCTCTATGGTATTGGCTTTCTACCATACGTATTTGAAAACAACATTAAACTATAGGTACTATTATAGATCCCAAAAAAAAGAAAGAAAAGGACTTGACCCCTTTATCCATTCCTTTTGTAATATCTATCTTCATCAAAATTAATATACAATTACTAATTCTGATATTTTATTGCAGTGCAGTCCAAGAAATATCATTAAAAAAAAAACGTATTATGATGTTTATACCCTTACCTTTTATAAAAAGAAGCTGATGTATAAGTTGGATACTGATTTACTTACCTAAGAAATACTCAATTGCTTACCTCAAACACCTTTCTAAACGATTGACTAAAAAGTATACTATTCTCTAACTTTATATCCACCATCAATTACAGTTACTGAGTAAAATGAAGATCCCTTTATTATTATTATTATTATTATTATTATTATTTTGAAAAGCTTTCGCCGAAAAAAGTAATCCTTTTCAAATGCACCTCAAGGGCCAACACAATATTATATTCTGTATGAACTTGTTGATTACATACAGCATAGCAAACCAGTTCCTCTTTTGTCCAAATTAACCTGGCTAACTAACTATTATTGATTTGGCTTACTTCTCTCTCTTATTCATGTATTTAATTCATTTTTTTTATTTTTATTTTGAGCTGGTATACATATTAAAGTGTACCCTCATCTCGTTGATTAATTTACTTTTAGTAGTTTTTAAATATGATTACTATTATCTCGTATTTATTGAAAAGTCTTTTTTTTTTTTTCTTTCTTTCTTTAGAAAACTAATTTATTTTTGTTATAAATAGTGATAACCATAGTAATAAAATGAATATCTTATTTTGTAACAAAAATAGTGAAAATGTATAAATAATGATAATTATTCCATACATAATTTGTCAAATACAGAAAAATAAAATAAAAAATAAAAATAAAAAACGGGTAAAATTATTAACTTTAATAATAAAAATAGATATCCATTATTTTATTTATTTATTTTTTTTTTAAAAAAAAATATATTTTTGTATACGTAAGAATTGATTGGTATTGAGTCATAAACAAATAATTATATCAAAAGCTGAATTTTATTTCTCAGCTTATTCTGTTTTTATTTCTTTATTTTGCAGTAATTCATCAAAGGCAATAATAGCAGTAGATCTAATCTATCAAATCATGATTATTTGTTATTCAATAATACAAAGTAATATGAATTTTCTCTCTTTCCATATATGTATATATTAGCATTATTTGATAATAATGATCACATGAGATTTTACTAACATTTATCAGTTACATGAATATCTTATAATTATAGATCTACAAAGTAAATCTTAAAGAAAAGGACCTGTTACTAGATAAGGTTAAAATATAATAAATTTCATTGGTTAAAATTTTAAATAAAAGATAAGTACATCACTTTCTTTTGATTAGAGCGTGAGAAATGAGTGGTTAGCTGAGTTTATTGTTAGAAGAAAAAAAAACTCTGCCATGTGGACGATTTAAAAATACTTCCATATTTAGTATGAATTTTTTTTGGAACAAAAAAAAAAAAAAAAAAAAAAGGGCAAATACAAATTTTTATCTTCTACACATATAATTGAATAATTAATAATAAAATATTATATAAGATAAATTGATTACTTATCTTATTTACTAACTTTTGATTTTATTGTTAAATAAAAATGTTCATTTTATTGTATTTTATTTTATTTCATCTCATTTTATTTTATTGTATTTTATTTCATTTTATTGTGTTTTATTTTATTTTTCTAGAAAAAGGATATATTAACCAAAAAAAAAAAAAAAAAAATGATATCATATGCCAATAGTTTTACTTGTTGTATGAAGTCTTTGGTTACGAGTTTTGATTGGTAGTTGTATACAGAAAGTCAGTTATTTCCTTATTCGGACTTTATTTTTTATCTTTGAAGTAACCTCGGAGACTCAAGATTTTAAAAGAATAAAACCAGATCATTTTATAACAAAATTTTTTTTTGTTTTCTTCTTTTTACTGTATATTTCTTCATTTCTGTTCCTTCTTCTTCTTTTTATTCATCTTCTTTCTTCTTCTTTAATTTCTCTTTCCTTTTCCTCCTTTATATTATATATTTAATATAAAATGTCTGAAAAATTGGAACAGGAAAAAAGTTCTCAAATCATTTCTTATGATGAAAATGAAATTCCAGATCATGCTATTGATGAACAACATGCTGAACCTACAGAGGAAGATTGGAAAAACTTACGTCAAGTAGCAGATCGTATACCTATATCTGCTTATCTTGTTCTTGTTATTGAATTTTGTGAACGTTTTACTTACTATGGTTTAACTGGTCCATTCCAGAACTATATTCAGAACCCTGCTCCCCCTAGCTGTAATGTATATATTTGATATATCAATTTGAAATAATAATTACTAATATACGTGTGTATTATATATGCATATTTTTATATATATATAGATCCTGCTGAACAAGCTGGTGCTATGGGTAGAGGTCAACAAACAGCTACTGCTTTAACTACATTTTTCCAATTTTGGTGTTATATTACACCTATCTTTGGTGCCATTGTCGCTGATCAATACCTTGGTAAATATCGTGCTATCCTTGTATTTGCTTGTATTTATCTTGTTGGTTTGATTATTTTAACTTCTACTGCTACTCCTGCTGGTATTGCCAGTGGCGCTGCTTTCCCTGGTTTTATCGTCGCTATTATTATTATCGGTCTTGGTACGGGTGGTATCAAGTCTAATGTATCCCCCCTTATTGCTGAACAATATCAAAGTAGAACTCCCTATATTCGCGTTGACAAGAAGGGTGAACGTGTCATCGTCACTCCTCAGGCTACTTATCAAAAGATTTTCAATATGTTTTACTGGGGTATCAATGCAGGCTCTCTCTCCGCTATCGCTACAACAGAATTGGAAAAGAATGTTGGCTTTTGGCCCGCTTATCTTTTGCCTACTTTAATGTTTATTCCTGGTATTGCTGTTGTCTTTTTAGGTCGTAAACGTTATGTTCAAGTACCACCCCGTGGTTCTGTCTTGATTGAAGCATTTAAAGTCATTTTCTACAGTTTCAAGACTAAAGGTGGTTTAGAATCTTGTAAACCATCTAATCTTATTGCTGATAATCCTGAATTAGCTGCTAATGCTACATGGGATGATATATTTGTTGATGAATTAAGACGTGCTCTTAAAGCTTGTATTGTCTTTTGTTGGTATCCCATTTACTGGCTTTGTTATTCACAAATGACAAACAATCTCATCTCTCAAGCTGCTACCATGTGGACTGGCAATGTTCCTAATGATATCATGCAAAATATTGATCCTCTTGTATTGATTGTTACTATTCCTATCATGGATCGTTTGGTCTATCCTGGTCTTCGTCGTCTTGGTTTCCCTATGGGTCCTATTCTTCGTATTTCATTAGGTTTTTTCCTTGCATCTATCGCTATGGCTTACACTGCTGGTATTCAATCTAAGATCTATGCCAATACTTCTCCTTGGCCCATTTCTGCTGCTTACCAAATTCCTTCTTATGCCTTTATTGCCTTCTCTGAAATCTTTGCCTCTATTACTGGTCTCGAATATGCTTACAAGAAAGCACCTCAATCAATGAAGTCCATTGTCATGTCTCTTTTCTTACTTACCAACTGTTTTGCTTCTATCTTGGGCTTTGCATTAGTCTCTGTTGCCGTAGATCCCAAATTAACTTGGATGTATACAGGTATCGCTTGTGCTTCATTTGTTTGTTCTATCCTCATTTATATCTGTCATCATAAGAATGATAAAACTGATACCGCTGATGATGCTATCGGTCGTAGTACGGATGAAATTAAAGAATACAACAAGAAAAATACAGTTACTGACTATGAAGCTGAAAAGGGTGCTGTGTAAACAAGCAAACAAACACACACACACACAAAAGCTACAAATGGTAGTCACCTCAAATTATACATATATACATATTTATATATTCACCTCCTCCTCCCACTCTTCTCTCTCTCTCTTTTCCTCTCCCTTTTTTTTTTCAATACTATAGATTATAGGTTTTAATAATTTTACTATACACTTTAACAAATTTAACACTTTATTGTTCATTATGTAATATTTATATTATTATTTTCTACTTTTAGAATAAGCAGTGCTTTTCTAATTTGATATACAAAGAAAAAAAAATAATAATAAATATTATGTATATATCCTCTTATTTTTTTTGTCAATAAGTAGCAGTTCTTTCAAAAAAAAAAAATAAAATAGAGTACAAATTTTGTACTTCTTATCTTTTATTTCTATATTTGATAGTTTAATTAGTTGTAGTACTAATTTTTTTTTTTTTTTTTTTTTTTTTTTTTTTTTTTTTTTTGATACAACCGCTCCACAAACTTTTAGCTTATTATCAATTTAGTGTGATCAATACATTTTTTTTTTTTTTTTTTTTTTTTTTTTTTAAATCGGTTAATCGGCTGTTCATGAAATAAGATTTATACTTCATATACATTTGTATAAAAGTTGAACAAGCTATTCAAACTAGATATGTCTGAGCAGTAAATGTGATGAACTCAAATATGGAATTTCCCCTCCCCCCACCCCGCCCCCGAGGAATTATGTTTTTATTGATAGATACGACTTTCATATAAACATGAATTGAGGCGGTACTTTGGATCCTAAAGGTAAAAGGCCAACAGTTGAAATCAGGAAGTCTAGAGCTGTATCGCACACTATTTTCGATGCAATTGGAATTTATGTTGTTCAAACATATTACTTTTCGAGTCTTCAAATGGAAATGATTTCTGTAGATATCAGAAAAAAAGAAAAGAAAAAGAAAACTTCAAAAATGGAAAGACAAATCAATCAAAGCCGAAATGAATTACAATAGGCCATCACTATTTAACTTTTTTTACGCTTGCTATACAGATTAGACTACGAAGACTTGGAATCAAGGCATTCATTTGTTTATATTGATAATAATGCAATATATTCAATTCTTTATTTTGATCAAAGAAGGCAATTAAATTTGCTGACAACTGTAGATAGTAAGTTTGTATTCCCCTTACTAAAGTTGTACATTTTACAGAATTTATCAAACTTTACCCTTCGTAACAACATGGTTATTAAAGATACAAGCTATTCCAAAGACCTTCAACAGATGAGATACAATCTGTCCATCTGAACTTCCATAACCATATTTAGATGGTAGTAAAGAAAAAAAAAAGCTAAAAGCAGTAGCTGGCATTTTGAATTTGTTGTTGACTATTGAAGCTCTTCGTATGGTGTATGTAGAGTGATTATTGTAAAAAGGGTGCTAATTGACGAAAAAATTACAACCTTACTGATTTCATCTACTTTTGCCTTAACCAAGAATGTAGTTGCAGTGTTCACTCCAGCAAAAGAAACAAAGGGAGGACCGAATATTAAAAGCAACATGACTTGTTGGTAACACTATTGACAATTGCTGTTACTAGTCATACTACTAAAAACCAAAAGCACCCAGAATTAACTTACTCGCACCATTACCTGCGTATGTTTGTACAGTAATTTGAATATTGAGACTTATATAGTTTCCCTAGCTAACTAGACTTTATACGGAGTTACTGTCAGAATTCAGGATGCACACCAAGTTCAGCTGAACGTCCATTTGCCTTGCAAATCATAATTAGATAGGCCTACAGTTTCAGTGTACAATAATGAGTCCAATAAACAAGTAGGATATCCTTTTTAAATATTTAACATAAATTATTCTTTTGAAAATTAAAAAAAAAAAAAAAATTAAAAAAATAAAAAAAAAAATGTATTTTTTTTTTGTCCCGTAGCATATAACATTAAATCCTCATTCTTACGAGTTTATTTTTATTTTTTATTTTATTTTTTTCCTTCTCACTTTACATCTTATGAATCCATTTGGTTTTGAATTAATATTTGGATTGTTATCCATTGCACTTCATTATACAGCCACGTTCAAATTACCATCTACATCTTTATTAAAAGATCCTGTTCAGACACTTTCAGCTGTAGTTCCTATCTTATTCTTGGGTCATGTCGTTTTGATCATCTCTGCTAATCTACTAAGAGGAAATGCATTTAACAAAACTATTGTAAGGGTTTTTATATATATATATGTGTGTGTGTGATAGATCAAACGAAGATATTAACAAAAAGACAATTATATATTGATGTTAAAGATCTCCCTTGGTTATAGTATATTAGCTACATTAAGTGGTGTAGGTGTTTTACATGTTTTGGCTATATTATTTGGCGCATCGTTAACAGAGTATATACCTATTTGTTTATTTTATTTTATTTTTCTCAAGAATATAAATATATTTATATCGACTCATTCTAATTATATATCTATATATTCATAGAAAAATACCCAATACTTTTCTTTTCTCAGCTTATCTTTCTATCATCACTATCATGCCATGTTTTGAATCATTTAAAGAAACTGCATGGATTAAAGTATTTGTTCAGCATAGGTAAATACATGCATACATTCATTCATTTATGTATATTTATAGAATGCTTATCTTTTTTTTTTTATGTTTAAATAGTCCTACAACAACGTCAGAAATTTATGCTTATGCTCAAGCAATTTGTGCACTTTCAGGTGCGTGGATAGGCGCTATTGTATTGCCTTTAGATTGGGATAGAGAATGGCAAGCATGGCCTATTTCTTGTGTCATTTCAACTTATGTTGGTCATTCAGTAGGTGTTTTGGCCGCTTTTATTTGGTCTTCTGTAAAATTATTATTTGGTAAAAAGAAGAGTGAATAATAATAGATAATAGAAAATGTACAAACAAAAAAAAAAAAAAGAAAAAAAAATGTAATGTGTGTGTGTGTGTGTGTGTGTATGTATGTGTGTATATATAACAGTTAAATGGATGTATTATTATCATCTTCTGGTAGTAAATCATAAATTGAAGAAGATGGCATTGTCATATTTTTATCTTTAAAAATGTGACTAAGAGCATTGATCCATGTTTTACGTTTTTCCATAACATAAAGTGTATTTTCAGATAATGTAGCTTTTGGTCCTGTTGATTTACGTTTTTTAGATTTTTGCGGTCGCTATAACAAATAGGTTAACATTTATCCATTTTTTTTTTTTTTTTTTTTTTTTCGTCATTTTGAACTACACTTACAAATCTCTTTAAATAACCTTGTTCAACTTGACTATCTAATGTATCTAATACCTGTCGATATTGTTCATATTGTAATTGACAGTCTACTACTTCTAATAGCCTTTTTTTACGATATTCGTTTATTTTTACTTGTTCTTTATATTCATGTCCTAAAGCGCGAAGCTCTGCACAAATCTCATCATCCTCTTTAGCATTCCAGTCAACCTTATATAAAGTGTATATATGAGTTACTCTATATGTATACATACATACATATGTGTGCTTATATTTACATCTTCATCACCAAATAATCCTGCATATCGAAGTTCGCGTTTTAATCTTTCTTCAAAACTAACAATTTCTTCTGTTGGATCTATTGACATCTCTACTACTGTCTTTGCATTATATTTCTTTTCTATCATTGGATCAATAGGCGTGATCCTATTTTCATCTCCTATTTCCTCATCTTCATCTTCATTTAATTGTTCATAATCCATAATATTTTCAATCACTAAGCTTGAAATAAGTCTCTCTGTTAAGCTACTCCCTTCTTCTGCTGGTCTTTCCTCATGCTGCATAGGTTTTGTTGTTATTTTCAATGATAACTCCTCTTCTTCCTCTGCCCATTTTTCTAAATAATGACGTCCCAATGGAGGAATCAAATAGGGCTTTCCTTGATCTGACTTTTGTAATAGAAAATTACGATCCTCTTCTGTTAAATTACGAAAGTAAGGTTCTAAAGTAGACCAAAATGTAGTAATTGGGACTTGATCCTTTGGTTTTACTCGTACAAAATCCACCTCTTTATTTTGATGATGCGCCCGCGCTATTGATGTCATGGATGGTGATGTGGGTAGTGGTGGCGGTGGTGGTGGTAGTGGTGGTGGTGATGATGATGATGATGTTGATGTTGGCGTCATGTCAAGTTTTTTAAGTTTAATAAGATGATGAGGCGATTCACTACGTGTATTGATTTCTTCAGAACTTTCTGTATCTTCTCTTCTTCGTCTTCTTCTGATTGTTTCAAGTGCACTAAAGTAAAAAAAAAAAAAAAAAAAGGATAAAGTTATTAAACGTAAATAAATAAATTATAATATTTTATATCTTTTAAAGCTATTTTTACGCTTGTCTACTTTGTTCATTTTTTGTAGCTGTTGTTGGTATATTAGACGAAGTAGAAGCATCGTGAAGCATGTTTGATGTATCTATTTTTTATTTTTTAAAAAAAGAATATGTATTTTTTTTATCAATATGATAAACTTTTTTTTACCTGATTCTTGCTTAATTCTCATCTTTTCCATGAGTGTGTTCACATTTTTACCAGAGGTAGTTATACTTGTAGAATCTATAATAAATGTACATGCATATAAATATATACATAGTGTCTCTTTTTTGTCATCAACGAATCCACACAATATACTATAAATCATTTTTTTTACCTTCATTGTTTTTATCTAGATGGATCAAGTCTTTTTTTAAATCTTTAATTCTATTTTCTGTTAATGCTAAAATGGATTCCAAGTCTGCTTTAATGTTTGAAAGATCGTGTACGTCAGGAATGTTATGTTTATTGTTATTCAAGGATGGAGTGCTGTTTGGTTTATGCTGTTTAATAAGAGAGGACGTTGAGGTTGAGACCGATTTGGGTAAGTCATACTGACGCGTTAATCCATTATTCATTTTAGTTGTATGTAAATGTATGTTATTATTGTTATTTTTTTTTTTTTTTTTTTTTTTTTTAATTTTTGTTATTGAATCTTGAAAGCATTAAAACTTTAGTTGATTTTTGTTATATATTATTTTTAATATGAAAGTAAAGTGTTCTACGTAATTATGTTCTGTTATTAGTTATAATCGTGAGTTGATTAACTAAAGTAAAATGAAGCAAATATAAATTATTAAACTTTGTATATTAATAATGTATTAACTCCACTTTTTTTTTTTTTCTCTCTTGTTTTGTTAGCACTATTTTTTTTTAAAAAAAAAGTCACGCCTTTCCTAATTAAAAAAAAAAATAAAATAAAATAAAATAAAATAAAATAAAATAAAATAAAATAAAAAAAATAAAAAAAATAAATAAATAAACCATTTCTTATTTTATTATTTGTATATTATTATGGTAGCTGTCACTAAGAACGCTGCAAAAGCAGATATTGGTGGAGTTGTAGACACAATTAACAGAAGAGTTTCTGGTAAATTTTCTTTTTTTTTTATAATTGCTTAATGCAAACAAAAGACAAATATATAGATCTGATCTGAAAAAAATAGATCTGTTCTTTTTTTTTTTTTTGTCAATATGAAAAGATTCAAATACTAATCTTATTGATCTAATTAATTTTACCAGGAAAAAGCTGGAAAATTCAAAAGACAGCTACTGCTCGTAATCAACAACCTAAACAACTTCGTAAAACTTGGGAACAAAGATCAAAGGAAAGAGCTAGAAATGAAGCAACAAAATCACTAGAAAGAGAATTGAAAGCTGAAAAACAAGCTGCTATAGATGTAAATCCTTTTATGAAAAAAAAACATATACATACATATTTACATTATTATTAATTTATTTGTTTTTAAGGCTAAACGTGCAGCTAGTTTAGAACGTAAAAAGATGAGAGAAGAAAAGGAAAGAATGGAAGCTTTAGCAGCTAAAATGTCAGCTAAACGTCTTGCAAGACTTAAGAAGAAGGAGCTTAGAAAAAAGGCTAGAATCTAAAAAAAAATAATAATACCATTATATAAAGTTTTAAGAGAAAGAAATGCTAATATATATAATAAATATGCTTTTTTTTGCTATAATATAATAATGTGTGCAGTAACTTATCAAAAAATGAATATATATAAATATAAGCAATAGTAATAAGAAGAGATGATTTGAACAAGATCGAGTGACTTTTATTTCTTGCTATACTATAATAATCTGTTTATTGTAGGATACTATACCCTTATTCATTTAAATATAAATATGCATATATGTTATTTCAAGTCTTTCCTTTTTGAAGCAATTATCAATAAGATAGAAAGTAAGAAATAATATCTGAAAAACCAAGTATCTATTAATGCGATAAGGTATACAGAAAAAGAAATCCCTTTATTCAGACCAAGATTATACGATTACAAGACAATAGTATAATAAATGGAGATTCTTTTGATAAAAGGTTTGCCATCTTGATGATGTGTTTTTCACTTATTTGACTTACAAGTCTCTTGAAGCAAGCAAATTTATTAGTTTTATACGCTGTTTTGTAGATTCTTCTAGTAAACATAATTTTATTAAATCTGAAGAATTACATATTTAACTTGACAGTTTTGATGTATTCAGTGTTATTTTTTTTCTGGGTATTAAAAAAAATATGTCCCCCTTTTTTTTTTTTTTTTTTTTTTTTTTTTTTTTTTTTTTTCCACAAAGAATGTATTAAATAATGAATACTGATCTTGTCAAAGATTATAAAATATTGAAATCAAAACCAAGATCAGAAGAAGCCTTGCAACTACTAAAACGTTTAGCATCACAGATAAAGCCGATTCTCTCCAAGCATCAATGGAAAATAACCAATCTATGTGAATTTTTTCCAAGAAATCCAAATTTATTAGGTGAAAAAATCTAGATAAAAAAAGACTGCGCAACAATGAATTAATCTTAACAATTATTATAGGAACCAATGTAAATAGAGGTTGGAAGATCAATTTAAGATTAAGATCTCACTACGATGATTCCAAATTTTTAGAATATGAAGACTTATTAGGCACCCTATTGCATGAGTATGAACTGTTTTTTTTTCCTAGTTCATTTACTCCTCTCTAACTCAAAATACAGGATAACACATATTGTGATTGGGCCTCATGATGCTCGTTTTTATAAACTACTAGATGAACTGAAGCAGGAAACAGAAGCTCTAATGGTATCTGGTTATACTGGAGAAGGCTTCTTTTCAAAAGGCCAAAAATTGGGCAATACATCAAATGTACCAAGATATTTAAGTAATCAAATGGCTGCATCTGCTGCTGATAGAAGGTTACAGTTATCGAAAATAATGACACAGGGAGGTGTTCGATTGGGGGGAGGCAATAGTCAATTAATAAATAATATGACAGCTGCACAGTTAGCAGGATTTGCCGCACAAAAACGATTACAAGATAAAATATGGTGTGGTAGTAGTAGTAGTAGTAGTGACGATAATGACGATGAAAAACAAGAAGAAACAAGGAAAAGAAAGTCACTTGTTCAACACTCACCTAAAAACAAAAAGAGTCGAACTAGTGCTGAAACTAACAAAGAGATAATTGATTTAACATCAGATGATGAAGGATGGACTTGCTTTAGATGTACATTTTTAAATATGTCTACTCATTTAGTTTGTCAAGTATGTCTTTCTGAGAAAAAGACGATAACAAAGAACGATGTATGGAGTTGCCCAAAGTGTACACTTATTAATGAGATGAAATGGCAAACATGCATTGCTTGCTCTTACGTTTATTTAAGATAAAAACATTTGTACAGTCATTGGTTTTCTCACAGCATTTGAAAAACCTTCATGGTATCGATAGCTAACATGAGCAGCAGGCGTATCCACTAAAATAATACACGGTCATTTTTTTTTTTTTTTTTGTTTCTTTTCTATAGATAATATATGATATTACCTTCCATATTAGTATTTCTAGATGATATTTTCTCTACATTAGGTTTAATAACACGACCAAAGAAGTCTAAAGAAATCTGCTTTTCCTTAACTATCTTTTCTTTCATTGTAGTTGCACTATTTAATATTTTCATTTAATACAAATCATATAACACACTTTATCTATGTGCTCTTACCTTTCAATTGGTTTCTGTTTTCCTTTATTACGTGCCTTATTTGCTTCTTCTCTTCTTCTTAGAATTTCAGTTTCAACTTCATGAGAAATCATTTGTCGAACAGCGTATTGTTTAGGTAAAATAGATTTTGGATTTGACAGTTCAAAATACAAAAGTTGTTCAATAGGTCTAAATAAAAAAAAAAAAATTAAAATGTATACATGTGTGTAAATATTCTACTTACGGTTCAAGTTTAAAAATAAATTGCCCATCTTCACCCTTCTCTTGGATAAAGGATAAACCAAACTCAATCATAATATTGACTAATCGTGTTAACTGAGCCTTTTCTGCTGGCTTAATTAATTTCTGATTTACAGGTCTTAATTCAGGTGATATTACATGCATCAATAAGGGCACTAATTCGTGTACAATCAAATCCTTATTTAAATAACGTCGCTTATGTGGATGTACACCTGCCATAAATACAGACACAAGATTCTCAAACGATTTTCTTGTTGAATATACTTCATAATCAATTTTAGGATATTCGACACGATGTTCTTGACTTGTCGATCCTGCAAAGAAACGATGAAAATTAACTATAGGATATGGCAAATACTTATACATTTCATATTCGTGTCGTTCATTGGTTCTGTAATTGACTTGGTCGTAAAAATGAAGCCATTCAGCCATAAAACGACATTTTTGAAGTGCAACATCGTGAAATTTCATCAAAGGATAAGATTCGAAACATCCTTGTAAAAGACGTTCAAATTCACCGTTGGATATAACTGAGTTGTATAGACGATCAAGATATTTATTGTTGTCGAATTCATTCTTGTTCGCAGAATTTTTATGACGTGCATTCGGCGCACAGAAGAGTTCCTCCCAAATAGAAAATAATGATTTTGACATATCCTTTTTACCAACACTTGCCTCATCTATCATATCTTTAGTGAACACTTTACTCTTCCCTCTAACAAACTGTAATGTATTTAGACAACTTCGAACATCACCATCTGTTGTTTCGGCTAAAAGACATAATGTCCTTAAATCGCTATCTAAACCTTCATAATCACAGATATCTTGTAATCGTTTAGCAATAGACATCATAGGCACCTTTTTGAATTGAACTAATTTAGCGATCATACGAAGAGGACGCAATACAGGAGCATAGCTATCTAAAAATATTAGCAAAAAAAAAAAAAAATAAAATAAAAATAAAATAAACGTATTTTTGGTATACACTTACAGATCATTACAAATACAAATAATGGGTCTCATTAACGGCTTTTGTCCTTTTTGTTTTCCTAATAAATTATATAATTATAAAAAAAAATCGAATAATTCTAATACGTTAAATGCTTGTGTTTTACCTTTCTTGCTATTTTCACTAATTTCAACTGTAGCCAACTGAACCAATTGCTTAATAAAGCTCTAGTTCACAATAAATAAATAAATATTTATCTGGTATTTACTGTTTTCACTTTTTTTTTACCTCTCCTCCTCCACCACTACTGGCACCATCAATTTCATCTATAATCAGTAAATTCGGTTTTTGCACCATATGAACCTTGCCTGAAGCTGTTTCATTCTTAATAATAGCTTGCATTTCTAATGCTGATTTAATTTTTGACCTCACAACTTCTCCTGTACGATCATCGCTAGCATTTACCTCCACAATATTGTATCCTGCTTGTTTTGCTACAATATGTGCTAAAGTAGTTTTACCAAAACCAGGTGGTCCCGACAATAACAAAATCTTTTACAAAGATTTAGTAAAATTTATCTATGTTCATTGCCCCCCCCTATTTTTTTTATTTTGTTTACCTTTTTTTCAGGTCGAAGTAATGGATCATTATTCTTTTCAATTTCCTTTTTAGCATAACGAGGCTCCTTTCCAAACGTATTTCGATACTGTTTCATCTGTTGGTCACGCTGTGATTCTTCTCGAGGCTTTTTCTTAAATACACAATAATCCCATTGTTTGACCCATCGTAATACGTCTCGATTTAAACGTTGATCGCCCATCAAATCCATATAGTTTTCAGGTCGATATTTATCTACCCATAATTTGGTTGAATCAATCTCTGTCTTCTTCTTCTTTTTCTGTCTCGAGTTTTTTTCATTTTCAATTTCTCTATACATAATAAGCATGAGTTATATGATTTATGATATTATTTACTCCTATTTTCTTCTTTTCTTTTTTTACTTTTCAATCCTTTTCAATTCTTCTCTATTTTTTCTTTCAATATCCTCTCGTAATTGCCAAATAGGTCTCGCTAATAAACTTTTACGTCCTGGTGTATTAGCGATTATATCTTTAAATAAGTTTGTCATTTTGTGTTTATTTTCCATAGGTGTTCTCTTGATAAAATAGAGTGATTGACCTGTTCTAGGACAAGTTGCTGTAACAAATGCCCCTGTTTCAGGAACAACTGTATAATCTGTAGATTTTTTAACAGTAGTTTGATAGTGATTGGTATGCTGCATAAGTAGTGATGGCTCGGGGAGTGTTAATTCAACGTCGGAAAGATACATATCATCCATAGCATTTATAACAGAATGAGTGGGTGGGGGTGTTGAAGGATAAGTTAATGTAGATGAATTATTTATATCAAATAACGAATCATTTCCGAAATCATCATCGAATGTATCCATTATAACATCATCGTTGAAATTTAATGAATCATTAAGCATGTTATTAGCATTTTCTATATAATATATATATATATATATATATATATATAAAATTAGAGATCATGAGTCAGTGATCATTCATTATCATTTTTTTTTTTCGTACCTGACGGTTTTGAAGTAAATGTAGGCTTTTGCTTCATAAACTCATCTAATCCAACAATATCATTTGCATTATTTTCAATGCTTGTTTCAATAAGATAGTCTAAATCGTCATCATCCTCTTCGAAGAAATTGGGTGAACGTTCTCTTTTTGACATTATCAAGATATACGGGAAAAAACACGTTTTTGTTTTTTTTTTTAAAAAAAAAAATATAAAATATTCGCGAATTTTTATTCTCCTAAATAATATGCGGTACTTTAAATTTTATTGTTGTTTGCTCAATCCAAGAATGAATTTTCAAAGATACTGATATGTAATACATATAAATATGAATATTGTAAGATCAATAATAAAAGAACTCGAGTTAGCGCTCATAACTTAGCAGGAGGTTTTTATCGATCAGTCCTTAAAAAACGCTTGTCACATTTCAAATAAGAAAAGAGGGGATGCATAGGGAAGATAGACTACTAAATCTAATTTCCAAATAAAATAATTTTAAATATATAAAGTAATAAGACTGAGTGAAGACATTGCTGCTTTGGAATTAATTCGATATTTTTTTCATGGGCAATAGATCTACAAATCAGTCCAGGATAAAAAGACTTTAAAGGATACTGAAACAGAACGTGAATTCAAAACAAGCAAATACTACATAAAGAGCTATGCTATAGATTTATAAACATTGAAAAGAAAAAAAAAAGTCTTTTTGTAATTAGACAAATGCTATTAACATCCCTATTACTCAGTATATTTTATTGACGTTAATATACATATTGTTTATATCATAATGATAGATATAATAATTAGAGCCCTCTTCCTCTCCCTTTCTCATAATCCTGTATTTGCTTACCATTTATAAATAAAATAGATTGATTTGTTAAAACCTTTTACAAAGTCTATATACACATATATATGTATGTATTCGTTACTTGAATAGGTTGATATTCGTTAATATAACTAAAATAGTGCAATCTATAGTTATAAAACTATATTACAATCTATATCTATATGTATATACATGTTATATTTTTCTTAGAAAATAATTTTACTTTTAGATATTGTACATAGCCAGATGCAGTGATTTTTTGTTGCCTCTGTTTATAGTGGGGAAGAAAAAAAAAAAAGGTCAGTACTTTACTACCTTGATCATTCAACAGTCACAGCAGTTCATCCAATCAAACAAAAAAGAAATACACCTTCCCATAAACCCCACTCTCCCCTGGGGTATTGCTTGTATACCCTTTTTTTTTTTTTTTTTTTTTTTTTTTCCTTCTATATAATATCATGTTAGCCATTAAACATAGCATTTCAAAAAAAAATTGCATACAACTTGCACTTACTCAACAGCGTTGGATTTCCAAGACATTATCACACAGAGAAGAAAAAAAGAAAGCTTCTGACCAATTCAGTGGTATATTGACGGCTCTTGGGACTCAAAAAGATAAGCTCAACAATAATGAATTCTCTAATGTCTCATCGGTTAAAACATCAACTTCAGAAAAGCCTGCTACACTTGGTGAATTCATCGTTACATTGCAACAAGCAGGTCAGTCTCCACATCAAATCTACATTAACGCGTCTAACAATAATACCATAATTACATTGACAAGACCCAATGGAGCACCCCTCTTGACAACGTCAGGTGGATCAGCAGGCTTTAAGAAGGCAGCTCGCAGTGGTTATGAGGCAGCACATCAAGCTGCACTTCAGTTATTGGATAAAATAAATAGTAAAAACTTGCAAGTGCTAAACATAAATATTGTGTTGAAAGGGTTTGGGCCAGGTCGTGAAGCTGCCTTTAAAGCACTTGTGAGTGGTGCATTATGGAATGTTAAACGTATTACAGATGCTACACCTATTCCTTTTGGAGGATGTAGACCTAAAAAAGCCAGACGTCTTTAGAAATAAAAATAAAATAAAAAAAAAATTGTATATTTTTTATTATTGTATAGAATAAATATATTAAAAAATAACTATTGAAAAGAAAAAAAGAATAAAAAAAAAAGACATTTATTATTGTAAAATATACAGAGACAGAGAGAGAGAGAGAGAGAGGAATTATTTTAAGCGGTGGCTACAGGAGGTGCCGTAGTAGGCGCCGCCATACCTTCAAACATTGTATTTTTTTCATTTTTAAAGAAAAACTGTAAAGAAAATTGTTTTGAATCACGATCCCAATGCGTCCAGAATTTACCTGGTGTTTCATCAACTTTTGTACTTTGAATCTTGAAGGCAATTGATTCATAAGGTTCTGCGGCAATAACTAAATATTGATAAGCATTGTTAGGTTGTTCAACTTTTTGTTCATAAGCACCCATGAAACGATGACGAGGTTTGACGTCTTCTACAATCTGTGGATATTGTACTTGGAATAAAAAGCCTAGTTGGTGAGTAACAGGGTCACGTACTTTGGTAACTCGATAGCCTGGTCTACCAATCTTGATGATGTTGCGTCTTGGTTGAACAATAGGCTTTGCTGGACCCACAACAGGCTGAACAAAGTTGGATTCTTGAGCTTCCTTAGCAGCACGGCGGGCTAAATTTGTCTGATGCTTTTTACCCTGTGTGTGTGCCAAATAGGATCCTTCACTTGTATGTAACGTTAAACACAATTTACATTCGTAGGAGCCCAAGTGATTTTTCATGAAATAGGGATCTTTAGTAATGTCGATAGTTTCCATGGCTAATTTGCGAAGTCGTTCACGACGGTCAACATTGGATTCGGAGGCACTAGCCATACCACCTCCTCTGTGCTTACTGCCAACTCGATTTTGAAAATCCATGTTAAGTACTGTAAAAAAAAAAAAAAAAAAAAAAAAATTACTAAAAAAAAAGAGGAAATTATTATTGTATATATTTTTTTTTATTAATTTATTTTTTTGATGTAGAAATGCTACTTATTACGCCAGCAACAACAGTCACCGATAAGAAAATAAAACAAAAGTTTATTGTATATAGATCAAGTTGGATGATGTTCCCTTTTTATTATTATTATTAATTTCATTCCTTATAAATTACCGAGATGACAGATATAGCAAGTGATAGTTCTGATGGTATTTCCTTTGATGAAAGAACTACTAATGATACATTTCAAGAACGTTTACGTCAAGCACAACTTAGCACAGATGATAATTTGCCTAATGAAGACTTTGTAAAGTAGTCATTTCTTTTATAGTATGAATCTTTGATTTATGATTCCCTTTTGATAGACAACCGATTTATTCTTTGATTCTGATGACGCAGAAGCATTGAGGAGACAGGTAAAGCGTCTCGAATTACAAGTTATGATTGCTGAAAATCGAGTTAAAGACATGGAAACTAAGCTTGCAGCTTGTAAACAAAGACGACAAAACGAATCTGGGCTCACTAACATGACTCCAGAAGAAAGAGCAGCATATGCTGAAGAAGAAGAGAAAAGGATAAATAAAGCTAAAGAAAAAAGAGAAAGAGCAAGACGACGTAAAGAAGCAAAAGTATTAAAAAAAGATGCGAGTACTGATGAGGAATCAGAAAATGAGGAACAAGATACATCAGAAGAGTCAGAAATCGAGAAAGATAATACACCTGATTGGGATGTTGTATTGTAAGTAATTATATGAATTTTTTTTTATATGTGTATCGACAAGACTAATTTTATATATATATATGTATATATATAAACACAAGTGAATATCTATTATTATTAGAGAGCACATTAGATGAAGAAGCTACAAATACCCTTTCAGGATCAGATTTTTTACCTCCAAATTTAGGGTTACGTGAAAAAGCACTTAATCATGAAGAGGTAAACTATATTCACATTAGCGTTTATAATTGATTTATTTATAGTTTCATTTTAATAGGTAAAAAGGCAAGTCGCTTATTCTTCTATAGAAATTTCAAAAGCAAAAAATGTTTTAGAAAGCAATTTAACCGAGAAAGGTAATGTATGAAAAGAAGATATTAGATAAATATAATAAACTGTCATGTATATTTAAAAGATGGGAATATTCGACATTGTGAGCTATCTGGAACTTCGTATGACCAAACATTTAATATTATATTTGATGTAATGGAACCTCAGATGATTGTGAACAACTTGGAGTTTGAGGTGGATATTGATATGCAAATTGCAATAGGCAATATACTAGAACAGTAAGCTATTGAGACTGACTTTAGCTATCTTGGATAATCATTTTATATATTTAATAGAATCAAAGAAGACTGTAATATTATGGCATTCTTTCGTCTTTTAGTTCATTATGCAACTTTAGATAAGCAACGAAAAAGTGTATTTGATCAACTTATTCAAAAATATAAGGATACTTCAGTAAATATAGAAATGTTATCTAGGGATAAACTCAAATTTGAAAGTACAACGTAAGTAAAATGTTTCCAATATATATATATATATATATATACATATATAAATGTATATGCGTAGTATATTCATATTTATATTTAAAATAAAGGGGAAATGATATTTATTTGACATTTTTATGGAAAATGATACCAGACGCATTAGAAAAGGAGACATTAGATGCAAATATTGAAAACCATATTCAACCTATGTTACGACTAGATGCAAAAATGCGCAATAAAAAAGACGAATCAGGTTTACTAAAGAAAGTTAATGATGGCTTTATGTTCTTGGTTGAGCAACAAGGAGTTTATCGAGCTGTTGAATCCATTGTAAATAAAATGTTTTTTTAATCTTAAGCTTTGTGGCAGCTATTAAGTAATTTGCATACAATTACATAATGTACACAATAAAATTTTAAGCAAATTAAATTTATTTTTGCTCATTTGGAGATGAGAAAAGCTTTAGCTACAGCTGAAGAACTTAGGTTGGGCCACTTGAAAAATATTTGGGACGTGGGTCACTTAGTTTAAAATGGGACACTTGATTAAAGGTGACAATGAAATGAAGGTTTTATTTTCATGATATTGTACTATAATAATACACGGTTCATTTTAATTTTGATAAAATAAAAATAAAGAGAAGAATGATATCGTTGAGGAAGTTAGAGTGTGAATAGTAAAAGGGTCAAGAATAATTATGAAGGGCAGGTGAGATGATAAGTCACTCGCTTCTTTTTAACAGTTGTTTACTGTTTCTTTAGAAGATATAACATCCTTTTACTTGTTGGCCTTCTTTTGTTGAGCACTTACAGTTACATATCTTTCTCAACCCATATAGGATTGAGCAACAACAGACATTACTTGACCATCTGTAGTAGTGTCATCGTAACTCATGTCATAGGTCATAATGATTTTTATTTAAGTAGAGTTATAAAATGTCTATTGCTAGGTGTCAATGGTTGTTAGACCCTTTACTAATCCAAAGACTGAGCACAAGACCCAGTGTGCTTTTCAAAAGCCTAACCACGTTGGAGTTCGGATAATACGAACACTAGCGCATGAGGAATCTCGCTTACTAACCACAATATGTACACATCAACCATTTCACTGAGTAAGCTATAAAAACTTACCTAAATTAATCCCTGAGGAACATTGCCACACTTTTGTGAGTCACTGTACCTACTAAGCTCCTTATTTAGATTATTTAATTGATTAAAAAAAAAAAAAAAGGCTGACAATTTAGGAAAAAAAATTAGTTTCCGACAAGTAAAATTATTCACAAAAACTAATTTTTTTTTTTTTTTTTTTTTTTTTTTTTTTTTTTTTTGGCAATTGAAAACGTAAGCTGTTTCTTCTTATTGAAGTAGTTTGATTTCCATAAATGGAGAAGTCATGTTTTACAAAATCAACATAAAAGCCCAAGTTTGACAGTTGTCAAAAAAAAAAAATAAAATAAAATAGATTTTATTACTTTTATATTATAACTTACTTATTATGTCTACTAACAATTCTTTTAACGCTTGGGCTGCTACATCTAATAAAGATACCCTTGAGGAAGTTCAATTAAAACTTAGAGCATGGGATGAAAATTGTGTTGACATAGATGTTACTCATTGTGGTATCTGTGGATCTGATGAACATACTATCAAAGAATCATGGGGTCCTACTGTGTATCCTTGTGTTGTTGGTCATGAGATTACAGGTATAATTACTAAGATTGGTAAAAATGTGACTCATCTAAAGGTGGGTGATCGTGTTGGCATTGGTGCGCAAAGTGGTTCTTGTCATGAATGTGCAAACTGCAAGGAAGGCAACGAAAACCTCTGTATCGGCGCTGGTGCTTGTACTTATACTTATAACAGTAAATGGCCTAATGGTGATATGGCTTATGGTGGTTATGCAAATAAATGGCGTGGTGATTATCGCTTCGTCTTTAAGCTCCCTGATGATTTGCCTAATGATGTTGCTGCTACTTTCTTTTGTGCTGGTGTTACTACCTATGCTCCCTTAAAGCGTACTAATGTTAGCTCTAGTTCTGTTGTTGGTGTCATGGGTATTGGTGGTTTAGGTCACTATGGTATTCTTTGGGCTAAGGCTATGGGTGCTAAGGTGATTGGTATGTCACATAGTGACAGAAAACGTGAAGTTGCTCTTGAATTAGGATGTGATGACTACATTATTACAAGTGATTCTGAGGCTATGGCTAAGTATCAACATAAGATGACCCATATTCTCTGTACTGGTACTAGTCCTGATTTCCAATGGGCCACCTATTTGGCTTTATTGCGTCCTAACGGTCACTTCATTAATGTTAGTGCACCTGATTGGGACTTCCCTGGTATGAATGTTATGACTTTACTCTTGAATCAAATTTTCATTCACGGCTCTTGTATTGGTTCTCCTGCTGAAATTAGAGAAATGCTTGATTTCGCTGCTAAACATAATGTTCGTCCTTGGATTCAAAAATATTCTATGAAAGATGTCAATAAAGCTCTTGAAGACTTCAGAGCTGGAAAGCCTAGATTTAGATATGTCTTGGAGAATTAAAATATTATTTAATCATTTTTTCCCTTCTATTTTGATATTTTTTTTTTTTTAATAAATTGTAAAAAAAAAGTTTTTGTTGTGTATATAAAGAAAGTTTAGAGCAGGATTTTCGTTTTTTTTATGCCGTTTAATATTTACCATTATTACATTTATTATAAGAATACATAATCTTTTTTTTTTATATATATATTTATATTTTTATAAAAATTTATAAATCATGTTTTTATATATAAATATATAATACTCAAGTCATTATTTATTATAATTAATTTACATGCATATAAATCTAACTTAAATGAAAAGCATATTTTGTTATGGTATCCATTCTCTCTGCCGAAAAATATAATGCTAGTGACATAAACTGGTTCGCCATAGCAGGGTCCTCCTGGCACATGCGTTCAAAAGACTTTTTAGTCAATTTCCAAAAAACAGAGTCAGTATCAGCCACCAAAGATCGGGAACGTACTATTCGACTATTATTACTAAAAATGCCCATTTCGCCTACAATGGTGCCTGGCAAGATGGTCTCGATTATTACTTCTTCTTCTTTCGTTACCACGTACATAAGGCTTCGTAAGGCGCCCTGTTCAAGTATTAACAAGTAATCAATTGAATGACCCTCTTTGTAAAGTGCTTCCCCTTTTTTGCAAGTCCCTCTTTCAAAATAGGTGCTTAGTTTATGAAAAAATTCGATAGGCGTCTTTCCGTGATCAATTTCACCTAATGCTTGAACGAGGATAAGAGTAGGCTGTGTTGTGTTTTTGTGAACAACTGGGGTATGGTTTTCTAATCCTTAAAAAGAAGTAAAAATATGAAGTTAGTACTCTTTATATATGTATACATATATGTATATATAAATATATATATATATCATTTAAAGTAAGTAAGTTAAAAAAAAAGGGGTTACCCTTAAAAACATGTTGAATGGCATTTGAAATGATATGGTGACGAGGCGAACCTGCAGAAGCAGGAAGGTCTGAATAACTGTATAACTTTTTAGGTACAGGCTTTGAAGCTGTTGTTGTCATTGTAGATAAATCTATATTCATATATTAATAAAATCAAGTTTTTTATAGTATATACACATATATATATATATATATTAATTTTATTTTACTTACTTTGCAAGTGCTTCGGTTTCTTTTCAAAATAAATCATCAACAACTCATTCTCGCACCATTCAATTGCATCATTAATATTTTGAAAACATTTAAGATCACCCTCTGACTGACAAGCCCAAACACCTGCCTTCTTCAATGCCTTTTCTTCATCCTTTGCTACGTTACATATGATCATATACACCTGTCGTGCCTTTAACAACCTTCGGATTCTAACAAATGCCTCTGCTGCACTAAAATCTAATCCTTGAACCAATTGCAGATCGAAAATCAAAAATCGAATCGGATGATGATCCCAGGCATGCTCATCTAACATATCTCTAATTGTCTTCTCCACTTGATTAATTGTACCAAAGAACAAATAACCTTGTAATTTAACAATTTGTATTTGTGTTCCCACACGTTTTAAGAAGCGCTCTTGACGATAGAGACGACGTACGGTTGAACGCATATAATCACCAGTATAGGTAGCCCGGATGGCCTCACTACGACGCGCATTTTGGACTACGAAAAAGATACAGGCCATAACGATACCTACAAAAATGCCTTCAACAAAGCCAAGAACTGCCATACAGAGGATGATGACACAAATAGTTATGTATTCAAGATAATGGACAGCGTGCCAGGTATCAATCAGAGCTTCCTTAAGGAGATCAAGACCTAAATGGAAAATAAGACTGCCGACAACCATGACAGGAATATAGCCAACAATCCAGGGACCAATCATCCATAAAATGGCCGTAGCAGCCGCCAACATCACACCAGCCACGCGACTATCTCCACCCGTTCGAATAAACAATAACGAATTTGTATATACAAGATAATCTATAGACAAATAAGTAATCAGATGTTAAGTGTTGGCTGATAGTATATAAATATATATATATATATATATATATTTACTTTGAACTGATCCAAATAAACCAGACACGGCATTAGATATACCGTGTGCCACTAATTCACGATTCACATCTACATTATCTTTGTTGGTGGAAACTCCTAATGCAGGTACATTAATAGGAACATGCAACACACCTAAAAGAAACTAAACTTTAGTATTTTTTTTCTAAAAAAAAAAAAAAAAAAAATAAAAATCATAATCTTATACCGAAAAAGGTTAATGCCAACATAGCAGGTAATGTCTCTGCTACAGCTTTCCAATCAACTAATCCAAACTTAAAATAACCATAAAAATGCCAAAATGGTGTATTACTTTCAACAAGCGGGAATATCCACCCCTGATCCCTTACTTGATTAATATCTAATCCCAATCCCAACACAATCATATAAAACACAACAGGCAAGACCATAAAGAAAACAGGTACTACTAAGGGACTTGTTAGACGAGTTTGAATAAGTCGTAAGAGGAGAGCGACGACAAAGGCTGAAAACCACAAGGAAAATAGATGAGTATCTAAAAAAATCTTTTTAAACATAGGAATCGTATAAACAAGATTTTCATCAAGACGACCAGAGACTTCAATACCAGTTGCAACCAGGAACCAACCGACACCGCCAATTGTACCAACTAGGATGTGACGTGGGAAGAAGCCGATAAGGGAGCCCAGCTTGAGAGCACCCAAAAGAAAGAAGGCAAGACCCGTCATAAAACTACTAAGAGCAAAGGCTACCATTGTAGAAGGTATGACGACGTCAGGATTGTTTTGTCCAACTACTGAAATAATTTTTTCTGCCCTAAACGTATATGGTATTAGATAAAGTGAAAATAAGAAGATGAAATAAAATGAGAGAGAGAGAGAAAAGAACTTACATAATATGCAAAAATGGTACAACTATTGATTGCAATTGGAGTTAGTTCAGTAGTATAAAAATAAAAATAAAGGAATTATCAACATGTATATAAATATTTTTTTAATTTACCTTCGATCATCATACTTTTACAAGGAAGAATAAATAACGTCATTTTGTTGATTAATTATTGAACACTCACTATCTCATTATTATCTTACCTTCCATTCCCACCATCAAACACACTACCACCACAAGAATAAACAAGCTGAGCAATAATGCAACTAAAAACAAGGAAAGAAAAAGAAAAAAAAATTTTTTTATATGCATTAGTTATTTTTTTTTTTTTATACTACTGATTACCTCACAAAAAACATGGATATACCGTCTGGTCCAAATGAAGCAAAAATAGGGTTATTAAGAGGAAATGCAATCATACCATAACTAATAGCATCCAATAGATTTAACAATACACCTAAAATAACAGCAGGTATATAGTGAATAGGCTGTATAATACAATTCTTAGTGATCCAAGTTTTTGGGTTCCTTTTTAATTCTTGTAAAGTCAATTGAAACCAATCATCCTTTTGAGAAAGTATTCGACGAGTCTCTTCTTGTTGTACTTGTTGAGATATTGGCTGCTGATTTGTTGTAACACCTGTATTTTGATTATTCGAGATCGATAGATAATCTTTAGATTTCTTCTTTTTTAACAATGGTGCTTGTTCTTTTCGATCGTTATCTCTTTTAAGTAAATCAGAAAGGATAGATTGATATCCAGTCACTTTGTTAGAAGGAGGTGTTATATGATCAGTTAGAGCTTTAACACTATCGCTATCACTCGTGCTACTACTGACGCTTACTGGGGTATGAGGTGAAGGAGGTGAATTGGTTGGACTTGATTCATGCATATATCTATCTCCCAAGGCAAGTGAATTAGCTCTTATAGATTCAAATGATGCAGAGTAATCCGCATTGTCTAAAGCAAATGTTAGACTATATAACATTAGAATAGAATTATGCTTTTGACATACCTGGTTTTATATTAATATGTGTAGAATAATAAGAACGTGAAGGTATCTCTTCATCCACTAAAGATCTTGCATTCACGATATCTTTTGGCAATGATCCTTCAACTGTCAAAGTTGAAGAATTACGTCGACTCATTATTTTGTCAAAGAATTCAACGCAGTGAAAAAAAAAAAGAAAAAAGAAAAAAAAAAAAAGTAAAACTTAAAAAATCTACTACACAACATTTAAATAGCTGAGATGATGTCTGTGTACATTGTATTATTCGGACATTTAATTTATTCCGTTCTGTTACATGTTTGAAAAAAAGTAAAACACAGTAATACAAAATCTAAAATTCCAAAAAAAAAATTATAGAGTGCAGAAAAGAAAGAATGTAAGAAATAAGATTATATTCAGTAAGGTAGTTTTCTGTAACAATTATGAGAGGATAAAACCTTACATTTATTACAATTTATCAGCTATTCTTGAGTTTCAATTCCAAAGAAATTCTTTACTGTTCTACATGTGAAAAACCATGTGTAATTTACTTTTAGATAATATCACTAATTTAAGAACTAGAATCCATCTTTATTATTTTAATCAAAGAAAGTATCCCAATTTACACCGTTACTTGAAGCATTAGCAGATACTTTGCTTAGAGATGTTGATGATGTTCTTAAATCAACCTTAGGCGTGTCACGATGATTATCAATGATGCTATCTGATTGATTAGGAACAATCTCATCATGATTATCACTTTTATCAGATTGACCAGAAGTAGTCTTTGCTGCTTCTTCTTCTCTTTCCTTTTGTTTATCAAACTCAGAAAAGTAATAATCCATCATATCTTCATCTAAAAGATCTTCTTCTTCATCATTATTACTGGATTGGTGTTGTTCATCCTCATTATTATCATTAGTTGGAATATAATTTACATCAGCTAAATATTTTGCTTCTTCTTCATCTCTTCTTAATTCTTCTTCAGTTGGTGGTGGTGATATTTCCCACATTGTTCGATTTGATTTAATACTAGGCACAAGTGCTTCTACAAATAAGAGTGGATATTCTTTTGCACCTTTAAAGAATTGATATACGGCATAACGAATAAATTCTTCCAATTGTCCCATTTCTCTAGTTTTTTGTGTACTTGGTATATTTTTAAAGTCTATTAAAATGCGATTAAATAATTCCAGCACAGGTAACTAATTGAGATATTAGTAAATAGATACACACACACACACATCTTCCTCCCCGCAATTTTTTTTATTATTATTCTTCACCTTCCAAAACAAATATTCTGCTTTTCGTTTAACCATCATACGGTGAAACATGGTTGTAATACACGTCAAATACTCAGGTTCCAAGTCCTGGTAACATTCTAAAAGTGTACAATAGGCAATAACCACATCCCAATTAATGTATTTTTGTTCAAATGCGGAGAATTTGAAAACAGAGTCTTTGTATTCTTTTTCATCTTCTTTAATACTGGCTTCTTCTTCTTCTTCATCATCATCATCCTTTATATTATTGTCTATCATCTTTTTCTTTGCTTTCTTATTGGTCCTTTTACGTATAAACATCATCTTTTTACTCTTTTGATAGTGATCCAACAGTTTTAAAAAGACATGTGTCAACATGATGACTGCTTTCAAGTATCCATACGATTGTGACTTGTAGCACTTTATAATATCCACAAACAACTCAAATGATGTCTGCTCATAAAATAAATTTTGTTGAATATGTTCAGCAATTTCACGATATTCTTGGCTATCTTCATCCTCAACAACTGACATACTACCAATAATCACTAGCATATAACGCAAACAATCGGCCGCAGTCTGGACATCCAACCACGCTTTTTCATCCAATTTAATACGCATCTGACGCAAACAAAATAAAACTGTACGTAAATTGATAGCACTCGCTATTAATGCAAAATCGAACACTTGATCGCTAAAATAAGATGACGACTCATTCTGGTTTGGTAAAATAAGTTGATTTTGAGCCTTTTGTTTATTATTGTTTCGTTGTTCATAATGGAAATATTCAAGGAACCAACGCATAGTAAAATAGTAACGAACATAATCCTGATCAACAATTTTAGCATCTTCACGCTGCATATCCTTTAATAATGAATCATAAAAAGCTTTTAATAAAACAGTGTTAGAAAGTTGGATGCTCTTCTTTTTTCTTGTTTCTTTTTTATACCATTAAAACAAGAGACAATAAACGATTGTGCTGTTAATTTCAAATACATAAGGGCTTTTCGATTTTCATATACTTTTCTTTTCGTTATATTCTCCTCTAATTTACGTTTGACACCTATTCGATTTATCTTTTTTTCACCTTCGATCAATGTTGCCGCATCTGCATAGCCAGCTTCTTGTCGATGAGAAATTCGTCTTTTTCCGTCCTAAAAATAATAATAAGGACATGATTAATAAGGAATACACAAGTAAAAAAAGAAGAAGCGCTTATTACCCAGTCAAGTACATAAGTACCACCAAATCGATTATGTCTTGAAGATACATGATTTATTTTTTGCCTTTTAAGCTTTGTTTCTTCTGTTAATAAATTTGACAATTTGGCAGAGATCTCATACAGTTCACCTCTTTTCTCTCTTTCCGAAAATTGATAAAGAAATACATCCTTTGTATCCACATGTTTTAAGAGGTTAAATAAAGATTCTAGGACAAGCACATTCCATTCGGATGTTCCCTCTTGTCGCTCACTATTTGATGCAATTGTTAATAAGAACTCAATGACATCTGCTTCGTAGTAACGGATCATTAGTTTTTCTTGCATATGAGCCATACGTATTTGTTCTGATGTAGCTCCTGATAAAGAAGTATTAAGATCAGGAATAGCAGTTAAATTACGAAATAAGTAAAGGGCGAGACGAATAGTTGTATGATCAACAACAGATCGATCTCTATTCATAATAGACAAAAGTAAGGATTTGTGTGTGTGTGTGTGCGTACGTGTTTTATAAAGAATATTTTACCTATGTGGTATACGAACAGATTTCATAATCATAGTTAATATAGTCTCAAATACACCTTCTGTTAATAAATCTAATTTATATTTTCGATAACAATGCATTATATTTGGGTTCTCTTCTTCTTCTTGTTCCTCGAGAGCTTGCCTTTTTTCAATAGGCCATGTCATCGGTACCAGCAGTTCAACTTTTTTTTTTTTTTTTGTTAAGAGGAAAAAAAAACATGCATGTAAATTAAATAATAATAAAATACAATTATCTAAACGCTTTTTTAATTACCACAAGCAAGAATAAATCGATGAGCTACATCATTACGTTGATGTCGAAAGGACAAGATCAAAGGTACAATATCCGTTTCAATTACGTTATATTCGACAAGTGCATTTAATACGATTTTTTCATTATTTTGACTATCTAGACGAATGGCTTTCTTTAAATCTCTTAAACAAGCTATTTAAAAGTATGTTATAAGCTTCTTGATGCATCGTATTTGGATCTATATGTTTTCTTTATTACCAAGTGCTTCATCACCAACACAATAAATTTGAGTGATGGAACCATCTTCTTGTTTGACTTCTTCTAAACCGCCAATAGCGGAACATAAGTTTAAAATGTATGCTTTAGTTTTTTCAATCTCTGTTAAATCGTCATCCATTATACTAAAAAAAGGAACCATTTTTTTTTTTTTTTTTTTTTTTTTTTTTTTTTTTTTTTTTTTTTTTTTTTTTTTTTTAGTACAGCTACTGCTGATGTTTTTTCTTTTTTTTTTTAAAAAAAAAAGTAAAACGCGGCGATCGCGCCTTATATGTTAAACGCGTCGTTTAAATGTGGAACTGGGCTTAAATTGCTCTTGGTTAAAACAAAAAGAAAAAGCATAAAAAAGGCTTTGATTGTACTAGATCTTCCATTTCTTTCTATCTTTATTGTTTAATTTGGTGTCTTTTATACTTCAAATTTGACGATTAATATTTCTCAATAAGAAGAAGAAGAAATATACATATATAAATAACATGACACCATTTTGTAGCTTTAATTACATCTATGCTTACAGAGTCAATTGTATATATAAATATAACGAAACATTATATTATATACATATTCCTTTATTTTATTACTTTAAAAAAATAAATTAATATAAATGACGTTTAAACTGATTAATGATCTTCTTTGTAGTTGATGACACAATTATTGTAAGTTTCACTTTCGTTTTTGTCGGTTTTAATAAATGAATAAATGATGAACGAAAAGACGCCAGAGATGACGTTGATTTTTTCTTTTTTGATCCATACTTTGCTTCTATATACGGGACACTTTCCGTTTCTATTGTGACACATGATATGTTAGATTCGATTAAAATTGGAGGAGAGATAACTCTGTTCGGAAAGTCCGCTGCGATGAATAATTCGTCTTCTTCATCACTACTACTACTACTACTGTGACTACCACTACTATGATCATCAAGGTCAGGTAGAGATAATAACTTTTCTTCCTCCTCCTTCCCTGAACAGTATTTATCATTAGGCATTATCATCATATTATCAAACAGTAAAAGTTGCGTATTATCATTCTGACCAGCAGTAGATTGTAGAAATAATGAATCTTGGGTGTCTTCTAGAATAGTGTTTAAAAAGTCCTGAAATATCCAATCTGTTACTTGAGGGACTTTAGTAGTTGGGTTTGTAGATAGTTTGGATATATTATTTACAGTAGTTGAAGAAGGGAATGAGATGGTGGCTGCTAAGTCTGTGTTAGACTGCATAATAATAATGTATATTTATCTTATTTTCTTTCAAAAAAAAAAAAAAAAAAAAAAGAGAGGATTAACATGAGAAAACTCGATTAATTTACTATATATTTATATATAGCATTTCTTTTTTATTGTACTACCATTACTATTGCTATTACAATGAAATGATCTTCTTTTCAGTCATCGTTTTTTTTTTTTTTTTTTTTTTTTTTTTTTTTTTTTTTAAATTACAGACTATAATAGATTACGGATGTTAAACGCATGTCATATATACAATAATAGTAGTAGTAATAGTAATGATAGTAGCATTAGTAGTCATTGTATCCGAACAACATGGGTTACACCACTTACCTCGTACATGTCTGTGTGCTATTGTGTGCCTTGTTTAATACAGTGCTGCCAATTGTTAAAGGCTGAAAAGCTTTATGCAAATTTCTATTGGTTAAGTTTGCGACTTTATTCCGTGCCTATTCTGTTATTATGTGGCCTAACTAGTACTTTATACATATAAATATATAAATATGTATATCAATGTATCTATATATGTACACCCTAAATCGATACAACTAAACACATCTTTTTATTATCTTGTTCAAAATAATAAATGATTAGTATGTTCTTTATAATAAAATTATAAATAAAGATTTTATTAAAATCCTTTTGAGCGTGTGATACCATTACATCAATTCCCGCCCGAATTCTATCAATATAAAAGAAAGAAAAAAAAAAAAAAAAGAAAACTCCCTCGAGAGACAAGAATAAAAAAAAGGTACAGACAAATAAGACAGAAGAAGCAAATTGAATTTCTCAACTTGAAGGAGAAAAAAAAAAAAAAAAAGGGACCAACATGCAGTCTTTTGTATCAAATTATTAAAAGTAAAAATTATCTGTCATTTACAGAACAGTACTTGTATTTGCTAACTGCAAACTAATACTGTAGACGAGTCACTTGAAGGCATAGCAAAGAATTATTTGACCTCATATGATATTTATTGGCTTATTAAACAACTAGACTCATTCTTATCTGTCAGAAATAGAGAGATAAAAATAAAGTTATCATTAATGAACTTCTTTATTGATAAGCGCTTTACTATATTAAAAGCACTCTATTATCCAAGCTTAATTAAATGAATATATATTTATAAAGTAATAGAGAAGAAGAGAAATATATAAATATATAAAATTAGATTGATATTTGTTGGTATGTTACTTATAGGGCATGGTTAACTGAAATGGTATCATAACTATTACAGTCTATTGATAACCCATAACCTTCGTCATACTCTTATCAGTTTTTATTTATGGCTGTTGGACTATTTAGTGAATATGTATACATGTATATACATATATAAATGTATATTTTAAAGAGCTTAAAGAATTCATATACTGTACTGAATCAGGTCTATTACATAAATGACGTGTTATTTACTACTAGTATTCAGTCAATATAGCTATCTATGTTTTTTATCTCCTGTATTTCATTATCAAGCTTTATTTGTATTTACCTGGGTAAACATAATTTTGTTGAAAACAAAGAGACTCTTCCTTTTCATTATTAGAGTGCATTGTATATTTGAAGGACAAAGAGAAACTAGAATTAATTTTATAAATAGTAATATTTAATTACTATATGCTCGAAAGCTTTGTTTCTTTATTATAGACAAGCTTTTATTTAATTGAGTTTTATTACTACATGATATAGACATGTTCAAAATAATAAATGAGTTATTATACACTTCTAACTACTAATAATAAAATGTATTATGTTGTATTTCTTCTCTTCTTCTTATAGGAGCCCCTTTTTCTTTTTATTAAAGTCATGTTACTAGCCAGTCTATTAAACTAAATGAATTTTGACTATAATCAAGGCTTTTACACCATAATTCATGTAGGATATTTTTTTTTTTTCATACTGTTTTTATGGCAATAGTTCTGTTTTTAAATTTGCTCCGATGAAAAGCGTCCGCACTTGAAGAATGTGTACAGAACAAAAATAAGCTTTTCTTTTCTTCATTATACCATTCGGAATGCTTCGTGTGGGATACTTGACACCTTACAAATGCATATTACTATTGCTAATTCAGATGCTTATTAAATATGATTATCCTAGACACTTGGGATTACGAATAGTTAAATTTATTACCTCATCAATCTTGGTAAAAAAAAAAAATAGATCAATAAAGATCTGTCGCTTAATCTCTTACATTTTTATTTTATACTTTTCCTTTTTTTTTTATAGAATGAGGAAAAATGTAAAGAGGAATGTTCAGAGCCATCATTTACAGAAGTACTTGAACAAATAAAAAACTTTTGTACTTTTGAGGAAGAATATCTTTTAATGGATTTAAAAAATGAAGTAAAAATAAATAAATAAAAGAATGAATAGAATTAAGCCTTTTTAACTTTTATTTCTGTTGACAAGTTGGAAACAATGGATAATCCACATAATATTGACTCATTTATAAAAGGTTAGTTAGATAAGAAATAAATACACATGGTTTCTATTTTACTAAATCCTTTTTTTGTTATTATTATTTTTAAGATTTTAAGCATGTATTTAATATGACCTGTATTTCGGTAAATATCACTTGTAAAAGCAATAAATAGAATTAATACTAGAGCTATCGATCTTTCTTCTTTTATAGGAATTTAAAATTACAATAGTATGAAAAAAATAGTATAAGATTTGCCCCGTATATCTATAATATGTATATATTATAACATACATTTACTTTTTTTTTTTTTTTTTTTTTTTTTTTTTTCACAGAGCAAATCTAGTATTTTAGGCATATTTATACGCCAGTCTCTTCTTGATTATACAGGTCGTTCATCATTACAGCTTGCAGAAGATATTCAAAAGGCACTCAGAGATTATATTCAACATAAACCAGCCTCATGGATTTCAGATCACAATACAAAATTATTTTTGAACCATCAAGCAGAACGATTAGAGACGACAGGACAATGCTGTTTCGATCCAAAAGCATTACATAAGTTTCTTGAAGATGTACAAAAGGAATTACCTAATTTGTTAGCAACGATTGAACATGTTCGATATCTAAACTATTTGCGTACTAGAGAATATTCACAAGCATTATTCCATTTGCATAACTCATTTGATATAAGTTTAACCGAAGGAGTGTATGTGTTATAAAATGTATGAAAAAACTTACCATCATCTATATAACTGAACATGTGTGTGTGTGTGTGTTTATAGTGAAATGCAATATGCTTTATTGAATTTAGGTATATTAGAATATAAATTTGGGCATATATCAAGTGCAATTCCAGTAGGTGAAATACATAATATACATACATACATACATACATACATACATACATATTCATATTCATATCTACGTATAGGCCCTTAACGAAGCATTAACTGTTGCTAGATTAAACAATGATGACTATTGTCTTCAAGAAGTTCAATAGTAAATACATTAATATATGTGCATATATGTATTTATTTATTTCTAATCTAGTCTTGCTTCATATCTAGTTGGATCGAAGTTTGTAATAATCAAAATAAGAATGATTTATCATTTATCGAAAAAGAAGCTGATAAATATATTTATAACTTAACACAACTATCACATGTTAGACAAAAATTGAAAAATGTAATTGCACTCACAAAAAAAAAAAAAAATATTTCGTGATATTAACCATAATTTACAAAGGGTGGAGACTTTCAAGATATAATTGATTCATTAAATCAAACTCTAAGTCGCATTATTGAAAACGATATAGAATATATGAATCGAAGTCAATTCTTAACAACTTGTTTAGCATGGAAAAAATATGGTAAATTTTATTTGAAAGGATTTCAACTATAGTATATTTAAAGCTTTTTTTTTTTTGTTTCATATATAGGTAGTAGTATTTTGGCAGAAACATATTTAAAGCTGACAAAAAAAATGGGTGAAGATTCAGTCGAAGATATAGAAAAAACTATATTAACAGAAGCAGCTATGGTATAAAAAAAAAAAGTAATATAATTTGGAAATTAAACAAAAAATCAATACTTTTAAATATAGCTTGAATCATCAGGAGACTCACAAAAAGCTCTCGCTATTATCGATAACTTTATAAATAAATATCCAAATGAAAGCGATTTTCTAGTAGACTGGAAACAAGCTAGAGCCCATCTTATTCATCTAATCCAAAACAAAAAAAGGTAATCACATTTGAATATGTATGTATTTGTCTACTAATTCTTCGTCTTTATTTTATTTTATTTGTTCAGAGAATTTGATAGATTAATGTTGACCGAAAATAATGTTGAAAAGAATATAATAGAATTAGATGAACCATTTATAAGTTCAAGTATCAAGACCGAGGACTGCTTTAAATGGTATCATGATAAAGCATACTATTTAATATTAGAGAATGAGTTGAGTCAAGCACTTGAACTACTTATTTACTTGAAAAATCAAATTCGAGAGACCAATAACAATTATTTGGGGACTAATTTAATATTGCAGGCCACAGTACATATAGCAAAACAAGTTCCAGAAGAAGCTATTCCATATCTAAGAGAAGCAATGGAAATAAGTAAAGATACCTTTGATACACAAACCTACTATAAAGCCACTATAACATTGGCTTATGTATACGTATTTAGTGCGCCTGATAAATCCCTATGGATGCTAGAACATATCTTTCCAAAGGTATTGTCCATGAAGTCAAAAGCATTAACATTAGAATTATATTATCTTTATGCAGTTGTACTCGACAAGGTTTCTTCTTTATCTGAATTTACTTTTAGTAAGTTTTACATCATATGAAAGGAAACAAAAAAAAATGTACATACGAAGAAGGTGAATTAAATATTTTATTTTAGAAGCAGGGAAGGAGACTATTTTAGATTATATCGAAAAAGCAGAACAGGGTAATAAACATAAAATAAACATAAAAAGTTAGATTGAGTAAAGTATTTTTTTTTTTGTTAGGTTATCGTGAATTATCATTAAACAATGAATTATTACGCACTTTAATGTTTAAATGGTCAATAATTGAAAAATTCAAATTATTTCATAAAAGACAAGACATTTTAGAGGAAATCAACCAACTTCACTTATCACAGAGAGCCATACACATGTAAAGAGAGAGAGGGGGAGATAAAGTAAATATTTATTTATACTATAGTTATATTTGGCATGCAATAATATAAAGATCAATATATACTTTATGTGCATATTATTCTATAATTAAAATGAAATATTACTGTGATGAATATCCTTAAGGCACTTTATAGTTTATTCCTTTTTGTCATATAGTATATGATGTTATTATGTTATCCAAAAAAGATAAGAAACATGCATGTTGGAAGGCAAAAAAAAAAAAAAAAAAAAAAAAGACAATATTTATAGGAGAAAATTTGTAATAATTTTAAGACTAATCAAAACACACTTTTCTTCTTTTATAATTCAAGAATAGTTATGTTTTATTATCCATAATCATAATATTTCAAGTCAATAATTATATACATATAGATATATTAATTACATATGTAGCAAAGATCATATTTCAGCTGTCTAGAGTCAAACCATCTATACATTTAATAAAGTGTTTTCTATTGACATATATGCAGAATAAAAGCATCGTTGACAGTTTAGAAACGACACATGATATTGTCGCATATTTACTATTTTCTGTCAACATTTACTAACTGACGCTCTACACATATATTTCTATTATTTTAACCTAACAACTTTGTTGGTTAAAAAGACATTAATCATTCTCCTTATAATACACCTTTTTTTTTTTTATCTATAAAGATTGAAAATCTAAATGCATTGCATTTTTTTTTAAAAAAGGAACAATAAGTAAGTTTTCGCACAGAGTAACACAGAAAAAGTAAGTATGTAAGTTGAATAAACTTTTTTTTCTTACCCCTTCTTTTTATTGATGATCATTGCTTATACTGCTTATCCATGTATGTTAAATACAAACTCCTTTTTCTTTCCATTCCGAGATAATAATAAAAAAAAAAACCTGAAATAAGGAGACGAACATTAAAAATACAATTTAATATTTTCTTCTTCTTCTTCTTTTTCATTTTCTATATTATTATATACTTCAGTTATTATCATGTATTCACCAGATCAATGGGAAATCCTTTCTGAAATCAGTAGCGTCACTTGCATTACTATTCTGTCTTTAATATTTGGTCGTAAAATAGCTAGTATTGATGGACCCATATATTATGTCAGAGCTCTTTTATTACTTCTTTATGGTTTTTCTTGGGCATTTAACTTGATTGCTTGTATGCTTACTAGCACTAACAATGGTAATTTTATTTCTTGTACCTTGACTAACTTCAATTGCAATTTGGTCTACTCTGCTACTAAGGCGATTTTATATCTCTATTTTATTGAAAAGGTTTATATAAATATGCATATATCAATTTTAGTAAATGTACTCATTATATGTATAGATTCATATTATTTCTGTTCCAAAAGTAACACGATTTAAATCACCTTTATATTTAATCAACCTCGGTCTTTTATTACCCTTAGTCGTAACGATCTTATTACAAATTATTTATCGCATCAATATAGTTGAAGACAGTTTTCCCTTTCATTGTACAGTTGGTTTTGATTTACCTGCATCTGCTGCCACACTCTGTTATGATATCTTCATGTGCTTACTATACATTGCCATCTTTATCAAATTCTATTGCTTCCCAAACACTTCACAGCAGACAGCACATCAATCATCGTCATTACATATGATGTCCAAGAGAAATAGCATTGCCGCTGCTATTGCTCTTATTACAATGGCAATCAACTATACTATTTTGATTTATTTTAATGGACGGGAAAGAGGGCTTGTTGCCTCTAGCGTTTCTTCATTGGTAAGAAAGAAATATTTGTATCAAATGATCATCTTTATTTATTTATTTGTTTATTTTTTTATGCTTATAGTCTGTTACAATTATTTGTGTTACTATTCACTGGGGTAAGTTACATGTATAATTTTATAATTTCAATGATCCAACAATCTTTTTTTTTTTTTTTTTTTTTTTTTTTTTTTTTTTTTTAAATAGTTACGACGCATCCTGCCGAACTTCAATTGAATGAAAGAGCATTACAAAAAGTGAATGGTGATAAGCCTATTCGTCTTGAAATTAAACAACATCAGGAAGTTGTTGTTTTGACAGAATTGAACAGATCTTAAGTTTATATAATTCTATAATTAATTATATTTGCTTCTTTTACCATATTAACATTTGGCGTTTAAACGCACTTCTCTATATATAAGAACAGGCTAATTTATTAATAGTATTTGTAGCACAAATATCATACTTTATTTCTCTAATAAATTCATATCATTATTTTTTTTTTCTTTTCATATCCTTGCCTCTGGAAGGAATTTTTGCATGTTCACTATGTATTCTAGTCTGATCAATCTAGTCAAGTCAGTAAAAAATATCTTCAAGCATCTCAAGTTCATCATAATCATATAATTTCATAATGTAACTAAATATAATGTCTCTTAAACGTGCGATATACACACATATACATATAAAAAAAAGAATCTTCTTAAAGATACGTTTATTAAGTGATATATATACTATATTACATGAAAATTTTGCTTATTTCTAATTGTTATTATTTCTTTGACATTGCTTTCTTTCCTTTTCCTTTAAAGATAGGTTTTCCCTTCATCTTATTATAACCACCTAATTCTGCTGAAGATTCTGCTGTATTTGATTTTGCAAATCGTCCCTTCTTACCACCAAATCCATATTTACGATCCTTGTTTATTCTCTTTAAACTCTTAGCAGGGCGTTTATCTGCCTTTTCCAATGCAATATCAAAATCATCTTCTACTGTCAAATCTTCACCATCTTTTCTCTCTAAATAAAAGAAAGTAATATATCAGTAAAATAAGTTTATTTCCCAAATTTACAAAAAAAAAAAAAAAACTTACTTCGCTTAAGTAATTTGATTTTATCAAGCATTTCTGCTTTTTGTTTTTGTCTTTCCAATTGCTTTTCAGCTTGAACCTTCTTACCAAACTTCTTAAGTTGGCGTTGGCGTTTAGCTTCTTCAGAAGCCTTAATAGCTGCACTTTCATCTAATAATTTTTGACGAACCTTAAATAAAAAATAAAGAATGTAAATATGCATACACAGAGTATTTTACAAAGTATTACCTTAGCCATATGCTCGTCACTTTTAAGCATTTCAGCAAAGTAATCCTCAGGTCTTGAAAATGGAATGCCTGCTTTTTTAACAAGATCTCGAGCAACCTTTGCCGCTTCAAGTGCTTGCTGGTAAAAAGCTAATTCACGCTTCATATCATCAGTGGAGTCTTCCACTATAACAGGTTCACTAGAGGTTACAGTCATAGTTTCAATCCAAGGTAAGTCTTTTAACTTAAATTCGTCTGTAATGCGAATCATGGCAGCCTATAAATTAAAAAAAAAAAACATTGTTTATATGGATGATCTGACAAATTTCGCACATGTACATGTACCTCATCATTAATTCTAGCTCTTGTAATACGAGTTTGGGATTTATCTTGCTCATCACCATCATCATCATCATTGACTTGTTCAGCCTCTTTGTTTTCATCATTATCCTGTTCAACTTCTTCGCCCTTTTCGTCTTCATTTATATCATTGTCAGTTTCTTTAATAATAATATCTTGAAGATCTTCCTCTTCCTCTTTACGTTCAATTTCTTTCTTTTCAACAGTAGGCTCAGTAGCCTTCTTAGTTTTCTTGTTTGCCTTTCTAGCAGCTCTTTCAGTTTTACGAGACATTTAACTAAAGTGTTTAAAAGAAATAAATATAATAATTTATTTTTCAAAAAAGTTAAACTGTACCAGTAAAACCAGTCGCAATCTATATGCTAAGCCACATGCTAGTTCATCGTTTGTCACCTCCGCCTTTTTTTTTAAATTCCTATTTTTCTCTCTCTCTTTTTTTTTTTTTTTTTTTTTTTTTTTATAAATATTCATATTTGTATAAGAAAAGATTAGACACGTATGAGCTTAATAGAATTAACAGATCGGCTATCAAGAACATTTGATGCATGTTTAGAATCTATCTTAAGTGATCCACAAAGAAAAGAAGAAGGTACGAAAGGTAATAAAAGCTTATCTATTTATTTATTTATTTTTTAAAAAGAAGAAGAGCTAACTTTATATTTAGACAGTCTTGATACCCATATTGTTACTTTAAAAACGTCATTTCTTGAACTTGAAAGTCAATTAAAGAATATTCAACTAAAAGCTCTAAGTAGTAAAGAACTATCTGTTCAAGAGGTAATAAAATATATAATTTGGATGATTTATGATATTTACTCTTTACATATACATTTATAGTCGAATAAATTATTAAGGAAGGATATTGAGATTAAAAAGCATACGATAAATAAATATATGGATAAAATAGAAAAATGGGAAAAGGAATTACCAGTTTTGAAACAGAAGAGTGAAAAAGCGTTTGCAGTTAGGACTGATAAAACTGATTTTGATCCTATTGATGGATTTGAGGGCAATACATTAGCACCTGAGCAACAGCCTGAGCAACAGCCTGAGCAACAGCTTGAGGATAATACCATTAGTGCTGCACAGTCTAATAATGAAAAAAGTCAGGAAACAAATGTTACAGCTATGGTTGAGGATGAAGTTGATGACGATGAAGATGAAGATGTTGAATTTGAAGAAATTTAATCTTTATTTTTGTAATTGTTATATATAGCATGTATATACAAAATAATCTAATGAACTGCTAAAATTTATGAGCACTTATGCAAAAAAAAAAGAGCAAACTTTGGATGCTTAGGCAACCTTTTTTTTTATCATTCTTAATCATTATTTTCCTCTTGGACCTCTAACGTACTTGTATTTTTATCCTCTAATGTATTCATTTCCTCTTGAATTTCCTCCTTATCTTCGGGTGTACCATTCTCGTTATTCACTACATCATGAGCATTTTCGCTTTCCACATCACTATTATTATTACTACTATTATGTTGATTAATAAAGGTGCTATCTTTTAATTTTCTTTCTGGAATGACTTCTTTAAAGGCTTGTTCCCAATCACGACAATCAAGCCATTTTACCATAATCTCCATTACTTGATTTACTGTTAACACTTTTCTTGACGCCATATGGATATAATCACCAATTGGTAATTGTGCTGTTTTAATACCTTGGCTTTCTGCTTTTTCGTAGCATAAATTCTAACATAAACTAAAATTAATACTCTATATGTAGAGGCCGAATTATAGATGTACCTTATATCTATTTTTATCGACGATACCACCAATAATATACGTTTTACCTTCTTCCAACTCATGAGCCACATGTTTTGAATCTGCTGTTAAATAGACCAAATTTTCTTTTTGATCTTCACCCATCACATCTAAATATGATTCATTTGTTATTTTTATATTCTTCCAGTTTTGCCAACTAGGGGCTTTAGCATCCATTTGCTTCTTAAGGGCCTCATCAAACGATGTCAGCATCATATTGAATGATTCCTTCTGAGCACGTACATTAGCACTATAACAACGAACAATTTGTTGTCTCAACGAACTCAACTCCTTGTCGATCATATAGCTTGAATAGGAACAATCAATAATAATGCCTATTTGACCAATTATCATGTTCTTTGCCTTTGGTCGTTTAGGTAATCGTTCAAGTAATCCTTGACTTTCAAGTTTTTGACGTTCAGCTCGTTTTCGTTTATACTTTTCCCGTTTCTCTTTGTTACGCATTGGTTTAGTTTCTTCCCAGATTTCATCTTTGAGGATTTTCTTGATGGCATTTTTACTAAGTCCTTTGAAACGAGGATCGGTAATATCATACTGTTTTCCCATAAAGACACGAATATTAGATTTTTCAGATGAGTTTATGTTCTCATTGTTGGGAACTATTTTATTAGAAGTGGATGGTGATGAATCAGGTAGATCTGTCATGATTATTTAATTTCGAAAAAAAAAATAAAATAAAAAGAGAGAAAAAGTTTATTTTTTTTTTAAAGAAAAAATTCGTGACTTAATAATGATAAACTTTCCCGCAGCTTTACACAAGTATATTTTTAGTTTTTAGTTTTTAGTTGTTTGTAATTCTTTTCTTTTCTTTGTTGTTTTTATTTATTTATTTACTATGGCGTCGACAATAGAATTTAATGCTTTATGGCTATTATGTGTCTTTTTATTATTAATAGCATTCTTTTTAGCGATAAGACGACGTCGAATAGCGTCTCGTAATTCTTCTACTACATCTTCAGAAGGTAGTATAATAATAATAATAATGAAAAGTAGTTTTCTTTTATAGTTACAAATCGAACTTATTATGTTCATAAATATATAGTAGTTTATCCACAATCAAATAATAGGCAAGAAGTATGTATACTCATGCCTACAATAAGAAATAACCCTCAACCTCCTCCTCCATTTGAACCAGAAGGTCCAATACCACCTCCACCTTCTTATCAAGACTATCGAAAAGATATCCAAATTCACGCATAATTTTTATATATATGTATACATATTCCCCTTCCCCTTACATTTTTTTTTTTTTTTTTATTATTGATAGATTATTTAAATAACTTCAGTTATTTCATCCTCTTGTTTTTCAGCGGCCATAAGAGCATCCAGTAAAACTCTTCTTTCCGTTTTCATTCTTTTTAATTTCTTTTGTGTTGATTCATATTCATCTTGAAGCATTTCATTTTCCCTTAAAAGATATCGTAATTGAGCTTTAGCTAAACGATATTTTGCATAATCTGAGCCAGGTACTATTTTTGTACTACGAGATTCTAATGTAACTTGGAAAGAATCATCAGAGTCGTTATTATCGGAAGATAACTCCATATTTTCGCTTGTAATTATTTTTATTTTACTGATGCTTGGCGATAATGTTAGTTTTTTATTGGGTGATGATCTTTTATTTGTTGGATTCAAAAGAGGTGACAAAGAATGATGTTTTGTCTTTGAAGGCGAAGAAAGATTTTCTCCATGCTCTGCTTTTTTGTGTCTTGCTAAAGCATCCATTCTACCAAATCTATCCCAAAAAAATATCAATATTTGTCTTTATAACAACTTGTATCAAGAGATTACGTTTGACCGCAATTAGCAAAATTACATTCATATGGCTTTTCACCTGTATGAATTCTTAAATGCATCATTAATGCAAATCGATTATGACATTTAGCACCCTGTCTTGCACAGTTTTTCCAGTCACAATAGTAATCACCTTTCTTCCATCCTACGTGATCTTCAGAAAGATGAGAAGCTAAAGAAGGATGATCGGGAAACACTTTATTGCAATTATTCCATTCACAAACTAGTTTTTGTTCTTCTTGAGGTAATGTAATGTTCTGCTGAAGGTCCATTATAGAAAATAAACCAAAAAAAAACAAAAAAAAAAACAGTTTGTAGAATAAAAGAGGAGAAACATGTTTAAATGATGTATAACTGCAAATAGATAAAAGTCACAAACAGTCTGGAAATTGAAAATTTTCTTCTACAAAAAATAAAAATAAAAAAAAAGTTTAATTCTACTTTGAATTTATTCTTCTACTATACAAAATGGAGGCCAAGTTAGATAGAATAAGAAAACAAATTAACTCCAAATTGGACAATCAAAAACTGGTAAATAAGAATTAGTTTTATAAAAACTAACAACGAGAAAAAGATTTACATTAGATCTTTCCTTCAAAACAAGATCGTAAATTACTAACTGGTTGATCTATTATTATAGTATGCCCAAACTTTACTTGCTATCGAGGAGGTAAGCTCTAATAATCGATTTCTTTTTTTTTTCTCTTAAAAAAAAAACTAACATTCAATTCCCTTAGACAATTACTGAAAAGAATGAACAACTCTCTCCTCTTGCTTACTTTGGTACAATGGTAAAAAAAAATGTCATTATTTCGTTTGATAAATAAAAACTAATAAAAAAAATTTTTCTTGTTATCAATAGATGACCACTCTACAATCTTCTCAAGGATCTAAAGATTTAGTGGGTGCTCTACTTTATTTATTGGATGAAGTTTTTCCTTTGTAAAGTATATATTACACTTAGGAAATGATAGTATTACTAACATTTTCTTTTATTTATCATTCAAGTCTTCCCCACTCTGTCCTTCGATCCAAATTCAGCGATATTGTTTCGATTATTGAAAAGGTATTTGAAGAACATAAGGAGGAGCAACCTATAGTTCGTTCTATTATTGGTTGTCTTCAAGAACTTTTAGCTTCTCAAGATGGTCCCAATTGGTCTATGCCCACAACAAAAAAGGCATACCAACAGTTGCTTATCTTGAGTGCAAATGCATCACCCAAGGCACGCAAAAGGGCTCAAGATGCTGTTCGTAATATCTTATCTAGACCTCCTCCACCCACTGCTGTTCATCCTGCAGCTGATATGACAGCTGATTTCATTCTTCGAGTCCTACAAGAAACTTCAAAAACAAATCAGAATGCTGCTCAACAAATGTTGGCTTTACTTCACACTATTGTTCCTTATTGGCCACCTAATGTAAGTTTTATATAAAATCAAAACGAGCATAATTACTAACGTTAATAAAATAGAAATTTTCTACATTATGTCACACTTTACTTCAACTTCCTAAATTTAACAATATTTTCCTTACCAAAGCAGCCTTTGATGTATTTGAGGCACTTTTTGATGCTGAAGAAATGGATATGGATTCAGATAAATTTACTGGATTGCTTCGTGTAAAATAAATGAAGACCAAAAAAAAAACGAGTTAGATGATTTTATTAATAGTTTTAATTTTTAATTAGGCTATTTGTGAATTAAAACCTGCAGCTATAGACGAACGTCTTTTACCTCCTTGGCTCTTAATTGTCAGTAAGGCCTTCCCAGCCTATTCCAAGTAAGTTACTCATACTTATTCTATTACATATTTTTATTTTTATAAACAGTAACTAAAATTAGCTTTTGATCTTCCCTTTTTTTTAATACTAGACTCAATGCTTATCAATGTGCTAACGATCTTTCTGTTATTTTCAACTTGATCTTCAATGATTTTCAACAAGAGTCTAGATGTCATCGTCAAATTGCTAACTGTCTTTGTACTTTGATTGAATATTGTATTACTGATTCTCTTATTGAAGAAACTGATTCTGAGTCAAATAACAGTTTAACAGAAATTATTCAATCACTTGAAACAGGTCTTGGCGTTCATTTCCAACCTGCTTGGACACATATCATGACTGTACAGCAAGCAATGTTTAACAAATTAAATCATTACGCTGCCACGTTGATGAATGGTTGTGTAGCTCTTTTAGGCGAACTTCGTTTATCACCTTCTGAAACTTATAAAGAACAATTAGATAAGACCTTAGGTGTTGCTATCTCAACCATGGGTCCAGAAAACTTTTTACGTATTTTACCTCTAAATCTTGAACAAACTAATGGACAAGTAGGACGTGCCTTCTTATTGCCTCTCCTCAAAACATACACAACCAATACTACACTTAGTTACTTTGCCAATGTCTTAGTACCCCTTGGTGATCGACTCGCTCAGAAAGCTGATCAAGCACGTTCCCGTGAACTTGAAATGCAAGCCAAAATCTATGACACTCTCGTTAACCAAATTTGGAGTTTATCACCTGGTTTTTGTGATTTACCAGTGGATTTAGTGCGTGCTTTCAATACAAATGTTGCTGAACGTTTTAGTTCCTTACTTTATACACAACCTGAGCTAAGACCTACAATCGCTCAAGCCTTGCAGTTACTTGTTGAGAAAAATCAAACACTTTTAAAATCATCCGCAGATGACGCCCATTTGATGCGTGCTTATGGTGTTACAAAAGTGGAAGCTCAGCAAAATTTACAGCATATGAGTCAATATGCTGTTAACTACTTGGCAGTCTTCTTTAATGTTTTTAGTCAGATTCCAGCTCAGTTTCGTGGATTTATGGCAGATGTCATCAAAACCTATTTAACAATTACAAGTGCTGAGGATATTAATACAACATTTAAGAAGGTTTTAGGTATGCTTTCTCAAGCTCTTGAAAGCACTGAGACTGTGGGTGATTCTTCAGGCCAGTCACCAATGTCACATACAATGTTGGATTTGGCTATTATTATGATTCCTTTCTTGGATGCTGAATCCTGTGGTTTATTGTATAATGGTACTGTAACAACTTTATTAACTAGAGAAAATGATCCTGTTTTGCAAAAGAAGGGCTATAAGGTATTGACTCATTTGATGCGTGTTGCCAATGGTCGTGAGGTCATCCTGCAGTTCATCGAATCATTACAGCAACATCTTTTAGAGTCAACAATCCATTGTACAAACTCTGCAAAGAAGGATCGTATCAAGACAATTAGCGAACTAGTACCTCTCTTGCCCTCTCAAGACCTTCATTTTATTCCTGCAGTTTTGTCAGAAGTCGTATTAGCTACAAAAGACAATAATGAAAAGACCCGAGAGGTTGCTTTCGAATTGCTAGTATCAATGGCTCATAGAATGCAACAAGGTGGCATTGTTAAGAATAGTCGTCTCGAAGGTCTTGAAGGTGTTCCTGATGCACAAGCGACACTTCAAGAATACTTTACAATGGTGACAGCTGGTTTAGCAGGTACAACAGCGCATATGATTGGTGCTACCGTTGGGGCTCTTTCACGTCTCTTCTTTGAATTCCGTGAGCAACTTGACATTGGAATCACAACTGAACTCTTGCAGACAATTCAAGTACTCGTGGGCTCTAATAACCGTGAAATTGTAAAGGCTGCAATCGGATACGTTAAGGTATCTGTTGTAGTTTTGGATACCGCTATTTTACAACCCCAATTACCACAAATAGTTCAATCATTATTGACATGTCAACATCAACATAAGGCTCATTTTAAGGTTAAAGTTCGTCATTTGTTAGAACGATTGATTCGACGATTCGGATACGAAACTGTGGCTAATTTGATGCCCGAGGAAGATAAGAAAATGATTGTGAATATTCAAAAACGACGATTGAGAGCAAAGAGAAGAAAGCAAACAACAGTTGAAGATAGCGATGATGAAAGTGGCGCTCGTGCTTTGGCTAAGAAGGGCGGTAACTTCCAAGATGCCTACGAAGAAGTTTTATACGGCTCTGAAAGTGAAATTGATGATGAGGATGATGAAGATAATGATAATGATAATGTAACACTAAAGGCAGCTGCTACAGCCCTCAAACAACACAAGGCTAAAAAGCAACAACAAGCTGCGTTTATTCGTGAAGGTGATGATGAGCCACTTGATTTCTTGGATCGATCAGCTTTAGGACGTATTTCATCATCTAAGCCCACAGCACGACGCACTGCTAAGAATATTCGTAATGAATTTGCTGAAGGTGAAGACGGACGTCTTGTGATTAATGAACCAAGTGCTAAGAAAGAAGAGGAAAGTGAAGAAGAGGCAGAAGAAGATTATTACATGCAACACGTCACAAATCCTGATGGATTTATTCGTGATAAGCGAAACAGAATTAAATTCAAAAAGTCCAAGAATGGCGATGCTATGGAAGTGGATGATGATGATGATGAACCCAAATCAAAGGTTAAAAAGCCAGTTAAGAAATATGAAAGAATTGGTAAAGAGTTCCGATCAAAGGTAAGCTTCGTATTATTAGTTTTATGAATATATGTATATGTATATATTTATATATTGTTTATATATCTAATATTATTTTAATATATTAGAAGGCTGGCGGTGATGTTAAGCGTAAGGGTCAAGTGGATCCTTATAGTTATATTCCTTTGAGCAAGGTGATCAAGAAGAAGGGTAGACGCGAACAAAAGGTTACATACACAGGCCGTGTAAAGAAATAATTAGATTGTATCCTATATTAGAAATGTATATACTATATCACAATAAATAAATATTTTGCTTTTTATATTTGAATACTTGTGATGAGAAAAAAAAAAAAAAAAGGGGGAGGGGGACAATTATTTATTGAAATTGTAAGGAAATGCCTTTTTGATGATCCTCTTAATGGACGGAGTATGAATATCCCGAAAAGTCGAACTCATTGGTGGAGCAACGACAAAAGGCAGCCATCGTTAGCAATATCCTTCTTTTCCTGCATCTTTTGAAACAGTTATGGTAATGTATCCATCCATCCAACCAGCCATCCATCCATCTATCTATCAAAAGTAATTGAATACTATATGCGTTACGAGGAAAAAAAAAAGTGCCACTTTCCAACCAGTTCAGCTTTTTTTTTTTTAGATACAAAATATCAATGCACGTTATGTAGAATAAATGTATTTTTTTTTTATTTATCTCGGTTCAGTTTCTTCAATTTTATGACATGTCATTTTAGCTTCAATGAGAGAATCTAATATTTTTATTATTATTAAAGATTGATGGATGGAGGGCGGAGATGCTATTATATTCAGTCCCCCGTTTCTTACTTTTTTTTTTCTGTTTATTAGGCTGACGAGCAAGCTACTCAAAGAAAGAGAACTTTCCGTAAGTTCACCTACCGTGGTGTTGATCTTGAACAACTCTTAGACTTATCTTCTGAACAGGTAAACTATATATATATATATATATATATATGTATATAAATAGACTAACGGACGGTATTTGCATATTTTTTAGTTCATGGAGCTCGTTCACTGCCGTGCTCGTAGAAGATTCCAACGTGGTCTTAAGCGTAAGCCCATGGGCCTCATTAAGAAACTTCGTGCTGCCAAGAAGAACGCCCCTGCTGGTGAAAAGCCTGAGGTCGTTAAGACCCACCTTCGTAACATGATCATTGTTCCTGAAATGATTGGCTCCATCGTTGGTATTTACAACGGTAAGACCTTCAACCAAGTTGAAATCAAGCCTGAAATGGTTGGTCATTATCTTGGTGAGTTCTCCATCACCTACAAGCCTGTTAAGCACGGTCGTCCTGGTATTGGTGCCACTCACTCTTCTAAGTTTGTTCCTCTTAAATAAATGGAATATTTTGTCATTTTATTGTGTTATTAAAGTAAATATAGATCCATGTTTATATGTGTAATGCAGTTATTATTATAAAATAAAGAAAACAACAAAAAAAAAAAGGGGAAAGAAAAGATAAAATGTTATATAATGCTTTGATTTCATTAAAGGTCTTATGCAATAAAAGTTACATGTTGAAGAAGGATGTTTTGTGACTATTTAGTGACTTAATTTTATATGAATTTTAGATTACTGGAAAAAAAAAAAAGGCTTGAAAACAACTTTTTTTTTTTTTTTTTCTTATTCTTAATCATGACTGATCAAACATTTGCATCATTTAATTTTGATCCACGATTAGCAAGAGCTATTGCCCAACTAGATTTTACTCGACCTACACCTATTCAAGCACAGGGTATACCATTAGCTTTGGCTGGGAAAGACATCCTTGCCCGTGCACGTACGGGTAGTGGTAAGACAGCCGCTTATGCAATGCCCATCATTCAAAAGATTTTGAAGCATAAAGAGGTATATATATATATATATAGATAGATAGATAGATAGATTTGTATATTAGAAATGTTTGTAGCTAAATAAAATCGGTTCAGTCATTAGATGCAGAAGCATCCATTAAGGCGTTGATCTTGGTACCTACTCGTGAATTAGCAGAACAAGTTACCAATCATATCAATAAGCTTTTAGTGTATGCTAATACTTTAGTAAAGGTTGCTAACTTGGCAAGTCAAATGTCCATTCAACTTCAAAAGTAAGCTATAAACCGTTTTACTATGAAGATTAATATTAACACAATTTATAGGCCTTTACTTGCTGAAAAACCCGATATTATTGTATCTACACCAAGCCGTGCTCTCGGTCATTTAGAAGCACAATCAATGCATCTGCAGCAATCTCTTGAAACACTCGTTATTGATGAAGCTGATCTTGTCCTTTCATTTGGCTATGAAAATGATGTTCGCAAAATCCTCACATACTTGCCCAAAATATACCAAACTTTGTTAATGTCTGCCACCTTTACTAAAGAAATTGAGGATTTGGGCGGTCTTATTTTAAAGAAACCCGCCATTTTAGCTTTAGAGGATACTAAAGAAGAGATACAGTCACTTACACAATATATGGTCAAATGTACTGAATTTGAAAAGTTTTTGTTTACATTTGTGTTGTTAAAATTGCGATTGATCAAGGGCAAGATTTTATTATTTGTGAATGACATTGATCGTTGTTACAAGCTTAAATTATTTTTGGAGCAATTTTCAATCAAATCATGTGTATTGAATTCAGAATTACCACTAAATTCGAGATATCATATTGTTGAGGAATTTAATAGGGGTATATATGATTATTTAATTGCAACAGATGAGGCCGAATTAAAAGGAGAACAAGACAGTGAGGACGAAGAAGAGGAAGACGATGATCAAGAAAAAGAAAGCAGTAAAAAAGGTAAAGGATAAATAAGTAAAAGTGTTTGCTTTAATTATTTTTATTAACAACTTATAAAGAACTCAAGAAGAAGAATAAGAAGACTATCCAACGTGATAAAGAATATGGTGTTTCTCGAGGTATCGATTTTCAGGGCGTTGCTGCAGTTATTAACTTTGATTTTCCTATGTCATCTAAAGCTTATACACATCGTATTGGTCGTACAGCACGAGGAGGACAACGCGGTATGAGTTTATCATTTGTCGTAACTTCGGATCATGTTGAAGGTCGTAAAGACGTGAGTCGAGGTAAAAATGTAAATGATGATGCTGTTTTTGAGCGAGTCCTTCAACAGCAAGAAGCTAAAGGTGCTGAGTTGAAGCCTTATACTTTTGAAAAGAAGAATGTCGAGGGCTTCAAGTATCGTATTGAAGATGCTTTAAAGGCAGTTAATAAGGTAGCCATTAAAGAAGCTAGAATCAAGGAAATCAAGCAAGAAATTCTAAATAGTGAAAAACTGAAAGCTCACTTTGAGGATAAGCCAAAGGATTTAGAGTTTTTGAGACATGATCATGCATTACAACCAGCTCGTGTGCAGCAACATTTGAAGCATGTTCCTTCTTATTTGATGCCTCGAATTGCAGTTCCTGCTGCAATGGCAAATACAGCAATAACAGAGGACGTACCTTTTCAAAAACGTAAAAGAGGGGCATTTAAAAAGGGTGCAAATAAGGTAAATATTTGTCCATGTTTTTTTTTCTTATTTATTAACTGTATTTTATAGAAACGTAAGGATCCTTTGAAAGTGATTCGTCGTAAATAAATTTCGGTAATATAAAATGGTGTATATAATATCAAGTTTTATAAAAAAAAAAAACCATAGACTATTTTTCGGGCTAAAGCTATCTAAATATTTTAAGTGAAATAAATAATGGCATATAGATTTATCCAAAAGTGTTAAATATATAACCTATTCTTCGGAATATAATAAAATGTTATTTTAGACACTTTAGAATTTTCTTTACTTTTTTTTTTTTTTTTTTTTTGTTATCTTATATAATCAAATAGTCATTTAGTTATTGAAATATGTATGATGGTAGACCCTTTTCTATTCATCGTATATCAAAGAAGTATACTTAATATGTGTATGAATACCTCTAATTCTTTTCAAGTCAGATCTGCATATATTTCATTCTATTTTTACTAAATTGTCTGGAACTCTGTTAAATAACCTTGCCATTTTGTTTTCTTATTTCAATTATATAATATGCAAATGTATTTTTATTATGGAATAAAATGTCAATTCTATCTGATAATTTTTTTTAAAATTTATAGGGGAATGTAAAGCTTGTAATGTAACATTTTTTAATAATAATAATAGTAATAATAGTAATAATATGACAAAGTGGAAACAAGCTTTGATTCGTTTAAGGGAAATAGACTAAAATCCTGAAAAAAAAGACGGAGTTAAAGTCTGAGATTAAATATTAAGAATCATGCTTATTTGTTGCCTTTGATAACAAAGCGTAAAATTTTCAAACCCCATTTATTCAGGGGAAAGAAAATCCGAAATAGAAATTCGTTTATAATCTGGTTTCTTTTTTTGATGATTTGATGATTCGACCTCATTATTATTGTTTTCTTTTTTTTCTTCTTTATTAGCATTATGTTTTTTTGCAGTATCATCATTATATCGTTCTTCAACATGAAGAATATTTTCAATTTTTTTATAGGCTGGATCCTGTCGAATCGGAATCTTTATTCCTTGTCTTGCAAAACATTTTGAAAGTGGCGTGGATTCTTTTTTTTTTTTTTTTTTTTTTTGTTAGTATAAAATATTTAGACATAATTTATTTTGATTTTTTTTCATTACCTGTCAAACCTGGAAACTATATATGCAGCAATAAATAAATTATGGCCATATAAAATAAAATAAAAATGAAATTTACCTTCTTAGCTGAATAAACAAGAAATGGCTCCGAAAAAACTTCTTCTTGTACTTTAGTTGTCCTTGTTAATGGCTCACTATTATTGGTATTACTTTTAATTTATTATCCTATATATATAAATATCTGTCTTCTTTTTTTTTTCTTACCCAGCAGCCAAATTGATAAAAATGAATTTAAGTGAAAAAGTACCTTCAGTTCGAACAGATAAATCATGGAAGACAAAATAAATGCCCGGTTCATTACTTTCGTTAACAAGATGATAAGCATTAGAAACAGTTGATCCAATTAAATTACGATATTTATTAGGATGCTTCGTTGAAGATTTATCTGTATATACAACTGATCTAGTTTCTGTTTGCTCTTTATTATAAAGTTCACATTGAACTACGAAAAGCATAGAATCTTTGGTCCTATAGATACCAAAAGAAGCAATTATTAAAGGAAAAAAAATATACATTGTGATATCTTTATTTCCTTACTTTGTTTCAACTCTTTCACCTTTTGAATTTTCAGAAATAAGTTGTACTATTGGAGGAGGGTCAATAGCTCTTCTATCCTTTTCTCCAAATCCACAGGCTCTAGCTCTAACTGGATTTTGTACTACGACTAATAAATGACATGATTATTTATGATATTAACATAAAATCCATTGTTTGTTTTATGTACCTAATTTGTATTTTATATCTGATTGACTTGGTCTTGCTAATTGCAATGGTGGTGCTACATCAAATGTTTGATTCATTGAAACTATAATTATAAAAAGTTAATAAAAGCAAATAACAAAATGTAACACTGCCTTACATTAAAACTAAATAATAAGTATTTAATATTATACAATATGGTAACAAAAGTAATCAAGAAAACAAAAAATGCTTATTATACAATTAAGTTATTTAGTTAAATTATAATATCGAAGAAAAAAATAAGAAGAAAAAAAAATGCAATAAAAAATATCTGATTTAGTTTATTTTAAACAATATAAATATTTTTTTTTTTTTGTTTATGACTAAAAAGGCAATAAAAAATTCTTTTTTTTTTTCGTTTTCCACCGTCTTTTTGGTTTTGTCAGTTGATCTGCGCAATTTTAGTGCAAATATTATAACTTAACCGTTTTTTTCTGACTGTAGTGAATTTCTATAGTCTTGTTTATTTGCTTCTATATTGTTATCTTCAAGTATATTAAGAGCATTGTTTTCATTAGTAAATTCGTCTGTTTTCTTGTCTTCACTTAAATTTTTATCCATGATAGTATTATCCTCAATAGGAGGTGGTATAATCATGTTTGGTTGTGAAGCATGTCCCATTTCATCTCCTTTTACTCCCATTTGATGTAGTGTTTGAGATAGTGTTCCCATTCTAATTCATAACAATACAATAGATTAAAATGTATGCACATATTTATTATATATATATATATATTGGCTTATTTACCTTGCATAAAACATTTGCAGTTTAAGACGTATTGATTCGCTATATAAATCATCTATTGTTCTACCATTGTAATAGCCCTGTCGTACATTTCTTACAAATGTATAAAATTCACAAACAGAGACTAGTCGGTCGCGACAATAACGATCGATACATGCCCAATCATCGATTACAGATATGCGGAATCGATAAGGCAATGAATCTTCACCACTAATACGTCCACATGCCTGACAGCCCTCAAATACTGAATTGGATAATCGCTCCCAAATCAATGTTTTCGCTGCTGAAATTTTAAGAGGCATATCTGCTGGTCGACTTTGAATTTGTTCTCGAGCAAATCCATAAGGTGTTTCTTCAATAAAACAAGTATTTAATAAAATGGCCTCACATAATTTTTTGGAGGAAAGACGAGCAAACCTTAAACATGGTTCAATATCTTCCGCAAAGCTGTTTTTCATGTAGGATACCAAATGTATCTTTCGAAGTGGAACATCAGTTTTGACAAATTCCTTAAATTCCTTGAATATTAAAGAATCAATATCGTTATTATTGGTATTCATGGGTTGACGTTGGAAGAGACGGGTCATATCACGTGATGCACGTTGTTCAAGCTTGCTTCCTGTGTCCACTCTTTCTTCTGTACTTTGTGCACACATTTTTTCCTTTAGTTCCCTCAACTGTAGCTCTTCTGCTTCCATTTGCTCTCGACATATCCGAAGCTCTTCTTTAAGATGTTCGTATTGTACTTCTAATTCATGCCTCTGTCGTTTTTCATCAGCTACCATTCCATTGGCTTCTTCAAATAGACGTTGTGATAATTCTTCGAGTTCATTTTCGACATCCCGTTTCGCCTTTTGAGCCTTTTCAGCTTCTTCTTTTTCCGTCTCATATTTCTTTTGAAGCACCACCATATCCTGCTCAAGTGATGACAATGCTGTTTTGGTTCGCTCTAGTGTTCTATTGACTTCATTTGATTTTTTTTGAAGCTCAATAAGTTCGGCTTCATACTGTTTCGAAGTAGTGCGAGAATCGGTGAGTTGTTGTTGAAGTGACTCTATTTGTTGCCGTTTTAGCTCACGGTCATGCTGGATATCTTGAATAGCGGGTATAGTTTCATCACAAAGTGCGCAATGCTCTGAGTCTTTAGAAACAAGGATATGATGACAAGGGCAGTCTGGCTCTTTTTTAAATTGCTTTAAACTTGTAGAGGACGTCGTAGGGGTAAGTTGATGAGGTGATTTAGGCACATGTTCAATCATCGTTTGGAGATGAGAATATAAGTTGGCAATGTCTTTTGTTGTGATGGGCTTTTCGATAGAAATGGTCGGTGATGAAGACTCATTAGACGAAGACATGATGTATAGATTTTATTATTATTATTATTATTATTCGAGACCAAAATATGTATATAACAGACAAAAAAAAAAAAAAAAAAAAAAAAAAAAAAAAAAAAAAAAAGCTTCTTTTCATTTGTCTCGGTCTTGGATGACATAATTTTGAAAATTGAATTTCAACTCATTGTAATAAATGAAAAATGGATCTTAATATTTTTTTTATATGACATACATAACAAGTGTCCTATTACAAATCGTTTTTCTTTTAGTCTAATAAGATTGCAACTACTGTTAACATACTGCTGCTTATTCCATATTAAAAGACATGTATATAAATATTAGTACTGAATTTTTTTTTCCAGTAAAATAGCTGTTATACTTTAAAATATAATATTTAAGGTGATAATTACATGTTCTTAGCATTTTATAGTAATATGTATAAGCTCAAATCTTATGAAAAGATAAAGAGTATCACTTCTTTATATTTCCTTTCCATTTATTCAAATATATTGTTTATGTGAATCTCCTAACAGACTTCTATTATTTGTCATTTTATGCTTTTCTTATTTTACATTCAATTCAATATAGCCAAATATTCATGATAACCCAACTAAAGATATTTAATAGATATCCAAATCTGTGTAAAGTATTATTAGAAACTGTAGCCTTCTTTTCTCTTAGTTATTCATCTATATAATAATGAAAATGAAGATTTTCAAGGAAAACCCTTTATAAAGATCTTCCTAAAAAAAAAAAGAAGAAGCTTTATTTAATTGAAAATGTTATTATTGTAAACTTTATTCCATGCTAAAAACGAAAACAACTCTCAACAATAAGGGTCATTTCTTCGAGTATTAATCTTCAGGGACAAAGATGGAAATTAGATATTGATAAGGTTATATAAAAAAGTTTAATTGCTTTGACAATTTGTCATATATCTGTTATAACCATTACAATGGCATCATATTGATTATCATAATTAATAGATATTAAAGATGTGTTCATTTATAAACTTTAAAAGATTAATCTTTGTCTTTACAACATCTTTTATTCTATCCTTTATTTACTCCATTGCCGGTTCATTTTGATATATATGTATAATAAAATTATGCTATCTAGAACTTTCAGCTTCTTCTTAAAAGGATAGTATCTTACATCTTCTAGTTTGAAAATATATAGAGCTTATTACGATAATAAAATATAAAACGCTTCGTCGTATTCTTAATAAACAAGTCGTGAGTTATAATTTTAAAGTAATAAGTTTATGATAAATAATGAAACTTACTGTAATATACCTTTAATAAATCAAATTAGGGATCGTAAAGTTACCTGGAATTAGCAAAAAGCTAAATAAAATTATATACATGGCGTATTTTTTTTTTTTTTTTGAACCAAGCCTTTTCCTTTAGACTTTATATATTAATAAATTATATTAATTTATTATTGTGTCATGACATGAATAGGTATTTATTTTGTAAAGTCATTTAACGTAAGAGGTTTTCATCAAAATTAATAAATGCATTGCTCATAATATATTTAACACAAGTCAAATTTTATTCTAAAGCATTCATATCATAGTGAATTATCTACAGCATTGTACCTTGAACTACTCGTATTCTATTACTATGCTTCTGGAATATATCAATTTCACTATTTTTTTTTTATCTAATTTACTCTTATAAACTTTTTCTTCATAGTCTTATCGTTATAGGTTTATCTGTAGCTTTAATACTTATAATTTGTCTATGGCAAATATAGCAATTTAGGTCTGATAATGCTATTCGATAATTATGCCCATCTTCGCTGTGCTTGATTTTTACAACTATTATTGTAACATCTATTTTCTGGGCATTTTTTAAATACATTAAATTTATAATCTACTTGAATCCTGGTAATTATACTGAGACATATAACTTGGAGCTACTAATTCGAAATAAGGACCCTTTAATTTGAGGATATCTATTAGTATAAGATCATTCTTTATATACATCTAGCTTACCTCAGATATACTTATAAATATGTTAAGATAATATACATACCATTATGTTTACACTAATATTAATTTTTTAAAATAATAGTCATATTATTGTATATATGCTGACTTTTTATTATAATAAATTGTAAGCGGTAACAATAATCAAAATGTCACTTTGCTTTTAAAAATTGAACATTTATCTTATCAAGCTATCAATGACATTAATTATATAACTAAATTTAGGACAGAATGCACTGTAATTCATAGTTATATTTTATTTAAGCAGTATGTTAACAGGGTAAAGGAGCATATAGTAATTCTCTTCAATATCCACTTTTAACAGGATCGGTAAATTGATCTTCAAAAGATTATAAATATAAACTGTACCTTTATATAATAATTTGTTAGAGATATTATATTTAGATATGACTACGTTTTAGTGTAATAAATATATTTACAGAAATTACTTGTATATATTCGTTGTGTGGAAATAGACTCCTTTATATATGATATGATTCTTATTCAATATAATTTAACTATATTACTAATTGTTTAATTGCTAGCAAAATTTATCTACCCTTCTTTTTCATTATGTGCAACAGAATAACAAGAAAAGCTTTTGTAAATTTGAGTTCTTTTAGCATAAGAGCCAATCATTATACGCACGTGTGTATATAAAAGAAATTCTTGATTAAAAGTGTTACAAAACTTTAATTTACATGTACAAATCTTCTTTTTTTTTTTGACAATCTTAGAAGATGCAAGAATAAGACCAATATGTATAAATAAATATTTGAATATCTATATATATCTTTTTTTGCATGCAGATATTTCAAATGAAATGAAAAAGGTACATATAAGTCGCAACAAACGTGACTAATAGATTTCAATTTTATAATTTTCATGACTTCTTAATTCAATTGAGTATAAATATACTATATTTGGTGTAGCATGCATGTATTTGAACAAACAATACATACAATAATAATAAACATTGTATTTCTTCCTATGTCATTTCTGCCAAAAAAAATTAAAAATAGTAAAAGTTTCTGTATCCTTTATCTTTTTTTAACCTTTTTTTTTTTTTTTTAAGATTTTACTGGAATATACACATGTATTATAACAAACCTATTAAGTCACTTTGAATACATTACTTAGTATACAAAAAAAAAATGCAATTGAAATTCAAGGTATAAAACTATAATTATTTAACAATTTATCCTACTATATATTCTACTCTCTTTTAAAAGAATCATGCATTACACTAGAATATACTAGCATAGTTTATTTAGTGTTTACAGCACTATGTTATATATAAATCTGATCACACTACCTTGGTCTAACCAATCAAATTAGAGCTATTCTTTGCATTAGCGAATTAAAATGCTATCTTGTTTCACACGTGGTGTCGTGTGAGGAATATTTCTATCCAATTATGAAACTCCCTTTGTACTACCCGGAACTAATCCAGATCTTTTTTAATATAGTTCTTAAAGTAACTTAATGTACCTAAACTCCCCCTTAATTTATACAATAAAAATGCGCCCTTCAATTTATGAAAACAGTTCGTTTCTCAATAATTTATAAAAAAAAAAAATTTCCCACTTTACTTTTTTATCATTTTATTTTTCTTTCTTCTTTAAATATTTTGACTTTTTCTTTTTTATTTTGTTGATTTCTTAACATGAAGTTTTCTCATTCACTGCAATTTAATGCAGTTCCTGATTGGATAAGCTATTATGTTGCGTAGGTTTTATATCATATAAAAAATAAAAAAAAATAAAATAAAATACTTATATTTTATGATCCATAGTTATGATCACTTGAAGAAACTTATATTCCAAATTGAAAAAGAAAAAGTAGATGCCCTGAATTTTAATGCTGATCCCGAGAAAATCATATCTCAAGTAATGACAGAGGGTGATACTAGATTCATGAGTCAGTTAGACGTTGAACTTGAAAAGGTCTTAAATTTCTATTCTGAAAAGGAAACTGAGCTTTATAATAAACTTGAGGCTCTTAACAAGGAATTATCAGCAGATTCATCAAATCGAAATTCGCATGGTAATCATCATTATCCTAATTTAGTCACTCCTTTAGAAAAATTAGACTCTACAGAGGTGGTCCATGGAGTTAAAAATTCAAATACAAATCGAAAAATGTCTTTTGAGTCTCATTTGTCGACACAATCCAATCATGCATATTATCAAGATTATGTTGACCAGTTATTTGATCTTCGTAGCCAGCTTATCTCTCTCTATATTTCTTTGTCTGAACTGGATTCATACATTGAATTAAATCGTATTGCCTTTGAAAAAATCTTGAAAAAGCATGACAAGGTGTTAGATGGGGACCTGCGTACTTTATATTTAAAGAAAATGGTTTTAGAGTCTAGACCCTTTATGCCACAAACAATAGATGCATTGCGCGCTCAAATTGAACATGTAGAACGAATTTATGCTGAATCCTTTTGTAATGGTTATCTCCCTTTAGCAATTCGTCAAATGAAGACTCATTTACGAGAACAGATCGCTTATGATCGTACTACGGTCTGGAAGGACATGGTGGGTCAAGAACGTAAAATACTAGATGCTCATGTTAAAGACAATAAACCAGAAAAATACTATAAAATACCGTTTAGTGAAAAAAATATTCGTAGTGAATTATTCAATAGTATCCTTGCCTTCTTGTTCTCTCTCATCTTGTTCATCATCTTGCTTAATGTAAATATCTTTGATAATCGTCAAGAAAATTATTGCTTTGCTTTACTTATCTTTGCTGCCGTCATGTGGGCTACTGAAGCAATCCCTCTTTATGCTACTTCACTTTTGATTCCCTTCTTGATTGTCCCACTTGGTATCATGCGTAATTCAGATGGTACAATCATGACAGCCAAAAATGCTGCCTCCTCTGTATTTCATTCTATGTTTAGCGGGACGATTATGATGTTATTAGGTGGATTTGCACTCGCTGCTGCTCTTTCAAAATACGGTATCGCTAAGGCATTTGCCTCTCATGTTCTCTCACGAGCTGGTACACGACCACGTTGGGTTCTTTTAGCAATCATGTCTGTGGCTACATTTTTATGCATGTGGATCTCAAATGTAGCCACTCCTGTTCTTTGCTTCTCATTAATTCAGCCGATTTTACGAACATTACCGGATGGCTCCCCTGTAGCACCTTGTCTTTTATTAGGTATTGCCTTAGCGAGTTGCATAGGTGGCATGACATCTCCTATTTCATCCCCTCAAAATATTGTCACTTTACAATATATGAATCCTAATCCAGGATGGGGTATCTGGTTCGGTGTCGCACTCCCAATCTCTATTATTAGTCTCGTTATCTGTTGGGCGATTCTTCTGTTAGTCTATCGTCCAGATAGATCTGTACCTCATCTTAATCGAATTAAAGCGACTCGTGATAAAATTACATGGCAACAAGTCTTTGTCATGTCCATCACTCTGATAACAATTGCGTTGTGGTGTGCTGAATCATCACTTGAGAGTCATCTTGGCGATACTGGTGTGATTGCTGCTATCCCCCTCTTTGTCTTTTTTGGAACAGGTATCCTTGGCAAAGATGATCTAAATGCATTTCTTTGGTCAGTTGTGGTTCTAGCTCAGGGCGGTATGTCACTCGGTAATGCTGTCACCTCATCAGGGCTATTAGAGGATATTGCACTTCGAATTAAAGATGGTGTACAAGATTTACAACCTATCGCCATCCTTGCTATCTTTGCCTTTCTTATCTTGGTCTTTTCTACTTTTGTTTCTCATACTGTAGCTGCATTGATCATTGTTCCTATTGTACAGCAGGTAGGCCAGAATTTACCTGTACCTCATCCAAATCTTTTGGTAATGGGAGCTGGTTTAGCTTGTTCAGCAGGAATGGGTCTTCCTGTATCAGGTTATCCTAATATGTCTGCTATCATGATGGAAGATCAAAGGGGCAAACCCTACTTAAAGACAAAAGATTTTATCATTGTAGGTATCCCTACAAGTATCTTTGTTACTTTACTTATTTTCACCCTTGGCTATGGTATCATGATAGGTGTTGGTTATTAAAAAAAAAAAAAATAGATGCACATATCTTATCCACATACATATTGTAATTCTCCCTCACATCTCCCTCTCCCCCTCCTTTTTTTTTTATTTTATTTTACAATGCTGATATACATATTAATTTAACTACTATCACATTCATAATATACCAACCATAGTTTAAACTTTTCTTTTCATAACTTTACCTTGATTATATACTACTACTACTACTACTTTTTTTTTTCCTTTCTTTCAAGACAAAATAAATATTTAGAAGATAACAAACTAAATTGTGAATACATCTGTGTTTATTTAAATACAAAAAAAAAAAGAGTAAGACTCTTTTGTTATTAATAATAAGGCTGGCCAATCTAGTTTAGCCTCAAGATATGTTCATTTGTCATAATATTAAAATCTTGTTTTACTCCTCCTCCTTTTCTATTTATTGTTTTCGGACCGAATTAACTTCCCATCACCATCCGCTTTTAAGATACAGTGAAGCTGGAAAATATCGGTTAATTAAGAAATTGGTCGTTTTTAAAAGTTGTTTTGAGCGTTTCTGATAACTAAAATGAAACTAAAAGCGGCTACGAAATCCATGAAGATCACTAACACGTACATTGTTGCAAGCATCAGCGATTCTCTCGGATAAATTTTCTTCAACCATCAGATTCTCGCGCTTCATCTTCCTTCTTAAAAGAGCCCAGAAATTCTCAATTGCATTCAATTCACTAGTAAATATATGGAGGTAAATACATGAATCTGTAGCCTCTTCTCAACACATGGTTTCTATCAAAGTTTAGGTCCGAATCCTTCATTTCATGAACCATTCATATTTTGTTGGAATATTGAGTATTCATACTTGATATCGCACAAATGTAGGCTTATGTTGACTTCGAAGCAACGGAGTCAAATAAAAAAAACACAAATGGAAAAACAAACAGATACAGTAAATTAATTAGCTTTGCTGAACAGGGAATATATCAGAGAATGAATAAAATTACAAGTGTTATACACATTCTCTATTTTTTTTTTTATTTATTAGAGAGCATATACAGAGAGATAAATAGCAGTTACTCGATTCAATACTCGATTTAAAACACACAGATCCAATAGATTGAATTGATCAACTCTTTCAAAGACAATAGACGCTAAGATCATGTAAAGCACCAATGAAAGAGTAACAGAAGTTTTGTTTAATAATGATATACTAATAAAGAATCAATAATATTGAAACAATTTCATGTAATTATATAGATTAAAAGTTGTCAAAATCCACACCTGTTATCAGAGAACTTCCTTTTCAGGAACAATGCTTAATCCGCAGTAGCTCGTATATATCAATCGATTTGGAACTTGTATTTCTTTTCAACGTCTTTTTTTCCTCTTTATCCACTTAATCTACACTTAGCTTACTCATGAAATCTAACGTAAAAATTAAAGGAAAACAAAGAGATACTTCAATCTCTTCAAAACAAGACGGAACAGTCTACTGAAGGTAAAGACGGTAGGTGTCATATATATCTATATATGATTCAGTAGCTCAAAAATTCCAATGAACACGAAGATAAAAGAAGAATATGGAATCGAGATCTGATGGCAATACTAAATTTTAAAAAGATATTGACAAGCCTTAGAAATAATGGCAAGAGACATCTTTTGTTTTCACGTCAAAAACAACAACAACAATTATGATTATCCGCGTTAGTTATCGCTTTCGCTATTTCATGCAGATAAATATTGCTCTGAGTTTACTTGAGCCAATCGTTTTTCGGTTTTCCACCAATCATTTTTTTAGTATGCCCCAGATTATTTTTTTATAACCACCATTCAAATTTGTAAATTAACCAATATTTCCCAGCTTCACTGTACCCTTGATTCTATAATACATCTGCTCTTTGATACAGTACATGATATATAACTTTCATTTTACCATGGAATTATAAAGTATTAGATTTAGCAGCATTTTTTAGTGCCAATATAATCATTGTCGGAGTTGCTGTTGTTTACTCTTTCTATTATGTAAGATAATAAATGCACCAAACATCACTTTCCCTTTTTTTTTTTTTTTTTTTTTTTCTTATAATGTTCCATAATTTGATAAAAAATCAAAGATTGAATATATACATCAATACTTGCATTCAACAACAAAAAAGAATATCAATTTCTTTCAAAAATCATCTTTTATGTTCAACTACAACTCGATTCTTTACATCGAAGAAGAAGAAGAAGGCAGCCCAAGATGATGAAGATAATAATGCTTTTATTTCCTTTTTAACTTCAAACAAGTCTTGGTTAGAAAATAAATTACCTAATTGGTCCGAATTGAGATCTCCAACAACAGAATATTTAAATGTGGATGTGCTTCATGCCAAAATGGCAGAATTCTATCCACACTTTCTCACTCAAATGAAACAGTTACGTGAGGGATACGAAAAGTTATGGTGTTATTTGACAATGGAGGACTTTAGAAAGATTGTAGAAGAAATTAAAACTGAGGAAAATGATCCTCTTGTACATCCCGAAATTAAAAAAGATGCCATTGTTAGGTATAAGCATTCGACATTCTCATTCACATATCTTTTATTATTATTAGTATTATTATTATTAACTTTATCTCTCTCTCTCTCTCTCTTTTTTTTTTTTTTTTTTTTTTTTTTTTTTTTTTTTTTTTTTTGTATATAGAGAAGGTAGTGAACTATCAAAAGCAGAAGAAAATTATATCAAGGCTCGAAAACGAGTACAAAGGACAGCGTTTGCAAAATTTATAGGAGTGGACCCAGAGAGTGTGGATGAAGAAGATATTCCTATAGTTGGGTTAGCGTCAAGCGGAGGAGGTTATCGAGCGATGATTGGATTAGTAGGTTATTTAAAGGCCATGAAGACATCCGGGGCTCTTGATTGCCTCATGTATCTTACAGGTATATCAGGCTCTTGTTGGGCTATGTCACTCTATTATAATTCTTTGACAGAGGCAGAACCGGCTCGTATAGAAAACCATCTTCAGTCCCATGTACAAACACATTGGGCCAACATGTCTCATTTTATTGCTTTACTCACTGCCTCTCCTCAGAATAGCAAATTGCTTTTACAGGGTGCTATTCAGAGATATCATCAACAAAAGGGTGATCTCAGTTTTGTAGATCTTTTTGGCGTCCTGATAGGAGGGAATATATTGACGGATTGGTCAAGGATAGTAGAAAGATATGAAGCGAATAAAAAGAAAAAGGAAAAACAAGATGAGAAAAGGAATGGTATGTTGCATTTATCGAGTCAATCATTTTATCTAAAAGAGGGTAGACATCCCATGCCGATTTATTGTGCTGTTCGTCATGATATAACATCTAACAAGACATCTGAGGAAGGAGTTGAAAATTTAAAATCAGAGATAGATGGTAAGGAAAAAAAAAAAAAAGATAGCCAACACATAAGGCTCTAAAACTGAAGGAAGGAAATATAGAAAAAGAGCAACAGACAAATATATATCAATGGTTTGAATTTACACCTTATGAAGTCGGCTGTGAAGAAATAGAAGGTAACGAATTAATAGGGGGGTTTTTTTTTGGGGGGATTTAATAATACTGATAGTTATTTATAATAGCTTGGATTCCAACCTGGGCTTTTGGACGACCCTTTGAAAAGGGTAGAGATACGATTAAATTACCAGAGCAAACATTAGATATTTTAATGGGGTAAGTTTATGTGTATGATAATATATATATATATATATATGTTTATATGTTTATAACTACACATAGATATATATATATTTATATAAATGATTAGCATGTTTGGTTCTGCATTTGCAGCGAGTCTGATTCATTATTATCAAGAAATTCGTAATTATTTACCTCCAGGCGCATTTGCAAAAATAGATGAATCAATTGCACGATATGAAGCAACCATGTCTACTTTTTATCCTATTTCACCTTCATCATTTCCTAATCCATTTTATAAAATGAAAGATAAAAGAAGAGTCTCTCATGCTAAGAGTAGTGATAACAGCAACAACAACATAATCACACGTCCAAAGGCCATTATTGATTCAAAGGAACTCTATCTAATGGATGCAGGAATGGATAATAACATCCCTTTTTATCCATTATTACGAGAGGAACGTCAGGTAGATGTTATCTTGGCAATGGATCTCAGTGCTGATATTCAAACTTCGACTCATTTTGATCGTGCTGAAAGTTATATCAAGAGAAGAGGAATTGAAGGTTGGCCTATTGGCATAGGCTGGCCAGATGATGATAAAAAAAGAAAAAAAGAAGAAGAAAAATATGGATTAGGTACATGTACCTTATTTGACTCTGAGACTACTATTAAAGAAGAAGAAGAAGAAATGACGTCTTCTTCAGATAAGAAGAGTACTACTACTACTAAAAAACAGAATAGTGGACGTTCTCTTATCGTCGCCTATTTCCCATTTATTGTTAACAAATCATTTGATCCTGATTTTGATCCACAAGAAGCGTATTTTTGTAGTACTTGGAATTTTGTCTATCGTCCAGATCAATTTAAAAAGGTAATAGGTTTAGCTGAAGCTAACTGGAATGAAAATGTAGACACCATAAGGCAAGTTCTTAAAAGGACATGGGAAAGAAAAAGAGATAAAAGACTTGAAAAAAAGTAGTTTTATTTATTGTTATAATAAATATATAAATATGAATAAATATATATATGTGTATGTATGTATAAAAAGGAGGAAGAAGAGGGAGGTGGCAGTAGTGGGGTAAACAATATTTATTTATTTATTTATTGGATTCCATTTCATGTAGCTTTCTGACTTGCTCAGCGGAACCTTCATTTTCAATATTGCGCATGAGACTAGGATAAAGATCCCAGTCTGTATGATTCATTTGATTCATAGTTGCATTGGGAGTATGTTTATTGTATATTGGCTGATGAAAATATTTACAGGGTATTGTATTTCTCTTGTAACGGTATAATACAGGATGCGTCAAATCATCCTCTGTCATAAAATATTCAACAGCAGCTGTTATTTGTTCCCTCGATAAGCGTTCAACAATTGCAGTTGGTTTATCTTGTTCTTTATTTGTTTTTGCAGTCATAAGAGTAAATTAAATTAAATTAAATAGGGTGAAAGGAAAAAGAAAAAAAAAAGAATGAGAGAAGACTATTTTAAATATGTTATTCTTTTTTATTATATAATTATTATTATTATGCAGCAAAAAAATAAAAAATTAAAAAAAAAAAAAAAAATAGAAAAATCATCCCACCTGACAAATTATAAATGTATAAAAAAAAAAGAGAACCAATCATAAATCTCCCATTAATGCTCAATATCCTCCCAACTACGACCTTTGACTTGAGCAAGTTGATTTTCATTCAAAGCCTCACCACTTGTAAAATAACCTGATGCTATTTTTGCATCTATTTCAACTCTATAATAGAAGCAAAAAAAAAAAAGCCTGTTATATCCTCTTAGTGAGTAAATATATTCATTTTATCTTTACCTCGAATCTTCTGGAATAAGTTCTTCCGGTATGGGGACACGTTCAAGAATAGGAATACCAGAATCTACAATAGCGTCATGTTTCTTTATATGGAAAAATAGAAAATTTCATTATTATTTTTTCTTCCGCATATTTATGATGATAATTTACCATATTTGACATTGACTAAACGAAAGATTTTTTTTTTTTTTTTTAGTTCATAATTTCTATTAAAAAGAATAATTTGATATAGTTACCATCATTCGATCAATTTTCTGAATACCCAACCAATGTAAAACATCAGGCATTAAAGCTTGAAAACGCATATCTTTTACGCCAGCAATGCATTCGGTACGTAAAAAGTAATTATTAGCCGTATCACCGCCAACCTGTCTTTTACCTGGTATAAATGTATAAAAAAAAAAAAAAAATAGTGAATAAAATGAATTATTAGAAGGAGTTTCATTTCATTACTTACGAGCATTATAAACAAGATATTTTGTTACTTCACCAAGAGCTCTTCCTTCTTTTCTAACTTATTTAAACCATGGTTTAATATGATTATGCTAGTTATTAAAATAAATAAATACATAATAATAATACTTTACAGTAAACAATAACACCCACTCCACCTTGTTGAGCTTGTTTAGCACATTCTTCAATGCCATAAATCAAGTAAGGTCGGCAAGTACAAATATCACTACCTATAAGAAAAGAGAGGGAGGGGAATGAATAAAAATATATTATATATATTATATATTATATATTATATATTATATATTATATATTATATGTGTATATACCAAATACATCAGATCCATTGCACTCATCATGTATACGCAGGGTCAATTTCTTGGATGGATCTAATATTTACTGTTAGTTTACAGATATAATGGAAAAATCCCCAAGAATTTTTTTTATTTTTTTTTATTTTAAATAGACTTTACCAGAAATATAGTCAGGATTACCAAAAATATAGACACTAACGCCTCCGATTGGAGGTAAAAATACTTTTAAATCAGGTCTTGTAATCAACTCAGGGAACATTCCACCTTTTTTAGATTTATATGAATGTATATAAAGAAGTTTATATATATTATATATATGTAAAGAATAAACATTCTTTTCTTTTTCTGTTTACCTGTATCTTCACTATATAAAAATAATATACACCAATAAATTGCAATTTAGTTAAGAGAATGCTTATTATTATTATTATTATTCTTACAAGAGAGCACGCCTCAGCACGGATTCTTCAATTCCAAAACGTTTGGCTACACCAGGAAGATACCAAACAGGTTCAATAGCAGCTTTTGAAACAGCCAAATCGCCACGTGAGTTAACGACAATCTTACCGTCTACTTTTAATGTTCCTTTCTCCACACTCATTTCCATCTCAGCCATTGTCATATGTGCCTTTGTAATAGCAATAGTAGGTCTATAAAACAAAATATATGTGAAGGAAAAAAAAAAAGAGAAGAGAAAAGGACAGAATTAGTATTAGAATTAGATTTTTTTTCTTTTACTAATCTATATACCTAATATCTAATCCATTTTCATATTCTTCTTTAAAGAGAATAGGTGCCTCATGACCAAAGGGATCTATTGAAACAATTTTTTCAGGATCAAACCAAGCAGGATGAGGACCTAACTTGAATACTGGGTCAGTTAAATCAAAGTTAGGACGATGGTTTGAAGGTAAATCGCCGATAGCTATAGCCAATGCACGGTAAATACAATAAGAACCGCCATAAGCACCAATTGCATTTCTATATAAATCTATATAAGAACCTCCTTTCTCTTTCTCTCTTTCTTTTCTCTCCTCCTCCTCCTTATCTGCTTAATCTTATACATATACAAATATGTATATATATATCTATAAACTTGCCTTTTTTTAAGACTTCCTGCATGACGTGAGGCAATAATTGGACCTCTTGTCTTGGGATCCTTGGCACCCCAATTTAAGGGAACAGGTTTAACACCTTGTTGATTTGGATAAGCTAATGATAATGATAGAAGAAGAAGAATATAGACATACACAAAAAAAAAGTTAATAAATGAATAAAAAGATTTAATCATTTTTTCATACTAGTTAAAATAACACGACTAGGATATGGATTAGTAGTAGGAGATACAGGTATTGTTTGCTCACTTGTACATGACTTTTCATTTTTTAAAATAGTTTGAATTGAGATAGAAGGTGAAATTGGATCTACATTATCAGTAGTAGTAGTAGTAGTAAATTTACCACTACTGTTGGTTGATAACTTTTCAAACTATATATAAAACTTTAGAATATAAAAGAACTTTATTTATTTATTTTACCTGTTCAGTCAACTTTTCTTGATCAGCTTTTAAGCTTTCTATTTTAGAAAGTATCTTTTCTAATACAAGTTCATCTTTTGTAGCCGTCATTTTGAACAGTAAAAAAGAAAGAAAGAAAGAAAGAAAGAAGGGAGGTGAGGAGAAAGAGGAAGAAGAAGAAGGCATGTATAAATATTTATACCTTTGAACCGTGGGACAATTCTATGTCGATATATTAAAAACTAGTAATAAAGATATGATAACATGTTGATATATAGGAACATGTGATGTATGCGTCTATTATGAATTGCCTTTTTTTTTTTTTTCCTTCTTAGTTTTCGAATAGTGTTAGTATTTCATTATACACATTCAAATGTTAGGTCTGAAACAAATTATAAAAAGATAAATTTTCCTTCTCTTTTACTAAGCAGTTTTAAGGGGAAATGTGTAACTATATTATCTTTAAAGATGATATAAAGCTAGTTTACTTTAATAGACGCGTTATCTGGAATCAAAAGGATTTATATTAGATATATGTAAGTATATATATATTAGATTGCTTGTTCAACACTAAAGAAATTGAAGTAGGTATAAGCACAATACTAGATGATATTATGTGGGCATATGCATATGCATACATATACATACATGTATACGTATATGTATATGTATATATTTATATAGATATAAAGAAACTAAGCTAAGCTGCTATAATTATACTTTCGTGAGACACCATACAGAGAGATATATTTATATATTCATGTATATTATATTCGGAATATAATAAAACGTTATTATTCATGCGGATACAACCTTTTTTTTTTATTATTAAAAAAATAAATATTTATATTTTCATATATTTACGTATCATTTCTCTCTTTCTCTTCCATTTTTCTATCTATAATGACTTTGAATCAATTTGTTCATAAAAGTCAACATCCTATTGTAGCTACAAAGTTATCTCAATTAAGAGATAAAGATCAAAGTTCTAAAACTGTACGAGAGTTAACCCACGACCTTTCGCTCTTATTGGGTTATGAAGCATCATTCAACATTGAATTAAAACAAGGTCCACAGGTATTTTATCTTCTTTATCTTTATCTTCTAACTTGATTAACATGACTTTTTTTTATATGGGATTAGTTATTTAGTGGTTATGGTACTTATTCATCTATGGAAATAAGACAAAAAGTAGGCTTAGTTCCTGTTCTTAGATCTGGATTAAGCTTTGTAGAAGGTAATACAAACAAACAAAGTGAATAGATGGATGTGAGAAAAATTAGAATTAAAAAAAAAAAAAATAGGATTTTTGAACTTATTTCCTGAAGCACCAGTGTATCATTTGGGTATTTATCGTGAAAAGATATCACATCAGCCAGTAGAATATTATAATAATTTACCTGATAAGCCTGATATTGATATATGTTATGTATTGGATCCTGTCATCGCAACTGGTAATACAGCAGTTGCTACTGTTAATATGTTGAAGGATTGGGGATTATTAGGATCTCAAATTAAATTTGTTACTATGGTTGCTGTAAGTTTTTTTTTTTTTTTTTTTTTTTTAAAAAAAAAAAATGTATCAATATCAACTCATCGATTTGTTATAGTCTGAACAAGGACTTGCTCAACTTCAAAAAGAACATGATGATATTCATATTTATCTTGCAGCTATTGATAAAGCACTTGATTCAAATGGGTAATTATATGTAAATACATATATGTATGTTTTATTCGTTATTAAGTCAAATGAATAGCTATATTAATCCTGGTATTGGTGATTCTGGAAACAGGCTTTGGAATACAATTTAAGATAAGAATTTATATACATGTACAAGTAAAAGAAAAGGCGTGTATTCATAAGAGAAATATCTTTTTTTTTTTTAATAAAATAAAATGAAATGAAATGAAATAAACCAAATATCTTTCTTCTCCACACAAAAGAGTAGTTAGTAATTGAATTACTTGCTTTATTTTTATTTTATTTTTTTTAACAGTCGCTTACCTAGCAGCTTTTCTTTTTTTTTTTTTTTTTTTTTTTTTTTTTTTTTTTTTTTTTTTGTATGTAACCTGGTCACCCCCTTGTTCTTTTTAATTTTTTATACATTTACATATATACTTTTTTTTTTTATACATTTTTTTTTTTTTTCTTAAGAAAAACTGGATTTATAAAATCAACTTCAATAATGAATAACTCATCTAGATGTATTTTTAATCATGTGCGTACGTATGCAACAAAGAGTAAAACACCCAATTTAAAAATGAAACCTTCTGTACCTATTCAAGAAACCAAGCTACCAGACGGCATCACATTCATTACACGTTTACCAGTTGTGGAACCCAGTGTTCAATCTGAAGTAGCTCCATTGATTCATAAAAGTGGAGAACCAAAAAAAATATTAACAGATGCAGAAATAAATGAAATGCGTCAATTAAGGGACTCTGATCCTGAAACTTGGACTCGATCTAAATTAGCCAAAAAATTTGGTTGTTCCAATTTATTTGTCAGTATCGCTGCACCCTTAAAAGAGAATAAGGTGACGAATGAGGTAATAGCAAATGAAAGGGATGGACATAAACGTAAATTGATTGCTCAAGAAAGACAAAAGAGGAGAGCACTTTGGTAGATTTAATATTTGTAAATGTATTATTCATAGTTATTTCCTGCATAAAAAAATGAAACTGATTGAATAAAGTATGAATATGTGACTTTAATTGAGGATCTCGTGACGAATAATAATAATAATAATAATACTTGCAAAATAAATACATATCAGCTTTATATGTGTGTGTGTGTATGTATCTATCTATAGAATTAATGCATTTTAGTCTTTTTTATTAGTCTTTTTTATATATAAATAAATATTTATTTCCACAAGTAATGACTCAACAAGTTGATGATAATAAAGAATTACCTCAACCACAAAATAGTAATCATCTCAGTACTGCTCCTTTAAAGGATAAGCTCTTGACCAATTCAAGTTATTTAGCAGCAGAAATTCCACTTAAATTAGGTCATTTCATGTCCAATTTATGGATGTCTGGTTCTGAACTTTCAAGTTCTTTCTTTTTACAAAACAATTCCCATTCCATGAATAATAATAATGAAAAGAATCCAACTATTTGGTTATTAGGTAGAGAATATGATATGAAACCTCTAGATTCAATGCAACAAGCTATATTAGAAGCACAAAGGGATGATATGTTTAGACCAGGTACTTCTTCTGCCACAGAACAACATTCTTCTTCAGACTCGTTGTTATTATGGCCGTCTGATTTTTATGAAGATTTCACTTCCCGATTATGGATGACTTATCGTCACAATTATCCTCCTATTCGTCCATCGAATCACAAGACTGACATAGGATGGGGCTGTATGCTAAGAAGCGGCCAAAGTTTATTAGCAAATACATTCATCATTCATCTTTTATCAAGAGGTAAATGATGGCTAAAATGGGTTTATAGCATTCTAATTTTAATAACATGTCATATTTTAGACTGGAGACGTCAAAGACAGAGTCAAGAACAAAGAAAACAATATAAAAAAGTAAAAAAAAAGCAAGATAAATTAACGATATGTAATCAGGTTTAATTCAAATTATATGTAAATAGATAATCCATTGGTTTTTAGATGAACTGTCTCCAAGAGCTCCCTTTTCTATTCATCGAGTAGCGTTATTAGGGAAACAACTCGGTAAAAATATTGGTGAATGGTTTGGTCCAAGTACGATTAGTCAAGTTATTCAGTAAAGTGACTTTGGAAGTTATATAAATAAATATCTATAATTCATTCCTATATTCACAGTTTATAATAGAGCACTTGTATCCGATTTTCAACCTGCTAATCTATCTGTCTATCTTGCCACGGATGGTGTCATTTATCGTAATGATGTTCAAGATGTGACAACAGGTAAAAAACCAAGAGGGGACTTTAGTCATTTAACATATCGACTATCGTCATCATTGGATGAAAAAGGTAGACAAGAAGCTAAAAACTTGTATGATGCAAGCAATGCATTACCCTCATCACATACACATATTCAACAAGAAGCATTTAGACCCGTTCTGTTACTTGTGACGTTAAGGTTAGGTATTGATTCACTTCATCCTACCTATCATTCAGGTTTAAAAGCCTGTTTCAAGCTACCCTCCTTTGTAGGTATAGCAGGAGGACGACCTAATTCCTCGCTTTATTTTATTGGATTACAAGGCGATGATTTAATTTATTTAGATCCACACTTTTCACGAACAGCTTTAGAAACAAAAAATTTAAATGAATATACAAAAGATGATTTTGACACCTATCATTGTACGATACCGCGTAGAGTCAATATAGCGAATATTGATCCCTCCATGATGATTGGCTTTTATTGTCGAACACAACAAGAATTTGACCAATTTTGTGAGCAAGTGAAAAGGGTAAGGAAAGAGAAGGACTAAATACGAATAATTGACTACTGCTTTTTATATATATATATATAGATATCACAGCAATATACGCCTATTTTTACAATTGAACAAAGTGCGCCAGAATATGATGAAGATGTTCGTAGTGAAAATGATTTTGGAATTATGAGTGATAAAGAAGAAGAAGAAGAAGAGATCGTAGTAGACGATGATAACTCACTATTTTAAAAGAAAAAAAATAAAATAAAACAGCATTATTTTCTATATTTAAACTCCACACACTTGAAAGCTACTCTTTTTATATTTGTATATTTTTATTTTTATTTCTATTTTGTATTTTTATCTTTGTTTTAATCTTTTTCAAACTTAATAATTGATTGAATTCTACAAAAAAAAAAAAAAAAAAATGGATGATGAGTATGAAAGTGTTTTATTAATTATTCGTGAATGTTTTGGTAAAGTTATCTTTCACTTTGCCTGCCCTTTTTTTTTTTTTTTTTTTTTTTTTTTTTTTAGTTGTACATTATGGATTTACATTTAACTTCATCTTGCATATTATTATTATTAGTGTATAGGATTCCACCTAGAACAGCAGCAAGAGGTTATAGGTAAATGAAAAAAAAACACAAGATACACATATAATACGGGAAAAGAAACAAACAAAAAAAAAAAAAAAAAAAAAAAAGGCAGGCATATTTATTTATTTTTTTTTTTTGTTGCTGAACGACATATTAGAGCTGCAGAATGGGGAGATCTCGCAACTTCCTTTTTATGGAAAGGTCGTTTAAGGATAATTAGGAAAGGAAAGAAATGTGAAATTCGGTTAGAAGATAGTAATACTGGTAAATAGGATATACATTTTTTTTTTTTTTGGCAAAGAAGGAAATAAAATCAACAACACCACTTTTTAATTTTTTTTTTTTTTTTTTGGGGAAATTTACAGGTGAATTGTTTGCCATGTGTCCTTATGATATTCAATCAAATTCTGTTGAAGCTGTATTAGACTCAAGTCGTTATTTTGTACTCAAGATTGAAAATGAAGGTAAAAGGAAAGAATAGGTTGAGTTGATAAATACATACAAAATTTATAAATCATTGTGGGAGGGGTTAGGTCGACATGCATTTATCGGTATGGGTTTTCAGGAACGTTCTGACGCCTTTGATTTCAATGTCACATTGCAAGATTTTGTCAAGTAAGAAGTTGAAATAAAAAGGGGGGAGAGGAGGAAGGGGAGGAAGGGGAGACAGACAGACAGACAGACAGACAGAGAGAGGGAGGGAGGGAGGGCGGAGGGATGGAGGGAAAGAGGAGGAGGAGGGAGGGGGGGAAGAGAACTGCTAAAATAAAAAAAAAGAAATAGATAGTACAGGCATTAAATATTATATTTTTAATTAAATAAAGACAATTACGTGCTGAAAAAGAAGCAAATGAACGTACTGCACAAGCAAGTACAACACCTAAAATGGACTATAGTTTAAAGGAAGGACAAACTATTAATATTACAATTGGCAATGTTGGTGTAAGTCTTGAATACGTAATTATTATTATTTTTCACATCCAATTTATATACATGTTATATTAGGCTAAAAGAACAAGACCAAAGCCTACGAATAATACAACAAATAGTCATGGTATTTTACCATTAATACCCCCTCCTCCTTCTGCTTCTCAAATAAAACAACGACAGCAACAACAACAACAACAACAGCAATCATTCTTTTTTTAAATTAGTAACATACTCTCCAATCTTAATTGCTAAAAGCGGTAGTGAAGGATGCTGGTTACACTTTTTTTTTTTTAAAATGTATCACTAAATAAAAAGGTGTAATAAATCTAAATTTATTCGAAATAGATCTTTTATTCGTGCTAGAATAAAAAATAAAGGTGCTAAAAGTAATGTAATACTTGAATAATGTTCTATATTTAAAACTTGAACTTTACAAGGAGAAGAAGATAAAGAAATAAATAGATATAAACTTGCATAAATAGAAATCTCTATTTTACATTCCACTACAGGAATTCCCTGATTATATAAGTTTTATATATAGCAACAACAATAAAATAAATATTAAAATCCATCATTTTATATGTATATTTTAGTTTAATTAAAGATATATATTATGCTATTATTACATTGTAAGAATGATTGAAGAAGAAAGAAATAATAATAATAAAATATGTATATAAATATATATACATATACATATACATGTACATATACATATATATCTATATACATATATCTATATACATATAGGGAATTTTTTTTTTTTAAAAAATAGTAGCTGCAATTGCAGAAAGAACAATCAAAGCCATTTTAGGAGAGACACGAGGTAAAGCAGCACTTTCATCTACACTTTGAGCAGATGTATTAGAATTTGAAGAAGAATTGTCAGATGCCTTTGATGAAGAAGATGGTGAAGAAGAAGATGATGACGATGAGGGTGAAGAAGGTTTATCTCCACCAGGAGTAATAGAACTATTACCATTAGGAGGACCAACAGGTTCTGTCACGATAGAGATATTAAATTCCTTAGCAACAGCAGCAGAACGTTGAGCGATCCACTGGATTAAACCCCAAGAGGCGCCACCTCCATTATTATTAGGAGCTTCTACACCATTCCACAAATTGTCAGAGACTTGATTAAAGACCCAACCAAAGTTAATACCAGGTGAACGTTGAACGATAGAACGATCCCATTCAAGATCAGGTAATAAGAACTTATGTAAGGCCAAGGCACGGTTGGTAAGGGTGTAGTTATTAAACAGGACACGCACCGTCTCAGTTAAATAATTTTCAAATTGAGCACGTTTATCCGTATTTTCAAGAAGTCGATTGATCATGACACCACCGGGGTAAAGAGAGGGCCAATCCTTATAGGAGACAGTCATGAAGGCATTTGCATCTGCTACAGCCAAGTTAACACCAAAGGTAGCATCATAATCTTGACCAAGGTAATACCATTTATTTGTTTCCGCTTCTCTATAGGCACCATCATTGGTCTGTAACATCCAGTAGCCATCCCAATGACCAGCAAGGTATTCCATGACCATAAATCGCATAAAATGATCAGTATCAAATTGTTTCTCAAAATTGGCAAGGGCAGCGTTATCCTTTACATTGGTTTCGTTAAAGGCCTTACAGAGGGGGTCAAAGGCTTCATAACCCTCTTCATTGGCATTATTAGGAATCCAAGAAGAATAACCATCTAGATTACCAGGATGATAAAGGAAATCAGCTCCAGAGGCACCATCAAATAAGAGTCCTTGCTTAGCAGGAGCTTGACCGCCATGGAAAAGGGCATTGACATAAGAGAATTCAGTAATATCATCCAATATATTAAACGTACCAAAGCCATCCCCGTTAATGAAGAGACGAATCATGGTGGCTTCATTTGCATAAGTACCAAGTGCATGCAGGACATCAGAATAAAGTCTTTCACGGAGTTGAGTAGGGTCTTCTTCCATATGTCTTAATTTAAAAAACGTACGATTACCAAGACTATCACCTGGACTTAAACTCCAATTCCATGACTGTTTTGCATTATTTTTCTTTTTACCAGCACCATGAAGACCAAATGTGACATTCTGGAATGTATGAAGATAGTCAGCACCAATAAATGTAAGTGTGCCCGTCACTTTATCTTTAGGTACATTCTTAACAATAGCGTCAACAGCTGCAGAATCACCTGTGAAAAACACAGAAGGTATATAATTTTCATCATAAATTTCAGGCTTTACACTACGAGTCCATTGAGGCTGAGATAATAATGATAATAAGTATTTACTATATGCATGCATGTATGTATGGACGGATGGATGTATGTATGTATATATATATATATGTGTGTGTGTATATGATTCTTACATTATTCTTTATAGGCCATGGTAATTTGGGAATATTAGCATAAGTAACTGGACGATTCATAAAGTCATTTAATGTAGAAGATTTTGAACTATCAAGAGCACGAGTAAAAGATTCTTCAACACCTCCTATAACATACTATATAACATATAAGCCAATTCAATTAGAAACTTTACTACAAAAGTAATTTTTTTTTCTTAAAAAAAAAA